CGGCGGTGGTGGCGGCGGAGACCAATCAGCGGGAATGCCTGAATCAGAGGAAGATGCAGAGGACCGCGACGCCACGGGAGCGTCAAAGTCTGATCCGTCTTCCTCTGCCTTGTGCCAACGTCGACCAACGGCACCTGGAGGCGGAGGCGTGTGGTCGGAGCTCGACTGTCTGTCTCTAGAAGCACCGGGAGGGGGAGGTGTGTGATCAGAGCTGGATTGTCTGTCTCTAGCGGCGCCTGGGGGTGGAGGCGTATGATCCGAACTTGGCTCTCTCACTCTGGCTGACGCAACAGGAGGTGGAGGAGTGAGATCTATGCTCGGTTCTCTTGAAGGTTCTCTGGTGGTCTTCTTCGCTGGTTCCGTTGCCTCTTCAGTAGAAGGCACGATATTAGCCGGCTGCTCGCTGCGACTGATGGAAGGTCTCGCGGATGACGCCTGCGTTGGAGTCGGAGTCTGCTTCGCACTTGCATCTCGCGACTTACGCGAAGTGATCTTGAACTTTCCTCCGCGAGCCGCAACACGGGCTGCCATTGACATCATCTTTGCCGCACCCGCAGGAGGCGGGGGCGGTGATCGATCGACTGGTTCCTTCTGTACCGCGGCAGTCTTGTTCTTAGGCGGTCGGCCGCGGCGCCTCTTAGGTGGTGCTGCAGTCGCCTCCGCCGTCTCAGATTCAATCGAGGTGACGGGCCCGTTCTGGGACGGACCGTCTCCAGCCAACTCCCGCTCTAGTTGAGCCTCAAGTTCAGCTTCCGTCACGTCGTGAGCTGCGTCTTCGTCATCTGCATCATCGTCGTCGTTGTCGCTGAAGGAGGTGTTCCTAGCTCTCGGGTTAAACGAGCTGGCTCCATCTATAGTCACAACACGGCTCAGGCCCGACCGTCGCGATGCTCGTTCTTCTCGTTTCTTCGCCGCATTCCTTGCTGCGAGGTCAGATGGCTTTGGAACAGCATCGGCTATGGGGACCTTTGTGGCCGAAGCCGGCGTCGAGTTCGCACTCCGCGGCGGCCTGCCTGGCCTCCTCCTCGGCACTATGGGCGTTTCGGCTCCGGTGGCGGCGGCGGCGGCGGCCGCCGCAGCATCAGTTTCCTCCTGAATAAGAGCGCGTCCAGCGTCAGAAGCCAGGTCCCTAGGATCATTACCGTCGTCACCCGCCTGCGGCTCATCACTTTGGACCGGCGGCCTTTGCCTGAAAGCTGGCACCATATCGTCGGGGTCGTCGATCATTGGTTCTTCTGGCTCAGCATAAGACGCTCTAGGCCTTGCATGTCGCAAAGAAGGAACGTTTGCCGGGAATTGGGGAGCTGGAAGCCCGCGCCGTGCCGCGCCGCCTACCAGTCCTGCCTCCCTTTCTAGCTGGGCTGAGGCTTCGTCCTCCTGACCAACGCTCATACCGGCTGGTTCAGCAATTTCACCGCTAGCAGCTTCGGGTGCGGGGCCCGCGGCAGCAGATTGCGCCGAACCGAACAATGCCGGATCCATGGCAGGTTCATCAGCACCGTCGTCTTTCTTTGACTTCTTCCTGTTCTGGCTCCTGGGCCCATGAAAATCTGGATCCATGTCATTCTCCTGTTTTGCCTTCCGCTTCTGCGCCCGCAACATGTTCTTGACGTACTCGGCCTCCTCATCAAACACCATGGCGTCGTTTGAAGGCATTTGGAACGGGTCGAACAGAATCTGGTCCGGTCCACTTTGCTGGTAGTAGCCTATGCCAAACATGGGTTGGCCATCCGTGCCCAAGGGATCCGGGTATGTTGACTGATCCCATTCAGGGTCACCGTTCATATTAGCCATGGGAGCAAACGGGACAATGTCCATCTGCGACATATCTTGATTTGCGTCCAGATCGCCTTGGTTCTGAGCATGATGTCCGTCCTGCTCGCTGAGGACATGACTCTGGTCTCCGTATCCGTTCGTTCCACCCTCCGCGGACGTAGCAGCACCGTTAGCGCCATTAGCGATGTCTTCGGCAGTCAGAGAGGCACTCTCCTGAGCCTTTGCGGTGTCGGCCTTCTCCCTTAGCTCCTTCATACGTTTGCTGTTTGCGCTGCGGCCTTCTTCACCAGCTGTCTTGAGCCAGTTCAGGTTGTGAACTCGGAAGTCGACGAGAGCCTCGACACTTCTATCATCGGCGATAGCTCGGGTATCATGACCAAGAAGGGTATTCTTTGGCGTGTAGGGGTTACCGATCTCGGCACGGCGACAAGCGCCGCAGTTGCAGATACCCAAACACTTTGGGCAAAGCCAGTTCTCGTTCTCCTGTACCGTCTGTGGCATCTGATCGAAAGCGCGGTAAAGTACACCATAGCAGTAGCTTTCTTTGCACTCTGGGTTTGAGCATTCTTGCACCTTGTAGGCGTAGTCCTTGTGACAGCAAACGTGGCAGCGACGAAGTTCTCCCTTCTTCTTCTTGCGCTTGTACTTTTTCTTCTTGGGCTTGCCATTGTCGTCCAGCTCTGGCTCGGGTTCAGACTCGGTGAGTGGCTTATCCTCGTCAAGTCTCGAGATATCTTTAAAAGGTCGCCTGTGCAAGCCCATCTGACAAATTTCGGCTACTGCCTTCTTGCCTCGCCGGGTGCGAGCGATCTCAAGAGGCTGAGGTGATAGCTCTATATCGACGAAGCCATCATTCTTGATAATAATTGCCCGCCAGAGTTCGTAATTCTCCGTCAGCTGTTCCCACGACCATTGCTCGCACCACTGAAGTTTGGAAATGCAGACACAGGATCGTCCCATGGCGTAACATTCCATACAAACATCGTATGCATCCTCGTCCCCGTTGACCAGGGTCCGCACACAGTGCTTGCAGGTCAGAAACCTGTTGAAAATGTTCGATCTGCAGTACGAGCAGGTGACGCAAGAGTCGTACTCAACATATTCGACGTTTTTCTCTTTGGTCGCAAACATTTCGTCGACGAGAACCTCAGTGTAAAGTGAAAAGAGATGGCGGAAATCTTTGGCAAGCTGCTTATACCGTGAGGAAGACCGGAAAATCTCTGAGCCTAGACCGGCGATGCCTATCTCATTGTCCTGCTCGGCTTTTACCATCTGCGCGAAGTATTTCTTGAGCGTATAATAGATGATAGCTTTGTTTTTGTATTGCTCGTCACGACAGACAAGACGAGCTTTGGGAAGGGCCTCGTGAAGTGCCATGTCCAAGGTCTCGACAGTCGTGCGGTTCCACGCGACCTTCATGGTGCGCGTACCCCTATTCCAGACCTGGTGGGGGGCCAGAGGAGGAATGAGAATGAAATCGCCGGGCTTCTGCTCGACGATGTAAACGGGGAAGGTTGCCTTTTTCCAGGCGTTGATCTGGGCAAAATGCTTCTCGATTTCGATGTCGTGGCCTAGCATAGACAAGAAATACTCGCGGACCACTTCTCGATCCTTGGTCTCCGTCATAAACCAGATGGAGCTTCCAGGTTTCTCGCCGTTCTCACTGCCCGAAGCCTCAACCATGATGTTCTGTCCGAGACTGGCGCACATTTCACGATGCGCCGGGGTAAATGTTCCTTCGTGTCCGATATAGCACATGAGATTCTGTGCTCGCATCTCCTCAGGTAGGCTTGACATGAGATCCCCGGCGGCTGCCACCTTTGTCCTATCGCCAAAGCCTCGAAAGGGATCGTTTGCTCGAGAGTCTGCTACTCCTTTTTGCGTGACGTTTTCGTTCATGTAAAACAGATTGGGAGGAATGACCTTCTGCAGGTGTTCTTGCCATTCGGGCGGGCAGTCGATATCTTTCAGGTACAGGCGTTGCCGTCTCTCGTCTCGATAATTGCTCGGTGTCCATTGGTTGGTGAGTTGCTTCATGGCTCTCATATAGTGCCCTGTGGTCATCGGGATCTCGGTCTGGCCGGTAATGTCACGGACATTTTCCTCTATCTCAAATTCAGCAACTGCCATAATTGGGTGGAAGGTGAAAACACTCACGCTTCTTGTCGTATGTCTTCTCCATCCACTCTCCGCTGAAAAGCCACTCAGGGAGAACCTCGTTCCATTTCTCGATCACCAAGGGCTTCCCGCCTTGAATGACTTGCAGTTGGACCAACTTCTCAAATTCCTGGGGCCCCAGTCCTTGGATCTGAGCGGTCGAGATCCGGAGAACCCATTCGAAATTCGGGGTATGGTCGACAAGAGTAAAAAGGTCCAAGTCCGGGGGAATCGGGTCGAACTTGGCCTGGGGATGCGATGGGGGCGGCATCTTGACGGCCGGTATTGACTAGCTATGCATTCGGGCGGGGAATCCTGTGGAAATGCGATCTTTGACGCGTTAGTCGGGATACGCGAGGTAGGAGTAGTCTTGGGCGCAATCGAGACGATTTTCGGCGCGTCGAGCCAGTGGAATCAAAAGAATGAGGGTCGAAGGGGTCAACTTGTGATCTACGCGACAAACGACTATGCGATCCAGAGGTTGGAAGGCATGTCGCGTACAGCGCAAAGTGGCGCCGGACGAGGCTGACCAAGTCAAGGTTCAAAGGCGATGGGAAGGAACGAAAGTCAAATGCGCAACCAATCAAGGTCTTCGAATCTACCGGCACCTTGGGCCCCAGGGATCGAAGAGCACGGACCATACTTAAGCTCTGGACCCTTTGGCAACTCCCAAATTTCGGTTCTCTCGGTGACGAGTGGAAAAAAGTTGACGGGGGCATATCTGACTGTTGGTAGAGCTCCGTATCGGTTGTCGGTAAGTCTTGAGATTCTTTTTGTTATTCTTACGTGGGAATATTGGCTAGTCTTGTTCCACTGGCTCTTCTTGCCTTATTTGAAGCTTGCGCCTGTCAACGCAGTGTGTCTACCTTAGGTATCCGTACTCTTGGTGAGCAAAGTTGAGGGAGCTGGCACCCTTGCACACCACAGCCGAACAGCTTCACATTTTATATGGATACTAAGCTCAATATTTCAATGTTTTTCATATTGTCAATACTGGTTTTTGAAAGTCGAATTACTTTTGCAAATCCTCTCTTGTGTTCCTGCGACCAACTTATCGATTTCTATACATGCCCTCAATTCGTCAATATGCCACTTATACTAACATCGTGACAGGGACACGAAATGAGACAACTCAACCTACTAAGAGGCCCCTTGAAGGCGGCATGCAATCCCTCGCCTGGAACGACGAGATTTCTCTCAGCGACAGCCCCGTCTCGATTTGTTTTACAGGCACACCGCAAGCCTAGCACCCATCTTGTTCTTTGGAGCTCAGCTCAACACCAGCACACAGCTCTCCACACTTCAACGAAACGCCTCACAACAGCTATCGCCCCAGATACTCCCGAGCCAGCATCACCTGAAGCCGTTTACTCGCCGCCCAAGACCGGCATCATTTCTTACTTACCCGCATCATGGGTCCCATACGCGGAGCTTACCCGCATCGATAAGCCGGCAGGCACTTACTACCTCTTCTTCCCTTGTCTCTTCTCAACTCTGATGGCCGCACCTATGGCTATGCCCATGGCATCTCCAGCCTCTGTCATCGGCACTTCGCTTCTCTTCTTCTCGGGAGCTCTCATCATGCGAGGCGCGGGCTGCAGCATCAACGACCTGTGGGATCGTAACCTCGACCCGCACGTCACGAGAACGAAATTCCGACCCATCGCGCGAGGCGCCATCACACCTTTCAAAGGCCTCGCCTTCACTGGCGCCCAGCTCCTCGCCGGACTGGGCATCTTGGTCCAGTTCCCCACGTCCTGCCTCTTCTACGGCATTCCGAGTCTGCTCTTCGTGGCCTCCTACCCCCTGGCGAAGCGGGTCACCTACTACCCTCAAGCCGTACTGGGTCTCACCTTCTCCTGGGGCGCGATGATGGGCTTCCCAGCTCTCGGCATCGACTTGTTGTCCAACAGCGCGGCGTTGACAGCTGCCGGGCTCCTGTACACATCAAACGTCGCCTGGACGATTCTGTACGACATGATCTACGCCCACATGGACATCAAGGATGACGTCAAGGCAGGCATCAAGAGTATCGCTCTCAAGCACGATGCCGAGACCAAGCAAGTCTTGACGGGTCTGGCTGCGGTTCAGCTGAGTCTTTTGGGCGCTGCTGGGTTCGCAGCTGGTGCGGGTCCGGCCTTCTTCATCGGTAGCGTCGGTGGAGCGGCGGTGACACTCGGTGTCATGATCAAGCGGGTCAACCTGAAGAGCGTCAAGGACTGCTGGTGGTGGTTCATTAATGGTTGCTGGATCACTGGTGGCGTCATCAGCTTGGGTCTGGCAGCTGATTATACTGTAAGATATATCCAAGAAGATGGAAACAAGGATGCTGCCAGTCAGAAGCAGTTGGAGTAAACTTCAAAAAGGGTGTATCAACAAGGGCGTATAGATGCCAGAAGAGAGGAATTGTACCAACATCATCTGTAAATTTCATAGCACGTAGAATCAACAATTCCCTGATTCTTGATTTTGTTCTTTCACAGCCACCCCCGATAAACCCCGTTGTGTAATGTGTGATGTGAATAGCCGCATGTTCAGGTTTTGACTTTCATGATGTTTTATTTCATCGACCAAAGTCTACCCGCAGTATCAGGACCATAACCCATTGATGCCAATGCAAGCGTAAAACTCCGAGTGCCGAATTTTCTTCCACTGTCCTTCCCATGCTTCGCGCGATTCGAAAAAGCCTCCCCGTTTAGGATCTGGGCTTCTCCTTCTTCTCCTTCCACAGAGCGAGCAGACCGACACCAGAGACCTTGACGACCTTGAAACGGACACCGGGGATATCACCCTTGGCCTTGCCCTTGCGACCAAAACCGGCCAGGAGGACCTCGTCGTTCTCGTCGACGAAGTTCAAGCAACCGTCGTTGGGGACTAAAAGTATCCTTGTTAGCAACTTCGATTCCTTCGCCGCATGGTCTGTTCTAGACCGATATTTCTATTCTCTTGTTTCGGAGTCGAGAATTCGTAAGGGGGGATCATTCGGGAGGGGTGGCATCGTACCGAAAGCAGTGACCTTCTTGCCGTTCTTGATCAACTGAACACGAACGCACTTTCGGATAGCGGAGTTGGGCTGCTTGGCCTCGACACCGACCTTCTCGAGGACGATGCCCTTGGCGTGGGAGGAACCACCGAAGGGGGAGGACTTGAAAGCGGTACCGAGGGCACGCTTCTTGTATCCGAGATCGGCCCACTTCTGGTCCTTACGGTTCATGCGCAGCTTGCGCGCCGCATTGAGTCCACGAGGCATGTTGGCTGGTTGAGACTATCGTCAGTTCAAAAAAGTTCCAAGAGGGGTATTTTGTGTATGGTGGCGTTCGGGTTTTTCGTCGAGATTGTTGAAAAATTTCTCGGGGAATTCGTCGTCGATGGGTTGGAGATTTTGGATGGGATAGCGCAAACGTACCGATGTGTTGGGGTTATCGCGGGAATTGACTTGGTGGTGGTGATAGTGCCTGACTGCTTCGTCGCGAAAAGTGGTATCCTCAGATTTGTCCGACGACAGCTTTTTCGGCACACAGAGGGTTTGTGCCCTTCGGTGGGAGGAGCGTGATTTTCAATCACGTGATAATGGCTCGTGCTTTTCCCCCCCTTTGCCTGAGGAGCCGGAAGAAGGCCGGATCTGAAAGTCAAAGAGTGGGGCAGGTTCACCCAACCACGGCCGGGTTTCGCTTTCAACCACTTTGGCCCACACGGAGCTTGAACCCCACGCTCGCTGACCGTACCGTCTTAGCCAGGGGTGCCCCCCCCAAGGTCCGCAACTTCCCTCGACTAATATCCAACCAATCCTATCAGATGCCTTCAAGTTCAAGAGAAGCTGTCTCAGACGCCAAGTCCCGAGCTTGGAATGTTCACGACGACACACAAAATGTAGGCATGTCTCAATCAGCCAAGAGCAAAGGAAAACAGCGCGACCCTCCGCCGTCCCTATTCCTTCACCCATCTCCCGCCGCCTCTCATGCCTCACTACCGGGTATACTTGCGCCTGGAGCGCCAGCGACCTCATCCGCTGGCGTCACACCTCTCCCTCAACAGGCCATGAACCTGCAACGCAATGGATCTCTTCATACCGGCTCGGTAGTCGCGCCATCCGTCGCGCGCCCTGTCCGGAATCTCAAGACCGCCGATAGTACTCGCAGCAGTGACAGGACCGACGCATTATGGGCCGAGATGCAGGCGACGCTCGAGGAGGTCGAGCTTTCAGCGTCAGGTGGAACTCACGTGTTTGGTCCCGATCACGATCGCAAGCTGGAGGAGTTGAGGACAGCACAGATCGACCTGGCACAGGCGTGGGCACGAAGTGAGGCTGATGAGGCCATCGAGATGACGGGCCAGCGCTCCAACACGTCGGCAGCCGGGGAGGAGGTCCGCAACCTCAAGAGCGCAGTGCTCGGGGAGACGGGCGTGGCGCCAGATGGCAACGAGGGACCGCGGAGCACGGGAAGCAACAACGGGCGACCAGGTAGCAGCGGGGGCACGGAGCGACTCGGTGCGAAGCTCGAGCAGGAGACGGAGGTGGACATTTTGCTCGCACGAAAGAGGCGCGAGGCCAACGATCGGTACTTCCAACGGGTCAACAAAGGTGTCCTTGACGTCGTTGCCAAACTTGAACACGTTGCTGTTGCGATGCGGGCTGTCGAACAGGAGACTAAGGATATCTGGGGCGAGAATGACAGCGCGGCGGGAAGTGCGAAGGGGTAGAGGCAACTCGGTGACCGACATTTGTTTCTGTTTGTCCTTTCTACTTTACCTGACGCATCACCCGGGGCCTCTGTATTACACCAGCATTGTTCCTTTGCATGTTTGGGGACCGGAGTTTCGTTGTTTGGTGGTTTATGCATCGGCGTTGAGGATCACATTGGGGGCCAGCACCCCACCAACAGGTTAGCACTGGATGCTCATAGTAGTTAATAGCATCTTTAAGTTAGCTCAACGTTCCTGTTCAAGCTTTCGTAGGGCGACCGACGATGTTCACATGGTAAAGAATTATAAGCTGAAGATCAAGCTAACTCCTCGAGTTCCATCGTCGGAGGAGCCGGATGAAGTCATACACATGAGCCGGCTGGTGATGGGAGACGGTAGACATGCTTGCCCACAACCTGCATCGATGTCACCGATCTGCAGCGGGAGTTGCGGGTGCACCAAGCGGTTGATAGCGCAATCGAAGGCAGTGGTTACACCTGGAAGTTCTACATAATCAAATTGCTACAAAGTGGCACGTTGGCACCGATGAGTTGGTGAATGTGTACGGAGTATCGGAGCCCGATATTGGTTGATGTCGCCATAGTCCCGCTGGTGACCTTCCTCACAGGGAAGGCCGAGTCCTGACGGGGACGATGGGGAGCACCCGTGACGGTTGACCGGAGGCGGAGGAAACAGCAAAGTGGGACTTTTGTTGCATGTCACCAGTTTGAGGCCGCTACCAAGACTCTTGCCACTCGGTACAGTTGATGTGCTGCAGACTGTAGCTAGGTATGGGTTGGGTACTTGAGAGTCGGACGGAAATGCTGGCGTGCTGGCGAAGAAAAAAATAGGTTGCACATGTGCACAGGTACTGCTTACTAGCGCCACCAGGTTGTCCCATCATTGCCGGTTCCCACACCATTCTAGACGCATAGAACTGACGTATGCTACTGGCTGGAACCTGGCAAACTGGACGCAAAGAGTGACAAACAGGTCTCTTTTGGGAACCCTTTGCCAACAGAACACCTCCACTACTTTTGAGGGGGACCACCGCGGGTGACGGCGCTCCCTACTGGGCAGGTGGTCAACTAAGGTTCGGCTGGTGATTGCCCATCCCAGCTACCTTCCGCGCTGTGGTCCCCATCCATTACTGTGTAATAAGTGGTCACTGGTCAGTTACCCTGCCATGACAAAGGGGAACCCAAACATCCATTCGATATCCATCAAGGCCCAGTCCGCTGTCCGTCCACGTCCAACTTGCTGAACCTCCTCCCTGCATCCACCCGTTCTTCACCAATCCGCGAGTCTCCAGCAACTTTCTCCAGTGACTCGCCAGCAACGATTAAATAACCGCAAACTCCCCACCAGACCCTTGGGCGCATTCGTCAATCACTCTACCTACCTCGCAACTCCGCCACTACCCTCATCTTCGACTTGAATCGATCGCCATAAAACAGACTCTCAGTACTGACCCGCATCAACATCCGCGACCGCAGAGAAATTCGCTCTCCCCCTTTCCAACGACCTCCATCACACTCCGCAACCATGAGACCCTCCACCTTCCTCGTCGCTGCTCTGTCTATCGTCCCCGGTGTTCTCGCCGTCGACCAGATGAAGTCCGTCATCGTCTGGGCCAATTCCGATTCCGTCGGTGACGATATCATCCAGAAGGCAAAACAATCCATCATCGATGCCGGTGGCCAGATCACCCACACCTATTCTCTGATTAGGTGAGACATTCCTTTTGCATCGGTTTGAGGCTCCCGAATTTCAGCTAACAAATATCAGGGGATTCGCCGCCGTCACACCCGCCAAGGTCCTCGAATCCGTTCAAGCCTTCAGTGAAAGCCTCACAATCGAAGAGGACCACACTGTCACCAACTCCGTATAGATGGACGCCTCATTATCGAACCAAGTTGTTCATCGGTCGGCACAACTGGCGACAGGCAATTTGCGAAGCATGCATCCGGTGAAAGATACAACAATGTGCGAAAAGGGACTTTGGCTGGACTAGGTCACGAGGACAATGATATCCGCCGCCTTTCCCGGCGGCTGCGACAGGGACAAGCGAGGAGGCACTCATAATTTACCATTGCCGTCATAGACGAATTATCACTACGGAGTCGGGAGTTTCATCGATGAGAAAGTGCCTCAGTGGCATCTTTTTATGTACGGCTACGGCGAGGCTTGGACCACATCTGGTTCATTCCTGCTTGACGCCAAAACAAGACCAAAAATCAAAATTATAGCATACCTACACTCTTATGTTTACCTCGACTGTCCGTCCTGCTACGTTTCCGGGAATCCTTCGCAACTGACGGCAGCTTTACTTCGCACAGTGTTGACGTCGTGGCGTTCCATAGTGATGCAAGTCAGGTTCCTGATGCGGCTGACATTTACAACACAACGTCGACGAAAGATCTAAGCCTTGCGGGAACCCTTTTTACCTTCGAGGACCAATCCCCAAGGCGATGTACCTGATGAGTGGGGGATTCATGTGCGGCACGGAAAGCAGATGTGCAGATCAAAAGCGGATTTCTGCGTCTTCTAGCTTCTCCACTGCCGGCCAAGGATGCTGATTCAGCTTTTCTTGAACCAGGGATACAATACAATACGTCGCTGAGAGGCACAAGATTACTTGACGTCTCGAGGACTTGTCTAGAGTGTTATACGCTACAGGTGCTTGATTGCAGTGACGCAGCCTGCTGCAGCAACCCTCCTATTGTACGATGAGTCGGCGGTCCCCTCACTGGATAAAAGCCCGGTGTTTCTGATACCTCGCGTAATGCTCCAATTGGGTTGGGCAGAAAAAGCACCTGGCAATCTCACACTCACAGACGTGTCAAAGCGCAATGTGGGGGGAGACTTTGGAAAAGCCATCAGGCGCTGAAGATGATGCAGGCAGGCAGTCTGTCACCGGCGGGCGAGAGACCTGAAGGGGGGCTGAAGAGGGAATCCTTCAGCCTGAGTGCCTGCATACCTTGGGTATATACGGAGTACGGAGTAATAGTGCTCTTTGGTTCAGCACGGAATCGTGGAGAAGGGTCCAAGGCGAATCGGTTGCAACCCTACGATGGACGACCAACTTGAGCTTTCGTGGAGAAGTTCATACCTTATCGACGGGATGGCAACATCGTCCAACGTTACGGCACCCGTATCCGTGCTGTAGGTTCTTCATCTTCCGACTGCGAAGGGGGATTTTGCCATCAGGAGGGTGTTTGGTGGTCGAGTAATGACCTAGGACCATCCGAGAAGATGACTCGGAGTCTGTGCTTATGACTACGAATATAGTGCAGTTTGAACAGTGTTCGGTGAGGTGGTGATTGATGGAAAAGCGCTTTCAACTGATGTTCATTTTGAACGACAATCCGAGGTTTTCGGTGACCACGGGGACAGTGTCATTGTTCTTCAACCTGGCTTTGTCACATTGGACTTGGTCTCAAGGAACCTTTCATCACAGGAATCGGTTCCTGAAAGCCAAAAAGAAAAAAGTGTGTGGCTTCTCAGCCATGCTCCCTCCCGCCTTGCCGCCAAAGAAAAACGGTGCTGTCACCAAGCCTTGAAGAGCCCAGTGTCAAAGACTTGAAGAATCGAAGGCAGAGGGACTGCCCCACTGTAACATCGGGTCAACCCCTGGCAGTCCGTCCCGCTTCGCGTCACTTGGAGTTTCGGGCTTGGGGGCGGGAGGTACCTTAATAGAAACGGACAGGAGGATTGTATCTTTTCGCTGTGCACTTGTCACTAACGTGCCGGCTTAGAAAGGGACTAATACCTCTAGGCAAGCTCAGGTACACCTCTGTCTTCTGATAATAAGCTGACGGATGGATGGCGGTAGTTGCGCAACACGCGCTAAGAGTTCCCTAGGGCCTAGCTGCCTCTGGCAATCGATAAGGGAGGAGCTTGATGCAGGTCATGCAAGATTGAGTGTGGGTTCGACAGGAGGGAGCGGACACCGGACGTGAACAATGCGCCTGTCTTTTTTGGCTTTTTGGGACGACAAGCACCCGCGAACAAGAGACACATCCCTCTTTTGTTTTTTTAAATTTTGCTGCTGCTGCTGTCCTTGTCTCATACGACTGTGCGTAAGCAAGGCTCTGTTCTCATTCTCCCTCATATTTCCCTTTACACCGCCCTTCCCTCGGCCGGCGGTGGCTATTTCTCACCAACTCCGACCTGAACCTTTAATATCCCGTCAACCGCTCCCAGTCCCTCCACCCCTAGCCGAAAAGCCCCCTTTGCGATGAGAGCTTCCCGGGCCCATGGAACCACATTTCCCCTGCCCGCTTTGACTTGCAACAAGCACGAACACGACCGCAAAACGTTGTGGAACCGCGCGGGAGCCCTTTCGCCTTTTCCCACGTGCTCCAGCTCCAAACCATAAGGTACTTTACCTCGAGATACCTCACTAGCCTAGAAACATCCACGAAACTACGACGAAAGACGACCACGACCACGAAGAAGACGAGGGTTACGACACGAAAGAATAGGCATCATGCCGTACTCAGGAAGCGCGCAGGCCGCGCTGGTGCAATGGGTAAGTCGCCGTGCTTTGCGCTCCCCTCCAGATACATCTTCCCCCTTGTGTCCCGCCGATGGGTCACTTCCCTTTCCCCAGTGTTGTCACAGACCGCTACGCAGTTCCAACATTATGCTGACTTAATGCTTCCTGCACAGGCAAACACATTTCCCCTGGATAGACAAGCCGACTCAATATCAGACTTCCTGGACGGCCACCTCTTGTCCAAGGTCCTTCAAGCACTCGACCCCTCCTTCGACTCTAACACCACCGAGGGCGAGCTATACGATGTCTACAAGGGCATCCAGAGGCTAGTGTATCGCGAGTGCCCGGGGCTTATTGGACAGACCAAGCTTGCCGATATCAGACCCAGGGCGAGAGAAGCGCAGCCGGAGGCTATCAGTAAGGTATGCAACCATCCATGTCCAACCCAGCGGCCCAAATTCCGGGCGCCGGGTGCGAAAGTCCAAGCTAACGCAATGCTCTACTCAGCTTATTGCCGTGCTGTTTGCTGTTGCAATGCTTGGTAGCAACAACGAGCGATGGGTTACCCGTATCACCCAGGATATCTCCGACAAGACGGTCCTCATGCAGCTTCAGCGGGTCACGCAGGACATGAGTACAGCCATCAACGATGCCGAGGCGGCGGACGTAGAAGAAACCTCCGAGCTTGGGAACGAAAGCCACGATGTCGATCTCGCAATGGAAGCCGACAACATACGCCTCCGCTCTGACCTAGACAAGAAGGGAAAGCTGCTCGCGGATATGGAAACGCGCTTGGGCCACCTACAGGAAAGTTACGACGATTTGAAAGAGGAGGTTGTTCGCAAGGGCAGGGAGCTAGAGGCGTTCCACGATGCCCAAGACGGTGCCGGCAAGGAGGTCATCAGGTCGCTTGAACTGAAGCTGCGCGAGCAGGACGAGCTCATTGCCAACCAGGAGGCGCAGGCTGAAGACGATCGCATCGCCAAGGAGCGGTTGACGAGCGAAGTCTCGGCACTAAAGGCCAAGACGCAGAAACTTGAGACCCTTGACGATGAGGTCAAGGAGTTGCGGTTCAAGAATGAGGAACTGTCCCGTAAAGCCAACATGGTTGAACGGTACAAGCAAAAGCTCGAGGCACAGTCCACGTTGTCAAAAGAGATGGATAACTTGCTCTACGAAAAGGAGCAGATGCAGCGCGATCTGATTGAGTACGAAAAGGTTCTGAAGAGAAATCAAGCCTTGGAGCAGACTAACGAGCAGTACGCCTCAAAGCTCAGAGATTACGAGCTGCAGTATGTTGAGTTGGATGCTCAGCGTAGGGCTCTTCACGATGACACTATGCAGCTGAGAGCTCGTCTTGCAACGCTCGATGCTCAGCGTCTCTCTGATGAGCACCTAATCTCCGAGTTGCAGGAACAGATCAACTCGGGATCCCCGGGTGCTTTGTCTCCCGACGCTGGTACTGCGGGCTTCAGTCTCGAGCAGGAGCTTGAGGGTGTCAGCAGCGCCGCGCCCCCTAATCTTGGACTCGAGGTTTCTCGCCTCAAGGCAGAGAACAACCTGCTTCGTAGCGGTATGGGATCTGGGCCAGAAAACGCCCGATTGCGTCAAGAGCTAGAGGAGGAGCGCAGGCAACGCGAACGTATCCAGGGAACTTACAACGACACGTTCGAAAAGCACCAGATTGCGGAGGCCCAAATCAGCGCTCTGATCGAGAGCAGTGGCGAAAAGTTAGTTGAAATCGTTGATACAGCTATGCGACTAGGCGTGGGCAAAGTGCTAACCCAAGACTTTCATCACAGCGAGGTGCTAGCCAACCTGAGGATCCAACTTGCTCAAAAGGCCCATGAACTTGATAGCGAGAGGAGGAAGAACAGCGAGATCCAAGCTCAGCTCTCTGACAAGGATCGCGAACTCCTCAGCGCAAGGACCGATCTCTCAGCCGTGGCAAAGGATAGCGTTGATGCTCTCGATGAACTCAAGTCTACTGACCAACTCATCTCCGGTTCAATCCGCGAAGAACTCGAGGCAGCACGCCAACAGCTCAAAAACCTCGGTACTGACCTCGAAGAACAGCGCAGCTCGCTTATCAACGCCCTGCTTGAGAAAGACAAGCTTCGAAAGGACCTTGACGAGGCCAAGGATGGCACGGGTGCTGAGCCCACTGAGGCCGCTCAGAAGCTTCAGGAGAAGGTTGACAAACTGCGCGTCAGACTCAAGGAGCGCCAATCGGTGAGTTCCCTCAGATCTCTTGCGAACGCCCTAGCCCTACAACATCGTAATGCCGAAGCCGGTGCGCCCAAGATTCCCCGTACTCCGTCCGGAGCCGTGTTATATGATAGCCGACCGAATGCTCGGATTTTAGTCCCTACATGCCAACCTCATCTCGACCTGCTTCCCCAAACACCAAACACGCCCTTGATCCTTAGACCGAGAGTGAGCTGGTGGAAGAAGGTCTTCAGGCGATCAAAGTAGCCGACTTGATGGCCTTGTTTTCTGGCGTTCATGAGATGAGGAATTGATGGCTAACGGTTCTTATCTTTTCAGCAACTGGAGAAGTCCGAGCAAGATAAGTATGACTTGCAGCGCAAGCTCAAGGCGGCTGAAGGCGGAGAAGCTGCCGCGGCCCAGAAGGTACGTTGCTATCCTGTCGCAATGACCCTGGTCACACCATGCTGAGCTTAATCATCATGATCCCGTCTTGGTTGTGATGATGGAGATAAACCGGGTTGGCTGATAAACTCGACATATATAGGCTGCGAGCGATCAGATTATCAAGAACCTCCAACGCGAGAACGCGCTTATTGCGACGGCATGGTACGATCTTACTAGCCGTATCCAGAGCAATCACGTCGTTTTGCAAAGGCGGAACGAGGCACCCAAGAGCTGGCTGGGCAAACAGAGACAGATGGTCAACGGTAAGTCTCATTTCTGAGAATGGGACACGAGGATCTAAAGACTGACTGCCTGCGCCCATAGCCACTCCTAGGAGATGAGGCAACCTCAAGCTTCCAGAATACAAGGCATCGCATCGTTCTGCGCACCGCATGATGACTTGGCTTCTCTTCCGATTATATCTCCTGGTTCACGTCACACCCAACTAGCAACGGAACCTTACCTCAACCTTACCCTCATCTTGTGACGGAGTAGGAGAACATCTCGGCGTTGGTCTTCACGTGCCCTTTTTTTTTTCTCTTCCTCCGTTCTTGTCTTAGCGAATTAAAGGGGATGGCTTGGCTGGCCTGCATCTCGGGTACAATTGCATTGCACTGCGCCGGTGGCTGGGCGGTATTCTTGTCTCCTTTTCCACGAGCTTTATTCTTCTCATCCCCATCTAAATTTCTATCAAGTCCTTTTCTCCTTGCAGCCTTATTATACTCTTCATCTTTTATGTATAGCTGCTTACTAGCGTGCGGGAGGTTTGCAAGCCCTGTCTGTCGTCTTCCCGTCTTGGGGACCAACGCAGAGACTCTTTTGGAGTGACTTGGGATAGAATGGATTCTTCATCAACATTGCGTCTTCTCCGGGGCCATGATCTCGGTGCATGATTTTCTGTGACTGTATATTTGGCAAATATGACATGTCAACCTCGCGTTCAACATCGTCGCAGACTCCGATCTATCGGCTGCTTCGTGGACCGGCTTCGCTAGTGGAGCATTCACTACCCCGAAGATTCCGAATCCGCGTAACAAGACATCTCAACAGTTAGTGAGTGGATCGGGTATCGACGTCGGCAACTTCCATGAACCCCCTGTGTAGAACTTGAGCAGCTCAGACGCCTATGATTGTACCGCTATCGGTATTTCGCTGCTCCGACTTGAAAGTACGGTGTCGGGTTCATCGGATGTCAGTCGCTGACAACGACTGTCAGCGCCCTCCCCCGGTTTCTACTTTACGCTCCGGGTCGGCATCGGGATCCGTCCGTGGTCTCCACTCTTTTTCGCCTCTTTGGGGAGCACCGACGAAGCCCGAATCCGGCCAGCGTGTTCCCTTTTCCCAGGTACGCGTCTCCAGTCGTCTACCTGCGTCGCGATTCAGACACGTTGAAGCAATGACATCACGGCATCTGCTTTATAGAGTAGGCACCTTTTGCCGGGTTGGACATTTCAAGCACAGGCACGGAAAGCACATGGAGCAATAGGGTCCATTGAAAAAAAGATTGCGAGGCCATCCAACTGCAAACCGCCGGTTTTGGTTATTAGTGAGACAATAGAGATGTTGTTTTTACATACAAGCGTGCGACGGAAGGGGTTTTCTACACGGTACAATTGATCCTGGCCACGTTGACGCAAAAAAAAAAAGACATGAACCAGCCCAGTCCTGCTGATCTCAACAGCTTCGGGGGCGGACGAGGATGTAATCCTTTCCAGTCCATTTCATGATCCATAAAAAGTCCCATAAAAAAGTTATTCCGACCCACGCCCTCCTCTCTTCTGGTATCGTTGACCCAGAAGATAGGCCAAAGTAAGAGACGTGAAAGTAGACCTTTGTCTCCGTTTCCTTCTGGCCGTCTTGTTGTGCGCAGCCGCCGGGGAGCTGTGGATGAGCCGGCGCGCTGGCGGGAGCAAAGGCTGGGAAGCCCGTGCCCGCTTAGTTCTTTCCAGTGATGCGGCTCAGGATGCCGGAGGCGTGGCCGCCCTTGCGCTGCTCGTCAAAGATCTCAAGCATGTTCTTCCACACCTGGCCAGGCTGCTGCGACGCGTCGAGGCCCTTCCAGATACCGTTCGCCTTGTAGTAACCGACGACAGGGGCGGTCTGGGCGTGGTAAGTGGCAAGACGCTTCTTGAGGGCATCGGCGTTGTCGTCGCTGCGCTGAATCAGGGGCTCGCCGGTGATGTCGTCCTTCATGTACTCCTTGGGAGGGTTGAAGGTGCTGTGGTAGCTGCGACCGCTGGCGGGGTGGACGAGGCGGCCAGTGATGCGGGCGACGAGCAATGAGTCGTCGATCTGGAGCTCAACGGCGTGCTGGAGCGTCTGATTGCGGGCCTTAAGCATGGCGTCGAGACCCTCGGCCTGGGGGACGGTACGAGGGAAACCGTCGAGGATGAAGCTACGTCGTTCCAGTTAGCAATGCTTACTCAATAGTAGCCAGTTGACCTTCAGGCCATCCAGCCGGCTCTCTTGTAGGAGAAAAATGCGCCATACCCTCCCTTGCACTCCTTGTTGTTGTCGAGCTCCTCCTTGATCATGCCAATGACAATGTCATCGCTGACCAGGCCGCCCTGGTCCATGATCTTCTTAGCTTCCCGGCCGAGCGGAGTCTTCTTGGCGACCTGGGATCGCAGCATGTCGCCAGTGGCCTGCGAGTGTAAAGGACGATTAGAAATGATCTAGAGCGTAGCAGCAAGTATAGACGATGTCAATTGACTTACCAAGTGACAGCAGTTGAACTTCTCCTTGATCTTGGGAGCTTGAGTGCCCTTGCCTGTGCGGAACATCATTATCAGTACGACTGCTGCGACACAAATAGCACGTGCGAGAATGCTCAATTGGAGCTACATACCAGCACCGGGGGGACCGATGAGAATCATGCGGACCTCATCGGTGGTGAGCTTGCCGGAACCGCCAGCTGCGCGGTCCTCCAGAGACTTAATTCTGGACTCGAGGGTCTCGACCGTGTTGGTCAGCTTCTTGACTGCTTCCTCAACGAGACTGCTCATTTTGACGGTTGGTGAAGGTATTGATATGGCCGGACCGAGGCTAACGATAGGAGGTAGGAGGAGCAAAGAGATGCACGAGTGTGGCTCTGAGGGAGAAAGGAGGAAGAGAGGAGAGGAGAGGACGATGGAGTCGAGGTCGAAAGTTGGACTGGGGGGAGCAGTGCGAACTAAAGCTTTTGCGGGAAAAACGATTGCGAGAGAGGTTGAGAAATCGCTGCAAGGTCCTGACAGGCCAAGTCGTCCAGGTTCCGCCTCCAGTTTGTGCCAGGTACCGCCTACATCGTACCGAGCTTTGCGCTATCCACGGCCCCGTTGAGTGCAGGTGACAGGCCACTGAGCGGCCCCAGTGCAGGAATAAAGGCCGGTTATTGGTCAGACTGGTGCCCCGAGGGACCGCTGGACTTTCTGCTGGGGAACAGGGTGGCAGGCGTTCGTTCGGCTGTTTCGCAGCGTAACAGCGCCCTCCATATTTCCGCCTTGGTGCCACTGCGTGCGCTTCCGTTACAGCGCTCCGGCTGCCATTGGCTCGTCGTCGCCGTCGCCTCTCCGCCGAGGTCCAGCGCGGATACGTACTGTCTACATCGGGGGATAGTACCGCGAGCCATTGGGGCCTGCTCACTGTTGACGGCCCGGCTAGGTAGCTTGCGGATAAGGCACGGCATCAGAAGCCCTCGAGATTGTCCCCCGGCGCACCGGATGGGACGCCATGTATGAGGTCACTAGGTCAGGATTTTTTGTTTTCCAAGTGTTTTTCGGTGCATTTGGTGCTATTTCGATGCGGCATGTGAGTCTCTTGGGGTCATCCCAGTCACCCGCAATTCTCCGGGCGCCTCACTTGACTTCGTGTCCAACTGTTACTTGTCACTTTGAGGTTGGTTGTTCCTGACGGAAACAAGTCCGTCGTTCAGTTCCTCAGTCAGCGACTCACTGAGCACGGAATGAAGAGAATCTCGAAGGCCGATTGCGGACTCGGCCTGGGGCCTCTCTTAGAAATCTTGCCCAATGAATAAACATCGGACGTGCGCTTCCATTTCCTCCCTGGCACTGTCGCACGGCTCGAGCGTGGCTGATCGCTGGTTGCGGCTCAAGAGGTTTGTGGCTGAGCGCCTGCTTACTCATATTGAGCTCCCCCACGTGATCTGGCGAGGCTTGAGCTTCCACTTGCTTGCACCTAGGCCCGATTCGTAGCTTAGCTGGGCGGGAAGGCAGCCTTAGCAGTTACGACACCACCACCACCATCACATACCCTGCCTCTACTACACCCACCTCAACCCAAAATCACTACCGACCGACCAAACCTCCATCTTCCCACGAACTCGAACCAGTCGACCTCACGAAGCTACGAAATCTCCTCTATCATGCCTGCCACCACTGCGGAGACTCTGTCTCTCGTTCAGCGGAATGTCTCCGTTGCCCCTCTCGTGCTTCTCTCCGTCGTCGACCACTACAATCGCGCGGTAGCCAAGGGATCGAAACGGAGAGTGGTGGGCGTTCTGCTGGGCTCAAATGACGGCAACAATGTCCGCGTATCGAACAGTTTCGCAGGTAAGGGCTACTCTGGCGGATGCTAAACACTTAGGCCATGCCCGCGAGACTAACCCATCCTTGCAGTGCCGTTTGAGGAAGATGAGAAGGACCCCTCAGTGTGGTTTCTGGACCACAACTACGTCGAGGGAATGAACGATATGTTCAAGAAGGTCAACGCGAGAGAAAAGCTGATCGGCTGGTACCACTCCGGTCCCAAGCTGCGGGCGTCCGATCTCGAGATCAACGAGCTGTTCAAGCGCTACACCCCCAACCCTCTACTAGTCATTATTGACGTCCAGCCGAAGGAGGCGGGCGTGCCGACGGACGCATACTTCGCCGTTGAGGAGATTAAGGATGTGAGTGGTGTTACTTTCCGCCATGTGAGGCCACTGCTAACAAAGACGACTATAGGACGGCACTACCACGTCAAGAACCTTCGTCCATACCCCGTCGATCATCGAGGCCGAGGAAGCAGAGGAGATTGGTGTCGAGCACCTCCTTCGTGACATTCGCGATGTCGCAGTCGGGACCCTCTCGACAAGAATAACAAACCAGCTCCAGTCCCTGCAGGGGCTGCATCTTCGCCTTCGCGATATCGGTGCCTACCTTCAGAAGGTTCTCGACGGCCAGCTGCCGGTTAACCACGCCATCCTGGGCAACCTGCAGGATGTCTTCAACCTCCTTCCCAACTTGTCCACGCCAAAGGGCGATGGCAAGTCGAGCGGCGGCGAGCTCTCCCACGCCATGAGCATCAAGACCAACGATCAGCTCATGGCCATCTACCTCAGCAGTTTGATCCGCGCCATCACTGCCTTCCACGACCTCATCGAGAACAAGATCCAGAATCGACAGCAGGCGGAGGAGAAGGAGGCGAAGAAGGACGAAGAGGCGAATGGCAAGGACGGAAAGAAGGACGATAAGGCGAACGGCATGAATGGCGAGGGCAAGGAGGCCTCTGACAAGGAGAAGGAGACGAAGAAAGAGAAGAAATAGACGACTGTGCGAACACGCAGTGGACGGAGAAACCACACGCATTCAAAACACGGGAACTGATACCCGCGATAGACATTGGGGCGTGGGCATGTCATAATATCTCGGCGTCCTGGGGGGCAAAGGCCGGGGGGGAAACAGGCAAATTCACAAGAAAAGAGTGTGCCTTGTACAATGATAGCATGTTTTGACTGATGCTCTGGCTCTGAGACACCCGTATTACCTTTCATCGAAGTGCTACAACTATCGAGTGACTACACATCCGCAACTAATCCCGCCATCTCCTCCCTACTCACTCTCCTCTCAGTGACATATTTCCCCAACGTATCTCCCCATTGCTCGGAGAGCAGACATGCGAGCAGGTGTTTGCAGCAAGGCACCCCGCCATCATCCACACCGTCTAAACTCAGCCCTCCGAACTGCCAGTCACTCAACTCACAAGCCGCGTTAATTACATCGTTGGCGTCGGAGTCGGAGTCGTCGGCTTCATCTATGCCCATGATGACCAGGTCCGATTCTGCTCCTCCTCCATGCCCTGCACCGGCACCACCGCTGCCGCTGCCGCCGCTGTCAACCGCCGGAAACGCTTCGTACGCAAAGTTGGCGCAGGAGCAGTTCCAGGCGTCGAGCTGGACAAGGTACGTCGTCGACGCCGAGGCCGAGGTCGCGACGGCGTGGTGTCTGCGGGTCATTGTTGAGGCTACGGAGCGGACAAGGTGGAATACGGCGGCGGCGGCGGCGGCTGGAGGTTGTTTTGCTGCTGCAGGTTGAAGGTGAGGGCGGGGTGGTGAGGACCCCTGTCCATCGGCGACCGCTTCGCGATTGGTGTCGGACGCGGTGGTGGTACTGGTATTGCTGGGTTGATGTTGGCGGGCGGGTGCGGGGTTGGTGGGGTTCCCTTCCCGGCTGCCGTGACCTTGGCCGTGGCCGGCGGACGCGGCGGTGGTGGTAGTGGAGGTTTCCGGGACCACGCGCGTGACGAGGTTCCGGTCTAAGAGGTCTAGGGCCGGGAGGACGAGGGAGGGAAACAGGACGTGGAGGGTTACCAAGAGCGGGCGGTGGGATTGCGGGAGGGTTTTGAGGGGGTTTGGTGCGTCGCCTGCGGTGATGCTGGCAACGTTGCTGTTGGTGCCGGCATTCGCTGGCGGTGGTAAGGGTGCCGAGGTGAGGGAGTTGATGAGGTTTGTAATGAGGATACGGGGCGTAGGCAAGATGTCTGATTGCGTTGATGCCGGTGAGAAGGACATGGCAAGCTTGTCCACCTGCCCTGCTTCTGAGCTATGAGTTATGTTTGGTTGCGTTGAGTGATTGGCTAGAGTGGTGGGGGATGAAAGTTGCTTGTTACTGATTGAGGTTTTGCGTGTGGTGCACCGTTGTATAGGCATCAGGCTCATCAGCTTCAACGCAGACACTCACCGGGCCTGGCTTCGATTTGTATGCCCTCGTGCTCAGTCTGCATTTCCCAACCTTATCACAAATGAGTTTATTCAAGTCACATTTCAACCCGAAGCTGGACTACCAAGTAGTGAGCACATCATTACTGCGCAAGCTGTATAGACGAAAGGTGGTGAACAGAAGGAAAAAGTCTCTTTTGAGTTTTGCCGCCTTACAGCTTTTGTCTAATAATCACATTATGTCCCGCCGCAAAATATGGCATAATCCTACAGCAAAGATCGCTCGCATCCGGTGCTCCGTATCCAGGTTTCCTCTTCCTGCCCCCTCCGTTTCCTCAACTCTTCCTCTAGACCCATTCCTTGGGTGCTCTGAGAACATCCACGAGGCGTTGCTCGCGGCTCTTGGGTTCGGGCTCGTGCATGTACTTCCAGCTGGCCGTCAGGGGCAAGCTCATGAGGATACTCTCGACTCTCGAGCCGGGGGTGTTGAGGCCAAAGGCTGTACCGCGGTCGTGAACCAGGTTGAACTCGACGTACTTGCCTCGGCGGATCTGCTGCCAGTCCTTCTCGGCCTCGTTGAAGGGCATATCCTTCCTCTTCTCGAGGACGGGAAGGTAGCCGGGCAGGAAAGACTTGAGGCAGTCCTGGATGAAAGCAAAGGTGTTCTCGCGGTCCTTTTCGGTTTCGTCGAGATCGTCAAAGAAGATGCCGCCGACGCCGCGGCACTCGCCGCGGTGCTTGTTGTAGAAGTACTCGTCGCACCACTTCTTGAAGCGCGGGTAGTAGCTCTTGTCGTGCGAGTCGCACGTCTCCTTGAGCGTCTTGTGGAAGTGTACAGCGTCCTCGTCAAAGAGGTACGACGGGGTCAGGTCGCTCCCGCCGCCGAACCACCAGGCCTGCGAGGTGCCGTCGGGGTTCGACGTCTCAAAGTAGCGGTAGTTGAGGTGGACCGTCGGGGCCATGGGGTTCTTGGGGTGCAGGACCATGCTGAGACCGGCGGCGAAGAAGGGGAGGGATTCGACGTTGTCGTCGAGGTTCTTGTGGTTCACGCGCATCTTGGCGATGGCGGGCTTGGGGAGGGTGCCGTAGACGACGGACACACCGACGCCGCCCTTTTCAAAGACGTTGCCGTCCTGGAGCACGCAGGTGATGCCGCCGCCGCCCTCTTTGCGGCTCCATTCGTCCTTGCGGAACTTGGTGCCGTCGACCTTTTCGAGCTCCTTGACGATGATCTGTTGCTGTTCCTTGATGAACTTTTCCATGCGCAAGCGCATGGGCGAGTCGACGGTAACTTCGGACTCCCGCTTGGTTAGGGCATCGCGCTCGGCCAGGGTCGGCGGATCGAGTTGAAAGGATTCTTGGACGGCCTGGATTGGACAGTGATGTTAGCGACGGACGAGCTTTGATGCATCAATGGGAAAGGCGGGAGCTCCGGCATTGGGAGGGTTGGGTTTTTCGTGGTGATAAAAGGGCATAAAGCTGCAGTACCATCTTGTAGGCGATGGGAGCTGCAGCAGCAAGACCAATTGCGCCAATGAGGAAGCGGCTATAAGCGGCGCCGGACTGTTGACCCTTGAACTGGGACTTTGGAGAGGATGAGACGAGTCTGCGAGCGAATTGAAGCTGTTGCTGCTTGGTGGTGATGGCGATTCTAGTGCGTGAACTGTTGAATTGTGCAAGCAACCTCTGTGTTTGCTTTGTAGAGGCCATGATGGGCAAATGGAATATAAATACAAACTCTATAATGGGAACGAATAACGAAGAAAAGAGTGACTTGGGTTGTTACAGGGAGGGAAAATCGGATGATTCGTTCTCAAGTGAGAAGCATAAGACCACTGGGTTGCAATCATGGACTGACTGGAACGTCGTTCGAGGATTGAGCCACTCAGGCCAGCTGTAAAAGTAAATTCCGAAATCGTTCCACGTTGGATAGGTGCGGGACCCCTGTCGCTCTGCGCCAACCTAACGGAGCAGCACTGCAACAGCACTGCATCCAGTGGCATCCACAGCCTGGACCGGGCTCTCTGCCGGCTTTGGGCCGCTGGAGAGGTGGGGTGAGGACCAGTGAGTCCGAGAATCGTGCATCTACCGCCGAACGCCGGACACGCTTCAACGGGCCTACGCGCGGTGAGGAATTCCCCCTGTATTGCTGCATGCTTATTTGTAGCTGTCATAGACCTAGGCAGCGATGATCTCCGTCCGCCCATCAGCTTGGCTTTCTGATCTTTTGGGCCAGTAAACGCAGAGCTCTTTGTTGCTCCTGTTAGCTCGCGTTCGCTCTTCTGTAGGCGGAAACGCATCTTTGGTTGCCCAGGATGGACTACCGAAATCCCCTTTTCCTCTCACAGAATCAATCAAAGTCTTGCAACAAGTCTCGCTGCTACAATTACCCCATGAAATATTCACATTTTCCCGTAGCTCTCGAGTCAGGTCTTCAAGTGCCTAGTACCTAGTTGGTAATGAGAAGCTGGACAAGGAAAAGAGCTTTCCATCACATCGGGATAGGTAGGCGCTTGCACTCGCTTCCAATAGCCACAGGGTCCCTGAGGTCGGTTATCGGAGGTCCAGAGTGGGGTCGCTTAAGTAAGATCGGCAGATAAGAGCACTTGGGCCGTGTGGGTTGAAGTCCAGTGACAGACTGACAGTGTTTCTGTCAACCTGGAAACTGAAGGGTCAACTGTTCCCGTGGCCGCTCAAAGTCCCATGGTGAGTGGGCTTTCGCAAACTGCTTCCCTCTCACCTCTTACTGGGGGCAAATGACGTCAAGACGAGGATAGGTAGCTTGATAAGGCATTGTTACAAACTCCTCCGTCCAAGACGCTCCGTAACAATGCATTTCAAGCGGCTTTGAAGACAACAAACAGCTTTGCATGCACAGACAAGGCCGGCTTGCGTGCACGTATCAGGAGGTTGCGACTACGGTGATCCCGTGAGAGCTTTCAGCGCTTTCAGTCCCGTCTGAAAAGGGACCCAGCCGCAGTTAGGCCCCTACTCTAGACCTAAGCAACTAAGGCAAGGTACTCATACTCCAATAGAATGGAACAGTGTGCCAGGACCTTCTCCTGTGACTCAAATCGGATCCAGAAGGCGTGACAGGCTGCCAGGCTGTGTCAAGTGGCTGCGTGAACGGTCAGCTGCCTGCCTTTGGTTTCTTTGCCCCTAGCACCCGGAGCACCTGCGCTGGTCTCATTGCGCCGCTGATTGCTGGGTTGCTGGGATGGCATCGGTGTCTTGCCCCGCTCCGATAATCCGATAAGGATAAGGACGGGAGGACCTGGAGTGAGGTGTGAAGGAGCTGATGCAATGAGGATGAGAATGAGGATGAGGAGGGGAAGGGGGGCGTGGGGTTGAGCACCTCTCTCACCGGCTTAGTCATTCCGTGACCACCAATGGAAGTCACTCACCAGCCATTACACAGCAGAAAGGTACCTTGCCTGGTCTTAGGTTCCTGCCTTTCTGGGTGCTTTGCTTTACCAACCAGCCGCCTGAGCCACCCAGACACTTCCACCTCAGTCAGTGACCGCCCATTCCCGTCCCCGTGTCTGACCCCAAGGCACCCCAAAGCAGGCGGCAACCGACCGTCCATCCTTCTTCTGCCTTTCGCAAACGGCCCCTCGTTACCTCAACTCTCCCTTCTACATACTCCGACGCTTCAGGCACCATCAGTCGACAAACATCGAGCCATCTATATCTTGACCGTCGCCCAACTCCCCACGACCAGCCCATCTGCAAACCCACAACCCACTTCACTTCACCCACCACATACCCGTCATCATGCGATCCAAGTTCAAGGACGAGCACCCCTTTGAGAAGCGTAAGGCTGAGGCCGAGCGCATCCGCCAGAAGTATTCTGACCGTATTCCCGTACGTCGTGACTCTCCTTTTCTTCGGCCTCATCTCGCCGTCATTCCTTTGTAGTTCCTGTACGCAGAAAGAGCTCCGCCGTTTCGCCGTGACTGCGTTCGTCAGCTTCGCGCGTTATTGTCGGGTGCCCCACGTTCCCCGACCGTCACCGCCGATCTGCCCATCTACCTCTACAAGTCCGAAAACTGACAAGGTCCTCACAACACAGGTTATCTGCGAGAAGGTCGAGAAGTCTGATATCGCTACTATTGATAAGAAGAAGTACCTCGTCCCCGCCGACCTGACGGTTGGTCAGTTCGTCTACGTCATCCGCAAGCGCATCAAGCTTTCCCCGGAGAAGGCCATCTTCATCTTCGTCGATGAGGTGCTGCCGCCTACCGCCGCTCTGATGAGCAGCATCTACGAGGAGCACAAGGACGAGGACGGGTATGTTTCTCGAGCTTTCGACCACCCTTAGTATGCTCTTTGTTGCTGACCTATTGTGTCCAGATTCCTTTACATCACCTACTCCGGCGAGAACACCTTTGGCGACTTTGAGATGGCGTAAGCTCCCGACGTTCTGACGGCCTAGTCACCTCACGGCTTCAGAATGTTCCCGGCGTTTCGGTCTGCTATGTAACGGTTCAGCACTTTTGGAATGGGTTTTCACACGGTTATCGGTCCCCCCCACGAAGTAGGGGTTTATGAAGATACGCAGTCACGTTATCGCTTGGAGTCACAGGATCAGGCGCGGCCCCTGACCTGGTCACAGAGAAACTCCTGCGATACTTGGGTACAATCCAAGAATTGAAGGCTAGCGGAGGACTATGCATGGAAATTGGCTTCACGGATACTAGGTGGAAACGTTTCCTTAGATCGCATATTCAGTCGCCTTCCATCACCTCTTACTTTCTCCCCCTATCTCTCACCTATAACTGTCGTGGGCTACGGTGACAATTCTTGGCATTCTGTATAGCACATCATTCATTAGCGCGCCGTGCCAATCCTTGACCTGATCGTTTCTCTCCAAATGTCCACCTATGTGAACAGACCGTTGCCATGGTGCTTCCCAAAGCCCTAGCATCGTGAGTGCCAGCGTGCCAGCATACAGTCCACGCGCCGAGGGAAAAGTGAAGCGATCCAAAACGTATTCTTGAGCTACGCCGTGTGAGAGAAGCCCCCTGAATGACGGTCAGAGAGCCGCGATCATGGTGCAATAATTCCATGCGGGACACACGAGCTCTCCGAGACCCCGACGAAAGTGATTTTTTCTGCTTTCTTCGGCTCGCCCCGGCTGAATTCATGCATAACAAATGTAAGGGGACGCACGTCACGTTGGAAACGCATTTTTGGAGGTGAGCTTGGATGCTCGGGCGAACAGATGGCACGTCTGAGGGTGAGATGACACGAAGGTCGACATCAGATTGTTGATGCATAGAGAGAGAGAGAGGAAAAGGCTAACGAGTGTGATCTGGTTTTAGGGGGCTGCGGTATTGTTGTCGCCCCTTTTTAATTTTCGGATATGCAGAAATTCGGACATGCAAAAATGAAGTTTGTTTTTTTATGAGATTTCAACCCATTCCTATCTATGAACTCCTAACTGATGATGATAACTTTGCGAGAAAACTCAAATTTGTCCCGCCCTCAAAGGGGTAGAGGGAACTTGATATTACACTTTTTAAAAAAAAAATCGAGAATAGATATGGAACCAAGTTTACGGAATAGAAAAAGAAATCAGCTCAGATGTTGTGTGCCATCCTTGTGTGTGTGTCCCTGCCTAGTGACCCAACATCTGCTGCATGGCGTTGAGGCGATAACTCTCGCTCTTCTCCATGAGCTCCTCGTGCCTGCCCTTGGCGGCGACGGCGCCGGCCTCGACGACGAAGATGACGTCGGCCTTGCGGACCGTGTGCAGCCTGTGAGCGATGGCGATGACGGTGATGCCGCGCGCCGCGCGCTCGAGGCCTTCTTGGAGCGCCTTTTCGCTCTCAGCGTCGAGGGCGGAGGTGCTCTCGTCCAGCAGGAGGAGGCGGGGCTTGCGAACCAGGGCGCGGGCGATGGCGACGCGCTGGCGCTGGCCGCCGGAGAGCTGGGAGCCGTTGGGGCCGCACTCTGTGTCGTAGCCTTGCGGGAGGCCGACAATGGTCTCGTGGATGTTGGCGAGGCGGCAGGCTTCTTCGATTTCTTCGTCTGTGGCGTCTTGACCGGGCCGGGCGCCGAGGCCGACGTTGAACTTGACGCTGCCGTCGAAGAGGGCGCTGTCTTGGGGCACGACGGCGATGTCGTCGCGGAAGTCGGTGCCGTCAAACTTGGAAATGTCCATGCCGTCGATCTCGATTGTGCCCGAGCTGGCGGTGTACATGCGCTGGACGATGGCCATGACGGTGGACTTGCCGGCGCCTGAGGGGCCGACGAGACCGCAGAATTGGCCGGGTTGGATGGTGAAGGACATGTTGTCGAGGATCTGGACCTCGGGGCGGGCAGGGTAGGAGAAGGAGACGTTCTTGAAGGAGACGGCGACACCACCGCGGCCGGGGGAGGGGCGCGGGTTGGGGTTGGCGAGGGCCTCGACGTCCTTTTCCTTTTCCTTGCCCTTGGAGGACTCGGAAGCGTCGTCGGCAGCCTTGCCTGTCGGGTCGGCGTCGGACTTGCTGAGGTCGAGGAGACTGAAGATCCTGGAGGCGGCCATGCGGGCGCGGGTGACCTCGGGGGCGAGGGTGAACATTTGGCCCCACAGCTGGGCACCGACGAGCATGGCGACGTTGATGATGAGGAACTGCGTCTGCGTGGCGTTGCCGGCGACGATCTGCTTGGAACCCCACCAGTAGGCGAAGGCGTAGATGATGTTACCGGTGACGTTGGCGACGGCGAGCCAAATGTTGGCGAACGTGACGGCCGAGATGATTTCCTTCTTGGGGTCCTTGAGGGCGCGCTTGTACTGGCCAAAGACCTCGTGTTCCAGGGAGAGGGTGGCGACGGTCTTGATGGAGTTGACGGACTCGACGGTGATGCCGACGGCGGTGGCGTACGCGCCGGCGTGCTTCTCCTCGAAGCGCGAGAGGACGCGGATCTGCATGATACCGGAGCCGAGGAGCATGGGCACGATGACCAGGCAGACGATGGCGATTCTCCAGTTCAGAATGTGAGAGTAGATGATGGCGACGAAGAGGTTGACGACGACGGCGAAGATGGTTCCCATGATGGAACCGCTAAAGCCACCGATAGACGCCGCATCCTTGGTGATGAGGGACAGAAGCGTCGAAGGGTTGCGAGCTCCGGACTGGTGCCACTCGAGCTCCTGCTGGAAGAGGGCACGGAACGAACCGACGCGGATCTTGTACAGGAGCTTCTCGGCAATGTAACCAAAGGCGGACCAACTGCATAAGTTGGCGACGAGTTCGACGCAGGCGAGCATGAAGAACAGGCCGGCGAAGAAGGCACCTCTGCTCTGGATGTAGCTGGGCTCGTTGCAGGGGCTGGCGACGCCAATGGCAAAACCGAAAATGGTACCAGATGCGCTGAAAGTGCAACCGACGATGAAGGCAGACACCATAGCGAGGAGGAGGTAGAGAATGTTAGGGCGGACCATGACGCCAGCCTTCTTGGCGATCCACCAGGTAGATCTGTCGTTGTCGAGACCGCTGTTCTCGGTTTCCAGGGCGGCGTTCTTCTTCTTTTTCTTGAGTTCCTTGGCCTCTTTCTTGAGTTGCTTCTTGGTCTTCTCGGTGACGACGGCCTGCGGGCCTGCCTCCGTTTCGATGGCCCGGGCAAGATCCTTGGGGTCGACGCCAGGGGTCTCGGCATCCACGGAGGCCGCAGACGACTCGACGGCGGTGCTTGCGCGAGAGGGAGCGTTCTCCTCCTCGGAGCCATTGATGTTTTGCAGGTTGACCAAGTTAGCGTAGGCGCCGTTGCGAGCGATGAGATCAGCGTGGGTTCCTTGTTCCATGATGTCACCAGCGCTCATGACAATGATGTTGTCGGCGTTCTTGATGGTGGAGAGACGGTGAGCAATGGAGATGAGAGTTCTGCCCTTAGAGACCTTCTCAACAGCCTTTTGGATGCGAGCTTCACTGGCAGAGTCCAGGGCAGCGGTGGCCTCGTCGAGAATCAGAATCTTGGGATCACGAATGAGAGCACGGGCGAGAGCCACACGCTGTCTCTGACCACCACTGACGAGCTTACCGCCGCTGCCGACGGAGGTTCCGAATCCATGCTTGAGGCGATCGATGAAGGAGGTGGCGTCAGCCAGGTCGGTCGCGTTCTGGACGAGCTTGACAATCTCGACAACTTCGGGTCCGTACTTCTGGGCGGCTGTGTTAAGGTCGGCGCCGGCCATGAGATCCTCGGCCAGCTGGGCGAGCTGGGGTCCGTAGAGAGTCTCCTTGAGTCTCTGGTGCTCCTCCTTGGGCGAGTTGACGAGACCGAGAGCAATGTTTTCGATGACGGAGCGGTCGAGGAGAGAAGGTTCCTGCTGGACGAGACTGATGTAGCTTCGGACGTTTCTGACGTTGAGGTTGCGGATATCCTGGCCGTCGATGAGGACTTGGCCTTGCTTGGGGTCGTAGATTCTCGTGGCAAGGCCGGCAATAGTCGACTTTCCGCTGCCGGAAAGACCAACGATGGCAGTGTACTTTCCACCGGGGCAGACGAGAGAGATTTCCTTGAGCACATCCGTGTCGGGGCGCGAGGGGTAGGAAAAGGTGACTCCACGGAGTTCAACCTCGCCGTGGACATTGGTGGGCAGTCTATCACCATCCTCGGTGACGGAGTCAATAGTCGAGTGCTTGTCAATGTCCTCCCGGAGCTTGACGAAGGCAGCGGCTGCTGAGCCGAAAAGGGGTAGAAGAGGAGCGATGGTGCCGAGCATGATACAGGCTAGTCGTGGTCAGCAAAGATATCCAAGGATTGTAGAAGAAAGAGTACGTACCATCAACGATGAGGAACACAACGGTGTAAATGTCACCCACTGAAGTGCCGTCGCCGGTTCCAGCGACTGACTTTGAGATGGCCTTGCTACCTTGCCAGTATGCGAGGGCGTTCGCAGCGTAGGCGATGAAGTACAACAGTCCGGCGTTGGAGGCAGCAGCAATAGCCTTCTTGATACCCTCCTTCTGAGCAACCAAGACGTGTCCTGCGAACTTGTTCTCCAGGCGAGGTCCGGCGCCAAACGCCTGAACGACGGCTACGTGAGAAAGCGCCTCTGAAGCGATGGACGAGGCCTTGGCCATGCCCTCTGACATGGCTCCGCTCCATTTCTGGATGTAGCTTCCGCAAATCATGGATGCGAGCAAGTAGGCGGGAATGAGCGAAACCAGCATGCCAGCAAGGGGTGCGTATTTGATGAAGCCGATAACGTAGGCCGTGACGAAGAAGGAGATTGTGCCGATGAAGTGACTGACTTTCTCGGACGTTCCGGACTGAATGGTTTGGATATCGGAGTTGAGGCGTGACGAGACTTCACCGGCCTGTCTGCTCTCGAAGAAGCCGACATCCTGTCTCAGCAAGCTCTGGAAGTACTTTTCGCGGAGGCGCGAGGCGAGTCTCTGGCTGACGATTCCCCAGCAGGTGGTGTGCGTGTAGATGAGGCAGAAGGCGACACAGGTGATCCAGACGAGCTTGACGACTTTGTCGTTGACGGCGTCTTGGTAGGCGGCCGGGTCTCCAATGCCGTTGGCGCAGGTCGCGCCGTTCATGTCGTCAATCAGCTGTCCGAAGAGAATACCCATCAGCGGGAACGGGACACCTGAGCCGACGGCGGCAATGGTGCCCACGCAGACCAGCGTGTAATCGAGCCATGTTGGGTTGGCATAGAAAAGCAGCTTGAAGAAGCTAAAGACAGTCTCAAAGCGCTGGTAGATTGTCAGTTACCTTTCGCAGACATAGCCGAGGAAGAGAAGGGCCAAGAAGAAATTCCTGAAGGAAGGATCAGGTCAGCCCAGCCCAGAAATGCAACTCACCTTTGCCTTTGGCTTCGCGACTTCAGTAGTCTCTGTTGGTGTTGTCTGTACTTGTTGTTGCTCTGGTGATGTCGAGACACCAGTATCAGCCTTCTCGGCCGCAGCCGATCGTGAGTCTTGGTCAGGCATGGTGATCCGACCTTGAACTGACGAACAGGTATCAGGGAGAGTTTGACCGCTTTTCGCAACTGAAGCAGATGGTTAAGAAAGGAGCTTCATCGCCAGCCCCCATAACACAGAGACTTGGCGTGCAGCTTGGTGGCAAGGAATAGCTCAGCGAAGCGTCGAGCGAGGTCCAGGGCAACCTTGCCGTTCTTGCACCATGCCAGAAGCAGAAGTGGAGGGGATTTATTTTTTCTGTGTTCATTGGCATCCGCACCATTAGCGGGTAATTAGGGGAGTCATTCCCAAGGCCAGCCAACGGTAGCGAGCAGTTGCTTGGCTTCGCAGGCTTTGATGACAGCACATTTCACAGAAGCGACTCGAGTGCTCCGCTGGGGGCATTGTGACTTGCCGCTCCGGTCCCCCGTGCACCCCCAGAGGCTGGCCAACTTGCAAGCAATTCAGCAAGGACTTCAAGTTCAGGGAGGGTATCCATAGGTGAGGTGGGTGGTAATGCAAAGTACCCTGCCGTGGAGTAGCCGAGTTAGGGAGCTGAAAGGGCCACGAGGGGGGCATGCCGTAACGAGGGAGGGGACGGCGACCGGCGCTCAAGGCCGACTGTGACCCCCCCTGCGGTCTGGTATACTGGTATTGCACTGCTTTCTTGCGACATTCCATGGTCCCCGTCCTCGAGGCTCGGGGTTCGTTAAGCGGCGAAAGACCACCTCAGTGACCAAAGCACCCACGGTAGACGATAGACGCTACTGCGGGACTGGACGGTTGTAGCGGGATGTGCAATGTGCTATGGCACGTGAAGGGTACCGGCAGCATCCCTGGGGTGGAGGTGTGCAATGTTTGTGGGCGAGGCCGCATGTACAGATGTACATTGGAGCATTCGCGATAGCATCTGATAGCGATTCGGGAGGGTCAAAGGGGGTGGTAGAATCAGAAAACCAGAGGGGAAAAAGAGCGAATGGATGTGGGGCCGAAGACCGGACTGTGGGTTCGGATCAGATAATATGTCTTGGCGGAGACGGCCCATCCCTTCCGGATTAGGTAAGGCTGGGCACGCCGACCCGAACGGGTACGAGGGTACGGGAGTAGTGTACGGAGCAAGGTACATCGGTACGGACATGCATGTTTCTTTCCATTCTTTGCTCCATGTTCCCTGCTCTACTTTTGTATGTAAGTATACTTTTTTTTTTTTTTTTTTTTTTTTTTTGCGGATCTGCACGAACAAGTTGTCCATTCGGAAAGCTTTACCTCCAAATTTCTTGATCCTTCCCTTCCCATTTCGCGAATGAAAAATTTCAAGAGAAGCCATGGCGACAGCCCCGGCCATGGCTCCTGCCCGGGGAAAATGGCGCATCTCTCTCTGTCTAGCGCTGGGCCCCCGTCGCCGCCAATTAACACCCACACACACCATTTCCAATTGAGGGTACATTCCACCACCACACCACACACCCACTCAATCCACTTCATCTCGAATTTGTAAAAGAAGGCGTCATTGGGTACACCTCTCGTCGCTGGTCGCTGGTGTGTTACAGTGAGGAGCAAGGCTAATTGCGCGAATCCAGTGTTTCGCTTTGTCTGCTGCAGTAAGAACCTTTGGCGGCATTAGCTTCAACGGCCGATCCATCCAGCAACAACACTGTCCGGCCATACATCATTACTACCAAGGTACTCGGTAGAAGCAAGCAACGGAAAGCAAAGGAACCCGAGATGGGAAGAAGGAGAGAATTACAGTTTTTTTTTTCTCCATCCTTGAATTCCGAACATTGCTGCTGCCCACTGAAAACGAGGCGCAGTCTCAGGTCCAACGCGTACGGAGTACCCGTACCTTGGTGCTTGGTTTTCTTCTTTCTGTTGGTCTTCTCTAGCCTTGTCATCTTAGGTTGCCAATGCTTGTGTTTGTTAGGTAATGCTGATTAGATCCCAGCCCAGCCAGTCCGCTTCAGACCCGGCGCTGGGAGTGGCTTGCATGTCTCTGAACGGATCTGATAACTTTAACTCCTCCACCATCTGATAATTATCGGACCCCTCCAAAAAAAAAAAAAAAAAAAAAAAAAAGATTCCCAAAACCGTTCTACGAAGACATCCCCGAACAACCGATCCGAGCAAAAACAGCCCCCTTGAATTTCAACAGCCGCCAGGTTTACGACGACGGCAATTTCAAGATCCGCGCAACTTTGCCCATTTTATTCCTCCTCCTCCAAGAAAGTCACAATGTAGCACTCCAATACATACATACAATAGGGGAATGCCCTTTTACAAATTCTCCCAAACTCCCCGGTGCCCAACAAACCCACCCAGCCATGCCGTCATCTCCGCTGTCGCTTTCCCTCCCCCCTCCTTACTGACAGTGACGCCGCTGGTGCGAGTGTCACTCTCAGTCCCGTCGGCCCCTTGACCTCGTCTTCCCTCTCTCCTTTTTCTCCCCCCTTCCTTGCGATCGCCGCCATGGCCAAGCGGATCCTTCGCCCAGCACTCTCGGCTGCAAGGCGTCTCATTCTCCGAGCCAGCCCTCGGCTCGACCTGCCCCTTTCCTCGTGTTCGTGGTCGCTCTCCTCCTCCTCCTCCTCCTCCTCCTTGGTTCTGGCCCAGCCTTGGAGGAGGGGTGAATCTGGCACTGGGTCCTCCTTGTTGGGAAAAGGACTCGTCGTCGTCGTCGGTGGTGGTGGGATCCAACAACGGGCAACTTTAGCCAGTCTCAGCAGCGTCACCCGCAGACCAGCACCAGCACGCCAGCAACAGCTCCGGTCCGATGCAGGCCCTCCGCTCGGCTTCCGGCGGACGCTATCTTTATGTCTGCTCTTGTCCATGCGAATGTTCTCGTCCGCAACTGCTACTGCATCTGCATCTTCACTCCCTTCCCTCGCCTCTACTTGCCTCCCTCTTCATCAAGCCTCGCCGCTAGAGTCCTGTAACTCCAACCGGTCTTATTCTTCCTCTTCCTCCTCCTCCTCTGCATCGTTCCCTCCTCCAGACGTAGTAGTAGATTCCCGTTCAAGTAACGACTCCTTTACGTTTCCGACCACAGCAGACAAGATGGGCTCTCTTCCTGGTGCTATCCCTCCCTTCAAGGTCTTCGTCATCGGAGGTCTCTCCTACGCCGGTGTCTCTACCACCTTGAACCTGCTTGACCTGAGCAGCGGCAAGTCGCCTCGTCTCGCTCACGTTCCCTACGAGCACCACCCAGACTTCAAGAACGTGCCCGTCGAGATCACCCTCGTCGACGAGCGTGATGGCTTCTGTAAGATAGATCCTGAAGCTTTTCAGACTGTGATCACAACAACCCCCACTAACAAATCAACAATAGTCCACCTGATCGGCTCCCCCCTCGCCTTCGCCGACTCCAACTACGCAGCAAAGTCCTGGGTCAAGTTCGAGGACATCGCCTCCCTCCAGCGCCCCAACGTCCGCTTCGTCCAAGGTTCCGTCTCCAAGGTCGACCCGGCCACCAAGACGGCCACCGTCCTCGACCACGCCACCAAGCAGCCCCAAGACTTTTCCTACGACTTCCTCGTCGCCGCCTCGGGCCTCCGCCGCGTCTTCCCCGTCGTGCCCCAGTCCCTCACCCGCAAGCAGTACCTCCTCGAGGCCGAGGAGCAGATCCAGGCCGTCCGCAACGCCCCCGACGGCGTCGTCGTCGTCGGTGGCGGCGCCGTGGGCATCGAGATGGCGGCCGAGCTCAAGCTCGTCGAGCCCGACTCCAAGGTCACGCTTGTCCACTCCCGCGACAAGCTCCTCTCCTCCGAGGGCCTGTCGGACGAGTGCAAGGACAAGGCCCTCGAGCTCACAAAGGAAGCCGGCGTCAACGTCCTCCTGAACCACCGCGTCAAGGAGACGCGCAAGCTCGAACCGTTGGCAAACGGCCGCGCCCGCCACGAGATCGAGTTCACAAACGGCGACAAGCTCGTCGCGTCCGAGGTCGTCATGGCCATCTCCCGCAGCGTGCCCTCGACAGACTACTTCCCCGCCGCCGCAAAGGACGATGAGGGGTACGTCAAGATCCACGCCAACATGGTGCTCAAGGGCGACGTCCCCAACGCGGAAGACCACATCGCCGTGGGCGATATCTGCTTGTGGCCCGGCATCAAGCGGTGCGGCACGGCGATGCACATGGGTCACTACGCCGCCATCAACGCCCACCAGCTCATGCTGGCCAAGCTCACGTCGCAGGCGCACAAGCCCACGTTCTCGGAGCTCGGCCCCGTCGAGCCCATGATCGGTTTGGCGATTGGCAAGAAGGCCGTCGCCAGCGGGCCCGTTGTGGGGACTACGTGGGGTGAGGATGTCATGCACGCGTACTTTAGAGACGACCTCGGCTTTACCAGTGAGTTACTTTCTTCTTTTCTTTTTGGGTGTCTTCTTTGGTTGTGTCTTTTGCATCCCACCGACACCGACCGGCCTTCCCTGTCTACTCTTCTCTCTTCCGTGTTCCTCTGCTCCTCTCTTCCACACGCCCCCCCTCCCCCCTCCGACCCCATCGTCAGTAAGAGATTAATTGCTAACCGCTGCGTGCGCGTCTTTACCATAGTCTGCTGGAACCACCTTGGTCTCGGAAAGGCCCCCGACTCTTGACTCTTGAGTTCTTTATGAGCAAAAAAATAAAAAAATAAAAGAACAAACAAAACGGATTATTTAAGGGTTTCTTGGGTTTCAATGGTGTTCTTGGGAGTAAAATGATGACGACCAAGACGACGACGCAATAAAGGTCCGTCTTTTGGGTAGTTTAGACTAAATTGGCTAGACTTTTTTTTTAAATGCAAATGATGTTTCTCATGAGTATCTTGAGCATTGTGTTCTTTTCCTGTGTAGCTGTCAAGACTCAGCACTACCCAGCGAGGATTAAATGTCACCGAGGTTAAATCAGATCAGATAAGATTGAAAAAAAAAAAGAAAAAAGACACCAAATTCTGCATCAACAATGACACCTTCCTAACTTCATCTGCATGCCTTCTATGTACATTAATCCACGCCCACATACCGTAACACTTTTTAGATCAACAAACTAATCCACACACACACACACACACCCCAGTCACCCATCATCTCATAATCTCAGTCTAACTAATCCGTACCACAGTCGCTTTCTCCTACAACTTGGGCACAAGCTGAATCCTCATCCCGCCCACAACCTTTTCATTATCCCCCAACGGACAAAGCTGGAAGAAGCGCTCGCGCGAGCACCGCACAAAGGCACTCCGCTTATGCGGCAGATCCACAAACTTATCCAGCCCGAACCCGTGCATGAAGTCGTACATGAGCACCGTGTCGTTGGTCTTCTTGGGCTCGCCCACGACCCACGAGGTCCGCGGGTCGTCGAGGAAGAGGAAGTGCATCAGCGAGGACCACCACGCCGTCACGCGGTGGGGTCCGCGGAAGCGCACGTCGCCGACCAGCGAGTGCCGGCCGCGGTCCCAGTCTTGGGCGTCGTAGTAGCCGCCTAGCTTGTCCTCCTGTGGATGGTTTGTTAGTGATTTGTTTGTTTGTAGGTAGGATGGAAGAGAGAGTGAGAGTGAGAGTGAGAGTGAGAGTGAAAGAGAGACAAACGCACCTTGGCCCAGTAGACCTCAAAGTAAGCAAAGAAAGTGTCCTCCCACGCGGCAAGAATGGCAAACTGGTGCGGGTCCTCGTCAATCTTGCGCAGGTACTCGCGGTGCTGGTCGAGCGTGCCCGTCTCGTTCCACCCCTGCGACACGCGCGGATCATTCTGCCACTCGTGGAACAGACGCAGGTGCTCCGCGTTGCGGTAGTCGAGCGCCACCATGCTGAACGTCTCCTTGAGATGCGGGATCCAGCGGCTGTACACCGTGGCCCCCGGCGCAGGCTTGGCCGGCCGGATCGGGTGCCACGCCTGCTGGTAGAGGTTCGGGTTCGACGGGTCCGAGGCCGAGACGGCCGTCATGGTGTGCTGGAGGGGGGTCAAGGGGTACGAGGAGAGAGGGTTATCGAGGGCCGCGGGGGATTCCTGCGGGAGCCAGACGGGACGGGGACCGAACGGCGACCCGGCGCCCTGCCAGAAGGCGGAGCGGAGGAGGACGACGGTGGACTGCTCCGCGGACGCGGCGGGCTTCTGGGCGTCTGTCTGGGTAGGATGCTCGATGGCGAGGAGGACATCGCGGAGCTGCTGGCCGAGGACGTCGGCGCCGGCGCCGCGGAGCTCGAGGCGGACGAGCTCTTCCGCGGGGCGGAGGACGAAGATGACGTAGACGAGGAGCCAGGCCTGGGCGAGCGTGGGCTTGGTCTTGCCGTCCCACGAGAAGACGGCGCTCGGGGAGCGGCGGGCGCGGGCCCAGGCGCTGTTGTTGGAGTCGGCCGGGAGCTCGCTCGACTTGAGGTCCGCGGGCTCGGAGAAGTAGAGGTTCTCGCTGTGAAGACGCTCGGGGAGGGGAGTCGTCTGCCTGGTCTTGTCCTGGGCGGCGGCGAGGGGCGCGAGGCGGTAAAAGTGAAGACCGCCCTCTGACGTCTTGCCGGCATAGGTGTCGTGGTTGAAGGCGCGCTGGACGGCGTACTCGGCGTGGTACGGGTGAGGGAGCTTGATGAGGCTCTCGCTGGAGGAGACAGCGGACAGAGAGATTGGTGCCGACATGATTGCGGTTGATGTGTGATGTCTGTTCCCAAACTGATTGATTACAGTGGAAAACGAATTGGGAATAGGAACAAGGCTTTCCGAGGAGGGTATCAAAAACGTGAAAGGGGTTCCTCAATGCTTGACTCCAGGATTCTGTATACAGACAGACGGGAAAGCAAAAGTTCACGGAGAAAGTTGCCAAAGATTGAGCTTCGAGTTCGGAGCTTCGCGGGCATTCATGTCACCACCGCCTACTCCTTTGGAAGAGACATACCGAGTTAACGCCATTGGATCCCTGGTCTCCAAGAGTCCAATGCCCACAACCCTGGTCCATTAGCAAACGGAAGCCCACCGCTGAGTTGTCTGCGTATCTGCCATGCCACGCCATGCCTTGCCATGGCTCAATTTTTTTTTTCTTCAATGGGCTGCAGGGCGCGCGACGCAAGAGAGCTTCAAGCGAGGAAGCAAAGCGACTGGTAGCTCCAGCCTCCAGGATCGGCCCATGACATCGTCTCCAGCACACCATCCATCACAAGTTCTGGGACACGGGGTGGTGGTCAGAGTGAAGTTCAACGGCGGGGTACACTTGTACCTTGACTCCACGGTAGCTCTGGGGCGTGTGTTTATATGCGAAGGAAAAGGTACAAAAGAGTACAAGAAAGATCAAGGTACGCGGACATGGTCGAAGTTGCGGGGGGGTCCTCATTCTTCACCCCTCCATCACTAAGGTAGTGGTCCACGGCGAAACGCCGAGACCTCGGGCCAGAAGGGTTCCCAGGGTAGGCGACGAAATGCTCCGAAGAAAAGTTGAGTTCAACAGCCTGTGCCACCTTCAGAATAGATCTGATAAACAAGATGGCGTTCTGGGTTGATCGAGACGGGGCCCGTGGCGGTAGTCCCCTCGTACACAGTAGACTTGTAGTTGATGTGTTGCCGTCAATTGCGTGCGTGGCGCATAGGTACCGGCGTTTCCCCCCACCCCCCCTTCTTTTTTCTTCCTCCAGGGAAGGTGGCTGCACCGACCTGGTCTTAGCGGATCTGATAACTTTATTAGAACCAAGTTCGGCCATAGCTCCGGCCTCGGAGCTTCGTGGACCCACTCAAAGCCGACCGGTGGCCGCCGCAAGCTGGATGATGGATCTGATAAGATCAAGGCAAATTTTTTTTTCTCTCAAGGGCGGGGCAGCGGGATTAGACATACTGATACGCTAAGGCTGGTTTCGATACTTGCAGCATGGTCCACTGCTTCAACATCCCGAACCTACCCGTTGATCCCATCATCTCATCATCGAAGAGGGTGTGTGTATAGAAATAGGTAGCTCGCGTGGGGTCGGATTCGGTCCAAGTGGCCTGTTTGGGCAGATCCTTGGGGGAAAAAGCGCACCTCATCAGATCAGGGTACGTGACTCTCTTCGTCTCCACTACGTCCCATCCCCTGCCACGCCTGCTTACGCAATAGGAATCGGGACACCTTCAGCTTACTTGCAAGCTCTGAGAATTCACCTGTGTGCTTCGATGCTTCTGCTTCCGTCGGATCTTGAGCCGTTCCTCGATCGGAGTCTCCCCCGCCTGCCAAGTCACATCTGCCGCCCGTCAACCGCGCCGTTTCGTCATTGAGGCAACCTGCGCCGCCGGCTCTAGGCTTGCTTGAAAAGTTCGTGATGTTCTCGAGAAGTTCAGACGGCCATGGGGTTCATGAACCCGCCAGCGCAGTAAGGGGTTGCTCCGACCGGTTGTGTACCCACTGGCAAATGCACCTGTTGTCCACAAGAAGCTCCACGCCCATAATCCACTCTAGAGCAGCTCGACTCCACAGAGATTGATAACTTGGCCAGCCGCCACGCGATTCAGAATGTGGCATCGTACTCGTTTCTCGGCCAAGGCGCTTTCGTGACGGGGTTCAAGTGGGCTAGTTAATAGCGTCGTTGATCTCAAAGCGTCGAAAGGTATCTTTTGCAAGTAGCAGATCGACCAAAGCCGGTTCGTCTTCCTGCACGTCGATGGCTGAGACTTTCTGCAGCTCTTGCACTGGACTTGCAACAAGTGCCCTGCGGCAATGGACGCTGCGGACCGATGTACGCCACCCAGATCACCGTTAACACCGACTGTCATGATTCGCCAACGCCCGCGAGAGTCCCATGGTTTTGTCATTGACTGCTGAATGTTCCACATCGAATGGCATTCATCCGAGAAGTCTTCTCTCGGGTCTTCGGGACATGCCATTGGATCCTATGTCCACACAGTGCTGTAGAGAATGTCGTATTGCACTCTGTCGGGTCGATGTATCACGTCGTCTCGTTCGTCTGATATCCTCATGGCCCTCCTCAGTGGTTTCAATTGGGGACGCATCTGACTCTGGGGCCTTTCCGAGCTGATGGAAACTTGCGCATCCCTTTCAAGGTTAAAGGCGTCCTCGGGATCCGGATACCGGAGTCCGGCCGGATAGTCGCGCCGAGACGATCCCCAATGATCAGGTCTGTGGGCATGTGTTCGGTTGTAAGTGCAACTCCATAGGCTCTCGGCGGGTGTCCAAGATGATGGAAAATTTTGGGCCCTTTTCACGGAGATGAAGAGAGGAGGCCAAGGACTCGAACAGGTGGCTCATGACGAGATTCTATTGGAATGGAAAGCACGAAACGTACAAACAGGAACCTGTAGCAAGTACCCCAATTTTGGTAGTACACTAATGGAGCATATGCCTTGTCTTGCCTTGCCTTACTTTACACTGTTCATCGGCGTTATGAGCAGGAACGTCGTTTGAGGTAGTGGGCAATGTAAGAGAAGGTAGGCGCAAACTGTCTCAAACTTAGTAGTTGGTGAGTCCTTCTGTCTTCTTGGGGTGACATTGTTGTTGAGGGAAGGAGCTTACGTTGGCGGTTCCGGCGAGGATAGTTCTCTTCCATGATAAATTGTACACCATCCGGCGGCCATGCTGTTTTCCTCCCTCCCCTTTTTGAGTGAATACAGCCATTTGCTATATTGCTAAAGTGCTCGCCTCCACGGTATCAGCGCATCTACCTGACCGTACCTCTGCACATTGTCTAAGGTAGCCAGCCTCTGTCCACAATTGTTTCAAATCTCACCATAGTCATTCCCCCCACGAGCTTCTGGTAGATACTGGGACATGCGCCAATTTCTCTCAAAAAAGTCTCATCCCTTCCTTCATTCGGAATCGCACGTTGAGCACCCCATCTATTTAGGCGTCAAGCAGGCGAAAGAAAATAGGGGTTAAATGCTGTTGGCGATGGGACGTTCTTGATGATATGGACCGAAAACAATGGTCAGGCGCATTTGAAAATCGTTACTTGACATCACTTCTTGGTAATCTTGATGCGTATCCATTTCTCCTATCTACTTTCCTCCATCGAAATCTGCAAGGTGATTGAACCCAACCGCCCGTTCAACGCTCCATAACAACCCAAACAGCATCCAAAGTCTCAACCACACCACCACCACCCTTCACCTCATCAACCGCATCCCTCACCCCCCTCATAAACCTCAACAACTCTTCCTCGTCCTCCTTCCGCAATCCCTCGTTGACAACCTCCCCAGCCCAAGAACCATCAACCACAGCCCCAACCTCCCAGCGCCCATCCAACAACCCAGGCGTATCAACAACCCCTCTCTCTCGCACCTTCCACCCAGCCCTCTCAGCCAGCGCCACAATCGCCTCGGGGGCAAGCGCACCGCGAACGTTGCCCTGGTCCAGAGTAAACCCCTTCTCCGCTCCCGCTCGTAACTCATAGAACCGCTTTTGTGCCGCAACGGCGAGTTCGTGGGGTTTCTGGGCTGGGGTACGGGCTTGGAGTGCGTATTCTGCGAAACAGAGCTTGGAGATGGGGGATGCATGGAGGGATTTGAAGAGGGTGGAGATGGCCTCGCTAGAGGGAAAATACCATAGCGAATGGCAGAGTGTCGCGGCGTCAAACACTTCGGAGGGGTGGGATGCGAGGTAGGTCGGCGCGTCGGACTGGTGGAAGGTTATAGATGCGCCGTAGGGGGAGGAGGAGATGTGGGATTGGGATTGGGCGAGGGTGTAGGGGCTGCCGTAGTCGCCGGGGGCTGGGTCTAGGGCCGTGATGTGGCCTGCCGGGGCGGAACCCGGTGCGGAGCCCGGACCCGGACCGGCGGTGGTGTTGGTGTCACCATCGGTGGAGAGTGGGGCTACTGCGTGGGAGAGGACGAGGGCGGAGTCGCCTTGTCCGCAGCCGATGTCGAGGACGCGGGTGCCGGGGGTGATGGACCAGAGGGAGGCGAGGCGGAGGCGGTGGGTTAATTGGGGGAGGAGGACTTTGTGTAAGTGGGATGGGTCGTGGGGGTAGGATTTTGCGAGGGAGAGTAGGAGAGCAGAAGGGGATTGAGAGCTTGGTTCGGTGTTGGATTGAGACATTGCGGGATGTGATGGTTTTGTCTTGTTCCTGTTGGATGTAGTAGCTCGTGAATGTGGCTCGGTTGCAATCTCGGACGAGAATCTGATGGACGCTTGGGAAGTTGAGGACTACTGCGGTGGTGATTTGGTCGTGATTCTAATTGGAGTTGGAGTTTTGTCACTTATATTCAGCATTCAGATCCATGCTTTGCGCATACCTACCATACACGTCGAAATAGTCTAAGCAACCCACTGAAATCACTAATTTGGACCGATTGAGTCTTACAATCATACCCAGATGAATAATCTACAGTGTTATGAAAAATACCGACCTTCCTAAATGAGACCAAAAAAGCTTGGAAAACAAAGTCATAGATGACTGCAGTCGAATTTGGCCTCAATCTTAGACCCTAAAATTTTTGGCCTCACCAAAGTGGATTCCGCCAAGCCTTGATTGGGTAAGCATGGTCCTAGTAAGTCGATCTCGAAAAAGGCAGCCGAATGTGACAGAAGGATGGCATGGAAAACAATTTAGCCTTTGAGAATACAGATAGCGGAAAAAACAGAGTTCCAGAATGACTTGCACAAGCGCATCCACCTGGGAGCATGAAGGGGAGAAAAGAAAGTCAATTCAACGACACGTTCAGTAATCCTGTAGGGTTGTCGCAACTGTCTAGTGAGAATCTAAGCCAAAAGCCAAACCATCGCCTGACATAAGATGATAACAATGAAAATGGTAAACAAGACAACTTTTGTGTGGTATCACTCATTGAACACACTCCACGCCGCCCTCGGCAAGGCATCCTACCCATGAGGACCACAATCTCACAACTTGGCAGAGACGGTTCTGCTCTTCTTGAGAATCTCGTCGCCCACCTTGGCAATCTCAAACTTGCGCACCTTGCCGCTGCCCGTGAGGGGCACATTGGCCGGCACGCCGTCCTCGCCGAGCCAGAAGACGTGCGCGGGGCTCTTGTGGCCGCCGAGGCGCTGGCGGACCCAGTCCTTGAGCTCCTGGAACGAGGGCTTGCTCGCGTTATCGGCGCGCTGCACAAATGCGGCAACGACTTCGCCGTAGTGCTCGTCCTTGAGGCCGACGACGATGGCCTGGGAGATGGACGGGTGGGCCATGAGGCGCTCCTCAATCTCGAGCGGGTAGATGTTCTCGCCACCTGGGGGAAGAGACGTGTTAGTACCTGGTGCAGTAGTCGAGCGATGGACGTTCATGACTTACCTCGGATGATAATGTCCTTGAAGCGGCCGGTAATTGAGCAGTATCCGGCGTCGTCAAAGACGGCCTCATCACCAGTGTGCAGCCACAAGACACCGGCAGAGTCACAGACCATGACCTCGTTAGTCTTCTCCGAGTTGTTCCAGTAGCCAGCCTGCAGCTGGTACCCGGCCATGCAAAGCTCTCCGCGCTGACCCATCGGCACAACGTTGCCGTCTCTGTCGACAATCTTGGCCGAGGCATGGGGCATGAGCGTACCGACGGTGGTCAATCTCTTGCCCAAGGCATCATCGGTGAAGGCGTTGAAGCAGGTAGGCGAGGCCTCAGTCAGACCGTAACTGCTGGTGAACTCTCTCATACCGAGACGGTTGACCATCAGCTCCATCAGGTATCTGGGGACAGGGGCGCCAGCCACAATGCCGGTGCGGATCTTTGATGACTTGAAGTCATCGGGTGCCGCCTGGAACAGGGAGTCGAACATGGCAGGCACGCCGTGGAGCGCTGTGCAGTCCTCCTCGAGGATGGCCTTGAGCGTCGCCTTGGTGTCGAAAACTTCCGCAGGGTAGACAATCTTTGCGCCGTGTGTGATGACAGACAGGAGACCGAGGACGAGACCGAAGCAGTGGAACAGGGGAGGAGGGCAGCACAGCACGTCCTCCGGGGAGAGGCGCATGCGATCACCAATGAAACGAGCGTTGTTGACGACATTGCTGAACCCAAAGTTAGCCTCTTCAACCTATACAAACAGCTTGAGCACACTTACTGGTGGGTAAGCATGGCGGCCTTGGGACGGCCAGTAGTTCCACTGGTGAACTGAAGGTTGCACACTTGATGCGGCACCACCTTGCTCATGGCCAGATGAAGCTCTCTCGGGCTCTGTCGTGAGCTCGATTTGATGAGGTCATCGTATGTCTGGTATCCGCTCGTATCGCCCCGGATCATGATAATCTTGGGTCCATTGATCTTGTTTGCTATTTGGCTCAAGAATTTGGTGTTGTCGAGTCTGCCAATCTGCTTGGTGGTGAACAGGATCTTGCATTCTGAACAACGGAGTTAGCTCGGAATAAGAAAAAAACCCTGTCACGTTGGTAGCTAACCTGAGAACTCAACAGCGTAAATGGCCTCGCTGGGGGTGTATGTGTTGTTCAGAATGACGAGAATAGCACCAATTCTCGAGACTGCGAAGAAGATGGCGGCGTATTGTTCGCAGTTGCCTGCCATAACACCGACTCTGTCACCGGCCTTGATGCCCATCTCGAGCAGGGCCTGCGCGAGCAGCAAGCTCTGCTGGTTGAGCTCATTGTATGTCCATCGTGCACCGGTCCAAGGAATTACCAAACACTCCTTGGTGCCGTGTTGGTAGGTCTGGAGCTCCAGTAGCTCGCCGAGACTGAGGTCAACCAGCGGAGGATCGCGGGGCCCATGGAGGATAGACAACTTCTGCGCGGGAGCCAAAGGCTCGGATACCGGGGCTGTTGATGCTTCTGCGGCCATTGTGTCGATAAAGAATTACTGAATAAACGTCCAATTGCTTAACGAAATTACTACTGAAGCCAAATCCGACGTCTTGGTCTTGGTCGAAATGGTTGTCTATGGCAAGTCCAGAAAAATGTCACCGCGATCTTCGTGCAACGCGGCCATCCTCTCGGGTCGCATGGCAGAAATAACTGGCCTGGGTCCAGATGGGAGAGACGACCCATGTCCAAAGGGCCCTGCATCTGCGTCACCGAGGAACGGCTTTCGGGGATCATCTGAATCCAGCAAGGAGGCAAGCGGCAAGCGAGGTTTCTTCACCCCCCGCTGCCGCTGGACTGGGCTTTAGCCCGTTAAGGTGTTGGCCGTGCTGCTTTGCCGGCCACCAAGACGGGGCGCCACACAGCGGGACGTTGCGAACTCGCGCGCAGGTATCCGTACGGCGCAGAACCTTAGCTGGGATTGCTTCTTTTTAATTCGGCACGTTTGGGTATGATTTTTCACCTAGCCCAGCGCATGCAGTCAGCGGCGGGCTAGACCGAACGGGCAATTGTTTCACGACAAGTACCTAGAGTATTCCTGAGTGTTGAGGGGCGTATACGAAGAGTAGGAAAGGCCACTCGCGTCATGGCAGGGCGACTCGATTGGCGATGCGAGGACACACATAGTGACACACCAAAACGAGCAGATGGGTTTGATGGGGCCACGAGACTTGGTGGACATTGTGTGCCTGCCAGCGAGCAGTACTTTGTCGCGTATTCGTGTGTATTCGTGTGTATTCGGAGCACTGACAGCGAGCCTAGAGCGTGGGAGAAGTGGGATCGCGATGGATCGCAAGTGTGGGTGTGTCAGAGTAAGGTCCAAGGATATTCTTGACAAAGTTGACATGTGTGATTGCATTGAATGTGGAGGAACTTGGGAACCGAGTCTCAAATTGGTCAATGGCGTTTGCAGCTCCTTCCCAAGTTCCCCTCCGTCACCAGATGCGCTGAGACTGCAGCCACTCAGAAAATGGTGAGACCCTACATGGCAGCCAAAGGGACCCCGTAGTACCCGCCATAACCCTAGTGACCACCTCGGACAGGTTCGGTTCTCGATCTAATCAATCAAATCTTGGATCAGATAAGATTAGGGGAGGAGCATTTCACTCACGTTCTTCAGCGTGCAAAATTTTCTTCTCACTCCCACACCTTAAGGTACTCCTCCCTCAGCCTCTCACACACATCGTCTATGGAGTACACCTACCTCAGAGTCACTGGACCCCTCCTTCCACATTTTCTCCAGCATCGTAAGGTACGGATACTCCGTACCCGTACCTCTTCGTACCAACGCAACTTCGTTCCTCCCAAAATGTCCCGCTGCATTTCTTTCCCTCACACCCTCCCAGTCACGTAGTCTCCGACTTCGGGACAATTCTTCAGATTCCATCACCCTTGAAGATTAACTCCACGCCAATCCACCGATCGACGCCAACTCGCCTCGCCAAAGACGTCAGGTTGCATTTGCCCACCCCCCTTCTTCGTCCACCTTCTTACCTTGGGGCTCATGTGGGCAGACGGGCAGATGGGCTGGAAACGAGCAGCCAGTATCGGTACCTCTGCCTCTAGCCTCTCCCCCTCATGCCATGATTCCATCTGATACTAGTCCATCGCCCATTCATCGCCCATCATCCATGGACCATCACCCGTCGAGTCTCGATCCCCTCCCATACCCGACCCCATGAACCACCGTACCACCCCCTCATCCCGTTTCCTCCCACTTGCAGTCGTCGGGTGCGGTGTGGCGCGTCCCTCGGCCACGCAGGGTGCCGGGCCAAGCAACTCTTTTTTTCATGCAAACAAGGGCATGGCTACGATTCTGTCAAATACAATACAAAGCCAAGCCAAGCCATGCACCATCGCACAATCATCCAGGTACAGACAACTCTCCTTTCTTCAGATTGACTTGCAGATTTGCCTCGTCTTGGCCTTTCTTGGCACTCTGTCTCCTGGGCGCTTCTCGTCTTGGCGCTTCCAGAACATCCAACGTCTAAGTCTATGACACTCATTGAGTCCTTCTTACACAGGATCCTCTAAGGCTCCAAAAAGGTAGTATCTGATATTCCTGCTGACATCGCAGGCTCCATGAGCACACTGCATCGAGCCGGCCAACACAGCCACACACAAAAAAACATGCTTATTGGAAAGACGGGTATCCTTGAGCACGCCACTCTTCGAAAGTCAATCCTTTGGCCGCAGACGGCATCTTCACCATCAGAGGCACTTCAACGTCCTTCTCCTTGCCCACCAGTCCTCCGCGGTGCACGATTTTGTCTTGGAGCACTTCAAAACCTAGGCGTTTGTAGAGGCCGAAACCTTCTTCAGATGACTCGAGGTAGACGGGAAGTCCCGCCAGCTCGGCCATGTCGAGGCCCCATTTCGTCAAGAGGGCGCCTACGCCTTTTCTTTGGTGTTCAGGCTTCACTGCAATAATATGACAGTCTGTTCCCGGGGAAAACGCAAAAACGTGTGTCATCAGCAACTGGGGCTCACATGATCTGTCTCGAGAAGCCTGAAAAAAAAAAAAAAAAAGGCGCGAACAGGGGGCGGGAGGGAGGGAAGGATCGGGAAAATGAGGACGTGTTAATTCACGATGGGTCCCACTCACAAACGTATTTTCGGCCGGCCCAAAGCTTTTCTTTGGCTGCGCTGAGCGGGTTGATTAACTCATCGGCGCGAGCTCTCTGCTCGCCTTGGAGCCAGACGGCGCCAGGACTCCTGTACTCGTCTGGTGTGCGCTCCTTCAGGAAGGCGTCCCAAAGGGCCATGCCGACGACCTCGCCAGTCTCGACATCCACGCACTTGATGGTGTACTGAGTGCTGGTCTTGTGCCAGTACTCGACAGTGTGTTTCGTGTGACCCTCACGGAAAGCCTCGTCAATCCCCGTCGGAAACAGGATGTCGAGGATTACCGACCCCTTGAAGGCCGCAAAATAGGCATCGTACACCTGGGTGATGTCGGGGATTAAAGCGGGTAGAACGGTGAGGCCCATGGCGTCTGAATGGAAAGCCGAGAAAGGGCAGAGTCAAAAGGCAAGAATTGGCGAGAGTTTCCTTTCGAGTAGCGGTCCGACTTGACTGAAACCGCGGTAGTCTCTCTGTCTGTCCGACTGTCTGGCTCGTACCGTCTCTGGTTGTCTTGCGATCCTGGGCTCTTTGCGTCTGTCCACGTCTGTGAAGCTGTTCCGAAGTGGGATAGATGGCGTTCTATGGTTCGTTCGCAACAAGGAAAGTGCGTTCTTTTTGCTAATTGTGCGTCAACGGCAACGAAGGCCAAACAAATCAAGATCAAACGATAGGTCGGGAATCTCGGTTCAGGCAACGCAGCAGGACGGAACTTTTTTGCCGGACTACCACAGTGCGTTGGTGGTATGAGTATTTAGGCTGGGGACTCGTCTGAAGACTTTTCCCTCACGGAACTGGAACAGCTCCGAGCAGGTCGGTCCCGACGACCGGTAGAATCCTCAAGGAGATGGAGAGTGACGGGACTCGCAATGCCAAGCACTGTATTCGCAAAAAATACAATGGGGGGTTGACGCGGCAGTTCTCGATTAATCCCTGAAGGGGATCGTAAGGAAATGCCGCAACCGTTGGGACTTGGGGAGTAGTCCGCCGTCAGCGGCACCGTAGCAGGAAAGCCCCAAGAAGGGAAACAAGCAGCGTTGCCCTTCATGGATAATGGGCTTGATGAGCGCTGACTGGATGACGCAGAGCCGTTATACCCATCTTTAGGAAACCCTTTTGCCCGTTAACCCTGTGTGTGTATGTGTGTGTAGGTGTGTGTGTGGCAGTGTGCGCCTACCTATCTTAGCTAAGGGCCCGATTCCTCTCACACTTCATAGTAGTACTGTGTTAAAAAGGCCCAGTTTCCTCCTATACTATACTAAGTACAGTAGCAAGTGCTACCTTACCTTGGGGCTTGGGTTCGGCTCTCCCCCTCCCCTCCACATGTGAGGCGGGACACCTTTACTTGTCAAGAAGAGGTCACGACATTGCATGATCCGTCAATATGTTCGTCACATCCTGGAAGGACTAGGAGTGGACGATGGGCGCGTTAAAGTTATCAGATCCGCGTCCTCGAACCGGCGCTTTCTCTCGTTGCGTGTGTCAACGTCCGGCGAGACAACCCCCCTCCTTCCCCCTTGTTGCCAGTTATTGGACAGCTTTGAGTGACTTGACCATGAAAAAGATGGCGGATAATGATTGAAGAGTCTGGAAATTGGAGGGGAAAAATCTGCTGCAGAAATGAGGGCCGCCGATGTGCTCCCGGCGCTCGCCTCCGGCCCATAAGCGGGACACGCCCCCTTGGCGCTCCTAATCAGATCCGTCTTTTGGCCCCATAGTCCCCGGTCAGGTACCGGTCTTGTACCTTTGTACTTCGCACCCTCCCAGCTCCCCAAGCTCCTTGCTCCATTCCTCTTTTTCGTCAGGTTGCATCGGAGGGACCCACGACATCATTACACGCCCCTCCCACTTCATCCCCCTTGCCTCTCTTTCTTCCCTTCTTCACTCCTCCCGAGTATTGTACCTTTTTCCCTCCCGTCCAAAACCACAAGAACGTATGATGAGATGGCGCCTTAGCTCAAGGGGACCCGTCATGAAACTCTTGCCTCATTGGTGCTGCGAGGGTGTGCTCAACTCGTTCGCATGTGACGTCCCTCTCTATCACTCTCCATCGCCTAAAGTTCCATAATGCTGACTTTGTGGTACAGTCGCAATAGCTCTGCATGCAGCATACCTATACTAGGGTTCCTTTGGTGGTTCCTAGGTTGTTTAGTCAAGCCCATTCGTTCGCGCCAAAGTCGAAATGGGCGGAATACACGACCAGTAACCGTCCCAGATACTCCGTTCTCACACATACGTACGGGCACAAAGTCACACATTACACAACCCATTTCTGCTATACCCACCCGGACGGCTCCATGGATTAGGCACGTTGCGCCGTTGTGGCTCGCATCTGCCCTTTCCATCAGTGGACATCGCAAGAAACTGACTGGTGTGTCTGGTGGTTCCCGGGGCAAAAAAACATGCACGCCCTTTCCTCTTTCACAGGCTACTTTTTTTTAACCCTCCTCCGCTTGCTCTCCGCAGCGGCAGCGCGCCAATCCATGATCCAGCTCGGTCTGCGAGGAGACGTAGCTCGGCTGCAGCGCCGCCGCAAGGTACATACCGCAGTACCCAGCCATGGGGTTCGTCGATCTAATCAAGAAGTCGGGAAGGCATGTATGTTTCTCGGGTAGTGTTCATGCAAGGATACCTGCCTGACAACCTGCAGAGTCGCACACATAAGAGCCTCTCGCGGTTACTGGCGTATACAAGACTCGGAGGAGTCTTGGTGCATGTTGCGTACACTGCGTATGTGTGAGTGAAAGGGTAGCTCTCCACCCTTGGACCGGTTGATCGTCCTCGTCAGACAAAAATCCAAACATCTTTCTTCAACAAGTCTCTTACAAGACGACATTTTGCAAGAAAAGGAAGCCATCGTTGTCCAAAGGCTTGTGAAATGCTGCGAGTTCAACCTCGAATTACTTCATAACGCTCGTTAACTTACCCCTCCATACCTCCTCTTCCTTACCACCACTCACTTTCTTCGATACCCCCTCCCCTCCGGAAGTAAACAATACCAAAACACACGATGCATTTGCGGGACAGCGAAGGCGGCGGAACTGCCTACCAAGAAACAGGCCTCGCTGACGGCGCAACAAACGGCTTGACCAACGGCAACAGCACCGTGAACCCCTCTTCAACGAGGACCGTTGTCGTGACATCGCGGGCCGAGTCCACTACCGCCACCGCCGGTGTAAGCGACTTCAGAAACGAGCTCTTCCTCGCATGGCTGCTCGTCCTCCACCGCAACAATGACGACGGCCTGAGCAAAGTGAACTGGGGATTCAGAACGCGGGATGGCCAGGAACCGTCATCGGCGACACACAACAGCCTGAGTCTGAGCGAGGCGCCCTTCAAGAACAGCGACTCGATAGCAGAGGCCTTGGAGGTCATCAAGGAGCTCGGCGAGAGCGGTCTCGATAGTGAAACGCAGACCATCCCGGTGATATACTTTAACAATGGAGCGCCCAAATCTCAGGGCAACTCTGAGAAGGCGCCTTCCAAGAGATCACAAGACGTACGTAGACGACCTTTCCGTGACCTTTGTTCTCTCTTATACAAATCATCAGTTCAACAATGCTGACCCCCGGAACTCCAGTGGACGTACCAGATCGAGGCGACACTCAACGAGAACCAGTTGGTGATCAAGGCCCAGTGGGATCGCGCCGTCCTCTCCTACCGCCATGCCATCTTCCAGCTCGATTCCTTCATCGAGATCCTCACCACCATCCTCGAGAAGCCTTACCGCCAGGTCTCGGACACCATCGGTCCCACCGCAAAGGACCTCGAGCAGCTCTGGACATGGAACGCCGAGCTGCCTGAGAACATGCAAAAGTGCATGCAGGACATCATCTCCGAGGTCGCGGCCAAGGGGCCCGAAAGACCGGCCGTCGAGTCCTGGGACGGCAACTTGTCCTACGGCGACGTCGACCGCCTCTCTACCCGCCTCGCGCGCCACCTCGTCGCCCGCGGCGTCACCGTCGGCTCCACGGTGCCAATGTGCTTTGAAAAGTCCCGCTGGACCACCGTCGCCCTTCTGGCCGTCATGAAGGCCGGCGCCGCCTTCGCCCTCACGGACCCTTCCCAGCCCGAGGCCCGTCTCCGCACCATCGTCGAGCAGACCGGCGCCACCGTTATCGTCACCTCCCAGAACCAGAGCGACCTCGGCCGGCGCATCGCCCCCGAGCAGACCCTCGTCGTTGCCTCGGACGACACCCTCAACAATGATACCCTCGAGCTCGCGGACGAGCTGCCCGTCGTCCCGCCTTCCTCCCCGCTCTACATCCAGTTCACCTCCGGCAGCACGGGCAAGCCAAAGGGCGTCATGATCTCCCACGAAAACTTCACCAGCGGCGCCGTGCCCCGCGGCTGGGAGGTCGGCTACCGCGCCCACTCGCGCTGCTTCGACTTTGCCTCGTACGCCTTTGACGTCAGCATCGACTGCATGCTCTGCACGCTCGCCGCCGGCGGCTGCCTCTGCATCGCCTCCGACGAGGACCGCATGAACGACCTCAGCGGCGCCATTCGCAACTCAAAGTGCAACATGGCGCACATGACCCCCTCCGTTGCCCGCGTTCTCGACGCGGACGTCATTCCTTCCCTCGAGGTCCTCGGTCTCGGAGGTGAAGCCGTTTCTGCGGGTGATGCCTCGACGTGGAGCAAGACCACGAGCGTCATTATCGCCTACGGCCCCTCAGAATGCACCGTCGGCTGCACAATCAACGGCAACGTCAGCAGCACCTCCACCAACATCGGCAAGGGCACCGGCGGCCTCACATGGATCGTCGACCCAGACGACCACGAGCGCCTGATGCCCGTCGGCGCTGTCGGCGAGCTCCTCATCGAGGGTCCTGTCGTCGGCATGGGCTACCTCAACGACAAGGCCAAGACGGACGAGGTCTTCATCGAGGACCCGGCCTGGCTGCTCGCCGGCGGCGGTCCCGCCCGCGGCAGACACGGACGCCTGTACAAGACGGGCGACCTGGTCCGCTACGACCCGGACGGCACGGGCTCCATCGCGTTTGTCGGCCGCAAGGACCAGCAGGTCAAGCTCCGCGGTCAGCGCATCGAGCTGGCCGAGGTCGAGCACCACCTCCGGGGCAAGATGCCCTCGGGCGTCAAGATCGTCGCGGAAGTCATCAAGCCCGGCGGCAGCGAGCCGACACTCGTCGCTTTCGTCGTCGAGCAAAACCCCGTTGACGGCCCCGCGGACGCCGAGGCCGGGGATGTCACCTCCTTTTCCCCCGAGTTCAGCCAGGCCATCGCCGAGATCGACATTGCCCTCGGCGCTGAGATCCCCCGCTACATGGTCCCCTCGGCCTACATCCCTCTCCGCAAGATGCCTTCCCTGGTCTCGGGCAAGATCGACCGCAAGCGCCTGCGCGAGCTCGGAGGCTCCATGTCGCGCGAACAAGTCGCCCGCCTGCGCGTCGCGCCCACCGAGAAATCGGACCCCGAGACGGAGATGGAGAAGACGCTGCAGCAGGTCTGGATCAAGATCTTGGGCGGCGAGACCGCCATTGGTCTGCACGACAGCTTTTTCGCTCTCGGCGGTGACTCCCTTCGCGCGATGAAGCTCGTCGCCGCCGCTAGGGAGGACGGCATCGCCCTGACCGTCGCAGCCATCTTCAACTTCCCCACGCTCAAGGCCATGGCCGAGAACGCGACCAAGGTGTCCAAGGAAGACGAGGCCGCCGTCGCGCCCTTCTCCCTCCTCGAGGAGGGTTGGACCCCCGAGGAGGCCCGCGCTGAGTCCGCCAAGCTCTGTGGCATCGACGAGTCCGCCATTGAGGACATTTACCCCTGTACGCCCCTTCAGGAGGGCCTCATGGCTCTGTCGGCCAAGGTCACCTCGGCCTACGTCGCTCAGAGAGTCGTCGACCTCGCGGACGCGGCAACGGCAGACAAGCTCCGCAGGGCCTTCGACGTCGCCGCCGCAGATTGCGCCATCCTCCGCACGAGAATCGTCCAGGTGCCCGGCCGCGGCCTCGCCCAGGTCGTCGTCAAGGAAGACATTGCCTGGCACATTGGCGACGACCTCCAAGGCTATCTCGTCAAGGACCGCGAGGAAGGAATGGACCTCGGCAGACCCCTCGTCCGCTACGCCCTCGTCACGGACAACGCGTCGGGCAAGGTGCAGTTCGTGCTAACTATGCACCACGCCCTGTACGACGGCTGGTGCATGCCCCTCATCGTCGACAAGGTCAACAAGGCCTTTGACGGAGAAAGGGCTCAGCGCCCCGCCGAGTTCAAGGACTTTATCAAGTACCTCGGCAGCATGGACCGCGGCGCCGCAGAGACGTACTGGCGCGAACAGCTTCAGGGCGCTGCTGCCACCACCCAGTTCCCCGCGCTGCCGTACGAGGGCTACCAGACGCAGGCTGACTCTCTCCTGGAGGTCTACGTGCCCCTGAATGGCAGACCTGCGTCCAACACCACCGTCGCCACCGTGATCCGCGGTGCCTGGGCCTACGTGGCATCTCACTACGCCTCATCAAACGACGTCGTCTTCGGCGAGACCCTCACCGGTCGTAACGCGCCCATCAGAGGTTCCGACGAGATCGAGGGCCCCATGATCACGACCGTTCCTTTCCGCACCCAGGTGAACGCCGAGATGCTCGTTATCGACTACCTCCAAGAGATCCAGGATCAGACCATCCAGCAGATCCCTTACGAGCACACCGGTCTCCAGCACATTCGTCGCCTCAGCCCGGATGCCCTCGAGGCCTGCGAGCTGAGGACCGGTCTCGTCCTGCACCCGAGCGCCGACGACTTTGACCAGGAAGAGTTCAACAAGTACCCCGCCAACCGCCTCGTCCCCGCCGGCGACGCGGAGGCCGCGGAGGAGGCCCTCAAGTTCAACACCTACGCTCTCATGCTTGTCTGCTCGACAGACCCCAAGGGCTTCTTGGTGATGGCCTCGTTCGACTCAAAGACTGTCCAGAAGCCTCTCATGGAGAAGGCACTCGCCCAGTTCTCTCAGGTGGCCCAGAAGCTTTGCCAGCTTACCGACACGCCACTTGGCGACGTCGCGTACCTGACTGAGGAGGACAAGACCGAGGTCGCTCGCTTGAGCACCGAGAGCGCCAAAACCGTTCAGCAGGAGTACCCGGAGGCAGAGGCGGTTTACATCGTCCACCCGACCGACTCTGCGCTTCTGGCGCCCCTTGGAGTTGTTGGTGAACTGGTCGTTGTCAGCAAAGCCGACTTGTCTCTCTCCACGCTAGAGAACCCCTCGTGGGCCGAGAACAAGGAGGCTGGCAAGTTCTACAAGACGGAGCGCCTCGCCAAGTTCAACGCAGATGGCTCTGTTGAGATCACCGGCAAGACGAGCGATCTGGTCCAAAAGGCCAGCACTGCCACCAAGGCGCCTACTAAGCGCATCTCTGCCACATCCGCCAAGCAGCGTCGTCTGCGAACTCTCTGGAGCCGTGTGCTCAGGCTCCCCGAGAGTGATATTGGACTCAACGACAGCTTCTTCCGTCTTGGCGGAGATTCCATCGGTGCTATGAAGCTCGTCTCCGAGGCCCGCTTGGCTGGCCTCACGCTTACCGTCAATCAGGTCTTCACCAAGAGGACGCTGTACGACATGGCCAGTGTCCTGCAGGACTCTGAACCCACGTCAGACTCTCAAGAGGCCTTGAAGGCTCTCGTTCCCTTTGAGCTGATCGAGAACCTCGGCGATGCCCCGGCAGAAAGTCTCCGCCCCCTGTTGGCCGACCCGACATGGAAGATTGTCGACGCCTTCCCCGCAAGACCGTTGCAGGAGGTCGCCGTCAAGGGCACGATTGAGATCCCTCGCTTCTCTGCCCGTTACGAGGCCATGTACTTTGAGAGCGACGTCGACCGCCCCCGTCTCTTCCAAAGCTGTCAAGAGCTCGTCTCCCTTAACGAGGTGCTGCGATCAGTCTTTGTCAAGCACAACGGCGCTTGCCTGAGCGTCATCCTTGAAGACGTCAAGACCCCCGTCGTGGAGTACGAGATCGACAGTGACGTCGAGACTTTTGTCAAGGACCTCTGCAACCTCGACGTCCAGACCCGGATGCCGCTTGGCTCCATCTTTGTCAAGTGGTTCTTCGTCCACAGCAGCAATGGCCAGTCCGCCCTGGTGTTCCGCGTCTCGCACGCCCAGTACGACGAGATCTGCTTGCCCATCATGTTGCACCAGCTGTCGGCTCTGCACGAGGGCAAGCCCGTCCCCAAGGCTCTCCCCTTCTCCTCCTTCGTCGGCCACGTTGTCAAGTCAAACATCCCTCAGAGCGTCGACTACTGGAAGGAGCTTCTGCAAGGATCCTCCGTCAACGTTCTGAAGCCCGATACCCCCGTGACGGAGAGACAGCACTACGCCATTGACAGGACCTTTGACATTTCAACCCGCTCCAAGGACGTCACCATCGCCACCCTCCCCACCGCAGCCTGGGCCCTGACCCTCGCCCGCCTCCAGAGCACGCGTGACGTCACCTTTGGCGAAGTCGTCAGCGGCCGCAACATCGACTTCCCCAACGCCGACATGGTCGTCGGCCCCTGCTGGCAATACGTGCCCGTGCGCGTCAAGTTCGAGGACGACTGGACGGTCCTCGACCTCCTCAACCTCGTGCAGAACCAGCACATTGCCAGCTCGGCGCACGAGGGCATCGGTCTGCCCGAGATTGCCAAGCTGTGCACCGACTGGCCTGCCTCGGTGGACTGGTTCGACACGGTGGTGCACCAGGACGTCGAGCACGTCGAGAGCCTCGGCTTCGAGACGGCGAGCAGTCGCATGGAGACGATTTACCCGCAGCAGGAGCCGCTTCGCGAGTGGAAGATCCAGGCGTTCCCCCAGGGTGATAAGTTGACGATTGAGATTGTCACCTTTGAGTCGTGGAAGGGGCATGCTGCGGAGCTGCTTGATAAGATTGAGGAGACGTTCAAGATTCTGCTGGGTAACCCCAGGTCGCTTCTGTTTGAGCAGCAGTAAGAGGTGGATTTGTACATATCGTACTAAAGGACTGCACAGGGGGGAAGTTTTGAGTGTGTTTACGTTTTTTTGTCCATCTTCTGATATCATTTTTTGTTGTTGATGTTGTTGTTCGAGATTCTCTGATTGGATGAGGGGGGCTTTACTTGGTTTGGAAAATGCTATGAACGATTTCATGTTGTTACTCTTTGGAGTTTGGTTGTTTGAATACACATCATACCATAACTTGAGACCCTTCGTCGCTGCTTCTCTGGTTCGTCTGACTTCCTTGTGTGTAGCGGTTGCCTACTTAACGCAACCCCAGTGTAACCTGCATATGGCCGCTTCCAACAGCCTCACTTTCCTCGTCTCACAGGAATAGGGTGTCAGTTTCCATCTCTCATACGAATAGGGCGGAAGGTGGCTTGCTTCTCTAACCTATCACAGTCCTGTGTCTTTCTCGTCGCCCTTCAACTTAGGCCCTCCCATTAAAGCAGCGAGAGACGTGTCAAGAGGCTCTGCTAAGAGTGAGATAAGCTTGCCTTGGTCCCCATTCCCCTCCCCTCCTTGACCAACACTCATTCGCACCTCTTTTGCGACTCTACTCCAGCACACAGCTCCCATCACAGCCTGATTTTCCATCGCCGCTTCAACGCACCCCTGCAATCGACCAAGCTCACCATGGCCGACAACGTCACCTGGACTAGCGACTTCGACAGGTTCCTTGCCGAACTGGGCACCGAGCAGAACGCCAACGACATGAGCTTCATGGATCTCCTTGACCCTACTGGCTGCTGCGACTTCAGCCACGTCTACGAAGGCGCTCTTGGCGCTGCGGGCCCCCTGGATCCGTGAGACTTTTTTTTTTACCACTTGCTAACAAAAAGGGTGTCAGGAAGGGCAATAATAGTATCCGCACCGGCTCAGCGTGAGTTCTCCCGCCCCATTTTATTTGCATTCTCTCCAGTAACACAGTCTTAGTTCAGATGACACAATGCATCATTCCAGTCCAGATGGCGGTAATGAGTTGATATCATCATCGGCCAGCGCTTCATTCCAAGCTGTTTCAGGGTCCTTGGAAGTGGCTTCTACTGCTTCAGCCGACCAGACTGCGGCAGACGCGCACGAGACTTGTGCGCAGTGCGGCGAATGTTACCGTTATAAGCCTTTGCTAGCATGGCATGCTAGGTATTATCAGCATAAGGCATATCTGTGCCCACTCCAAGGCTGTGGTAAGGGGTTCATAGCGGGAGGAGAGCGCGACGCTCATCAGCGCCGACCTCATCTTGAAGGCCATGAACGCGTTGAAATGGGGCATCCGTTTGCTTGTGTAGAGTGTTCGGTCGAGTTCAAGAACAAGTCCAAACTTGAAGAACACGCCACTGAAGCACAGCACAAACCCTTTGCTTGTTCGTGCGGCAAGGACTTCTCTCGACTCGATGTTCTCAACCGACATCTTGACTCCATGGGGACCGACATGCCGAAATACCCTTGTCTGTTCTGCAAAAGCCATCGGGACGAAAACGGTTTCCGAAGAAGAGATCACCTTCTGCAGCATGTGCGCGGCTACCACAAGTTCGAAGCTGAGGGGAAATTCGAAGACATCTTGTCTTCCCGTAGGGGCAAATACCAGACACCGCCTGTTTGTCACTTTGCGGATTGCTTGCACCACCGGGATGACAACTTCAAGACCCTCAGTCGCAATGAGCAAGACCGCTCCAAGCCATTTGAGTCACAGTCGGATTATACCAAACACATGAAGAACGCCCACGACTTCACACACTACCCCTGCACCGTGAGAGGATGCAGAAAGACTGGCGCCAAGGGTTACGCGAGAGAGAAAGATCTTATCAATCACAGAAAGAAGGACCATCCTGAGGCGGGAACGTATGTTCCAGCAACACGAGACATTAGAATTACTTGCGCTGGTTGCGGTAAGAGCCTAGGACCTAACAGTGTACACTGGCACAGATGTTATCTGGGATAGGACTTTTTGGGAATTCCAGGTACATGAATTCCGAGCCATGGCATGTTTAGTCTAAGTCTTGCTTCGCTTTGCGGATGGAAGTAAGCTCTTGTATGGAAGTGGGCGTGGAGGCCACAGTAGAGACGAGAGTGTGATAGTCGGTCCCTTGATAGTAAGGCTATTCCGATCGGTTTGCATCTATGCAATGTGTCTTCCTTTGAACTCTGTTTGGTTACGTAGATCGTACTCGTCTGCTTTTCTCTTTTATCCGATGAAGTTATCAAATTGAATGGAATGCCTTCATGAACTTGGAGCTTTCGTACTGAATCCCAGTGGCAAAGGTTCTTGATAATATCGTCTTCGGGCTGCACCGGGAAGTCTAGTATCAGTGTGAACCCCTCACATAGGGCCCTTATGCTTACTCTGAACACGTATATTCAAACTGTTGGGGTTGATGTAGTGATGCGGTTCGCTTGAACCGTGAACCAAGTACGCCAGTTGGGTATTGTATTCGGATACTGCCGGAAATATCCAGTGCCTCTCCTGCTACAACAGTGGTTCCCTGCCTCTCTAGGAAACATCCATGTCCTGAACTCCGGAGTCGATCGCCTCTAAAACCCTCTCTGCATACCGCCGCCCCGCGGGACTGAGCATCATCGGATCATGATGAAAACCATCTCTCTCCCAGGGTAACGTTCGCGGCGCCGGGTCCGCCGGGTGTAAATCCCCGACACGCTGCGGCATCCCCTTATACCGCTTGCCGTGATCGTCAACCCAAGTAAGCAACTCCGTCCTTGGATCCCTCGTCGGGGCGTTGTAAAAGTCAATGGGCGACTCCCAGTCCGGATCACCCAGAATCAACCGCGCAATATCGGTACGGTCCTCGAGCAACAGGACCAGACGCGGCGTAGCGAGCTGCTCATACCATCCTTCGCCCAAGTAATTCACAATCCCCGCAATCTCACGGTCGCCAATACCCTCGATCCACCACAGATTCTGCGTCGCCTTCATGAACATGAGATAATGAGACAAAATCACAAGCGCTCGCGGCCTCTTTTCCCTACCGAGCTCGACGAAACCTTTCGGGATGAACGTAAACCACGTCACGACGCGCAGGGTCATGATGGGCCCAAACCCGTTGACGAGCTCGGCGTAGAGGGAGCCGAGGTACTTGAGCGTGTCGTAGTAGGTCGAGATGTCGTCGTAGTCGGGGTCTCCAGGCTGTATAGAGGAGACCATGAAGAGCAGGTTATTGGGGATATGCTTGGATGCCTCGTCGAGGTTGATGGGCGGGCGCATGAAGAGCTCCGCCAGCCCCGAATCCCAGAGGGTCTGCGGTGTGGCCATGTCGATCATGAGGCCTATGCCGCGCCAGACGACCATCCAGTCGATGATGTAGAGGTCCTTGGTCCCCTCTTCGCGGAACATTTGCGAGGAGAGGGCGGTGAGAAGTAAAGATGTCGCGATGAGGGCGGGAAAGGTTTCCGGTTTGCCTTCCTCGATGGCTTTGCGGTAGCCCTCGAAGGCGCGAGCGCGGTAGCGGAGGGCGCGGGAGGGGGCGATGTCTTGCTTTAGGTGCTGGAGCTGGAGGGCGGATGTGCCGAGGAGGCAGTCCATGAGGAAGGGGCTCTCGAAGGCGTGGCCTGGGATCTTGACTTTGAGGATGTCGTCGATGCGCTTCACGCGCCCGGCTTGCGTGGCGAAGGATGTGAAGGTGTTTGTGGTGTAGAACCAGAGGAGCTTCATGTCAATGGCGTCCCTGTCGCCGGCGGGGATGTAGAGCGGTTCTCTGATGACAAGGGCATTGGCGTCGTCGTCGCCGCCGGCGGCAGCTACGTGGTTGTGATGGTGGTGGTGCGGCGGCGTGCGAGACCGCGAGCGGGCCGGGGAGAAGGGCCCGGCGGAGGAGCCAGATGGCGATCCCGGGGGATGGTGATCGGAGTGGGAGTGGGACGGTCCGGGGAAGACGCAATTGGCCTTGCGGAGCACGCAGTTACGACACGTCGGACGAGCCTCATCGCACTTCACCTTGCGGGTCTTGCAGTTCTTGCATCCCGTCCTGGACTTCTTATGAGGCCGTTTTGAGTGGTATGGCTTATCCTCGATGTGATTTGAAGAGCCTCCTCCTGGGGTGGTAGCGGCGGCGTCCGCTGAGTCTGACTGTCCGGAGGATGAGAGGATGGTCATCGTGTGGTGTGTGTGTGTCTGTCCTTCACGGGGACCCCCAAGGCCAAACCCGACTCTCTCGTTTCAATGATGAACCTGGACCGAATGGCTGCCCTTCGGTCTCACGGCGTCAGGATTCAAGATGGGAGGAAGGATGACTACGGGGATGAAGTGAGATAGGGTGAGGTCTTTGGGGTGAGATGAATGATGAGTGTGGGGAGAAAGAGAGAGAAAGAGAGGCTTTCTCGGCAGTGGCAATGAGGTGGAAAGGTACGTCGTTCGGAATTGTCAAGTGTGTGAAGTTCGGGACGCTAGGAAGAAGGGGTTGAACGAGTGGTGATGCTCGGACCTCTACTTTTTTTTAGGGATGATGTCCAACGGCCGGACGGGGGAAGTAGAGATGTCGTCGGGGTTGAAACAGAGTTCCGTGGGCGGGTGACGCTGCTGACGGAATGAGACGCCTAGTTATCGGATGAAGCCTTAAAACACAGTACCCCTTCGCACTGACCAGTCGGCCCGCTAGGTTCAAGTTTGTCTCTTTTTGCCCCCAGGAGTTAAGGTGGTTGGTTCCGTTGGTCCAAATGTGCAAATGCCGGCTCAGGTTGTGTCGGGTTAAGTGTGTGTGAGGCCTCACGAACAAACGGAGTCTGATGCTGCTGCCTTCCCTCGGAGGCTGGTGGTTATTACTTTAGTTATCAAAGCCACAATAGAGAGATCATCGACCCCACAACGAGCTGACGAGCTCTTCTCTGTCTGACTCTCATCTGACGGGTGACTAGCGCTTTTTTCGTTGGGCGGCAGGAATCCTTCAAAGGTACGAATCCTTCGAAGGTGTGGCATGCCCGTTTCAATAAGATGGGCTAATAGAAGCCAGAGAAGCTTGCCTCGAGTACCTTTGGAGAGAAACGAACGCGCCGCAACAGTGCATGGTGTTCCATGCCGTTAACGTATGAGCCACGAAGCATGTGCAGCGGCAGCAAGATGGAAAAGAAGGACGGATAAGAGGCTTGCGCAAGCCTTCTTAGCACCCGGCAACACACGCAAGTTTGTTCATTCCATGGATAGAAAAGTACGGTACTGTGTATCCGTAGAAGCACTGCGCCTCCCGCAGTACCCTTCTCCCTGCTGTTAACCTTCCGTGGGTTGCCCTTTTGGGCGTTGGAGTGGGTTTGGATACGGGCATGTTTGTTTGATCTTTGGGGAACGTGGACATTTGACACTTGGCGCACAGTTGGTCGAGAGAAGGAGGAGGGGGTGGGCAGACGGGAGAGAGACGCAGAGAGAGAGGAGGTGAGACCAATAGGTTTCTGTGAGGCCGCACTGCCGCAGACGGGCACACGGGCTAAAACTGAGTGTGGTCAAGACTCAAAAAGTGGAACTGCGCCCGGCACAGGGCGCCTGGGTCCCAACGCACGCGGGCCCTTTTTGGCCCCTGCGCCCGCCGTAAGAGGGGCCCGAGATGGGCCGATGCTCCGGTCACATGACTTCGCGTCTCAGCGGCTTCCAGGTCCTTTCCTCTTGTAGTATCCGTAAGGTAGTACCTTACGCGCGCGACACGGCGGTCTTAGTTTCCGGCCCGTATCCCCGGTTTTCTCCTCCGGCAGACGCAACGTTCTTTTCAGAGTTGACAATTGCGAAAAGGCTCAAAGGCATTGCGTCAATTGACATGACATCTCTGTTCCAGCTCCCCGAGGAGCTTCTCCTATCCTCCCTGTTTGAGCGTTTCCCCTGCCGCGAACGTCAGATCCGTTCCTTAGCTACTCTTCTCCATGTAAGTCGCCAAGTCTTTGGTTGAACTATACGAAAACCAGATACTGACCTCGACTACCTCAGCCCGCTGCCGCACCCTGCCGGAACCTCATCGTCTACGGCACCGAAGCCACCGGAAAGTCAGCCATCGTCGAGTCACTCCTGCAAAAGCTCTCCAAGCCTCCCGACGAAGAACCCGAATCTGAACCCAAAACCTCTCTTAGCTTCGCCATCGTCAACTCTATACAATGTATCACGGGCCGGCATCTATTCGAGCGAACAATCGCTGCCGTGGTGGAAGCGATACATTGGGAGTCACCGCCCAAGAAGTGCGAGACGTTGGCCCAGTTGATGGTTGAGATGTGCAAGATGCTCAAGTACACGCAACGACCCGACGGCTGGCGCCTCGTGCTCGTCTTTGACGCAATTGACCAACAGAGGGACGCTCCCGCATCTCTCCTCCCAGCATTAGCGCGGCTATCCGAAGTGGTGAGTGATCACACAACCATACCCTCCCACACGCTGAAGCATGGCATACTAACTTGTTGCTGTCCATCAGATACCATGTCTAACCTGCGTCTTCATCGTCACCGCACCCTCCCCATCCAGCCTCCGCACATCCTTTGTACCACACATTCAATTCCCAAACTACACCAAACAGGAATTCATAAAAATCATCTCGGCCTCGCCCCCCTCCCCGACCCCGACCACGACGCAAGACGACACAGACTTCCTCTGGACCCGCTTCGTCGGCGCCGTCTGCGACGCCCTCACGACCTCGGCATCCCGCACCTTACCCTCGTGCCGCCACAGCTGCGACGCCCTCTGGGCGCGCTTCACGGCGCCCATACTGGCACGTACCCACGGCCCGCGCGAGTTCTCCAAGCTCCTCATCGCTTCTCGCGTGCACTTCCAGGACGAGAGTCTCCTGAACCCGAGTATCGTATCCATCAAGCTCGGCAACCCTTCTTCTACGACGGCGGCGCCGACAACAAGGCTGAACGGCCATACACCAGCCGGCACGCCTTCCAAGCACGGCACACCCTCCTCAAAACACGGCACGACAGCCCACACGGCCCTGAGCACCGCCACCGCCGACCTCACAACCCTCCTCCCGACAACCACCCGCCTGCTATTGCTGGCAGCCTACCTAGCCTCGCACAATGCGCCCCGCCACGACCTAACCCTTTTCTCAACATACCACCACGGCCGCCGAAAACGCCGCGGCGGGGGCTTCGTGGCGCCCAAGCGGGGCCGGCCGAGCAAACACAAGAAAATCTCGCGCAAGCTGCTCGGCGCGCATGCGTTCGTCCTGGAGCGAATGCTTGCCATATTTGCCGCCGTGCGGAGCGAGTGGGCTGCCGCCGACGTGGGTGGGTTTGGTACCGTCGGCGGCAGCGTGGTGGATGGAGATGTCGGTATGGCCATCTCGACGCTTGCAAGTTTGCGGTTGCTGATGAAGGTTGGGACGGCTGGAGACCCGATGGATCGGGGTGGGAAGTGGAGGATTAATGTTGGGTGGGATATTATTCGGGGCGTGGGGCGGAGTGTTGGTATTGAGGTGGAGGAATGGCTCATCGACTAACCCTGGGTATTCAGCGTCACGTATGCTTTGATGTTGAGACGGCAGATGATCTGTCTTATAACTAGGCAAAGTAACAACAAGAAAGGGGCACAAAGGTGCTGCCGAGCTTCATGAAACGCTGTGGATATTCAGCCATAACTGCATCAAGAATGACATTCAAACGCCGGAGCTTTCTTTGATTTCCGGTGTCTAGATATCTCGTTGACCTGTCGTAATACCTCGCCCAGATCCCCGGATTACATCTAAAACCAAGGCAAGCTTACAAGAACATGTGTGTGCGTGTTTTTCATCCATACATTGCCGTCAAACCAGACTGGCACCTATCATGATAGTACATTGACATTGAACTCCTTGCGAACCAATTGGCCCAAAATGAACATGTTTTTACATCTCCCATCTTGCGTCCTATCTGCCCTCCCCTACCGGTCCCCAAACCGCCAGGTATCTTCCTGTTTAGTACCCCGTGCAAGCCAGGCGGCGTTACTCGCACCGCGGGCTCTACCATTACTAGGCCCGTCAGACTTCTTGGCATCTTCGCCGTGAGGCGAGTGCCCATTGCTAAACGACTGGAAGGCTCCAGCAGAGACCATGGGGCTCTCAAAGACGGGCGCGTTCTGGCTGGCGTTCAAGGCGTCCTTTGTGTTCAGGGGCAGCAGAGGCTCCTCCTTGATCTCCATCATTTTGGCCTTGCGGTCCGCCTTGTCCCGGTCATGGGTTCGGTCGTAGAGGTAGAGACCCACAAAGGTCAGGAGGATGCCGGCTCCTTGGAGAGGGGTGGTTTGGTTCCGGAACCAGATGATTGCAATGACGATGACGAACACACGCTTGATGAGACTGGCGACGGAGTACGTCACTGGCGAGACGAGGGACAAGAGGACGAAGGCAAGGATGTTTTGTCCAAAGTGGAATGTGCCGTTGAAGATGAACTCGATAGTGAGGCGGCCGTGATCAAAGGAGCCCGCCTTTTCGTTGAGGTCGACTGCGCCGTCGTGGAGGACGTCGCCGATGATGCCCGTGCCTTCGCTCCAGAACCAGATTGGGACTGTCAAGATGAAGGCCATGCCGGAGGAGTAGCAGAGCAAGTTGAGCTTGTCGAGCTTTTGCGACCGCGCTGACTGGCCCTCGGCCTCGGCCTTGGCGGCTTCGTTGAAGAGACGCTTTGAGAAGATGTTCTGCGTCACGAAGATGATGGTGGCGAGGAGGGCATACAAGATGCCCAGGAGCTCGCCCTTGTAGCTGTTATGCTTGCCGGAGCAGGCGAGCATGACTCCGAGAGTCAGGGGAACCAACGACAGGTAGGTGTTGACGGAGTACCGGATGTTGAAGATCAAGCGGTAGGCCAGGACTGTGAAGAGGGGCGAGAGACCCTTGATGGTATGGACCAGCGAGACGGGGATCTTGGAGGTCGCGGTCGAGCTCAGCAAGTGGCCAAAGATCTGGAATGCAGCAAGGGGCATGGTCGTCGAAATGACATCGCGGGAAGGGTAGCGGATGCCATGCTTGAGAGCTGGTATCGTCGTCTTGAGACTCGGAAAGATATTGGCGAGCCAGGCGAAGAGGATGCAGTAGCTCGCCACGAAGGCGAATTGAATGAGGGTCAGCGTCGCAGGCTTGTCGAAGGCCGTGAGAATGGACTTCGAGGACGTGTTTGTAAGGGCGGACGAGGTGTACCAGAGGACGCAGAGCGCCTGCGATGCGAGCTGTCAGCGCCAGCAAAAGACACGGAAAGAAGCATTCAAATAAGACTCACAATCAACCTTGGAGAGACAGGCGCCTTGAGCGCATCAGCTATCTCGTGAGCATTCTGGCCGACGCTTCCGCCTCTTGTCCGTATGTTGTGAATGGCGTCACCCAGACTCTTCTGCCTCCCGTGGCCATACCGCGTCGGCACTTGCTGCTGTCCCGGCGCACCCCATCTGACGCCGCGACCCTGCAGACTCTCCTTTCTGGGTTGCCAGCGGTCGCCACCTACGGGCGCTCCTGGCAGCGCATAGCCGTTCGTCTTTGCCGGGCTCGGCGCCCTCGAACCGTTGGTGAGGTGGGAATCGATGTGGTCGGGGAACTTCTCCATGCCGCCGTTGCCGTTGGCAGAGAGGGAATCGCTATCGCCGTACGGTCTTGGTGAGTACTGCGACCGATTGACCGAGGAGGTTTGTGTTGTAGAACCGGAACTTGTGGAGTGAGGCATGACGCGAGCACTGGGGGAAATTTGGCGGGGACAAAAGTTCTTGGTATCAAGACAAGGTATCCCGTAATCCGTAGCTGATAATGCTGGCAAGGGTGTGGTGTGCGATTCTCGTAAATTAGTTCCTCTAGGTATCCGTAGGCCTGGTCCCTACTGGAGATATCTCATGTAACGGAGAAAACGAATGACTGATGCGGCAATCATGCGCGAAGAGGAGAAAAAAAAACTTTACACTTGCTTGAGGTTGAGCATTGTCTCTGGCTTTGTGTAAAGTCGATTTTCAGATGGCGACGCTCTGATGGTGGGAGGCCAGGCGTTCTCTCTTTCGCATGGAGAAAAAAAGTCTCGACGCCAGGGCGAGATTTACACGTACCTACATACAAAAGTCAGCTCCCTAAAGTTACCAAGGTACCTTGCTAGGGGAGCTGTTCTCATCTCAATCAATCGGAAATCCCACGGTGCTGCAGCGCGGCTTAGGAATGGCTCGTTTTCAGTGGCTGCCATCCCTGCTGAGCAAGGGGCAGAAACGCATCCCCCCACGGAGCTCGCCCACCAGTGTCACGGCATTCAACAGCCCGTGCCCGGACACTAAACCCGCTGGAAGACCGGCGCAACGGGTTCCATTGGGACCTGCTGTTTGCACGGCGTCGTGGCATTGACGGGAGACGCCTACGGGCTGCGGCGCTGCTGGATGATTAGTAACGCCGCCTCCCGACACGACTTGGCAAGCACTGGACGGCGCCGGTCCAAGCTTCTGACTTTGGAGCATCGCGAGTAGGTACGTACCGTTGTCGGCCGTGATTATGGGCCCACTTAATTCTAAAGCAGTCCAAAAGTTTGGCGCGGCTGTCACGCATCGCCAGTCGCCTCCAGAGGGCTGCTAAGCAATCGACTCCCACTTTCATCTGTCCCATCGCATTGTGATTCTCCTCAGCCCAATCCTGCGGCGCCCGCAGCACTACCATCGTTTTGCGTTCCACCAAAGCATGCGCCCTCGCATAGACCCGAAAAGATTCACCATAGCCGCAGTGGTCTGCTACGTCGTAACACAAGCTACACCAAAAGCGTTCAGCTCCACGGCGCATTTCGATTCAAGATGGCGGCCCCAAAGATGACCAAGAACCAGATGCGGAGGGCGAAGAAGAAGGAGCAGAAGAAGACCCAGACAGAAGTGCGTTATCTGCCCTGTATTGGTGCATGCGCGTGTGATACTAACGTGAAGGACAAGCAGGTCGCGTCAAACACTCCCGAGGTCAAGGACGACGAGGAGAAGCCCGACGAGACTGGGGCAGCACAAGAAAAGCCTGGCGACGATCTCGAGGTTAAGAACGGATCCGAGACCAACGCAAAGGTCGAAGCCGATGGCCCTGCCGACGATGAATTCAACTTTGACGACGAGAGGTTTGCCGCGTTCAAGGATATCTTTTCAAAGTTCGGCGTCGCAATAGACGAGGATGAAGTTTCAAAGGAGGCCAATGCGGGCAACACGGGTGAGGTACTGTGGGACGACGACGACATTCCCAGCGAGGACGAGGAGGCATCAGGACAGACGAAGCTCTCCAAGAAGAAGAGGAAACAACTCAACAAGCTCTCTATTGCGGAGCTGAAGGCTTTGGTCAAGATACCCGATGTTGTCGAGTGGCAGGACACCTCATCCACAGATCCGCGCCTTCTCGTGCAGATCAAGGCGCAAAGAAACGTGGTCCCCGTCCCTGGCCACTGGGCGCTGAAGAGGGAATATCTTTCCTCGAAGCGAGGTATCGAGAAACCGCCTTTCCGGTTACCAAAATTCATCGCCGAGACGGGCATTACGGAAATGCGTGATGCCGTCCTCGAAAAGCAGGAGCAGCAATCTCTGAAGCAGAAGCAGCGCGAGCGTGTCGCCCCCAAAATGGGCAAACTAGACATCGACTACCAGAAGCTCTACGATGCCTTCTTCCGCTTCCAGACCAAGCCGGAACTCACGCGGTTCGGCGAGGTGTACTACGAGGGCAAGGAGAGCGAGGTCGACTTCCAGCACTTCCGGCCGGGTGACCTGACCGAGGCCACAAAGGAGGCCTTGGGTATGCCGCCAGGCGCACCTCCACCATGGCTCATCAACCAGCAACGATTCGGCCCCCCTCCATCATATCCCACTCTCAAGATCCCAGGACTCAACGCCCCGCCGCCGCCAGGTGGCTCGTGGGGTTTCCATCCCGGCGGCTGGGGCAAGCCCCCCGTCGATGAATTCAACCGCCCTCTGTACGGAGGTGACGTCTTCGGTCTCACAAATCAGGCCGGCGCACAAATCGCACCACCCGTCGCCGCGCCCCTGGCCACCGGTGAGCCCGTCGAGAAGACTCTCTGGGGTGAGCTGCAACCCCGCGACGAGGAATCGGAAGAGGAAGACTCGGAAGAAGAATCCGACGACGAAGAAGAGGAAGACGAGGACGGCCCCGGCGGTGGCCTCGCCAGCCCGAGCGGCATCGAGACCTCGGGCGGCATGGTCTCGTCTGTGCCGACGGATTACCCGGGCCACGGCGTCGAGACCTCGGTGGCGGGCGAGATGGACCTCCGCAAACAGCGCCGCGGCTTCGACACGGAGGAGAGCTCGCACCCGCGCTCGGCGTACCAGGTTATTCCCGAGCGGCAGCAGCGCACCGAGGGTTTCTTTGGCAGCGACAGGGTATACGACCTCAACCAGCAAAAGGCAAACATGCCCGTGCTCGGCCAGGAGGACGACAGCCGCAAGCGCAAGAAGCCCGGCGACTTGGACGTCGCGCTCGACCCGGACGCGCTGCTCAACAACGACGGCATCAGCAAAGACGAGGTACGGCGGCGGTTCGAGGAGGGGAAGCGCGAGGAGGGGCTTGGTGCCAAGTGGGCGTACGAGGAAGACTTGTCCGAGATGATTGCGCAGGAGTCGCGTAAGAGGCAAAAGGTGGATGAGAAGCGCAATGATGAGAAGAAGAAGCAGAGCAAGTACAGGTTCTAAGAACTGGTGGCTTATTTTTTATGTTGAAAAATATATGCTCCGCTCAGTCAGGAGGGAGTTTGAAGGTGAGAGTAGTGAGGGAAAGAGAGAGAAACTGTAATGGTATTGCTTGAGACTTTGGCAGTTTGCCTTTGAGTCTTGAATGGTTTTTTATGTTGCAATAGGGGCATCGGCGCCGGATTGGGCATACAGAAATTCTAAATGTTGTTTCGCGATTTCGATGATCCCATGCATGTTGGTCTTTGATATCCGGTTTAAATCGATCTGAAAAACAACCAAGCTAGAAATCGCAAAAGATTTTCTTCCTCTTCACGCTCACATTCGACTGTAAAGAGGCGATTTACTCATCATTGCAAAGTGAGATGCAATTAATAAAATTTCATGTCTGATGCCTCTAGAATTGCCGTCTCTATCGGCTGCCCCAATCATGATGCGACGCCGTTTGCCCCATGCATATGCCATCCGCTTTGTCTTCGAAGTGGAAAATGATAAGCTTCTTCTTCTTCTTCTTCTTCTTCTTCTTCTCTCTCTTCCTTCCCCTCGCACACACATTCGCCCTCTACCCCCTGTCTTTCTCTCTCCCATCCTCTTCTCATGTACGAATTCCTCGAATTTGGCGAGTGAATATTTGCTTTTATACACGTATGCGTCTTGATTCCACGGTTGGCAGTGGCTGGGCTATCCTCTTACGTCCGCTCTGCCGCTGGTCTGTCAAAGCACTCATTGCAGACCCAATCCGGGTCCTCAACGCTCATCTTTGCGTTCTCGCTGATGCAATCCGAGTGGTAGAGCCGTTTTGAGCATTCCTGTAAACAGTATTTAGCTGGCGTCGTTGATAAGGTTAATAACAAGTGAATCACTCACCAGATTGGTACACAGGAGGAGCCTCGGTCCCAGAACAGTCAGCCCACACACCAAGCAGCCACCGGCACTCTTGCGGATATGAGGCCCCTGAGGCGATCCCTTGGGCACCAGCGTCGGGTACTCTCCGTTCTTGATGCCGAGTTTCGCCTTGCGTGTTGCAATGTGGTCGAGGGCCTCAACGACGGTTCCGTGGTCGAGACTGCTTCGCGCCAGCAGGTACGTAAAGTGCTTGCCAAACTCAGTCATGCGAGAAGGCGAAGAGAGAAGCCACTCTGACTTGAGCCTCACAAAGCTTAGCCACGCCGCAGGGAAGTATATGCTAGACGAGAGGCGCTTGGTGAGCATGAACTTGTCCCATTCCTGCATGTACTCCCTCTCGTCTGGCGGGACATCAGAAAAGTCCGCTAGGGCGTCACGATGCCACTGGATGAGCCACTTATCGCTAGCGGGTGGCTTCTTGTATTCGGCGCCTGGCTGTAATGTGGCCCTGGTGATGGGGTCATAGAGCGTCTGGCCAATATCTGGTAAAAGCACCTTCGAGCGTGTCTAGTAGAGTCAGCAAGCTTTTCGCAGGGTAATATGCGAGAGAACGAACCTGAGCGGGTTTGGCAGGCGGTTGTTTGCTGCCGCGACCTGGTGGTTGAGGACCTGGTGTGCTCTGATCTTCGGTACCAAACCGTGATGTTAAGAATGATGTATTGCCCTCTGCGAACTGATCCAGATCGAACGCCTTTGTAGGTCTTCTGAGAGCGAAAGGCTCCGGACTAAATGTGTACGTCTCATAGCGGTGTGCTACTTCGAACTCGGCGCCTTTCGCGCGAGACTGCGGCCGGAACTCATACTGGTCGTGTAGACTGATGAGGTGAACCTGCAGCTGAGGGAGAGAGCTATGTGGCATGCCGCATGTGATGCAGCGGAAGGAATCCAGGCAGACTTTTTCGCTGGGCAGATGATATGTGACGGTTCCCTCTTCGACGGCATTCGCGGCGGCGCGTTTCTTCCGCTTCTTGTCCCTGCCCTGGGCCTTGTCACTGAGGACTTTCAGGTTGTAGTTCTTGGTGGCGCCGCGCACTCTCAGAGACCGGTTGGGGGTGAGTTCTTCTTCGAGATCCTCGTCCACGTGGACATCCCCATTAAGAGCGCCGTTTCTGGGAGCCTTGACTGGAGTTCCCGGTGGACTCTCGTATAATGGCTCCTGACCGTAATCCGTGAGAAGTGAGTCCTGCGCCGCTAGCATGCCGGATACTGTGATGGAGGGTTCTGTGCCCGCTTCCACAGCCCGAATCTGGCCTGCCTCAAAGGCGGTAGTCCACTGCGCATCGATATCAATGACATGCTCTGTCGGGCCAAGGGATTGCGGCGTCTTCTTGACTTTGAGGTTCAGTAGTGCCTTCCTGCGTGTGAATAAATCTGACGATGCGGCAGCGAGGACCCAGTGTATAGCTTCGGTAGGGTTTGCATCGTCGCCTGAAGAGTTGATATTGATGGGAGGCCAAAAGGTTGGACCGGCAGCTTCGAGCTCGACACAGAGACGGTAAGAGTCAGCCAAGTCAAAGGAGCCATTATCGTCGCGATTGATGCGCATGCTGTCTTCTGGGATATAGAATGGGCGTTGCAGGCAGATGCGCGCCATCCGATTTGGGCCGCCAGGATCCTTGAATGACCTGATATCGCAAAGCTGGCTGTTACAGTACAACAGCACTTCACCAGCTTTGGTGACATGAGACAATGAAACCTTGCATCGCGCTTTGAGATTTACAACATCGTCGGAAGGGGCGACGGATATTCTTTTTGAGGCCCTGTGGAAGATCCTGTTGACCTGGATGCGCAGGTTGCGCTGCAGGTCGCCAACGTCTCGTGCCTGAAATATTTGGTCGGCGAGCTGATGATCGGCATCCATGCGATGGCGCTTGTTAGGGCGGACTTCATGATGAGCGTTGGAAACATCTCCGGAAGCAGCGGCCTTGGAAGCCGAAGACTGGGTGTTTCCCATGCCTTGCAAGATGTTCCTCTGGAGAAAAGGGGTACTGCGCTGGCGCCGCGAGTGAAGCGTCATAGCTGGTGAAGGGGGACCATGAGAGGTTTATAGAGATAGTCCCGCTTGGTGCTTCCCAGAAAGGCTAAATGAAGACTGTAAGCCTTCAAATCTACCCTGGGTGTGATTGCCCCTTACTTCGCAAAGCCCGCTTCAACGTGGTGAGCCAGAGTGGAAGAAGAATGTCTGGTCTCGATGCTCATTGAAGGACTGCAAGTGAGAGGCCGAGTCTCACGAGAAAGGGGCAGTGAGGCACAACCTCACTGTTGTCTCCTTTCTGGCGTCTTGAAGCAGAAGATCTCCAGAGTGGCGGGCTGCACAATTCGGATAAGGCGCAAGTCTGGTTTTTTTTGTCCCAGACCTGAGCCAAAGAGGTGTCGTGGTGACTCGTGAGCAATGCGACAGGAGGGCCGAGACAGTGAGTGGGACCTAACGAACGAGACGCGACCGCGACTCGGGTCTTGGTCAGGAAAAAGGAAAAGAAAAAGTAGCCCGGTCGGCAGGCTGCTTTGACAAAAGAGAGAAGCGAGCCTAAAATATGACGGACTGTAGACTAGAAAACCATGTTCTAGCTTTGGCTGAAGAAAGGCGGCGCGTTCCTGACGGTCAAAAGTGGTGGCGCTGGGCGATGACAATAACAGGAACAGGCTGTGGTGATAGAGCGGGAGTGGAAGCGCGTCGTCGTTGATGGCCCAAAAAACGTGGATCATCCACCCCCGGTGCAATTGAATTTTGGAGGCGGACCGGGGGCCTTCTGCAAACCGTCTGTCACTGGCCAGGCTCCCTAACAGTGAAACTAACTGGGTGCTATGAGTGCGGTGTCTTCCACTGTGCTTTGTGCGGCGTGCCTGCTCTGGCTGGCTTTTGGGGCCTTTGGCTGCGGATACCTACCTTACGGGGTACGTTACTCGAGGAAGCCAGTAAGACATGTTCGTGATTGGCCATGCCCTGCTGCTAGTGGGTCCATTCTCTTCGGGCGAAGCGGAAAGCATCCGACTGCGCAGATGCTCGCTCCGACAACCAAATCAAGTTGGTCCTGCTTTCCGCACTATGGAACCCTGTCTCGAATCTCTTAAACAAATATTTCTGTTCCTTTAGGCCAACTTGCACTTTAACATGACATGATGTTTTCTTCCAGGGCAAGAGCTGCCATCCGCACGGCAACTCGGAGCAAAGCAACTAACAGCCAATCCTTCCTTGCCTTGCCGGCTAGGATTGACTTGCTCCTTTCCAAGCCTCCGACACTCTGCAGTGCAGCATCCTTTGTGTCGTTGCTGTTGCGCCAGGGAAACCTGATGCTGCCAGACTGCGAGCAAACTCATTCTCAAGAGTTGAGAAACCGGAGACTTCCACTTGTCTGGCAGTATTTTCCTCATAACGGCGCACAGGCCATGTGTTTGCGGGGACCCTCGACAAGCGTCTAGGTAGGCAGCCCGCGGCAGCCTTGAGGTGCTCCAAGACGCTAGTGCAAGGCTGAGAGCTGCTTCTTGTTGGTGGTTCAGTCACTGTTGCGCGCACCTGCCCCACTAACTCCAACTCCAACTCGCTCGCAAAGGTGTGAACCTTCCTCGACGAGCCTCTCCAACTATCCTAATCTGAGACTTCCCTTCCACACAAGCGTGTCGGTGTGCGCACTCGATTCTTCCTCCATCTCTAGTTGCACATCGTATGAGCAAATCGCTGCTGCAACGTGCCGTCTTGCTTCTTTACAACGGACTTCCGGCCGCTGGCGCATACCGTCGCAAACGTCATCACTCGACAGCTCAACCAAGCATGCGCTAAGTCTGGTGTGCACTCCGACGCTCTTCCGACTGGCTATATCACCAGAAAGCTCTGCGTATAGTTCGAGTACAGGTTAGTCACCGAGTCCAAGACAACCTTCATTGAGACATGCCCTAAGATGCGACTCCTTTCAATGCAGGGCACATCACTACTACGCCATGGCTTCTAAGCGGCAAGCCACAGCCTCGAGACCTCGTCGCGACTCGGCGAGCGCTACAGGTTCTCATTCTACCGTCAATAATCGAATGCGAGTCACCAAACCCGGACCCCGACCGTCTCCGAATAAGCCCACCGATGGCCTCCGATCCAAGACTCGATCCTCGACCCGCTCCCACATTCAGTCATACGTTGGCATGGAAAGTTCTGATGAAGAAGACTCCGTCGCGGACGAACCCGAAGATTTTGAGGAATCACCCCGTACCTCACGCAAGAGTCCCCGAAAAACGCCGACCAAGGCTAGAGACGGAGGAGGGGCTAGGCGGGCCGGCACCAAACGCAAGTCAACCACAACCGCGCGAGACTCTGCCCCTAAGAGAGGCCGAGGTCGACCTCGCAAAGTGGAGGCTTCCCCGCGGAAAGCCAAACACGACTCCTCAGACGAATCCGACGACATTGGGTCCGAAGACGAACTCTCAGATGCCGAAAGTGCTCCCAAGACCACTCCGGCTAAGCCGCGTGGAAGGCCTCTGAAGACAAAGGCGGATGTCGAGATGAACAACACAACTTCTGTTATCATACCAAACTGGCTCGACCCTCAAATTGCGCATTCAATCTGGGTCCAGATATTTCAGTTCGCGGCGACTTCAGGCGATGAGCAGGATACATTAGACGTCAACTGGATTCTCCACACGGCTAGAGCGTGTAGGCAATTTGCTGATCCGGCATTGACCGTTCTCTACAAGTGCCCACCGATACGGGACGAAACCAAAGCTTATGCGCTCGCGGAGCTACTCGAGAAGCCGCCATCGCAGACCGCTTTCAACTACAGAGCAAAAATCGAGGCCCTTCACATCGATGTGAGACTGGTGTCTTTACGAGGTCTTACGTCGCCACTGAAGCTGATGCAGAACTTACCACGTCTCAAGGAGGTCATGCTCGTGCATGGATATGACCAGGCCCCTTTCCGAAAGCTAAAGGAATCCATTAAGTGGACTTACCCTGACGAGCTCTTTCAAGCATTCGAGGTGTCGCCTACCGCAGATGCCAAGGCTGGGGACAAGACTGCGATAACTCGGCTCCAAAGCTGGCAGTGGAGCTCTCGGCTGATGGACAAGAACTGGGAGGCTAGCCTTGCGAGGCTTCAAGAAGTTCATCAGATGCCGAGCTTCGTCCCTTTACGGAAACTCAAGTTCGTAAACTACCAGATGCCGTCCATCAGACTGGACAAAGATCCCGAGACCAATCCCGAATTGCTGGCTGAAGATCAGAAGTCTGTGAGCCTGCTTGCGAACTCTATCCTGGCTCTTCCCAATCTCGAGGATCTGGTTTTTGAATCCTCGACCATTATTACTACGTCCCTGTTTCCCTTGCTCCCAGCAAAGCTGAAACGCCTAGAGCTAGTGAATTGCGCCGAAGTCATTGCCGACGATTTCAGCCTGTTTCTGGTCACGAAGGGACATCAATTGCAGTCGCTCGTGTTGAAACACAATCGCTCCCTGAACCTGTCCTTCCTCACAGTGCTAGGAACTGCCTGTCCGCATCTTAAGGAGCTGCGTATGAACCTGCAGTACTTCAGCTTGTTGGAGTCGAGCAATGATCGACTCCCCTCATATGACACACTTTTGCTTCCGAACGAGGTTCCTAGCTGGCCAGCATCTTTGCAGGTGGTACGTTTGGAGAATCTCCGCCACTGGAGCTCTGGCGCAGCTGATACTGCGGCTGCGGAAGCCTTTCTTCAATCATTGATTGATAGCGCTAAAGACCTGCCGGATCTTAGACACATCTCGATCAAGGCAATGCTCAGCATTTCCTGGCGATCACGAGTCGAGCTCCGCAAGTCGTGGCAGGAGAAGTTTGAGAAGATCTTCCTCCGGCAAAGCCCCGACCCAAGGCCACATTTCACCCTCCAGAAGCCGCTACCCGTCGAGCCATCTCTCCTGGTCGTTTCGAAGCGCAAGTCCAAGAAACCTGCCGCAGAACCAGCTCGGCGGAGCAAACGAGTTGTGTCCCATGCTTCGGGTACCTCTTCTCGCGCTAGTAGCACGTCGAGGGGGCTTCGTGGCCAGCTGCAGAAGCCCAAGTCATACGCGGAGCCCGACAGCGATGAATTTGACTCTGATAGCGATGTCGAAGTGGAAGAGCCATCAGAAGATTCCAATCAGGGTGAAACCGACGAAGCCGCCGAAGGAGCAGCGGCAAACACATTCGTTCAAGGCATGTGCAACGTCGTTGATATCCACATCGACAACCAAAAACCTCGGGAGCACCAGTACAGCATGGATGACTTCCTGAACGACGAACGAGACTTTGAGGTCGATGACGAATGGGATAGCGATATGGATTACGAGTAGGATTGATTGTCTATTCGCTTCCCTTTGTCTACGAGAGATACTCGCTTGACCTTTTTGTCATTTTGGCTTTCGCAGAGAAGCACCAACGACGAGGCAGTTTCTCTCGCATATTGTGTAACATTACAACTTGGCCAACTTCTATACACACGCGTTCATGGCTCGAGGCCATGGGAGATGAGACGGCGGAGTGGGCAATGGTTTGGCTTCGGATTATAGGGAAGGGCTTGCTTGAGAGGAACTCACTTGGTCGGCCAGCAAGGGTTTATGGAAACGAATATGGATTATGAACTGATGGTTTGGACTGAAAAGCCAGAATGAAGGCTGGTTCGAGGCACTACGACACCCAAGATAACCTACCAAACTGAGAGGTAGGTATATCAGACTATGGCTTGTCCTGTATCCTACGGTACAAAAGAGGAAGCAATAAATGGTTGCTCAATGATCAAGAAATGTTTCATCAACGCTAGCTCGCCTTCTTTTAAACTAAGGTAGGAGCCTTGGACATGTCTGATATGCCGCGGATCCCATTCGCTTCTCGTAATTAAGCAAAATAAGGCACAGAAGCTCCTTGGTACGAATTTCCTATGAGGAAGGAGGCACCCATCCGTCGAACTCACCCAGACGTATCCGTACGAGTGAGTATTCCGGCACCTGCCCAGTATACACACACAAAGGGTATATATACCCCCTCAATCCAAATCCCGTCACCACAACCAGCGGGCGCCTGTCTAGGCCGACGGGTCAGATCAAACTGGGATGGGTTGGGGGAATGGTATGTGGCTCGACAATAAAATTCCTTGCATGTGCACCAAGAGATATAGCCCCCAGTTCAACACCAGGGGGATCAACTCTTTCAACTCTTTTTTTCTTCTTTTTTTTCCGTCTGGTACTAAATAGAGTGACTGACAGACTGAGCTGACGTCCACTTGATTTTTGTGTTTTTCCTACAGGTAATGAAGCAAAAGCAAGAAGCGAGGAGGCAAGGGTATGTGCCTCCTCGACTGATGGATAACAGTAGTAGTAGTACATCTTCATCGCCGCTGTAAAGGGGGAAAAAGAGAAACAAGAGTCCAATGCCTCTCCCCTTCTCCGATCCACCAAAATACACAACAGAAATTCCACTCCCTCTATTCACTTCGACGGTGCTTCCCCCTAGAACGCGGCACCGCCCATGCCCTCACCAGCCAGACTCTTCAAGCTCTGCTCGCTCACATCCACCCTCGTCTTCCACGCCTTGGACTCCATCTCGAGCTTATCCCACATCTGGAGGCTCTGCCGCAACTTATCCTGCTTTGCATCCAGCTCCGCGCGGGCCTTTTCCTCTTCGGCCTTGAGTTTCTTGTAGTGCGGCTCAATGTCCCTCGTGATGCCCGTCGTCGTCGGGAGCAGAGACGGGTCGATCTTGCCGCCGGGGATGATGGGCGGCAGGGTAGCGAGCATGCTTTGCGCGAGCGTCAGGCGGACGTTTCCGGCACCGTGCTGCGAAGAAGGGCCGGTGGGAGGGTTGAAGGCTTTGGGCCCTGCTGACGATGTGCTTAACGGTGTAGTGTTGGAGGGGTTGGCGCGCGGACCGGTCGGGATGCTGGAAGGTCCGTTGCCAATGGAAGAAGGGGATGTCGTAGGGGCAGGAGCCTGACGAGGGGATGGACCGGACCACGAGCCTCGTCCCCCACGGGCGCTATATCCGCCGCCCCTGGCCGGAGCTACGTAGCCTCGGGGGCCGGCTGGAGGGATCGTCGGGCTAACGGCGTCTGCGCGCGAGGGTGGCACGCTCGGGGTCGGCGGGTGTCTAGGTGGCTGGACAGCTGGTGAGCCGGCGGGCGCAGTGAAGTTTCGGGTCGCGGCAGGGCCGGTTGGAGGAGCACGTAAAGCGGCGGGGCCTCGAGGTGGTGTCTTTGCGACCGGCGGGGCCGGCTCTTGGGGGGCGGCGATCGCGGAGGCGGCGGAAACGGCGGCGTTTGCGGTGGCGTTTGCGGCAGGCTTGGGTGCTTCGCGAATCGTCGTCGTCATCGTCGAGGACGATGATGCGGCAGAAGCACCGGTCTGAAGCGGTGTGGGTTCCCGCTCTCGCTCTCGCTGCTGCTCCCGCTCAACCCGCTCGACACGCTCCCCACGCTCCCTCGATTGCGGCCGCGAACGTGCTCGGGTGGAAGGAGGAGGATGCGGTGACGACTTGCCTGAAGCTGATCGAGACGTGATCGCTGACGAGATGCCAGAATCTCGGGGCGGCGAGGCCCGTCTGTAAGAGGATCCTACGTATCTCTCGCCACCACCGCCGCGGCGACTCGTACTACGAGACCGTGGACGGTAGTTGCCACGAGATGCCGGCGCAGGCGACCGCCGGGGTGGACTTCTGTCCCTGGGGCCTCTGTCGCGGCCGTATGGCGAACGCGACCGGCGTCTAATAGGTAATGAGACCGTAGTCTGCGCAAAGGGGGGCAACGAACGGTACCTGTCGTCCCGCCGATCAAAGTCCCTATCTCTGTCCCTCTCACGCTCTCTGTCTCTGTTGTCGCGGCGCGGCGGCGACCTAGCACGGTCGCTCCTCTCATCTCGAATGGCGGGAGATCTTCCAATGGGACTGCGGCGCCTTGAAGGGCTACGTCTCGGCGAGGGCCGTCTCACAGGAGGAGGGCTTCGAGTTCTATCCCGTCTGCGCCATGTGTCGCTCTGAGGGCGCGGGTCTCTATCGCGGGACCGATCACGTCGGTAACGCTCAGCACTGCGCGAGCGGCGGCGGGCGGGAGATCTTCCGGGGACGTAGCTGTCCGACGTCAGGGGCGGTGTGCGAGCGCGCTCTCTATCGCGGTCTCTGGATCTCGGGCGATCTCTCGTGTCTCTGGTATCTCGGTCCCTGTCTCTGTCGCGGTCTCGAGATCTTGGCCGGTCTCTGTCTCTATCACGATCACGGTCGCGGTCGCGATCGCGGTCACGATCTCTGTCTCGGTCTCGTTCGCGGTCCCTCAGTGGGCTTCGGGCTCGTCGAGGGGAGCGGTCTCCGCCGCCACCTCCGCCTCTAGGGAAGGGTCTCCAAGACTCGCCAGCGCCATACCTAGTGACCTCGCCGTCTTCGTACCTATAATCATTTTTGTCAGCTGATTCCGTTCATCATGGTCCAAACGTAGTTAGAAGGCCACGGGAGGTAGAAAAATGGTTGATGCAGTGCATGAGGCTCATGGCTCTCCGCCAGCCTGTGACAGTAGGTGATCACCGACAGGAACGGGAATCCGAGATGGGTCCGTGACAGGTGACAAGCTGGAAAGCAAGCGAAATACCCTCGCCGGTACCACAGGATTTCAGTCCTATGAGGGACACTCCGGTATACAGTGATCGTGATTTGTGCCAAGCTCAATCAGGTAGGCCCTGATGAGCTCGGGATGAACGGGTGGGAAAGACAACTGCCAACAGCGACTGCCACTTACCTGCTTCTCCGATCGCGATCCATATCTATTCGTGTCGTGGAATTGTAGCCTGCAGAAAGGCTGGGAGTAATGCTCGTAACAAAGCCTTTCGTGATAGGGTCGTGAATCTTTGCTTGCGCTGCGCGCGCGATGGTTGGGTTGGGAAGTTGGATGGGTCAGCTAAAATGCGCGCCAACGCCAAACGTCAATCGTTCCTCGGATGGAGCAGGGTTCCTAAGGATGCAAGCAGCAAAAAGCGCCCGAGGATTAGGATCGGGCCCCCCCCCTGAAAACCAAAGGGTACCCACAAAACGGAGGCTGGGGACCAGCTATGAAGCGCGATCAGACGCGCTTGGTTGGATAAGATAAGGATCACATCGGCTGTTGAGCCAATGGGCATGTGTCGGCGGACGTCAGTGCTGGTCCACAAGGCATTCTTTTAGCTGGGACCAATCAGAGCTTGGAGAATTGACGATGGGCTGGGATGTTAAGTGATTTGCCGGAAAAAATTGTGACCCCACGACGAGGCGAGTATTGAAGAGGCCAACAGCTAGACCACGGAAACTATTGTGACAACTGGAGTCCAAGGAGGGGTCCACTGACTAAGTCTCTTTTACTCTTGGCGACTTGAAAAGGAGTGACGTACTTACTGTGTGCCAAAGCCAAGTGCAAGACTATTTTCACACAATGGCCAAAAAGCAAAAGATAAACCCGATGAGTGGCTTTGCCAATCGCGGTGAGGATTTGAGCCTCACGCGGGGGTCGAACCCGCAACCTTGAGATTAAGAGTCTCACGCTCTACCGATTGAGCTAGCAAGGCGGGTTGTTGGATGGATGCTGTGATCCACTGTTGGGAAGGAGGGCCACGACTCATCTCTTGACCCCAACTTCACCTTGGTGACCGAGTAATGTCTCTCTCCCACCTTGCCTCACGCAGAGGAAGGCCAGGAAGATAGTTCGGGTTCGGGGCAACATGGTTCGCATTGTGGTGTTGTATCAACAGAATTCTCTCGCGAAATGCCTAAAGTACGTTGGTGGCCGCCATCCCGCGCTCGAAAATTCCTCGCTCCTAAAAGTGTCTTCTCTTCTCAGATCGTCCGCCTCCCCCTGACAAGCGTGCTGCCGAGCTGGATTCTATCTCCGTCCTCAACGCCAACCGACACTTCGTTTCCCATCTGTATATTTGCTGCACTGGACGCGCCTCCTCCAGTATATTGTCTCGTGCTCGAGCTCCCAGCGTTACTCCGCTGGCATATGTCAAGTCATCTTATCGTCTTCCGTAGTATCACCATTCTGCCGTGCGGCAAGCATGTCCAGCATCCAGCTCTGGACCTCCTTGGCATGTGTATTCGCCATCTTCTGGGTGCCATTTTCCGGACTCCGGATTACCGTTCCGAAACGGCGCTTACTTACTCTGTGCTTTGTGTCTGCACGAGACCAGCACGCGTGATCGTGCTCAACGAAGATCTGGGAATGATCCTTGTACCAAGGTGCAAGCTCGGTGTCGACGTCAGACTTGACGGGTCGCAACATTCCCTTGATGAAGCAAGCGACTCCGGCAATTCTGGCTTTGCAGTCTGCGGTAAAATGGTTAGCATGGGAACAGCACGTTATTGCCATGTTGTGAAGAGACATACCTCGTCCGGTCAGGAGCGCCCTGACTCCACTGTACGACCGACCTACACCAAGAAGAAGGATATCGTCGGCCTCCTCGTAGAGCTGGATGTAATTGTCCCATAAGTAATTCGCCAGCTCTTGAAGCTCGCCCAGAAGCTCAATCTCTCCTGTCTGTTGGTTGTAAGGTTCCATATCTTCGTCTCGTAGAATCTTATTCGGAACGTTAACGTCCATGACCGCAATGCCTTGGCCAACAGCCCAATCGATATACTGTTCGACGCTGTCGACGACCCATGCGTTGTGAGATTCCACGTGACGGTCAACCACATCAGGTTGAGCCAGCACCTCCGGCGGATCATGAAAGATGATGAGGATACGACGTGCGGACGGAATGTCTGGCGTGACAAGAACCTGGTTCTCGTAAGACTTGAAGAGCATGTCCCTTTGTATAAAAAGAGGGATCATCTGGTGGCGTTGTGACAGGGCCTGCCTTTGGCCGAGCCTGATGTGGTCGTTGAGTCGTGTTGCATGTAGATCTTGAATATCCGGCATCGGAATAATGCCAGGTCTCATGCATTCCCAGTACGGTGCGTGGTAGCTCTGCACCTTGGCGAGGACCCTGGCTGCGTCCTTATTCAAGGATGGCAAGTCCATCCTCGGTGGCGGTTCTCCCATCAGCGTACGGGCGACTGACACCGCTGACGTTGAGATGGCTTGCAGATTGTACCCGCCCTCGAGGCACACAACGACCTTGCCTTCTGCCAAGGACATGAGCATGTGGGTCATGTGTGCGTAGCAGGCAGGGCTCACGAAGCAACCACCGAGCTCGTCTCCGTCGGCAGCGTCGAATCCTGCGGAAATGACCACCAAGTCGGGATTGAACTCTTTGGCGATAGGCATGATGATCTTTTGGAAGGCGGCAATATACTCGCCATCCCCCATACCCTGATCGTGCCATCCAATGTTGATGTTCCTTCCCAGTCCGGGTCCTGTACCGCAGTGTTCGAGACCTCCATCCGGTATTTCTGCATTCTCTGGCGGTCCGGGGTAGAAGACTCCGTTTTGGTAGACGTGAAGGGAGATGTACAGAACATTGGGATCATCGTAGAAAATATTCTGAATGCCATTGCCGTGATGAACGTCCCAGTCCAAGATGAGCACCTTTCTGCAGGCCTCTGGGTACTCTTGCTGGCAGATCTTAACAGCGACGGGTACGTTGTTGAAGAAGCAGAAGCCGAGGGGTTGATCGTATTCTGCATGGTGACCAGGGGGTCTGATGACAGCAAAGGCATTCTTGACGTTGCCCTCGACGACATGCTTGCAGGTGTCGATGGCGCCGCCGCAGGACAGAAGGGCCGCCGTGAATGTCAGACTGCCGACATAGAGTGAGGCACGGCCCTGGTCATATTGCCGGCTCGTTTCTCTCAGCGTAGGGTAGTCCATCTTCGATAGGCTCTCGACCCAGTGATAGTGTAGCGGAGTGTGTGTCGTAAGAATTTCTTCCTTGGTCGCTTCGCGAGCGCCAATCCTCCACATGTATTTCGACGGATTGTGGCGCATTGTTTCGGTGAGTTTGCTTTCCGGGCCGTTGAAAACCAGGCCATTCCTCTTGAATGCTTTGAAGATCTCCTCTATTCGGCGAGGGTCTTCCGGATGATGAGGCGTAGTTCCAAAGTCGGCGTTGACGTGAAGCTTCATGCGGTCATCGTAGCAACATGCCGTGGGCAGTAATCCTCGTCTGCGCACCGCGCCATCGTCTGGAATTTCCTCGGACTCTTCATCATACTCTTCATCCTCGTCGTCGGGCGATGTGGTATTCTCGTCTTTTTGGACCCCATCAGCAGACACCGCAACTCCGTTGGTGGCCGCGGTGTCATTTGAAGGCTTATCGTCCCCGCCCATGACGACGTCCGGGTCGCCGCCTTCCATGGTCCAGAAACCGGCTGTGTCGACACGCCCCAAAACGCGAAGGATGCTTATCGCGAGCGACCTGAGGTCAGGATAGTGTCCGGAACTTTGAGTAGCAGCGCAAGATCGTCGTGGCTAAGCAACAGAGGCTTGCCAGAGTACTGATGGCCGGGGTGTTTTGGGCTAGGACGGAAGGCAGTCCTAGGCCTCAGAAAGATGAACAGGTCCGACTGAATGCTCTGTCCTGTCCCCGGAAGCTTATCGATCTCCAAACACGCAGAGAGAAACACCACAGGTTGCCCAGAATCAGACGATCTTCTACTTTCAGGTTAGTTATATATTCAGAATTCGTCCGGGCGCTGGAACATGAGGAACAGCAAGGCAGGCCAAGTGAAAGACAAAGTGTCTCTTTTCTGAGTTCCCGTTTCGAAAATGCGCCTCTTGAATAAGTGATAGCAATGAAAAGATCTGTCGTAATGAAACTGAAGACTGACGAAGCTCGAATGAAGCTTCTTTATTGCTCGGCCTTGATGAAAGGGAAACGGCGTTAAGAGAAACATTCAAGATGCGCCATCTCGGCCAGCTCGCTTGATGATGAAATAGAAGACTGATCAGACTGTCGCTTGACTGTCATAAATAGAAAAAAAGCACTTTGAGAAATAGCGACTGACCTTTGCGAAAACGATGGCTCAACTGTGGCTGCCGACCTAGATGAGATCAACACTGAGATCGGATAAGCTCGCCGCCAGCTGTAGTAGGTCGGTCTGTCGCAAGTCTGATTACAGCGCAGCGCCTGCAGATGTTGGTCGTATATCGGGTGTAAGAGGTGAGTTCGAGAGAAAAGAGATATTAAGAACAAGGTTCCAGATGCGCAAAGACAATGCGCCACGCTGATGGAGGACAATGCCGTCGTGTAGGACGACTATTAAGTGAGTGGCCGGGTGTGAGTGAGGATGGGAGAGGCTTGGGCCACTGACAAGGCGGGAGCTGGCCACAAGCTCGCCGCCTTGCAGGGTGCACCCGCCACACTTACGCCCCTGTAGGTCGCAGCCTTGCACTAGCTAAGACATCAAATCAGCAATCCACTAATTGCTGGGTTCCCGAATAAGGCAAGTTCAGTCTTTCTCTTTCATCTCTCTGGACCACATCTCTTTCCAACATTATTTTCGGGGTGATCATCCATAGAAGTGCAGTGAATCTGATAATTTCAGGCATCATGTTGCTTATCAACGAAGCCAAACGACTTTCTAGCATCAAGCATTGGTACTGCAAAGCAGTTGGTGTAGCTCATGCACGAGAGATGCGAAATCAACTTGACGAAGGTTAGGCAAGGCCATGAAATAATCACTCTATTAGGATATATCCACTCAGACAATTTCTGCCTCACTTTCAACTTATATAGCTCATCGTGAGATGATTGCCTCTGCGCGAGAACTCAGTAACGTTGCCCGCCATGGGAATGACTTCGCTCGGCCAGAGCTCGGCCATCGTCTCCTGGTGGTGCCCAAATCCCTCTCGGCCGCCGAAAAGCTCCTGGAGGAGGAATCGAGCCATCATGGCTGCCGTCACGACCAAGATGTTCGTCCAAGTCGTCATCAGAGGTAACAATGCCTCCGATGCTAGTCAAATCAGCAATGTCGTAAAGCCACGGCCGCTCGTCCGCTGCTGACTGGACCGCTGCTACAAAGGATTCCTGGTCCTGGGAGAAAGCGGGGTGCTTCAAGTTGACATCCGTCACCAGTCTCTTGCGAGGGTAGTTGAACAAGTTCTCGAAGTAAAACATTAGGTCTTCTGGATCCAGCTTGGCATATGTATCCACAATGCGTTCGCGAATGCTGGTTTCAATCATAGTCTCAAGCGGGCTGCTCTCGTCCACCTTCGGCGCTGTGTCAGTGTTTAAGTTTGAAGCGGAAGATGTCAACGTCACTTACAGGTTCGAGGTTCTGTTCTAGGTTCGGGTAGATGTAGTGCCGTACAAGATTCTTCATCGAGAAAAAGAGATCTCTCATCTCGATCAACTCGCGAGTTGAATGAAGTCTCATGTGACTGGTTCGGATATCGTTGACAAACGGCTCTGGCTGACCGCTCCGGGGACGAAGAAGTTCACCGTGAAAGTAAAAGGCGTATAGCCACCACCGATAAAGAGCCCGGCGAAGCTTAAACTTCTCTAGCTCGTCTAATTGACGGCAGTCCTCGGGTGTCGCGAACCAATGTAGTCGAGGGAATATTTCCTCCCACTGCCGTGCCACCAAGCAGTACTTCAGCAAGGGTTCCAAGTCCCGTTCAACAAGCGTGACCGATCGAGGTGACGGCAAAGTGGTTCTTGTTAGTTTGTCGCCATTCAAAGCACCTGCACTGTGTTGTACACCGCCTCGGGATAGAGTAACGCCCGTCATGTCGCCCGGGAATCGTCTGAAAACGACCCGTCGCGGCTGGAATGTATCTCCATACTGGTGCATGTCTTGGTCCGATGCTGTGAAGACTTGGAGAAGCTCAGGCAACGGACTAAACTCTCGCTGGAGAATTGGCAGTAAAATCGCCGCCTTGTTTCTTTTCAGGAGTCCATGGAAAAGAGTGTTAACCTGCGCCAACGAGAAGATGCTGCGGACATCGAGTTGATGGTAGATGTCGAAAATGATCTCCAGAGGCAGCCCTTCGAGGCCGTCTAGTTTGCCTAGGTCGCAATCTGCCAGGTCTGATTGCATCTGTGTGCCCACAAACAGTGATGAATAGGTTGAAGACATCTTGAAAGCATTCAATGGTTGTCTATAGCGGTCTATGTGTAATAGGGGCGATCGTGGTTTGAGGGTAGATCAAGGATAGGGAAGAAGTTGGTCCGACAAAGCAGTGCAGAGTCAAGTTTCGGGCTGGGGAATGTTTGTGATGAAAGGTTAGTCTGACGATTGTTCAGTCTGGTAGTTTTTCAAATTGACGATTATTCAGATGAACAAGTCAGAGAAGCAGCAAAACGCCCTCGGCAGCAAGGATGATACGAGTCGAATCTAGGAACAACTTAGACACTTTATCTCAAAGACAATGTTGGCAAACGCGCAACTCACGGGTGTATTGCAGCATATTGCTTTCAGGAAGCTTTCTTTCCTTGGACCTCGTCACGATGAGTTCCCCGGCGTCTTTTGATGCTTGCCTGCTGATCAAGGACGAACAGAATGAGCTAGAGCGCGTGGCCTAGCTTTGATGTCGAAGAGAAGCTCTGGATGAACGCTTCAACAAATGTCACCGGATATGGATCCAGCCACAAAAGATGTGTGTGTGTGAGTAATTTGGAGACGGGGTTGTCTCGTCTGGCCTCACGGATGAATGAAATCACCAGTGAGGTATCGGATCAATAGATTTACTTCCTGATAACCCCAACGTTGGGGCTATCAATAAAGGCGATGATGGTCGGCATTGTTTGCACAGAAGACACGATATTGGTCGAAATGGGCTGGCAGATGTCCCAGTTGGCCATGCTTGCTCACACAGAACGCGGTGCTGAGTTGCTGAAGCGGTGCTGCAGGAAGGAAACTTTAACGCGAAGGGGGAATCGGGACCAAGTGAGAGGGAGGGTACCTAGACGCGACGGTGACGGTGACGCAGAGGACATGCACCTAGGTCCCGATTGCTGACCTAATGTTGCTCAAGCTCAGGAGGTCAAGCCGCACAGGTACCGCGGGTTTCCAAGATGACGGAAGTTATCAACCTCCCTCCAGTGGGTTCCTTCCCCGGGCAATTGGCGTCAGGGGTGCCGTATCGCTCGTGATTGTGGCTAGGGTGCTTGCGGCGCATTAGCCAATCATTGAGAGGTTGTTGGAGCCTACCTGAGACCTCTGGGGTACGTATTTTGCTATCAAAAGCTTCGCGCCGTCCGTCTGAGTGATTGATGCTAGGCATACGGCTTTTACAACATCTGCCACTTGGCATACCTTACTCTTCTCAGTCTTCTTTGGTGCCCAGGGTTACTAGACAATTCAAGGTTCCATAGCGGGGGAAAAGATGAAGAAAAAACAATGTTGGCCCCTCGCCAGTCAATAAACTCAAATATGCCTGAGCAGCATGGGATCTCATTATTACGCAAACAGTGCCTTGGTATCCAGCTCGTCCTTCGCCGCGCCCTTTCCACCCTTGCTCCTGAGACCAAGCTCGCCTCTCTTTGCCGCCCGCTCTACCTCTTGCTCCGTCCGCGAGGTGTGGCGAGTAGACTTCTTCTTTCTCAGGTCCGCGCGAATCTGGTTCGGGGAGACAAAGTTTCGGCTCTCCCAGATCTTGCTTCCACACATGCTGCCTTCAAGTATGACAATCGGGGTTGCTGTGTATCGCGGGCCAATCTCCACCAGGCTGACGTCCGTCTTGCCTCCCCTGAGGACTGACTTTCCGGTTTCCTCCTCCGTCTCGGCGTCGACCTCCTTAACCTCGAAATCTAATTGTCGCATTGTTAGTCTTTTGAGACGTAGAGTGCGATGGGTTGGAGTTGTAAGACTTACAGCGGATCCAGATCTTCTCGTCGACCCAGCTGATTCCCATCACATGGTCCACGAAAGGCTTGGCCTTTCTCGCTCCCTCTGGAACCCCGAACACCATGGACATCAAGTTCTTGATGATTTGCAGGTGAGGTTCGGTGTCGAATGCAGCGTCGAAGGACAGTATAGGACGGCTGCCCTTGAGACAGTTGCCCGGGAATCGCAACTCCTCCATGGTCATAATATTCTGAATGTGTAGACGCACACTGGGGCCGTTCGGTGCCTTGTAGATGTCAGTATTGCCCATCCCCTTTGAGATTAAACCCCGTAGTGGAAACCACTCACGTTTGCCAGCCACATGTACAGGTCCTGGTGCTTCCTGGCCTCCAAGTAGCAAATCTGAGGTGTCGAGTTGAGCTCGGCGAGTTCGTTGAGGACGTGGAGTTTTGACTTGGTGTCGAACTAAAGCGGTTTGTTAGGATTGGAAATTGTCGACGAGCGCAGCGGGCCGTTACGAACCTTGCTGTCGACCTTCCCGTGGGGCATCATCGACGCGATATCGCTCATTAGGTGTCGGTGTCTGTTGAGGTCAAGGATCAGCAAGACTGCCGTGGCACATGAAGGTTTGTTGGCGGAGCTTCACCTGTAAGTGACGCCTCTGCTTGAAAGAACCAGAGCGCGCCTCTTCTGGCGCACCTTCTTGACGCCATTGGTGGGCGCCTCAGGCTTATCGGCCTTCTTGGACAATGACTTGTACACGGAAGCCATCTTGTCGGGTTGCGAAGGTGGTGTGTGGGGTAACTGGAGGCGTCGAAGATTGATGTTTGACACGAAGAAGATATCGCAGCCCACTGCAGAAAGCAGAAGCCGAGGGTTTGCGACCAGCCCAAATTTTTTCTTCCCGCTACGGATTGAACGCCCGATAAGAGAGCTTATCGGCAAGGCGGTGACCAGGTGTAGCGGGGCACCCACCCACATGAGAGGTTCCCTGTGGTGCCTGTGCACCTCGAACCTTTTTAAGAGGTACGTACATGACTTGCGCGCATTCGTTCCCTCTGCCCTGTCGCCCAGACCGTGTCAGAGTGTGCCACAGAAGGGGGGACAAGAACAAAACCGTAGGCTAACCCAACTGAAGAGCGAAAGGGGGGCTCGAGGGGCAGGGCCAGGCTTGAGGGGACCGTCACCGAAGGACCTACGAGTACCTAGCGCGGGCTGGGGGGAAAGAAACTTTGTGGATCGCAGCAAGCTTGCATGCCCACCTCAATTTCACTTTGCTGGAGCGCTTCAAGACGTCCTGACCAGTGTGATGCCAGGACATGGCTCGAGCAAGTCCCCAAATTTGGGAATGCGGTACTTCAATGTCAAGGCATGGCTGGGTTGACCACTAAGATATTGAGCTGGGCCAGGGGAAGAAGCCACCTTGGGTCGAGAGGAACACCTGTCATGACCGCAAAATCCCTACTCAGAAGGGGTACGTCAGAACTCACGAACACTTCCCGTTCAGGTTGAAGGCGGCCAACGATGCGACCCGTTTATTCCGGGTACCACTACACTCCAAGGACACTCGCCAAGGGATATCTTGGCTGCAATGTGTATGTTATATGGCGAAGAAGGGCCGTCAAATGGAATAGCCCAAAAAAGACTTCGCACATCACCAAATCAGCCTAGAAGACCCTCAAGGCATTAAGATGGATTCATTCAACTACGTAAGCATGTCAGAGCGATCGTCAGAAACGTCAAATCCCAGACAAGCCGCACTGAGCCGTATAAAGGAGAACAAAAGAAAGGCCGAGACTATACTCCGTCCCCTCGGAAATCATAAAAAAGACTCATTGGATTCCTAGTCATTCCTCGATGCAGCAGCCCCTCCTTGACTAAGTGACGTACAGATTCCGGGGCATGTATGTGACATGCCATGATATCGACCGTAGCAGCCCTCCCAAAAGGCCGTGAAACAGTTTCGCAGAAGGGGATTCGCCTAACAGCACTTGCCGCTCTTCTCTGCACTGTTGTCCGCGGGCGTGCTGAGCGAAATGCCGGCGCCGGCTCCGATCGAGGCTTGGGGTCCGTCGCCCGAGTCGAGGGCCTTGCTGGATACGATGCGGTAGATCTCTGCAGCGAGGCGAGTCACGTTAGCACCTGAATGTCACCAGATACTCGAGCTGTGTAGGCGAGCTGCAAGACGGGGGAGTAGACGAACCGGTCAAGATGTTCTGGAATGCAAGCTCGACGTTGCTGGCATCGAGGGCAGACGTCTCAATGAATGAAAGATGGTTCTCGCCTAGAGCACCAGTTAGCCAACTCGGGGTCTACGGCGCTCCCCCCTGACGCTTCACCGCAACGTACTGGCGAAAGCCTTTGCCTCTTCTGTAGGCACTGCTCGCAGGTGGCGCAAATCGCTCTTGTTTCCGACAAGCATGATGACGATGTTGGCATCGGCGTGGTCTCGCAGTTCCTTCAACCACCGGGTGACGTTCTCGTATGTCTGATGCTTGCTGATGTCGTAGACAAGGAGGGCACCGACAGCTCCTCTGTAGTAGGCCGAAGTGATGGCGCGGTAGCGTTCCTGGCCGGCGGTATCCCAAATCTGTGCCTTGATCGTCTTAGAGTCGACTTGGATGGATCTAGTGGCGAACTCGACGCCAATTGTCGACTTGGAGTCCAGGTTGAACTCATTGCGGGTGAATCGACTGAGAAGGTTGGACTTTCCGACGCCCGAGTCTCCGATCAACACCACTAGAAGATGAAACTGTCAGCTGGCCCTTGAGAAAGCCTGTGGCCATTATGCGATAACGTCGCAGGGTCGGATCGGTCGTTGGCGCACCTTTGAAGAGGAACTGTAGGAGGCTTCAAGTTAGCGCAAGGAGGGGGGCTGGAGAGCAGTTGGAGAGGGAGAGGGGCGGCAGCAGGACCAAGGGGTATGGGGGATTGAAGCTGGAGAGACTCACGTCATATTCGTCGTTGGCCATGATGTCGGATTGTGTTGCAAATGCGATGGACAAGTGTCTGGGGAGGTGTAGGTTCGTTGGTGTTGCGAAGCGTGGATACTGCGGCTCGATGGAGGTGGTGCGCGGCCCCGAGAGATAAAGCAGTTGAGTTGAAGCGAGGCAAGGTGTAAGGGTCTGGAACTGAACCAGAATGAGAGAGGTGGACAGTGCAGGTCAAGGCAGCATAGTGTGGTGGGTGAGGCAGCAAAGATTGAGGTAAGGTATGGAGGCCACAGAGACTCGCTCACCCGGAGGGTCGGTAGGCACCTACCGGTACCCCAGAGAGGGAACAGCCACTGAAGGAAGGGAAGTCGGGCGTAAGGTACCTGAGGTACCTTAATGGTAACTAGGTGAGGCGGGCGTCAGGTACCTGGGCGTGTTAGATACCTGGAGTTAGGGAGTGCCGCTGGGGATTGTTCCCTTCCCAAGGCAGCCCGGGCGGCAAGGGGGGCTTGTCGGGTCCCGAACGCTCGAAGATTGGGAGTACAGGAGATACCTCGACAGCCAAGGTACTTTAACGTGTGGTGCAAGTTGAAGAGATACCTTCAGGTACCGCGAGACTGAATTCTCGTCAACTTTTGATATGGACGACTACATTATGCGCTATTGAGCAGATGAGTAGGAGGCGGAGATATCCAAACCCCGGAGTATCAACAGATCTATTTCTGAAAGATAAAAGGGGCGTGTCTATCAAAAGTACAATCAAAACCATAAAGCCATTTATGGTGTTTTTAGAAACCATGAATTCAGCATCTCCCTGCCTCCAGATCATCAACTGGTGGGGTTGTCAAATAAATGGAACATCCATAATAGGTATGCAGGAAGGTCAAAGAGGTTGCTTTGGTAAGAATGTAGGTAGAGAGACGACACGCTGGCAAGGAAAGCACAAAAAGGTGATCAATGCCTTGCTCCCATCACTTGCTACCCATTCCCTGCCCGGGTACATCGAAGTCGAAGGGGGAAGATGAGGTGCTCCACGTTCCCGGATGTGCTGAACCCGCTGAGCCACACCACCGCCGGGCATGCACCAACCACGTTCGTCACATCGGCGTCTCCCTCGTCTGCCTCGAAGATTGGCAGGATGTAAAGAGGTCAGCAGTTAACTGAGGTGCTGGTGAGGTCCCAGGACAGGATCCCGCCGTCGGTAGCCGGAAGTGTCGCGTTTCACCTCAAGCATCACGTGTGCCCAAGCCGCGGTGCTCAGAGAGGACAACCTCAGCATGCTTCATGTCTTTTCCTCTGACCCAGCTCGCCATGTGCCCTGAGTGTCACACACAGCTTGGTCTGTACTGAAGTACCAAGAAAGCTGACGTCGTCCATTTGCACGCAGTGCCCCAAGCCACAGCACTCGATCTTCAACGGTACATGTGTGACACAAAATTCCAGATTGCGGCGTCCAGGACACGAGCTTTGAGGCAATCTGAGCTTTGGTTACCACTGAGGTTCATAATCACAGGTAGCTTAGGTTCTACAAGTTGTCTAGGTAGATCAAGTGAGGTAGATTTTAAACAGTTTCCTTGCCAGTTGAGGTGATCATCTCTGAGTCGTCAATACTGGCAGGAGAGGTTCACATTTGCTTATCCGCACTCACCTTACCCAGCTATTGTATTAGTTGATCAGAGTACCGGTAGGTATCCGTGGAGAGCTTCCGTTGCTTTACAAATGTCGATTCTCAAGGGAGGATCCGATAAGGCATCCTAAGTAACTATAATATACATAGATGGTTGATGGAAAGTCGCTTCTTATCCGACTACCTACAGGACATCGCTTTATGCACGCTAAGACGCTACGCACTGCCTTCCGCCATCTTTGGATTGCATCAAGGTAAAGAAAGGTAGGTAGGTACCTTAGCACATGCTTAGGTAGTTGAAGAACTGTAAACACTGAAGGCACCCATCGCATCGTGGCACCTTCCCTGAACCGCCGCACGGACACTGTTGGCACTTCCCCAAAGGGACGACGGGATGCCCTCCACTCCGTACCTGCCCATGCTGCCAATGCCTGCATGTAAACGGTCTCCCACCGCCCTGGTGCATCTTCGATATTAAATCGTTACTTTTCGCGCCCAATTCAATGCCAGCAATCCAGTACATTCCTGATTTTACTTCAGTACAAAACTTCTACTTTTCCCGTCCCTCTCTACCTTCAAGGACTTGACTAGGTAACACTCTTCGATACCCGACGAGTAGGTATGTTCTCATTACCTCTCCCGAGGAACTCATCGCTTACTCTTCTCTAGTTCATATAATTACACCCAATTTCATGAACAAGAGCTCCATCCTGTTTGTTTTTGACCCTCGCCCGATAAGCACTACGCTTCGAGTATTAGACGTTCCTCTTTCTGCTCCAGTACAGCGTGCGGTCGCACTCACTAGGCCTGCTACCTGGCGTATCAACATTTGCATCGTCATCCGAGTGCATCAGCCTCTGGTGCATCGAATGCCTGTGGGAACAGCTCACAAATACAACCACGGGGTGTCCTTCCCGCGTGCCTTCTAACTATGCTCTCCAGAGTATAAGCGCGCCATGGACGTTTCCGGGCTTTTCGTCGCCGATGAAACGCAATCTGACGATGACAACATCTCCATCAACTCTACCCTCGCGTCCGAACATGATTCCGACGAGGAATGGCTTGTGGAGGGCATCCGCGCTCAGATTCGCGAAGGTGGAAGAGACAAATTCCTGGTAGAGTGGACCGGTTATCCCATTGAGGAGGCCACATGGGAGCCCAAGGAAAATGTGACGAATGAGCTACTCGGAGAATGGAAAGACACTCAGGCAAAGCAAGCTCGAGGAGAGGAGCAGCCGTTCGACATTGTCGCCTGGCAAGATAGCGTGATCAAGCGTCATGAGGACAAATACCAGCGGCATCACAAGCGTAACGCTGAACGGAAAAAGCGAGGTATTCAGCTTAGGCTGTGGGAGGGCGAAACCAAGGCGGATTACTATCTCAGCGACGAAGACGTAGAAGAGGATGAATACAACGCTGTGTTTCCTCCTCCAAAGGTTGTGGGTGGTCGCGAGGATGCGTTTCATCCTGACACTCAACCCTCCAAGATCCCACCAAAGCAGGAAGTTGCGGAGAAACCAACTACTCAGAAACGGGCTTCAGCGACAGAGAGACCAAAATCACCAACAAGAAAGGCACAATCCTCTTCAAGCCCTCGGCCACGCTTACAAACATCTTCAACGCAAGCAGCGGCGAACGGATATCAAGGCACAGCAAAGAAGAAGCCTTCGGCAAGCAGACCGGTCAATAATGCGACACTTAGCCGTTTGCCGGGTAGTGCGGCAGCAACTGCGCGGACCACTCATAAGGCGAAAAACACTGCTGTGAGCTCCAGAACGATGGTTAGATCACAGAACAGCGGAACGGGCATCAATGTCTTTGCGGCCGGCAAGCAATTAAAGCAGCGCCGTCAACTCGTACAGAACGTGGCCGACCCCACCAAAGATGCTCGTCTATTCTCAAATCATCGAATCAAGAGAAAGGTCGAGTTACAAGGTCGTGACAAAGCAGATGTGGCTCCCACGGCTGTCCCAACGAAGCTATTCAGCATTAGCCGCGGGCCTCCTTCTGGAACCACTATCAGTACAAACACCAGCACAAACATTGCTCCGAACACCAGTACCACCATCACCATCCCTCGGTCTGTACTTAAGCGCTCAGTCGATGATCTGTCGGCAAGGTCAGCCAGCGAGTCCAGTGTGACGGCGTCGGAGAGGGTGGGGGTGTCACACCCTCAAAACTTGGGTCAGTCCCAGACTGTTCAGCCAATGACCAAGAAAAGGAAGTCTGTTCAGTTTGCAGATGTTCCGCTTGTCGATGAGCCAGAAGAGATGGATATGGACTATCCGACTGTTCGGCCGAAAAGACTCAAGTCGCCCCCGATGCCTTCAGATCCGTCACAGCCTTCTCAACTTCCTACCAAGCCTCAGTCTATCCTTCGCAAGTTATCGATAACAGACTACAAGTCGAGAAGTACAGGCCAAAATTACGACAAAACTGTAGTCTTGGGTCCTAAGGGAAGCAAGGACATCGAAATGACGTTTGATAACGTTAGAGCCGACTCCGACGCATGGCATTCTCAATTCGTTGACGAGAAATTGCTCCATTTCGCCAGGAATTTCACTGCCAAGACTTTTGCCTCTCAAAGGGCAGTCGTTGTTGAAAGGGTGCTCTCAAATGGAAGCGTCAGGCCCAAGTCAAATGACGACCAAGTTGTTGTGGAGAGAGCAGCAGAGCGACTACGGTCAGGGTCGTTTGGGGTTGTATGCTTCTATGAAGACTTTCTCATCGTCATTTACCCAGCTCTGTGTGAAGAATGGAAGCAATCAATGCCTGAAGGCGAAGCCGACAGCCCGGCAAATATCTCCCTGAAATATGTCATCTTCAAGCCTCAGCCGGCTGCTAAGAAGCCTTTACCCGTCAGGCAGGTCATCATCTCAAAAATAGCTTCGCGGGTTGCCATCTTCCGCGATTTATTACGCCTCGATTACCACACGATCGTCCCCCCTGGCATCCGAAACGTACGCCACAACTTCTACCTGGCGTTTCCTCCATCTAGAATACTATTACTTGAGGCTGTGAGCGAGTGGCTTCGCTCGGAGAATCCCGAATGTAGGATATTCTCTACTAAAATGAATGGCGACTGGGCCGCTTTTACCAATGCGAAAATCGTTGCGCATGGAGTTATCATTGTTCACGAGGCAGCCGCCGATTCACTCCGGCGGTTCCCTGGTTTGCTCAAGCTGCTTTTGCACAAGAGTAGGGCAGCTTACGTCTTTTGGTGTATTGGAGAGTCACTTCAGCTGTCTCCCGCGTACCCATCCATTCGGTCAATGCATAACGAGACAGCAAAACCGGGCACATTTGAGTTGACGAGGTTTTTCCCCCACGGTACCGCAATTTTGGTCACGCCAAGTTTTCTGGTCTCTGAACCGCGCCGTGCCTTCCAACTCTTTCAGTGGTACAATAGAACCTATCAGAAGCCGAACAATAACCAAAAGATTGTGGCCGCGGCGAATATACGGGAGTATCTGCGTGATCTTTCGCACGAGCGGTCCGCCCGTCGGGACGAGTTGATGGCGGATGGTGACCTAACGCGCCGGTGGCCAACGTCGAAGCGTGAGGAGATAGCACGGGTTGCAGGATTGAGCAAAGAAGATTGCACAGCTCGATTTGAGACATGGGCGATAGTGGAGGGCCTCCAGCCGGCCATAGAGACAAGCATTGTGCCGGATGAGCAGCTTGAAGCCATTGTGTTTGCTGACGGATCTATCGATGCCAACGACGAGCAAAGCTTGGTGAATTGGTTCGGTTGTTGGTCCCAGACTCGTTTCGACCAGTTCCGCAAGTTCCATGTTTTAGGAACAGATGGCGATTCCGACAACAGCCACCTGATCGAAGACAGCGACATTCCCGTCTACCCGTTTGGGATTGGGCGTGATGTGGGTGCCGAGGCTCATGGTCCCTGTCAGACCACGTCAGGCTCCGACAATAACCTTGGACCAGAAAGCAGAGTTAGTAAACTCCTTGGAGGCTTGTCTGCCAACCACTTTAAGAGCAAGTTGAAGTCAATCGCCAGCCGCCGTGAACGTCCGAGAGCGTGCCCTTTTGGGAAGCTCTTCGGCTTTGCCGTCTCCTATTACGAAGACGTTGCGAACACGGCTGACTCTTATGGAGACTTCCATCGCGACTTCTCAACTTTCGACAAGTGGATGGAGTGGCCCTGGCCGTTCTTCTCAGTCCATCAGGAGGGTTTTAAGCCACCGGCGGCCTCCTATCATCTGCCGCCGACGTTCAATACCTACTTCGCCTTTTTCCACACCCCCGAAGAAGACCATTCAAGGAAGCCGCCACCGCGCTATCCATGGCTTGCGATTTGGCGGGTTCGTGAACCTTATAACAAATGGATGGGAACCGAGCTTATTATTTGGGACGTTGCGGCCAAAAATCGATATTCCGCCGCGAACGAGATCTACGAGTCTCAACTCCTGAAGGCGCAGCAGCACCTCATACAGATGGTACGAGAACGATCTGAAGCCAAACATCGGGGCCTTCCTCTGCTGGAGGTCTGGCAAGGTGGATTCGAAACAGAGCCTTCAGAGTATACATTGCCAGTCGACGTCACCGTCCATAACTTGGACGTGATGATGTCAGACTGCAAGCTATATCTTCCAGCGATTGACACTCTTCTGCTCCGCAGGGGTTTCCGCAAGATTAATCCCGGCGACGCGCCCATTCGGCAAGAGCGTCATCCCGCAGACTCTCCAATGGACATTGACATGGTTGGCGGCCATCGTAATCATGGCGGCGAGAGCAAGATTATTTTTTACCCGCCCGGGGGAAATCTGACGGGGCAGAGCAGATGTGAGAATTTTTTCTACACTTGGGTGGTGAGCCTTGACAGAAGAAATCCTCGTTCCGCGTGGCCTTACACGTTCAGACCGACCACGGAGTGGTATCAGCAGCAGGTTGCCGAGAACAGGCATTTCGAGCACCTCAACGTTGCCTCCTGGGAGCGGGTGTTTGAACTTATACGCATCCTAACCCCGAAGAGCAAGACGGAGTCACGAGAGAGCGACAAAAAGTGAGCAAACGTGGTGTAGTGCAGATGGAATAAGCCGTACGATTGCGAAATGGAGGAGACACACTTCGGTGTATCATTACCCGAGGCCTGAGGAAAAGAGCTTCTGGATTTGAAGGACGTTGTGTGATCAATGTATTGTAATAGGCCTGAGACGGAAAGGATACGCCAGGAATTAGAGTCTGCGTATAACAAGGATCATATAGGGAACTAGAAACTTCCAACCCTTTCTGCAGATGACAACTTCAATGTGTAATTATGCATGTACTGAAAGTGAACCAGGTATGTGACGCTGTATTCTCTTCATACAGGCAAAGGCGTCGACAGAATACACCGCCATATTGACAGATTTTGCCATAGTGACTAGTTTCTAGCACCGACGTGTCCAGCAATAGTAAACAAAGTCGTCAGTTCCATTATAATAAACCTTTCACTGATATGATACAAATTCCTAATCCTCATAAAAGCCCTCCAGTTCAGTGTCTGCCAACGCAACCTTTGACAAAAGATCCGTTTCTATTTACCAAGGGCCAAAAGAAAATTCACCTCGCAGAAGCAGGGAAATTCCTCGTGCTAAGCAATACCCCCTTGACCCTCCGAATGTTATCCCTCGCCTTCTTGATCTCGTCCTCAGGCTCGTTCTTGCGCGGGCCGCCGTACAGCGCGTAGCTGCTGCCGCCGGCGTAGTCCGACGGGCTCGGGTACGCCAGCTGCACGAGGTCGTCTTTGAGCACGTCCATCTTTGCCTTTAGGTCCGCCACATCGTCGGCGTCGCCTACGACTGTGGTCTTTAGCCAGGCGGCTTGATTTTTGAACCAGGTTAGCTTGTCGGCCTGTCTGTCTGTCGCGGACTTGTCCTTGTCGCTGCTGTTGGCGTTGTTGTTGGTCTCTCCCCAGGTTGTTAGAGAGGGTGTAGAGGGGATCGATGTCTGCGTGCCAATGTCGCGGTGGAACATCTCGGTCGGGTCGTCGGCGCTGCTTGCGTCGTCGTCTGGTATGTCCTTGTTCTCTATTGCTGACGCAGGTTTCTTGGGGGCGGGGATCTCGGAGACGGTGCCCTCGAGCTTCTCGATTATCTTGGCCAGGTTCTGGGAGGTTGTCTCGTGGAGGTCGTAGCGGGCTTCGGTAAGGTTCTCAACCATGGGTTGGACGAGGTACTTGCTCGTGCCGTAGAGGAGCGTGGAGATGCCGGCGAAGGCGTAGAGGGTGTTGAGGATGCCGTTTGCGGTGACGAGCGGCGGGGGGCGGGTTGGTTTTGTGAGGAATTCGGGGTAGGTTATCACGGGGGGCTGGTCTGTTTGGCGGGGGAGGGAGATTTCGGTTTGCGATGGTGGTGAGGGTGAGGGTGTCTGTGATGGTGTTGGTGATGTTGTCGTTAATTGACTTGAGCTTGGCGGTGCCTGTTCTGATTGAGTGGTCTTCATTATGTTGTCAGTTATGCGCTCTCTTGAAGTCAAGGCAACCTGAAGGCCAAGAACATCCCGAAAGCATACCTCTTGCGCCGGCTCAGATGCCGAGCTACCTAATAACTGCTCTATATCCTCTGGCGAGATACCCTTTGTCTTCAGAAAAGTCTCCTTTGCCGCCCTCGGTGCGTCCTTGATCTCTTCATCCTGCAGGAACTTGCGGGCGACCTCGAGACTGTCCTCGCGGGAGGGAACATCGTCTTGCTTCGCATCCTGCGAGGTGGTGGTCTCCGGCTCGAGTTCGGGTTCTTTCTTTTGGTCGCGCTGCCATGACGGGATGCCGGGCGTGCTGCCGCTATCGTCGGAGTCGCTCATGGTCAAGACAGCTTGCGCCCCTGTTGCAGTAGGAAGTTCTGCAACGGAGTATATGTGAGAGCTGTCGAGGTTGGCGCAAATGTTGAATCGCGAATCAGCCGGGTGCTGGTCCGGAGAGCGGGTTGTTGATGGGGTCGGCGGTTCGGCACCTATGACCACATGCCTCGGCTGGGGAAGCGGGAAACGGAAGAGGCTGGACGTTCTTTACGGCGGTCACTGTTCCAACCCATAACGGCCAGGCTACTCGCTGCTCTGGGTCCTTCAGTCCTACACGGTGGAACGTCCAATGCACGGTGCCCATGGCGACCACACCCCCCCCCCCCAAAACGGGGGCTTCCGTTTTCGACATCCGGCGCGCTTCAGCGGACTTCAGTGCTCTGGGCTGCAAAGGTGAAAGGCTGAACTCAAGGTGAGTAGGAAACTGGACCAGCACAAGCATTCTCATTGAGAGTCCGTCTCAACTATAGCAATCGTTATCCATCTCTCGCCAGCCTCGAAATTCCCTCAGGGTACACTCTGTACCAGGTTCACTCCTGTTTCAAGCCAACAAAGGCTCTCAATCGGGATCATCCGATTCGCTCTGCCGCGTGGTCACCGACGATCTCCAACTCGTCCCTTCAACTGGGCCGCCTTCACCGATACACCTCACCGCGCGACCAAGGATCAAGGTGAGCTCGCACCGGGCCAATTGCTCAGTATTGGCATCAGATGAGCAGGAAACAGTCGGAGTGGACTCGCTAAAGTAAAGGGGATAGGAACGAAATCTCACGCGCCAGGGGGTGAGAGACCAAGCAGTCACACGAAAGAGACGCAGAGAGAAAGAAGCGACAGCTGCAATACACGCGCAAGAGGCGACGAGATCCAATCGATCCCAAAAGTCTCAGTTCCCGTTTCCAGGGGGTTCACCTTTTTTTTTCTGCCTTCTGCGGCTTGGCTTAGCCACAGCCACCAAACCGTACCAGACTTCCCAGCAAGGTTGCTGTGTGTGCCTGGTTATCCAGTTGTGAGGGCGATAGGCCACCAAAAAGGCGATTATCCATCCCACTTGCCGTCCGCCTGTTTGCGCGCGCATCTTGCTTGCTGCGGTTAAGCGTCGTTTATCCTCAACAAGGTATCAATCAATCGGTAAGCTCGAAATCCCATCGCAGATGCGACCTATTCCTTTTTCTTTTTTTTTAGCTTTTTCTCGTCACTCCGTCACATCTTCGCGCTGCACCTCCATCATCATCAACCTTCTCTCCTCCTTCAATCACAATATCAACATCGCCGGATTGCCGTGCCAAGTCAAGTGAGGCAAGCGGCAACGACATCGATACGCAAACCAACATCTCTGAGGAGAAAGAGAGACCGTGTTGACCGGTGTTGTGCACACGTCACGACACCGATCTGGTTCCACGAGATAGTCCCGTTGGAAAGTGGCCGTGTCGAGACGAGAGGTGGTTTAAGAAGAAACCAGAAAAGCCGCCCGCGCGCGCGCGTGTGTGTGTGTGTGTGCGATTCATTAAGAAAAGAAGGCGTTGAAACCTACCTGGGCTAAAGTTGCATCTCGGCCAACTACATTTATCGCCTTACCTCATCTTCCGTATCAAGGGATCAGATTCCCTAGCAGCAGTGCCACCTCACCCCTTCCCCTTCCCCTTCCCCGTCCTTGTCTGGACCGGCCCCCCGAGCTTACCTTAATTCAACCTCCCGCGTCCAATCTTGGATAAAAAACTCCCCCACCATCATCCCGAAACCACTCTAAACCTTTTCACCCCGAGATATCCCATCTTCATTCCGTACATAAACCGCTCATACGTGGCGTAATCCTCTCGCGCGTCATTGTTCTTCTGCCAAGACCACCCACGAGAGATATATCGCCTTCACGTATACGCAGACATGGCTTCGCGACCACGCCGCTCGGCGGCCAAGAAGGCGCAAGAACAAATTACTGACTGGGCCGATAGCGAGCGAACAAGCAGCATGTCTACCCGTGCTCGCCGCTCAGATGGCCGGACCTCAGGCGTGTCCCGCGGCCCGCCTTCGTCACCAGGAAGTGAGCACCTGAACCTCACTGTCAAGGTACCCGCGAACAAGCTTCGCGAGGCCACTAGCAGGGGACGGAACTCGACGGGGAACAGTATTTCGGTCAACAGCGAGGTCGTTGCCGGCAGACGCAACCGTGGCCCGAAAAAGAGCTACGTCGTAGAATCCGATAGCGACGAGGAGGAGGAAGACGAAGACGAGGAGATGGAGGAGCCTGACGCCGATGGTGATGACGACATGGAAGTCGACGCCGAGGGCGAGGAGGAAGATGCCGATGGCGACATCGACATGGACACCCCTGCGGCCCCCACCATCAAGATCTCCTTGCCCAAGGCTGGAAAGGTCACTCCTAGACGGCCAGCGGCGGCGAGAGTGATTGAAGACGATGACGATGACGAGGAGGAGCTCAGCGAGATTGAAGTTAGTGACCCTGAGAACACAATGAACATGAGCATCGACGTTGGGGGCGCCGGCGACGACGATGATGAGGACGACGATGACGAGGAAGACGAGGAAGACGATGCCGAAGGTGAAGAGGAAGATGCCGAAGGCGAAGAAGAAGACGCCGAGGGCGAGGAGGAAGAGGAGATCGAAGTCGCGGACGAGACTGTGGGAGCGGGTGCCGAAGGCGAGCTCGACAGCGATCTAGGCAGTCGCGAGGGCACACCCGACTTGACTAAGATGACGAGGAGACAGCGGGCTCGCTTCGAGGACGAGCCTCAGCAGTATATGAAACTCTCGGACGGTAAGGCCACACTCGTTATAAGAAGTTTTAACGACAGCAGACACTGACATGGAATCACAACAGAGGTCCAAGCAAAGAAGGTCTTCACTGCGGAAGAGTTATCGATGAGAAGGGCAGAAATGGCACGTCGACGACGCAATCTGTCTGACAAGCGTAATGAAGAAGTCAAGGCAAGTATATTTGTAGATGTCCAGCCATTTGCAGGGCATATGCTAACTGTCAGGCTACAGATGGAAACCATCAACAAGCTTTTGAAGAAACAGGCGCCCAAGACCAAGGGCAAAGGCGCCAACGGCGAGGACACGCCCGGCGGCGAGTCATCAAAGCCCGACGTCGCGTTCGTCCGCTGGGTCAACTCCAAGAAGGGCAGCATCATTGCTGTGCCTGAGGAGATTATCGGAGGACCAGCTGGCAAGGTATTTGTGCCTGGAGGTCTGAAGTCTGGCAAGATGGTTGAGGAAGTCGCATAGAGAGAAGACCGATGCCTACCCCTTTCTTGCCACTTGGCTGTTCCGTTTTTCTTCGGGGCATATCACAAGTTGTATACAAGTTACGGGAACACCTGAAACGCAGATGGGAGTTACCTCCGTAGGTCAAAAGACGTCGTTGAGGGGGGGTGGACGGCGCTGGGGCGAAAATTGGCATCATTTCACAGTACACGTATTCAGGAGTAGCTGATAACCAAAGGACGGATCTAGACTTTTTTTTATTTCATGGCATACGTCGCCTGCATTTACTTGCTGTAGCTTAATCCCCAAACATATGTGACTTGAAATTTCTGTGATGAAAATCAGCTCACTAGTTGCAAATCACGAAGTTCCGAGAATTGAGCCTCGGAGCTGGCCGTCCTGTCGTCAATTCAGCGCTCAACACCTGAGCGGTCCGGCTGTGGGGTGATGCGACAGCGACGATCCTTACCTTTCCACACGATAGAGCATAAGTTCTCGCTTATGTAATCGAATCGGTGGGAGATCCTTGCAGATGCGAGAAGGCGTCAGTCATGTGGTGTCTCTCCCCCGCCTCAGACCTTGCCTGAAAGAGTTGAAGCAATTGCAGTTGCTAAGGTACTCCGCATTTTCTCCTCTGAGCGGGCGCGTCTGCCATGAACGAAGTGCTATCTCGCAGTACCTAGGGTGCCTGGTAGAGATTCTAGACCGAGGTTTGGTAGAAAATACACTGGTGAAAAACCTCGAGGCTACATAGGTAAGCACCGAGCCAGCCAGATCGAGGCCAAGTATGGTAGCGATCTTGGACAAAGCTTGGGTAGGTAGCTTGCTTTTTTTCTCTCTCTGCTTGGCCCGATAACGGGCCATACCGGTTGCACGATACCTGCTTCGGGGTGTTAGTTGGATTCCCATCCCCGAGATTTACTGCCGATATGTGCGAGTGGTGCGATGCCCATACGAAAAGGTGCGCGCACGATGAAGCGGGTCGGGGGGAAGAAAATATGGGGTTTGTGATTGACCGTCGAACGGTGTGCTGTTGAATGATTCTGATGGATTGGAAGTGTTCAACGTCATGATCCATGGTGTGGTTCACTGTCGGTTGGAGTTGAACTCTGTTTCTTCCTGTCAGCAAGCTTACATCCCCTACAGTAGTATCTACCTCGGTAAATTGCTCTTGTACTGAATCCAATTCAGACTGATGAGGTGGTGGTGGTTGACTGCAGCTCTCCGCGTCCGGGGAGGTTCACGTTCCTCTCTTGGTCCAGGGAGCCAACCACACCCCGGATCTGCACCTGCAAGAAGCCGGGACGGGGGTTCGGTTGAGACCTATTACAGGCTACACCAGGAGTCTTACCTTATTGGCCAGTATTCGGTGAACAGGAGCGACAACAGCGAACCAAATTTGGTAGCAAACTCTGGAAGATTGGGAGGTTCAGCAAGCCGCAGGCAAGCTACCAGAGAGATTGAGCAAGCAAGCAAACTGCTGCAGCTCGCCAGAAGCTGCTGGGCATGGTCCCCTCCTGTTGTCGTGCCAAGCCAATGACAGTTTCCTAGCTCGGAGGACCCTCTTTCTCGGACTCTAGGTAGTCGTGGTAGTGTACTTCGGAGAGAGAGAGGTGCGAGGGAAATGGACGCGATACCGACAGGGCGAAAAAGCCAGGCTTGCTAGACGTGCCAGGCTGGGACAGCTGACTGTCAAGATTTTACCAAGTGGCAAAGACATCTTCTTCTGTGAGGTGAAAGGTGAGTTCGGATCCGATGTCGATGGCGATGTTACTCTGAGAGGGCAAACTTTTGGCAGAGCCATGTCGCGTGGACAGTCACACCAAAGATCCTGTTGCCCGTCTCCCCACTTTCCTGGCCTTCGTAAGCGCAAGGCCGACCTTGTGAATGAGTTCGCCTGTTGTACCTTCATCCGTACTACGTAGAGGCAGGCCAAGCACCCTACCTTACCAAATTTGCCGATTCAAGTTGACTTTGCGCGATATTAGATAGTTCAAGGCAAGTACACCTGGATGTGGCACTTGTTGACAGGCACAAGCTCAGGCCCAAGGGCAAGTGCAACTGTGCGACTGCCAAACGCTGTGGGCACATCCCGACTGAGGTGGTGACATTGGAATCTGTACTTTTGAAGCTTACTCCGTGAGGTACCTTAGGTAGGTACTCCGTACTCCGTAGGAGGGTTGGTGGATGGGTGATGGATCCTTGCCCACCTTTTCTTAACCTTTGGGAAGGAGGGAAAAACTGGCCCTGGCGGGTGCTTTCCCCCAACTAGCGCAAGACGCAAGAAATAGAGTCAGAATTGCCTTTCGCTTCCTTTCTGAGTTTTTTGCTTTGCCCGAACGAACTTCATGCCTTGTTGGACCCTGGACCGCCCTGTTCAGTCCCTTCCCCTCGTCTCGTACACGTGTACGGAGTAATAGTAGGAGTACGAATAGTCCTGGTCGATTCCGCTCTTTCATAAACCATGGCGTTACCTTCTTCGCACCCTGAGGCGCCGTCCACTGCTACATCCATGCCCGGCCAACAAGATCATCACCCTACAGCTGCATCTAAATCTGCGTCTGCTTCTGATTCTACTACTGCTACTGCTGCTGCTTCTGCCTCTGCTCTCCGCGGCGACGAGGTCACCGCTCCTCCTTCATCAGATCAAGGTGAGTGAACCGAGACACAGGACGCTAAACCGAGATGGTCCTGGTAACCTTCTGCCTCCTCTCCTTGACCTTCTCTTTCACACGCGCTACACGCACTACAGGCATCAAGTCCGACTGCCTGGTGTAGCCTGGCCCTCTCTTCACCTCTCCATCCTCCACCTTTTTTTTTATATCTAGGTATTCCCATGCGCCTCTCCCCCCAAGTTGCCCCAACACAGACAGAAGTGGAATAGACATAGCAAGGTTCTGGACCGTCTTGGCTTGCCCGCCGGACACTTGACCCCAATAATACCTACCTGTTCATACCTACACGATGCCAAAGAGTGGCACGCACTACCTTTCCTCACACTCCTCCTTCCTTTAACCCCCGTTTTCATTCTGTTCACAACACCCTGGATGCGGTGCATGTTGCATGACTTATGAGTGTCGTGTTGCACAAAACCAAAACAGCGTACAGGCCATATACATGACAGGATTGATATAACTGACAGTCCAGCCCCCTTGGAAACCAACATCAGGCCATCCGCGGCCGCGACCATCACCCCAGTCCCAGCTGCTCCAGTCCCAGATCCAGACGTCGGCGCGCCCCAGCTCCATCACCCTCGCCCTCACCCGCACCACCAGCCCACCCCGCACGCGACTGCAACGGAGACGGCTGCCGCTGCCGCTGCGACGCCAGCATTAGCAGTTACTGCTACTGCTACTACGCCCACGGCAACCCTGCCCGGAGCTTCACTTGCCCATCATATAAAGCGGACGGCACCCGATCCCTCTTCCCTCGATTCGCCTCCCATGTCTCCTGCCTCTCCTTCGTCGTCAGCTGCGCCGTCGGCCAACCCCCCGTCAAAGCCAAACCCACACTCTTCCCCTTCAAACTCCAAGATGCTCTTTTCAGACATGTACAAGTCTCCACGCTCACCGCTGGCCAAGTTCCGCCTGTCCATGTCACAGCAGCCTCTGGCCTTGGACTTGCCCGATTACGACCCTGATTTGCTTAGCAAGGATAAAGAGAAGCAAAAGGCAGCTGTCAAGAAGTACTTAACCGCCAAGATTCGCAACGATTGGGAATTTGTCTGGCCACCAGTCGTACCCCCGCCCCAGAACGGCGATGCTACACCCGATGTTAGTGCAACACCCGAACAAGACGTCGCCGAGAAACCGCAGCAAGAAACCTCTGAACCAAAGATCGAAACTACGGCGACCTCGAATGATGAAGCCATCGACACAATAGACAGCGAAGAAGAAGAAGACGACGACGAAGAGGAAGATAGCGACGCTGAATCCGTCTACAGCACCGTCTCAGAAGACGCGGCGCGTTTCAAGCCTCGCCTAGAGTGGGTGTCTGACCTGTCCGACGAAGATCCTCCCCTATCTCTCTCTCCATTCCGTTTCGACAGCCCCGATGCAATCGGCGCGACAGTCAAGGCGTCTATAGCAGACAAGCGTGCGCGGAGAAGGCGAGCCCTGCGCGAGGAGATGGAATGGAATGAAGGGTTGGCTTGCTTCGAGGCAAGGCGCAATGCCTGGACAGGCGCAAGAACGGTGCGCGTTCGCACCAAGCCCGTCTCTCCTACGCAAACGTTCTCCCCCCTCTCACCACGTCGCCTCTTCTTCCGCTCTTCGTTCTCCCATCCTCAACCTGCTCCCGCCTCACCAGCCTCGCCTGCACACTCTCTGCAGCAACGAGTGAGCAACGAAGCCTCAGCCGCTGTATCAGACGGCTCTGAGCTCTCGAAAGACCCGTCCAAGGAACTTACCGCAATTAAGTCCAAGGAATCTCAAAAGTCGACGGCATCTCCCACGTCAACGACATACCCCGTCGAGACACTCATACCTGTCCCAGCACCACTGCTCCCACCGGGTAACCCAATGCGCGCGTCTATCACTCCCTCCGTATACATCTCTCTATACGAGAAGGTTATTGTGCACGCACTGACACCCTCATGTCCCGTCAACTTGTCAGACATGATTCGGGCGTGTGTGGTTGGCTGGAAGAGGGACGGCGAGTGGCCACCGAAGCCCTCGGCCGCAGAGCCTGGTATTGTGGCCGTACGACGGCGGAAGAAGTCAGTGGCGGACGGGCAGGGCCCGAATCCCACTCGGAGGATGAGCTTCGGCTTTTTGGGTAGAGGAGAGAAGGCAGCCGAGGCTCAGGACGACGGCACCGGGAAAGGTATTAGGAAGAGCCTTCAAAGAGTGCTGGGTCTTGGGCATCACCATACTGCCTCCACTGGCTCCGCTAACGGGGGTAACAACGGCGCATAAAGGGGAAAGACATTGCCATTGTTCAGGCTTCTTCACGAAGGATGATGATTATGATGAAAGGAGATTTAATATGGATGATCTTGCCCTTGGGTATTAGGCATCTCAGAGGCATGGCGAGAAAAGGGCTTGATTTATGGAGGTTCCATGGCTTGGTGACTGCATGGGACGGGAAAATTGTTCTTGCGACAGATACCCAAACAATTCAGTAGTAGGAAAGTCAGTGGCAGCGTGCCACACTAATGAACACGGTTCTTTTGGTGCATCATAAATTTTCTCTATTGCTACTCATGACTGACAATCATGGACCAAAGTCAAGGCGCTGGAAGGTGTACTGGGTGCCCATGTCCAAACTCCCTTGATTACTACAGTTTTATGTTGTCGAGCATTGTTTACTTGTTGGAAGCAAGAAGGTGTTTGACACGGAAGGAGATACCAGCTCTAGAGGAAACCCCATTAGAAGAGGCGACCCTGAAAACCGAACACGGGTTCTTGTTCGACGACTCGGAGAAACCTCACTGAGCATTGCCGGGTTCTGTGCAGCGGTCTTTGCTTCCAAGTAAACACTCCTGGGTATTCAAAAGCTAATGTCATCGGCGGTCTGCATTTATATGTTTATATCTGGAGAAAGATAGAGAAGATCGACGTTTATCAGTTTCATCGTCCTGTGGGAACAGTTGTGCGTACTTACCTGCGTGGCATGGAAATTGCATTATTCGATATGATCCTACGAATGGTAACTTCAGTGCTGCTACTTTGCTTCGTAAGGAGCAAACAATGTAATAAGGCTTATTACCTCTTTACCGGAGCTAAGCATGTGCTTCTTGGAGTAGATCCTGCCAGGCGAGAACTCAAATCTGCGATCAATTTGGCTTCCACTAGCTATTGCCTCTGCTTACCTAGTTTGTCGAAGCTCTCATATCGGAATATGCGATAGCTTCATGGGTGGGCGGCACTCTTCAACCACAATCTCCCCAGCCTTGTGTTGTAAGGTATCCTCTTCATGTCCTAGGGAGAATGAAGACGACAAGGACAAAGGACTTCCGGAGCATTGTATACATCCATAGTCTCATTCCCAAATGGCCAGCCGAGGCCCTCCAAGTCAGTTTCTTTACCTGAATTCTATCATCTAGTATGTCGTGTCTTTCGCTCTTTCAGTCCGGAACGCTCCCTCCAAGACTATAAACAAGACTAATTCTAAGCTGTGAGTGCATTGTAAGTGAGCTTCTCAAATAAACTTCACCTACACCGTACTAGTCATTCACCCTTCATCTAAGGCACGCAAAATTAATTGAGCAAGTGTCACTTCAGACATCCCAACACTAACAAAGAACAAGAAAGAACGAACCTCCCTTCGACATCACCATCAATCACGTGAGCAAAGACACTCGCCCAATATAGAAAGCGGACCGCCAAACCCCTGAATGTAACCACGCCGGCGTCTTTGTGGTCCATGTTGGCTAGAGTGCTATACTGAATGAAAAGGAGATTTAATTGAGCGCAAGAAGACCGAGGCAAGACTGACCCATTCAAAGGAGCCAAGGCAAATGTAACAGAGATCTATTTTTTCCCCCAAACACCATCGCAAAGGTTTTTCTCCTCTCTATCTGGTTCGCCCGAGTGGATCCGACGTCTCCGTTCACGACTACGTTCGAAGAAAGAGTTAATGATAAACGAGGCTCGCTCGAGTGGGTGCGATATATACGTTGGCGAGTACGTTCGGAACAAGATATGACTATAGATGAAAACTGGCAGTAGATGATTAGTAAGACTTAGTAAGGAGACTACGGACAATAGATCATCATGATCAGAGCACCGCTGGTCATCAGGGACGATCAAAAGCATGTGCCTGCGTCCCTTCAAGTCCCGCTTTGCCAGGACTGACGATGGCAAAGTTGACCGGCTCACCATTTACTGCCTATAGAGACCCATTATATATAATGACAACGACTCTCATCCCTGCGAGAAGACTGTCAGATCTCCTCACATCTGCCATCCGTATGGCTAGCCCCTAGTCTCTTGTCAAGGGCGACGAGGCTCATTTGTTCGTCGTCGGCGTTGATCGCTAACCATCTGTGACCCCCATATCACCTAGAAAATATACCAGTACTCTTCGCTTCCCCTGTCCAGGAAGGCTTCAGGTATCATGGGTAATGCCCTCACCGTTGTCGGGGATGATGAAGTATCGGTCCATCGTAGGCATCGTCACAGATGAACCTACGACTTCTCAAAGCTTCCTGAATTAAGCCTGGGGAGAGTAACTGGGGTGGCTTGTCTTTGCTCCCTTGGATGTTTCTTACTAGCATCCAACCTTAGTGAACGAAGTCGACCTAGCAAGCTCCCCTGCTTTGGGATTCCTCCTGTTCATGGCTATTACGTTGTCCTATCTAATGCTTTATCAAGAGTGGAAATGTGACATTACGGCAGCTACGAAGTCCGGCTATCTAGAAAACCTACCCTATGCTTAAGAAACCTGGTTCATGTACCAAGCAAACTAGAATACATAATTATCAATCCAGCACCTTACGTATTAGAGGTTTCCCTATGGCCGTAGCTACTTAGACCTTAACAGTTGCCCTTAACGAAAGCAGTCATATGATATGCCTTTTTCTTAAACATGCCGAGTAATGGTACATTTCTATGTCGTTTAGTAATAGCCTGGTCTTGAGTCCAAGGCTCTTGGTTCTAGATAGAACGTACGACGCCTAGGGTGGCCCTGATGACATCGTCATCTTCGACCTCGACACAGTCATCCATGACCTAAAAGTCGCAGAAAGGCCTCGACAAGGCGATAAAATGCGGCAGCGAGGAACACGCTGCTCAGGATGAGAGACAACTAGTTAGGGTCGAGGTCAAAGCTCGAGGCAAAATTCGTTCTCAAAAATACTTATATTATGCATCACTCTTCGTGTATTCAAGCGGATTATACGCCATACACAAGATGGCCTTGCTAAGCACTCTTTGTATCTAGAAGAGGACGTAGAACCATTACCGTAAGAACTAAACTGTGGGCATCATAACCACGGTAAACACCAACACAAGGGAGCTCTCGTTCAGTCACTTCGAAAATGCCGTGACTATGAGAAATTAACCAGCCGTAGCTCAGTCTCTGCTTAAATAGCTTAATACCAACGGTAACCTACCCCTCAGCGAGCCAGCCTAGAACGAAGGATAGCTCTGCCCAAGCCATCTATCGAATGCCACAAATCCTCCAGCCGGGGAAGCGCGTTGCCACCTCGACCCATCCCATCGGGGGAGAACAGTTAATCCAAAGCCAGTAGAAAATCCACAATACATTGTGAGCAACATGCCGGCGATTGGAAAGTACAAGAATGGAACTTGGCGGTGACTCTCCGACATGTCAACTCGAGATCTTGGCTGCTCCAAGTCAAGGCGGTGTCATTGGTGTAACTGCTTCAGGTGTTGCTGGCCAAGTGACGGCATTATCTCGTTGCGTAGATTAGCAACTTTGGGCAAGAAACATTAATCATTTATACAGTGGGAGCATGAGCACCTCTGGACGTGGGAGTGGAACACATCTACTGATCATGAACAACATGGGACAATCACGAGAGGGTATGTCACTAAGCTGCAGGCACAGCAAATCACTAGCATGGAGGGAAAACGGCTGAAGAAATAAGGAGATTCTCTCAACTACAAGAGGAATTAAGTAGATTTCTTGGTACACAGCTCACAAAAGAGACTTGGATTGAGCTAAGAAACCTCCCCGTTCCATCGTTCCTCTTCTATACACAGGCTTCAACGCCCCAACTCTCGACGTCATTTGGTATTTTTCGTCGCGAATCGTTTAGTTCTTCTCCAAATCCGCCAGAATCTTCTCACCCTTCTCCTTGGCCGAGGCAAAGTCACCGACCATGTAGAAGGCACCCTCGGGAAGGTTGTCACCCTCACCAGAGAGAATGGCCTTGAAGGAGGCAATGGTCTCCTTCAGGTCGACCAGCTTACCCTCGATACCAGTGAAAACCTGGGCGACGGTGAAGGGCTGGGACAGGAAACGCTGGATCTTACGGGCACGCTCGACAGTGAGCTTGTCAGCCTCAGAAAGTTCGTCCATACCAAGAATGGCAATGATATCCTGGAGAGACTTGTACTCCTGAAGAATCTGCTGGACGCGGGTGGCGGTGTCGTAGTGGTCCTGGCCGACAATACGGGGGTCCAGCATACGAGACTTGGAGTCAAGAGGGTCGACAGCGGGGTAGATACCCAACTCGGAGATACCACGGGACAAGACAGTGGTGGCGTCCAAGTGAGCGAAGGTGGTGGCGGGGGCGGGATCAGTCAAATCGTCAGCAGGGACGTAGACGGCCTGGACGGAAGTAATGGAACCCTTCTTGGTGGTGGTAATACGCTCCTGCATACCACCCATGTCGATGGCGAGGGTGGGCTGGTAACCGACGGCAGAGGGGATACGACCCAGAAGGGCAGACACCTCGGAACCGGCCTGGGTGAAACGGAAAATGTTGTCAATGAAGAGCAACACTGAGAAGTTGTTAGCCATGCATTTGATATCAAGACGAGCGGATTCTCAACTCACCATCCTGTCCCTCCTCGTCACGGAAGTACTCGGCAATGGTAAGACCAGTCAGGGCAACACGGGCACGGGCACCTGGGGGCTCGTTCATCTGACCGAACACCAAGGCGACCTTGGACTCGCCGTCAAGCTGAATGACGGAAGTCTCCTGCATCTCGTGGTACAGATCGTTACCCTCACGGGTACGCTCACCGACACCAGTGAAGACGGAGTAACCACCGTGGGCCTTGGCGATGTTGTTGATCAACTCCTGAATGAAGACGGTCTTGCCGACACCGGCACCACCGAAGAGACCAATCTTTCCACCACGAGCGTAGGGAGCGAGGAGATCGACGACCTTGATACCAGTGACGAGAACCTCGGCGGTGGTGGACTGGTCGATGAACTCAGGGGGCTCGGAGTGAATGGGAAGGCGCTTGTCGGTCTTGATGGGGCCACGCTCGTCAATGGGGTCACCAGTGACGTTAATGATACGGCCAAGAGTCGCGGGACCGACGGGAATGGTGATGGGGGCACCAGTGTCGGTGGCAGGGCGGCCACGGACGAGACCTTCGGTACCTAGGGGAATCGTGAGTACGAGCGCGAAAAACTTTTTCAGGGGAGGAAATACGAACCGTCCATGGCAATGCAGCGGACGACATTCTCACCCAAGTGTTGCTGTGCAGACGTGTCAGATGAAACTCGACTTTTGCTAATTTGCAGTGGATATTTTTCCAGCCGCCAAAGGTACGTACCGCGACCTCAAGAACCAGCTTCTGGTCGTTGTTTGTCGTCTCGAGGGCGTTCAGAATGGCAGGGAGCTTGGCGGTGTCGAACTTGACTGTATCCACGTGTCAGTATTGATGATTTTCGTGATGATCGAGCCCCTTTGAAGGCTTTTCTTCGGTGAGTACGAACCGTCGACGACGGCACCAATGACCTGTTGGTTTGTTGTTGTCAGTAACCGACATCGCCTTCGGGTCAACGGAAGGGATGAGCAAAGTCATCACTCACCTGGTAGATCTTTCCATCACCGACACCGGAAGTGCTGGCGAATCTGCTGGAGGCAGGGAATCTGAAGGCTGAAGGTCTGATGGCGCGAGGAGCGGTCGCCGCAAAGGAAGGGCGAGCCGCCCGGGCGAAGGAGGAAATGCCGCTGCGAGGGACCGGTTAGCTCAATTGGGGCCAATTGAACGCGAGACGGTTCAAAAATTCGATCAGGTAGTTGGTACCAACCTCTTGAACATCTTCACAGATGATTAAGGGCGACTTCGGATGGGAGTGGAGAGGTGATGGTTGAAAGTTGGAGGAGGACTTAGGAGGAAGTGAGCAGTTTTGCTCGGGATGTACGCTTCGTCGGTTAGAGCTTTGCTCGGGGGCATCACGTGACCGGAAATCCAGTAGGAAAAATTACCTCGCTGCGCTAGTCTCAATTCGGGCGAGCTCCTCTCTCCGGGATACACCGGGTCCACGCTCGGGTTCAATTGGAGCACCCAGCCTGGCACGCCTTGGAGCTTTCGTCCTCAGGAAATGACGGGAAACTTTTTTTTTTTGGCCTGGCTTGAATCTGCCAGACTTCCTTTCAACTTGGCCGTGCAACCTGGAATTGAAGGATTCCACTCGGCGTGGGGACTGCGGGTGAATCTTGCAAATGTTGGGGCCTTATTGCCTTTCCCAGGCTCTCCAGGCACTGAAGAAGAGATAGGACTCCGGTGCGGGCTCCCAATGCCTACGTGTCCCCGATCCCCCGGGTGATGAGATCCGTCGCCCCCAGGTGCCAGCCAAGTTGCATGCACGCCTCACTGCCTCAGTCCCTCAGTCCCTGACTCCCCTCCGAACATCGCCATGTCCGTCCGAGCCGAGGTGTCTCCGCCGACAATATAACGTCCGCATTGAACCTTTTAACAATGGATCGCAACTCCGCTTGATAGCATCCTCAGTTCTCGCCAGTAGTATCTACAGAACATAATGTTGCAGCAATGAGGATTTATCTATTTATTTTCTCAAGTACTCTTCAAGTCCCTCACGATTGACGACTGATGAGCTGCCCATTCCCGTGCATCATTGATTCAACTCAGTCACCTAGCCAACTCCAGGACTCCGAAGCAAGGGACATATATATATATAACTCAAGGTTGTTGCTTGCGATAGCCTCATGCGCCACTCTGGCCAGCTTCGCGATACTGCTCAAAGGTGACATCGTGTGGCCGTGATCCAGGTTCAGCGTCCTCGTCGGCCATCCGCCGCTCCATTTCCATACGGCCGTCCTTGCCCCAGTATCCAGCTTTCTCAGTTCCCTTTACGCAACCTTCGGTGATCAGGACGTAAGACATCGGCGCGTCGAAAATCGGCTCTGCCAAAACTCTCTCCATCTCCATCTTGAGGCCGCGAGCTCCGGTCTCGGCCTTCGCAGCTCGTTCCGCAATTGCATATAAGGCTTTCTGCGTGAAGCGTAACTTGGAAGGGTACGTTTCAAACAGAGCGGTGTACTGCGCAACCAGAGAGTTGCGCGGCTCTGTTAGGATCCTATAAAGATCATTCAAAGACAAAGGACTAAGTGCACAGATATTGTGTACTCGGCCAATCAGTTCGGGGATGAACCCAAAGGCCTGCAGATCTACTGGCGTTGTGAGGTCCAAGGGAGTGTATGCTGACGCTGGTGCCTCGGGATCGACATGCGGCAGATGCGAGAACGACTCGCGCGGTAAGTCGTGCTGGTTTCCGGTGAGGCCATGTTTCCCTTTCAGCTCTGAACCGAAGCCCATGGATGGCTTCGATACTCTCCGTACAATAACCTTGTCGAGACCAACGAAAGCACCGCAAAAGACGAACAGAATGTTTGTAGTGTCGATCGTATACTGGTCGACCTTTCCCTGTGGCGGTGTGGATTGGGGTGCAGACGTTGAGCTAGAAGAAGTGTAGTTTGTTGTGATAGGCGGTGTCGATCGTGACGAGCGGTTGTCCTTGACGTTGATAGTAACTTTAGAGCCTTCGACTAGCTTGAGTAAAGCTTGTTGAACGCCTTCTCCACCAACGTCGCGTCCGTTCATGCTCTCCCTCTTCGCCAGCTTATCAAATTCGTCCAGGACAATAATGCCCTGCTCTGTAGCTTTGATGTCGTAGTTGGATTCGATCAGTAGCCTCTCTACGCACGTCTCGACATCTTGTCCGATATAGCCGGCCTGGGTGAAACCATTGCAGTCGGATATCGTGAATGGTACGTTGAGCTTTTTGCTTAGAGTCCTTTTACATGTAAGACTTCTCCCAGGCATTGAGGGTTTTCATGGCAAGCTTACTCTAGTATATACGTCTTTCCGACACCAGTAGGGCCGATGAGCAGCAAGTTACTCTTGTCAATCTTGACTGGAGCAGGAGTTGCAGGTTCCTCGACAAGATATGACCCGTCGAAACCAGTAGACGACTCATAGCCTTCGTCAAGGTGCTGTGTAGATTCAGCATGGCCAGGAAACTCGTCTTGGGGCCACTCGTCATCAGCAGGAAAGCGCTGGAAGGCAGATTGACGACCTCGCTGACCTTGAACAGGATGGATGTCACGCCTCTCGAGAATATCTCTGTCTCGGGCATAGCGTTGCCTCTCGGCCTTTTCCCTCTGGAGCTTCTCCTCATGCTCCTGATGCCTTCTCCGCCGGACCCCTTGATAGTGGTTGAAGATGGTGGAACAGATTGTCTTCTTCGCTCGATCTTGGCCAACGACGTAGTCGTCCACGCGCTTCTTTAGATCTCGGGGATAGAACTGCGGAACTCCGAAGTTATTCTTGTTGAACATGGGCCCACGTCCAGTATCACTAGTCGGATCATAGCTGCTCGTGAAGCCTGAGTTGAAGTCCTGTGTACGTCTTGGTGCGGTTCGAGCAGCGGAGGAGGCGGAGAAGGTGCGCTTAGCGCTCGAGAGGAGTAAGCATCGGGCGCATGTGTAGGCTTGTGGCCTCGTGGTTAGAGCCATTGTTTCGGGCGCCCGGTCAAGGGACCATAATCAGAGTGCCGCTGTGATTGTTCGTAAAGCTCTTCGATATCGATCTTGGCCTTTGTGTGTTTGGAGGATGTCGGTGGTGATGACGGGGAGTCCGGCGACCGGAGGGGATGTCATGAGAGTGTGGCTGGCACGATAGATAGGCCGGATAAGGGACCTTGCTCAGAGCTGTCGGTGTTCGTGTGGCCCGGATGCGGGGTTGAGGAGCTGGAGCTCCAGCGCAGTAGCGCTTAGGAGCGGCTAAAACTGGGGAAAGCTCCCAGCTATCAGCTCGTTGTTCGACAATTGTTTCTAGATTGCTCACCTTCCTAAAGTCAATTCCCATTGCATCGAAGCTTGCGTTAGCTTGCAATATCCCGGACGCGATCACTGGAATACCTTGGGTTATGACCTATTTAGGGGTGATATTCGAGCCAGATAGGACTTGTCAAACTCATGATGCGTACTTGGGGTTAGGTACCGTGTGCCCCATGCCCATGTCCGAATTTGGGCTGGCCATTTAAATCTGGCCAAATAAACGGGCATTGTAGGTTGTTGTGGCTTTTCGCTGCAGCTGAGAAACGAGGCTTCTCGCCCATGAAAACCCAAAGACAGGTGGGAATGGGTATCGTAGTGGTGAAGAAATTCAGTCTGAAGGGCGTTTTGATAGGTCCAGGAAATAGCCGTCCCTAACGGTTTCTAAATGCGGACCGTGAAATTCAACGTCGGCGTACCTAGTAATGTTGTTGGAGTGTTTTCCCTTGACTTCAGCCGTGTAAGTTGTCACACTTATCATTTTTGCAGAAATTTGGATAGAGAAGGCGTTGGACGACTGTTGCATTTGGTGTGATTCTCTTGAGAGACTATCCGTACAAAGTTGCGCCTCTAGCCCACCCCCAGAGTTCATGTTAGCAGAAAAGCTCCACCATTGTGCGTCTGGCATGCAATTCTCAGAGGGCCCACGACGTATCGGTGATGGCATTTGGCGACGATAACGACATATCGGTCCCACCAACGCTGATATTGATAACTCGTACTCGTCTCCCCTGTTCCCCCCTTCCTCTTCTTACTGGTCGATGAAGGGCATTACCTATCGAAGTTACCCTCTTTTCCTCACCTCGAAGGAGCAGGGTGCGAAAACCGGCAAACAAACGAGCAAGCAGCGCCTCCATCAGTCCATCAAGTGAGAAGACGGGGTTGCCGAGCAAATTCGAGTACCAACGCGGAGTTTCAGCCGCTAAAAGAAGTGCCTCAACCTTCAGCGTACCATTTTTTACCTTGGGCTCAGGCTGGATCAATTGGATGTGTGCTGTGGGTGTGCTGGGGGCCAACCACACTCCCGGAGGTGGCGATGAGTCCAATCGGCTGTGCGGCGCCTTGGTCGTCCACCCACCTACTTTGATTCGGCCGGTGAATTTTTGTTGTTGAGAATTGAGATGCATCGAGGCAGGCATCCCCAGGGAGGGGTTTCGAGTGGCGGCAGCATATTTTTTCTCGTTCCTACCTTGCCTTAGCGCCCTGCCACTTCCGATGGAGCAGCAATTCTCGTTGAATTGGTCGCGCCAGCCAGACCAACCATGGTCCATCAGTGAGGTGATCAGAGGATGGCCTGGACCTTTGCCCCGTGGGTGCTAGTTGCTTCCTCCTATCGAGATGTATGGGGTAATACGTTTGGCTACCTTGCCATAGTAGTGTAGTGACCGGGCTGGTTTTGCGAGATGCGAGCTTCCAGCTGCCTTGCCCCACGACGTCATATCATGCACAGCGCCAATTGATATACCTTGAGCTCTCTCCCTTCCCATCTTTGGTCCTGTGGTTTGGAAAGTTTAACCCATCCCAAGCTTATCCCGGCAGTGCGGGGGAACTATCAGGCAATCCAAACAAACTGTCACTGGCATTTTGTCCAAGAAAGCAATCATCTGTGTTTATTTCTCTCCCTTGCATCTTCTTGCTCGGCATTATCGACCAACCTCTTCTCTACACCAAATTCCAACATCCAACGCTTGATCGAGAACCCCAAACTTGCTCAATTCCTGCAGAGATTGCTCCCAATCTGCGCATTCCTTGCTTAGCTCCAGACCCCTACCGACCTACGTTAGGAAAGGCGTGAAATCTCCATCTAGCTCAGGTACTTGGCTCTGCCGTCACATAGCTGTCCTACCTCACCTTACCTCAACATTTTGTGCGGGGAGCTTTCCATTGCTTCTAATCCGCCCCCTCTCTGCCTCCTTCTTTCTCACCTTACCCTGCTTCATATTGACCTCCGAACGACACCTGACGTGTTTTATCTGCCCTACTTTAGATCGAGTTCAGCTCAAACCACCGCGGTTCTGCCCCGCACCGTTAACTTCGTATTACCACTACAAGCTCCATCGTCATCAATCAACATGGCCGCTGTTGCCCAAAACTCTGCCAACTCCATCACGCTGGACGGGCCAAGCGGCGCTGCCGAGGGCTTCCCAACCGACGGCACTGGTAAACATCCTGGTAATATCTCCTTGTAGGACCATTGGCTAAAACGTGTTAGGCGTTGTTAAGCTTGACCCCTGGCTGTCGCCTTTCCAGGAATCCTTGAAAAGGCGCTACTCCCGCGCTCAGGACTGGATCAAGAAAATCAATGACACTGAGGGTGGGCTCGAGAAGTTCTCCAAGGTAAGTTCAAGTAAGCTTGTATTTTTGGTGCAAGACCTAAGTCGAGTTATAGGGCACCTCGATCTTTGGGTTCAATGTCGACCACGACAACAACATCGTCTATCGAGAATGGGCACCCAACGCCAGTCAGGCGTTCCTGACTGGAGACTTTAGTGAGTTTAGTCGCATTTAGTATACCGTCACATGCTGATTGGGTGGCGACAGACAACTGGGACCGGAACTCTCATGAGATGAAGAAGAATGGTTTCGGAGTCTTCGAAATCACTCTGCCCGCTGCCAATGGCCAGGCTGCAATCCCCCACAACTCCAAAGTCAAGGTAAGCTCAGTTCATGGTGTGTGAGACGTAGTTGGGCTCATATCATCACAGATTTCCTTGCAACTTCCCAGTGGCGAGCGCGTCGACCGGCTGCCCGCGTGGATCAAATACGTGACGCAAGATCTGTCCGTATCCCCAGCCTACGATGCTCGCTTCTGGAACCCTCCTGCGGGAGAAAAGTACGAATTCAAGTACCCGAGGCCGCAAAAGCCTCGTAGTGCCCGCGTGTATGAGGCCCACGTGGGAATCTCATCACCCGAGTTGCGCGTTGCAACTTACAAGGAGTTCACCCAAAACATGTTGCCCAGAATCCGAGATCTTGGCTACAATGTTATTCAACTCATGGCAGTTATGGAGCATGCCTACTATGCCAGCTTTGGCTACCAGATCAACAACTTCTTCGCCGCTAGCAGTCGTTACGGACCACCGGAAGACCTCAAGGAATTGGTCGACGTAGCTCACAGCATGGGAATCACTGTGCTTCTCGATGTTGTTCACAGCCATGCCTCCAAGAACGTTTTGGATGGACTCAATGAGTTCGACGGCACAGACCACCAGTACTTCCACGAGGGCGCGCGTGGTCGCCACGAGCTGTGGGACAGCAGGCTGTTCAACTACGGCCACCACGAAGTTATGAGATTCTTGCTTAGCAACTTACGGTTCTGGATGGATGAGTACCACTTCGATGGTTTCCGTTTCGACGGTGTGACGAGCATGCTCTACTTGCACCACGGCATCGGAACGTAAGTGCTAAACATGTTTGAGATCACTCCTCAGATACCTATGCTAACGTTCACAGCGGCTTTTCTGGAGGCTATCACGAATACTTCGGATCGGACGCTGATGAGGAGGCTATTGCTTACCTCATGGTTGCGAACGAGTTGCTGCACTCCTTGTATCCGGAAGTTATCACCATTGCTGAGGATGTTTCTGGTATGCCGGCTCTCTGCCTACCACTCTCCCTCGGCGGCGTCGGCTTCGATTATCGACTTGCCATGGCTGTCCCGGATATGTGGATCAAGATCCTCAAGGAGACAAAGGACGAGAACTGGGATATTGGCAACATCTGCTTCACTCTGACGAACCGGAGACATGGCGAGAAGACGATTGCCTATGCCGAAAGCCACGACCAAGCGTAAGCTAGCCCTTTGTACAAAACTCACGACACTTGAAGCTAACTGAATCAGGCTTGTGGGTGACAAGACCCTCATGTTCCATCTTTGCGATGCCGAGATGTACACGAACATGTCAACCTTGACCCCGTTGACGCCAGTCATTGACCGCGGCATGGCCCTCCACAAGATGATTCGTCTGTTGACCCACGGTCTCGGCGGCGAAGGCTACCTGAACTTTGAGGGCAATGAATTTGGCCATCCCGAGTGGCTCGACTTCCCGCGCGAGGGCAACCAGAACTCATTCTGGTATGCTCGACGCCAGCTGAACCTTACTGATGACAACTTGCTCCGATACCAATTTCTGAACAACTTTGATCGCGCAATGAACACCACCGAGGGCAAGTACGGCTGGTTGGCTGCGCCTCAGGCGTACATCTCTCTCAAGAACGAGAATGACAAGGTCATCGTCTTTGAGCGGGCTGGCGTGGTCTTCATTTTCAACTTCAACCCCACCGAGAGTTTCGCGGATTACAGAATCGGCATTGAAGTGCCCGGTTCTTACAAGGTTATTCTCAACACTGATTCGAAAGACTTTGGAGGTCACGGGCGGGTGGACGAGGGAACTCGATTCTTCACCACTGCCATGGAGTGGAACAACCGGAAGAACTGGACTCATGTCTACATTCCCAGCAGATCTGCCTTGGTAAGATATTCCTTTCCAAGAAATATGACCTATGAGACTAATAATTTGTAGGTGCTTGGCTTGGAGTCTCCCGTCTCTCAGCATTAAGTGTTGATATACCGGAGAGAAACAGAGGACCATTAGTTTGTGGGAGACAGATAGAGAGGGGGAAAGAGAAGGGAGGAACTACTTACCAAGCTAATCGCAATTGTCATGAGTTACGCAAAAGCACTGTTTCTAGAAACCAAAACCAATAGATTTATCACCTGTCCTTTCAATACCTATCACCACAATGGTTCTGCCTTTGATCGCAATCAACGATACACTACTCTACTTGGCAGCCTGTGAACTTTTATAACTATCTATACAGCGGTAGAATATTGAGTGACATATTGCACAAAGCCGAAGGTTCGCAAGGTCAATATGAATTAGCATATCCAGTGACACAACACGGCATCAAACTAGATTCGTTTAAAGAAACAAATGGAAATTTGCTTGGAATTCAGCTCTTTTAGTACAGTATTTACACCAAGCAGATTGGTTGTCCTCTCGAGTCACGTCGCAAAGCCCCCCTCAGCCCATGCCAGCCAGCTTTTCTACTAGTAGTCATTTAATACATGGGCACAACTGCCATGGTCGAATTTGTGATTTGTGTGATTCTAAGAGACGAGATAGGGAAGGGGTAAGGGATATCGATCGGATTTAAGCCTTGGGAGGAGACTGGACCATGCCCTTGCCGGAGTAGCCCTCGGAAGAGAGACCAGTGAGGGGGTCGGAATTTTGTTTCTGTACGTTGAGGAAGAGTGGTTAGCCTTCTGGTCTCTCTACAGTTTTCGACGTCGACGTGTCCCGCAGTCGAGGACACGGTGTGAGGGTGAATACTGGTGTAACATACCTTGAGGAACTCGTTGGAAGCCTCCTGGTACTCCTTGGTCATGGTGTCGGGAGCAGGGCCGGCGAACATGCGGACGGTGGAGAAGATGGCCAAGCTGGCGGCGACGGCGGCCATGACGCCCCAGAAGACGCGGCCGGTCTCGCCGGCAGGGGAGCCGGAGCGGGGACCGTGAGGGCCGAAGGCGATCCAGTAGGCTGTTGTGATTGAGAGAATTTGCGTTAGTTTTGGAGGTTTCTTGATGTGACGCAATGCATATGCACAGGGATGGGGGAGGGATGTGAGGTTGGTCTGGGGGGGAATTCGGGCATCCAAGAAAAGCCAATTGAGAGAGAAGCATCGGATGGGCATATATAGCTGCCACTCTCCTCTCTCGCGCAATTGATGTTTTCAATTGAGGGGCTTCCCTCAATGGCTTTCTTATCCGTCCCTCGATCTCTCTCTATCCCTCTTTCGGCGTACATCGAACCACGTTTTCCCTCTCAACGACGAACGATATAACGAAGGAAATAGTCACGCACCGGCCTTCTTCTCCTGAAGGGTGAGCTCAGCCCAGGGGCCCTTCATGCGGTCTCTCAGGGCCATCCAGAGCTCGGCCTGCTCCTGGAGGGGCATGCCTTCCCATCTCTTCTCGATGTTGGCGAGCGTAGGGTTGGAGATGGCGTGGGTGGAAGCGGCGCGGCGGATGACGGCGGAGTGGGCGCGCAGGCCGGTACGGGCCAGGGAAACGGTCGGGCGCAACATTGTGTCGGCGTTATGTGTCGTCGGAAAATCGAAAAATCGCTGGAAGGGAGGGTCGCGGTCGAGGAGGGCTCAATTGAGCGATTGAGTCGTGGACGTTCGCGGGTGGAGATTCGTGAATGGACGTCGAAGAGGAAGAAGAGGGTTTTTTTGGTCTCTACCTAGAAGTTCCGGGCAATCGTATGATTGGAATTTCGATTGCAATACGCCGGCTGCGACTGGGTGGTTGAGGGGTCACGTGATAAGATTATGGCCTGTGCGGGTGCCATCCTTCCAATGGAATTGAGTGCTGGGCACAAGGGGGGGCGGGCCATGGGGGGGTGTTGCCGGTTCCTTCACCTCGGTGTCTGGGCTGACGGGGAGCTTTACGGGTAGCTTTCAGTGTATGTCTGCTGCTGTCACTGGCAGGCTTGCATCCCAGTGCAGCAGCAGCAGCAGCAGCAGCAGCAGAAGCAGCCGCAGCAGCGCAGCTTCCATTGCAGGGCTCGGTTGTCGGCTCATTCCGAATACCGCCGTTTGACCGGGATCTCAATTGCTTCATCCTATGGTCTTTGTTCAAAGGTTTTAATGCGTCTCGGGGATTGCTCAGTTACTTGAGTATCCTTTGGAAGCTCTCGGATCTGTGTTTCACTTGTTTGTCGGCTCAGTTGGTTGCTGCATACGAACCGTTCGGTATGTACTTGATTTTGACATCACGGCGCATCTCGGCCGAAGTCGGTGACTTTCAGCCAGTCTTTGTGCAACCCAAATCATTCGGCCAATGAGCGGATTCTATGTATATGTGGTCGCGCACTCTCTCCTTATGGAGTGCCGTCCGATGTTGAGCTCTTGATATTGTACCATTAAATTGAAGAGACATAGCATGTTGTTATATGCTATCAAATATCATACAGCCACCCAATCATTCCGGGCGTATTGTTTCGAGTAAAGCTCTCTGAGGCTTGGAGACCAGCTGAGAAAGTTGTCGGCAAGCTGACTTTTGCAAACAAGTTTGCTTGCCTTGAACTATTTCCTCTTCATGAGTTCCTCTTTAGGGGGAATCTATCACGGTCTCCGAGGCGTATGATATGTCTTTAGGTAGAACTGGACGTTCCTAAGGTGGTTGCCAGAGGGCAAGCTACCTTGGCTTATAGCAGCCTGATGGCTGTGACGAATTGAATTTTGAATTCAGTTCTGTTCAGACCTTCAAGAATTCGGTCTTGAATTCTCTGGACTCGTGCCGGCTTGAGGTGTTGTTTGGTTCGAGGGCTGTGATTTGGAGGTGTTCGGTTCGCTTGACGAGACGGGCTTGGGTAATTGGAACTGCTTTTGTTCACGCAGTTTTGCCTGCCTTTCGAGCTCAGGCTTTAATGTGTAATTAGCTGGTACAGTTAGCGACTGTTGAGTCCAGCCAAAGTCTTTTCTCTAGATCAAGTGGTTGGGGGGTGGCGTACTGATGGAGATGCCTGCTACCACAGCTACAACGATGGGTATAACGTTTCTGAAGCTCATATTGAAGGTCGTGGCTGACTTGGAATAGTCGAATTATGGGAAGAATCCTTTGGGCACGAATATTATGCCAAGGGCGGTAAACAGCTAAGCTTGCAGTTGGCAGTAGGTGGCGGTTGTGATGTAATCGTCGACACGCCTGGGATAGCTCAGGTAGCGCGAACCCAGAGGTCGCGGTTGGTCGCCCAGAATTCGGTACCGGGGCCTGTGCGCACACTCAATCGACTAAAGTGGTTTCCCGCCCCCGTGCCACCGCGTGCGACAGCGTGTACCCCACCAGACGCGCTCAGCGACCGCCTGAACGCGTCCCGCTGCTTCAACATTCGGGTCAGCTCCCGTCAATTATTTGCACAGCGCCTGCGTACGACGAGCCGAAATTTTGGCCACCCAACCTCTTTCACAATCCCTTTACCGGTTCATACTTTACGATGTGTACTTCTTTATGATGAACGCTTTATGTCATGGCAAACTGGAAAGAACTGGGCGAGGTCCCAGACTCGGACGACGAACTCGACTTCGATAGCCAGGATCTTGAGTCGCTACCGAACCCCGAACTACCTTCGACACGCACTGCCGATACTTTACAAACGAAGGAAGCTCGAGAAAGCGTATGGGATGTCCCCGAATCGTCACAAGATACGCCAGCAGACGCGACTACAAACCGTGTAGCATCAAGCCGCTGCCATGATGTGTCCAAGCCTCTCGACGCTGAGCCGCCCTCCTCGCCGCTCTCTTCGGTGCCGGATATGGACGAGCTGGACGACCCCTTCAACTTGGACTTTGACGAACTAGAGCCCCAAGTAGTTGCACCTACGACAAAAACGAGGACTGCGTACCTTCCCAACGACCGCGACGACTCCCCCGATCCCTTGGCTGGTGATGATACTGTTTCGACGAGCTATGTTAGAATCACTGCTCCTGAACCCAAGTTTCCCGTCGAGAACGATGCCGAAAGCCTTACGCCTCCCAACAGGCCTCCGGTGGCTTCTTCACAACTTAGCCAACAGATTCGGCAGAGACGATTGGTTGCCCAGCTCTTTGCAAGTTCGAGCCCAGAGGCAGAGGTGGCAGCTCCAGTCGAGCAGTCCAACCCTGGCAACACTTCGCCCCCGAGACCCATGTTCGCCTTCTCAGCGCCGTCTCACGTGGCTTCTCCTGTAGCTTCTCCGGCGCCGACCCAGTCGAGGAAGCAGCCGAGGCCGGCGGCTATTCAGCGGTTGGAAAGCTCGAACAGGGACGAGCAGGTTGCTCGACAAGTCGCTGTGCGGTATGAGCGCTCGTTCAGACCAAGGAAACCCATTCAGGAACACCCATATCTCATTGAGAATGCCCAATATAGCAAGGCTCTCAAATCGCATGGCATTCGTCCCATCAGAATGCCTGCAGAACCAGCTCCGAGACGACAACGGCCGGAAGAAGATTCCCAAGAGAAGGATTTCGAGGACAACAGCCAGGGAACCACGGCTGATGTGCCTAACGGGACCACAGACGAGAGCCAATTCAACGGCCAGGACGTCCCTCCGAGTTCCAGTCAGCCCATGTCGTCTCTCTCCGCTTCGCCCCTCCGAACATCATCTCCCAAGCACCGTGGCGGACCGAGTAGCCAACCAAGTCAAGGGGATACGGATAATACCAGCTTCTCTGATGTTGATGACCTGCCCTCCCTTGACGAAATTCACCGCGACTTGCTGGCAAATCGATCTGCCAAAAAGCGAAAACGTGGAAAAGGCGCCGTGGCCAAGCCTGTAGTGACGCAGGCGGCAGCCCCATATACGCTTTCGCCGTCGCGTCCGCAGTTTCAGCAGTATGATGAGATCTACGGCATGCTTTCTTCGCCGTCTTCGTCGCCTGGAATACAAAGTACGGTGGTCAACCGAAGAGTTAATCCTATATCATTATCTACAGAGAGCAATACTAAAACGACATTCTTCGAGGACAATGACCTACCCATCATGGACAGCAACATCTTATCTCCTGCCATATTCGAGCGCCATCTTTCTGTCGAGCCGGAGCCGTCAGTATTCGACCTGACCATGGCAGACACTTCCGACGTGGGAGAAGAAAATGAATTAGGAGATGTTGATGCGCAGAGCAGTTCAGGAGAGCAGTCAGAGGGTAGGAATGGTGGTGGCGAGGAGGCCGGCGCGGCGATTGCAAAAAGAATGCGTGGTGTACTCCCTGCATCCTGGCTGAGACTCGACCAACAGGCAAACCGTCCCAAGCCTACTCAATATCAACGCCCCGATGACTCCCCTGAGAAGATTCCAAGACGAGGCGTAGCTGTTCGACGCATTGGCCGCTCGGCATCATCTACGGCAGCGGCGTTTCTCTTCGATGATTCGGACGACGATATGACCACTGCGCCGACGCCTACACGTCCTTCTCACGACACTCAGACGGTGTTGCCTTTCGAGAGATCTGAGGTCATGGAAATAAGTGACGATGATGGTGGCTCCGTCGTTGAAGAAGATCAGGTTGACCATATGCTTCCAAACAGAAAACGTCAATTGACTTTAAAAGACTTTCAACAACCCGCCAAAAGGCAGAAAAAGAACGACCGTCCATCCGGTGCCCAACCCAAAAAGCGTGGGCGACCACCGAAAAGTGCAAACAGATCTTCTGGAGCTGCCTACCTTGATCCTTTCTCCAAAAGTCGCAAATCTGCTCCAAGCAATACTCGAACTGTGGCCCGAGCCAAACCCCCTCCAAGGTTGAGCATTCTGGATGTCATCGAACCAGATGCGCCGAAGTTTCTGAAGATCGCGGCTCGAGCGGCTCAGAGCAAACGGCACATGGGACGATCCAGTCCTACAAACAAGAGCATACGACTGGCTACGCGGAAGGACAATGTAGATGCCGGCAGAGTGCTCCAAGAGTGGAAAGGAGGCAAGATTCGACCTCGACCTGGATTGCAGACGAAGAAGCCTATGCCCACAGGGTCAAGTGAAAGGCGTCCACTTACTCAACTACCATCCAATGTCTTCTCTCGCGGTGCTGTATCCTCTCCGAAGGCCCGCAGCGCCACACAGCCTGATGAACTTCGCCGCGAGGGCTCAACGCCTTTGGCGCCTTTACCGGAGGCGCGCTCTCGGGCAAGGCTGATGTCGAGAAGCAACTCGATCACAAGTCAGCACACGCAAGATACCACCAACAGACCGGCTCAGCTTGAAACGGATTTAACCCAGCAACCGGGTAGAATCGGTTTCCAAGCAAAGAAGCGGGCTCTCGATGCCCTGTTCAAGCGAAATCACTCGCAGTCACTATCGTCGAGGAGTGCCCATTTGGATTCCTTCCTGGACGATACATCGTCAGTAGTATCAGGGCACAGCCTTGCTACTAGACGCTCTCCTGAGCCTGCAGCAGTCAGGAAACCCGTATTGAAGCGTCCGAGAAAGCCTGCACAGCCAATCCAGATCGATGTCACCGCAGCCCATTTCCGTCATGCAGACGATCCCTTACCTACTGTAGAGTTGATGACTCCTGTGGAAACGCCTAAAGCCTTGTTCAACGATAACCAGCTTCTTGGTCTCGGTCCTTTCGGCACACACTACACACAGCACTTTGACATCTTCCCCCTGGATCGCGGGGTCTTCTTCCACGAGACAACACTCATCGGCAGCGGTCGTGTCAGCTCAGTGGTATATGACCAGTTACCCGCGAAGGTTTGGAATTACCGGCCCCGAATTTCTTTCAGCCTCGGTGAAATGGTCCTTCGATGGGACTTGTGGACCGAACAAGTCTCTTCCGAATTCGGCATCGTGATGGACGGAATCCTCGATCAAATTCTCAAGCCATCACTGTCTGCGGAAGTCACAATTGATGCTAAAGGAGCGGCAAGATTTGTTTTGGACTATGTCCAAAAAGCTATGAGCTTCACCAATGATGCCGATGCTGGCTCCTTCATCACTCGGGTCTCTGACGTATTCAGGTCTTTCTTGACACGCTTCGATTCTGGAAATGTCACTGACTTGCCAAAACGTCGAGAACTGGCTGAGGTGTTGTCGAATATACTTCTTGTCGTCTCCTATGCAGTCCGCCTCTGCCAAAAAAGCGCGACGCTGATGACAGAGAGCTTTGCTATGGAGGCGCTCCTTGGAAAGACTGCAGAAACACTGGTCCGATTGCTACTCGATATTGGCCTGGATGACGTTACACATCTCTACGATGACCTTCAGACCTTAAGATACCGCGAGCGTGGCATCCGCTGTGACAAGGTCGTAGCACAGTCTTGGGTGCTTCTCATGAAGGTCCTAGAATATCTTCGGATTCCTAGGATGACATTCTGGGACGTCACGTATTCATGCATGATACAACCAAGCGTCATTCGTGGCATGGATTCCCAAGAGTTCGAGAATCTCTGGAAGAAGATGTTTACGCTCTTACCGTTGTGCGAATTTGACGGGAATGGTGTAGTCGTTTCCGATAGAAGGCATCAAGTTCCCCTGGAAGGATGGAATTTGCCCCAGCAAGTCCTCAAACGCGTCTTCCAACTATACCGCGACAATCCTCGCCAGTCACCCAGCTTCAACGATTATTGCCGGGCACTAGTGTCCCGATGTCACTATCTGGTCGATCAATGGGGTTGGCAGAAAAGCAGCGGTATCATTGGTACCATCTTCGACTTCTTTGGCTCGCAGAACTTATCTCACCTGCGCAATGAAGAAGCATTCCGCTCAGCCCGGTTCTTAGACAGCCTTCATCTTGACCCATCTCTTCATGTTGAACCTGAGGATAGATGTTTTCACATATTCCTCAAACTCGTGGCACTAGCCATCAAGAGGATGAGACAAAGAGAGGCAGTCAACGACATTCGGAACTTGGTTGCTCGCACACTGCCAAACCACGACCGTCAATATTCCAAAGAACAAAACGTCCACCAGCATGACCTGGCCGCTCTCAGGAACCACCATGATCTTCTCTGCACTCTGTTCTGGGCAGCGCCACCCGATCTTCGTCCCGGCATCCACAACCTGGAGAAGCTGGTGATTCCTGCCAGCTCTCACAAGGAAGCCTGCCTTATTAATCTGCGGGCCTGGAATCAACTAGCAAGGTTCGTTGTGCATGAGGAGTCCGCCGCTTCATTCAACCCGTTGGCTAGCTGGCAGGCCAACGTGTTCAAGCAGCTGTTGGATCAGTACAATTCTGTCGCAGCAGATATTCAACAGCAATTTTTGGCACTGTCCAAGGATGACAGCAACAATGTCAGCGAAGACCTGATGAACTCTATTATGGCTACGAACAAAGCTGCTACCATGGAGATCATGCTCTTCTCAGTCAAGTCCTCAATGGGGGTTGTGCAATATGCAAGTAGCTTGGAGCTGGCAAGGCTTGCCTCTAGCCCTTGTGAGATAACCTGCCAGACGTTTGGCATCCTTCAACTAACATCATCCGCAGATCAACTACAGCAAGTCTTCCAGCATTTCTCTGCTTTGCCAGCAGACTTCCCGACCACGCTTCTCCAAGCCTCTTTGACCACCCTTGAACGTCTTGTTGGTCGAATCGAGTCGGTCTTCAATGAGGCCGATGACAGCCAAGACAGTATGGCCTCTCGGACATTGGAATCTGAGGATGCTATTCTAGTAAGTAATGCTCATTTTCTTGCATCGTGTACGTGTCTAACTTCCTCCTAGATGCTGGACCGCGAATTGGCGGCTGCGTTCCTTTCAGCAGCACGCTGCCTCTTGTCAAATCAATCGCGTGATAGACCTGGCACTTCAAGTGTGTCAACATCCTGTATTGAGCAATCTGTCGTGGTCTCTGGCATGATGATTGGTCTTTTCGTCCGCTGCGGAATGATGGTGAGTTGGTCTGGGTTAATTCAAAGAGTCGACCGATTGCTTACCATTCCTAGGCACTCTCGCAGGTCTTCAAAACCACCAAATATGGGCTATTCGGGAAAGCGCCGAACAAACTTGACTGGGAACAACGCCAATACCTTCCACTCTTCCTTTCCGTTGTTGCGCAGAAGGGAGCAACCATCAACTTGGAGGTAAAGAATGCCAATGGTGCATGATACATGAACGTGGCTAACATGAGGCAGGATATTGGAGCAAGCCTTTTGCTATTGTGGCTCATGATCATCGTACAGCCGAGTCACTGCCTGAGATTCGAGAACCAATTTGGACAGCAGCTCCAACGACAGGGCTATCCTTTCATTCCAGACAAAGCAGGTCTCACCGTCAACCCAGGCTACTCGGCCAATCGTGACTTTTTCGAATGTGAGTACTTGCGCAGGTTGATTACGTGACATAAATGACTGAACATTTTCAGACGCGGTATCTTGGATGCGGAAATCTCTACATACAGCCGACGCTGCCTCCAAGAGGAACATGCGGTCAGAGTTCGAGAGAGTTCTCAATGCTGTCATGAACCAGATGCGGGCTGATGTTCAGATCATGGCCGCAGACGTATCAGAGCATCCGGGCTATGTCAAGTTCGTCCGCAACATCATCTCCCTCATCAAGGCTCATGGGCCAGACATCTGCCCTGTACAGAAGTTCTTCTTGGAAGTGAGCAAGGAGTATTCGCCGCCCATGCAGGACCCGCAGCTACAGGCAGCGTTGCTTCAGTCATACGGATTCAAGCTTGCAGAAGGCGACCCCAGAGTCCCTAGTACACTATTCCACTTCTTGCTCAACAACTTCAAGGGGGCTCTTCAGCGTGGTCGACTGCCTTATGAAGTCATCCTGCTGAAAGGGGCCTTGGAGAATGATGCCATCATGTCGTTCGTTCTCGGCAAGATGCTTCCCGCAGTGTTATATGCCACTGTATCCCACGTCGAGGCCTACGCAATGCTTGACGTTCTATGCGATGCGCTTGGACTGGCAATAAAATTGCCGCCTGTGGCTCGCCAAATCAGCAAAGACAATCTTGCGTGCATTACTGCCTTGGTCACAACCACACTGGCTTGGGCATCCGCCCTAGGGAGGAGCATGCTTAGTCCTGAGCATGTCCATGTGCTCAGACGAATCACTTGGCTCCTCAACGCTTTCCAACCTTCTCTCGAAGCGTTCTCATTCATGGCTACAGAACCTCGAGGCTGGGACAATGTCATGGCCATGTTGCATTGGTTCAGCCTGCTTGCCGAAGGGGCTCAAGAGTATCTTGAGAACCAAGAAACCCCGTTCATAGCAGCGTCGGGGCTGTTCCGCCGACTTAGAACTCACAATGAGGTCTTTACGATCCAGGATACCACTGTTCTGACCTGGTCAGAGCATATTGGCAACGACATCACTAGGAATTGGGTCACGACAGGACCGTTGTTGACGGTATCAGCACACAACCGTGGGACACCTTCAACGCAGTCTGGGATTGGTTCCTTACGGCCTAACTGGGACATGCAAGAATTGACAATGAGCCTGCTCGATCAAATGCGGAACTGGCATGAGTGGTGGGCGAGGGTGAAGGAATCGCCAGCTGATACTGAGGAGGTAGATTTTGGGGAGGACATCTTTTTCTGAAAAGAGTATCTGTCATAGAGCAGCATCCAAACCTTACCGCTGGAACGAAATGCATGATATCCATAATCACAAGCTGTTTACCAGCGATTAAAGAAAATCTTCTTGACTGTGTCTTTCATTCCATGAAGTGCCTATGCTGAGTCATCTATTGCTGGGTCAAGGATCCATCTTGAATGATTTCATTGCGATCTGATTCGGTGCGGGTTGCTCGGTGAGCGTCGGTGAAGACTCTGCCGAGATTCCGCCGTTCTCACTAAGCACGGAGCCGGCTTCAACAGCTCGAAAGCAAACAAGGTCTCTTTTGCCACGCAACGACACCGCCAATTGCTGGCATTTTGCTTCTTGTCCTTCCGAATGTATGCAATAGGGCCTCGGGCCCTTGCATCCGCCTCACGAGTCTCTCTATCATCAAGGCTAGCGCTTTCGATCGCTCATCGCAGCCAGTGTCGACACTTCCACCCGTCCTTTAGGTTGCGGAAGAGCCCGTCCGAAGGCGGCGCAGACGACGGCAAACCACCAGACAAACCCGCCGGCGAGCAAGAGGATGGCAGTAGGAGCAAGGATGGCAACGTGAGCAAGACAGAGTCGGCCACGGCGGAGTCAGCTTTTCGGAGGTCGAGGGGCGGCGCGTTCGCTTCTGCGAGAGCGCGCCTTTCGCGGCCGCGGGCCGCGGACGAGCTTCCACCCGTGAAGCTGCCGCAGAGCTTCCTCGATACCAGCGTGTCGCTGTACGACCCCGAGAACCGAATCAACACCCTCACGAATGACCTTTGGCACCATCGCTACATGGGCGCCCGCTGGCACGACCTGCTCTGGAAAGATTTGGATCTCGTGTTTAGCCATGCATCTTGGAGCGAAGCGAAGCTGCAAGATGCGCTGCGCCGAGGCAATCTCGAAGCCATTGAGAGGCGGAGCCGCCTCCTCGCTGAGGCATCGCAGTGGCTGAGTCTCTCCATTGACGAGATGCGATCTTCGAATAACCTGCAGAGCTCCCGCGAGCCGCTGCCGACCACGGAATTCGCAGACATGCTTCGATACTCCAACAAGTTCGTCCTCTCGAACCTGTTGTCGCAACACACCAGAGCCACGACGGATGCCGACCCAACACAAGACCCAGACAGCGTGCTGCAGTCGCTTGTTGAGCAATACATCGAGGAGGGACGGCCGAAGCTGAGACGTGACGGACTGAGGTTATTTGATCCTAGAATCCGCGGTGAAGTTGTCACGGCTGTGTGTGCGGAGCTTTCCTTGCAGCCGGACGCAAGCGCGGCAGGCAGGGAGCTCAAGAGACCCCTTACTGTTGTCAACATTCCGAACTACACCGGTCGAAGCCATACCAAGAAGCTTATGAAGCACGTTGCATCATGCGCGGAGGCCGATCTGATTCACCTCGATGCACAGGAGCTAGCGATGCTCGTCGGCGACTACATCGGACAGGACTGTGCCTACTCGCGGGGCTCCATCTCTATGCTGGGATACCGATCTGCTGAGATGAACGGACGTCTCGTCAAGAGCGAGGAGCCGTCCAAGCCTAACGACGAGGACCTCTCTGGCGAGATCGAAGCGGCTTGGGTCAACCTTCGGGATCATGGGGTGGATGGCGGCTACGGCAACCCTATGGATAACGAACTGCAGAAGATCAAAGAAGGCCCCAAGGACTATATCCTCCCTTCTGTCGATCGTTGGGAAAACCTGAAGATCAACGCCGTTCTCGAGGAGATTGCTAACTCGGCCACAAAGATGACATCGCAGCCGGATCGCAACCTGATTATCCACGTGGACGACTTTGTCGAGCTCAACATGACGCTCGAGGGTGCGCTGCTTATCGGTAGACTAAGGACCATCGTAGACACCATGTGGCGTGCCGGCAAGAGAGTGACCCTCGTGGGCACCTCATCCAACGAGAACCCTTCAGAGCAATACGCATCGACGCTCAAGGAAATTGCGGCAGAGGAGTGTCTGATCCCCTTGCCCCTAAACTTCCAGCGGATCACCGACGCTGCCAACACCAAGAAGATTTATGAGGCCAACGACTACTTGCAAGAGAACCTGCGAAATATCCAGCACATGTTGAAGAGCATTTCCGGCCAAACGCGAGACACAAGCAAACTACGCATCGTCGGCGTGTCAAAGTCCTCACCGCCGCAGTTCCTCTTGGATGACGCGCACGGCTCTTATATGGAGGTTTCGCTTATCCCCCGCGTCCTGGCAACCTCCATCCTCCCCCTTTCCGACGTATACCACATTACCCGCCTCTTCTACGCCTGTGAGGGCACCGTCAGCCCCGACCAATCATGGAGGGTCCTCTTCGACGTCGTCGAGTCCAGCAGCTACAGCACCGCGCAACTGCACCGCACCCAGGATCGGCCGACGCGCTCCAAACCCTCCTCCGGCGGCGGGAGCACGTCTGCCGATATGCAGAAGCCCGAACCAGAACGCCTCCGCGTGTCTGGCAATTACAACGACTACGAGAAGAAGCTTCTCAGTGGTCTCGTCAACAGCAGCGAGATCAAGACGACGTTCAACGATGTCCACGCCGACCCGGAGACCAAGAACAACCTCAAGCTCCTGACGTCGCTCTCGCTCGTCCGACCCGAAGCCTTCACCTACGGTGTCCTCGCCACCGACAGGATACCAGGCTGCCTCCTCTACGGCCCGCCCGGCACCGGCAAGACGCTACTCGCCAAGGCCGTCGCCAAGGAATCCGGCGCCAACATGCTCGAGGTCAGCGGCGCCAGCATCAACGACATGTACGTCGGCCAGAGCGAGAAGAACGTGCGCGCCCTCTTCTCCCTCGCCAAGAAGCTGAGCCCGCTCGTCATCTTCATCGACGAGGCCGACGCCCTCCTCGCCGCCCGCGGCCAGCGCAACCGCGCCGCGCACCGCGAGACTATTAACCAGTTCCTGCGCGAGTGGGACGGCATGAGCGACACCAAGGCCTTCATCATGGTCGCCACCAACCGGCCCTTTGACCTGGACGACGCCGTGCTCCGCCGTCTGCCGCGCAAGATCCTCGTCGACCTGCCGCTGAAAACGGACCGCGCCTCCATTCTCCGCATCCTTTTGAAGGGCGAGACGCTCGACACCTCGGTTGACGTCGACGACGTCGCGCGCAGGACGGTGCTCTATTCCGGCTCCGACCTCAAGAATCTCTGCGTCGCGGCCGCCATGACGGCCGTCCAGGAGGAGAGCGAGGAGGCGGCGCGACACGCCGGCCCCGAACCCTACGTGTTCCCGCCCAAGCGGACGCTCGCGAAGCACCACTTTGACAAGGCGCTCAAGATGATTGCCGCCAGCGTCAGCGAGGACATGGATAGTTTGAAGAGCATCCGGCGGTTTGACGAAAAGTACGGCGACGTAAGGGCGAAGAATAGCCAGAAGAGGAAGGGTATGGGGTTCGGTGTGTTGCCGACTTCGACGGATGCTGAAGAGGCTAGGGTGCGGCAGGCTGTTGCTTGAAATACGCCTTGCCGCCTGGATCAAGGTTTCAATTTTTTTTCTTCGTGTCTTTTTTTTTTCTCTCTTTTTTTCTTTGTAATGTCATTCTAGCCGCTGAAGCAAACCCCCTCCTACTCGGACCAGAGAGAGGGTGGTCTTTTGGCCGAATTTGTACGATTTTGTTGCGCAATGGAAAAGGTTGTCCCTTTGAGGATATCCCATCGTGGGTTCGGGGGCTATAGAAAGGGGAGGGCAAGGAAGTGAGTGGTGGATTCTGTATTATCACTGGAGAGGAGACATGCACACCATCTAACATCAAGGTAGTTAGATAGCATCTCAAAGACTTGCTGAAACAAAAGGAAGGGAACAGCGAAAGATAGATGGGCTATGAATTACTATACTATCCTCATGAGATGGGGGTTTTGAAAAAAAGGGAATGAGGTGCCCCTTCTTGGGTGATTCATGTGATGGGATGGAAGTGTGACTCGACAACACTCGCATGCGTACAGAACATTTGGTAAGAAGCGCGTACGGATTGTTGTGGTTTGCTTATTCCTGAATTAAGCTCCTGATGGTTTCGCATTTTGATATTTCTTATACAATCGAACCCTACTCGCCGCCATAAGCTCAGATGTAGTACCTCAGCATGTCCCTGCCATCTCACCCCACGAGCAACACTTCAAGCCTCAGTAGAAAGCTGAACCCCCTCAGCGGCAAGAGCCCGCGAGTAATCTCCCTGCGCCCTCTTCAACGCCTCCAGCGTCGGCTGCATAATTGCCAACACGGCCTTCCTGCCCCCCTTCTCGTGCTCGGGCCGCCACCCGCGAATCTTCTTCCCCGTCGCCTTGTAGTGATCCATAATCTCCTTCTTCTTGGCCCGGATAATCTCGTCGCGCGTCTTCTCCGCCTCGTCGGCGACGGCGTGGATGCGCTCGGCCGAGCGCCGCAGCGACTCGACAAGGTACTGCAGCTCGTTGGCGCGGTCCGGGTCGCCCGACAGGAACGCGTTCCAGAACTGGTGCAGGAACTCCACCGTCGTGGCGTGCGTCAGCTGGCACCGCTCCGCGACCTCAACGGGTAAGCCCATCGGCCGCGACTCGTCCGCCGTCGTGTCGCCGTACTTTTGCGCACGGCGCTGTCGGATGCCCTTCATGATGTCGTCGCCCGCGGCTTTCCTCGCGGCGCGGGAGCCGACGTGCGGCGGGCGCCGCCCGGCGCCGCCTGCTCCTTTGTCGTCGTCGCTGTCGCTGTCGTCGACGATGCCGATGCCCGCGCGGAGGTTGAGGCCGCCCGCGCCGTCCGTCTCAATGGTCTCGAGGTCGGTCTGGATGTCAAAGAGGACGTCCGAAGGGTTCTGCTTGGCGAAGGCGAGGGCGTTTGCGGATTTGGCCTCGTCCTTTTTCGCAAAGAAGCGTTTCTGCTCCTTGATGTTGAGAATGATTTTGTTCTCCTTTGCGTCGCCGCGTAGGTCGCGGAGGGCGATTTCCGCCCACGTCGAGTCTTCTTCGCCGGCCTCGGCGCCGCCGGTGTCGCGGTCCGAGGGGGCCACGTTGGCGAGCATGCGCTCGCTGAGACTGTTGAGCGTGTTGACAATGGGCACGTTTTTGCGCGGGCGCATCTCGACGTCCTTTTGGTTCCCGCTCCGGAAGCCGCCCTGGTTCTCCTCGTTGCCGTGGACGTCAATGATGTGCGGCACGCTCTGCGCCATGCTCTTGCGCTGGAACATTGTCGTGTTCTCGCTGGCGTCGTGGGCGTCGAAGAGCGCGTCGCGCTTGATGCCCTCCTTTCTCTCGTCTGTGATCCTGTCACCTTTGAGCGTGCGGAAAAGCTTGCTGAGGAAGAAGCGGGACCAGAACTCGCTCTCGGGGACTTTTGGCACGTTCTCGTCGTAGAGCCGCTTGACGAGCGGGTGCTGCGCCATGATGAGCTGGACCATCTCGACGGTGATGTCGAGCTTGAGCACGTCGTTCTCCAGCCGCGGCTTTATCGCGGGGAGGACGTTGTACGCGCCCTTTTGCTGGTTCACCTCGATGGCGTGGGCACGTAGCAGGTTCGTGCGCGTAGACCAGAATTGCGCGTTGAAGGCCGCGTCTGATATCGACTCTGGCTTGGTCGCGCGCGCGTCCATGTACGTCTGGTGTAGGGTACGGTCCTTCTTCATAAGGGATTGCTGCAGCTCAATGTCGCCCTTGAGCTGGGCGTCGTCAAACCAGCGAGCGCTATTGGGCTTCGCGTTGGCGGAGCTGGCAAACGTCATGGACGAGCCGCCGCCGGCGCCGCCACCGCCACCGCTGGCACCATTTGCGCCGTTGGCCGGGTTCGGGGTTGAGTTGCCGGAGGGTTTGGGGACACTGGGATCGCCGGAGCGTATATCGGCCAACAGCCTCGAGAGCAGGTCTTTGATGGCGTTGGCCTCGGACCTGGCTTCTGGTGATGTGAAGTGGAAGAGGTAGGGCACCTGTTCTGTTGCATCTGGAGGTTTCTCAAAGATCTTGAGCATGACCTTTGCTGCGCTGTCTGGTGTCTGTTGCAAATCTGTGGCCTGCGTCAGTCATGCATAGTGCTGTCTGGTCGGGTGGAAGCTCACTTGAGATATTGGCAATCACCAGGGAGACCGTAGGCGGTCCATTCCCAGGTGCTGGAGTCCAGATGACGGACTGCTGATCCGGCGTCAAGGTCAAGACACCATCCTTCTTCTTGAAGGCCGTGCGACCTGACGGTATCGCCATCTTCAGTTTTTATGTAATTTGCTTAGAAAGTTGCTGTGAAGCATAGCGTTGAGACCTTCACTTCGTCACCACCCTGTCAAGCCACCTCAATGTGAACTCCCTCCTTGCCTCAAATGATTCGGCCTGGGTCTTCGCAGGGATGAGACCCGATACGTCAGGAGCAGCCCACCGGCCAGATCGATTGTAGTCGCGTATGATTCAATAATTCTGCAACGGTAGGAATTTATCGCTCAAATGCGGAACTCGCGTGGTAGCGTGGAATGGGAATAGTTCAATGTCTTTCACCTGGTTTTGAAGTCTCGAGGTTCAAAGCTCCAGCCACAGGAGCGTATGCTGCCTGAAGTGGCTGTCGGTCGCCAGCTGGCGTTGTCTTGACAGTTTCCGACGGCCCGGCAGGTGCCACACGTCCAACCTCAAACGGCCAACCTCAAGGCATTCACAGTCGCCATTTTGACATCAACAACCAAAGTCACCCCATGTGAGATGGCACCTAGTATCTCATCATCAGGTTTCAACGAGAGGGCCATGTTTTGCAACGATCGTGGTGATTTACTAACTAGCTTGTCTGGCGTATTTCCCTGCCAGCCTTTTCCTACGCGAGCCAAGAACCAGTCCTGGAAGATCCATGCTTTCCTCAAAACGCCAAAATCTCAGAAAAGCCAGAGTTTGTCCCCGTGTCTATGGATGCGTGTCCCCGTATCTCGTCCAAGTCTCATAAAAATGTCGTGAACCTTTCGATAATACATTCCGAAGGGCAAGAAAAAGTTTGTTACAGCGGCCACCGCGAGCGCTTAGATGTGGTGTCTAGCGCGGAGGGAGCGGCGACCGTGGGCTCTCTTCTTCTGCCAGACCAGGACCTCGGTTGTGCCAGACTGGCATTTGGTGCCAGGAGCCATACTCATGAGCACCGACCACTGTCCAGAGGCACAACGCTGGAAATGAGTGCCGGAGACGCAGTTCCACTGGCCCTCGGGGGTGCAGGCCTTGCCCGGGGTCATGGAGCCGTCAGCTGCATCACCAGATCCGGCGTCAGGCGAGGGAGCTGCGGAGGGAGCGGCAGAGGGGGCAGCCGAGGGAGCAGCAGAAGGGGCGGCCGAGGGAGCGACTGCCGTAGTGGGAGCAGGCATGGCGGTGGGTGCCGCAGATCCTTCGGTGCACTCTTCGCTGGGTGAAGCCGGAACGCTGACGGTCGCGAGTGTAGTCGGTCGGGCAGAGTTGCTAGAGGCCGGGACGGTGAGGAAGACGCCGCCAGGGCTATTGGGAGTCAGTATAATTACAGTGACAAAGAGTGAGGTTACACTTACAGTCCAGCAGATGAAGAGACACCTCCAGCAGCACGAGTAGTCGACTGAGAGCCCGGCTGAGAGACTTGGGAAGCGGCCGGAGCGGACGGGGCAGGAGCAACAACGCTGGCAGAGCTGCTGCCACCACCTCCAGAGCTGCCACCACCAACAGCGACGTCGCAGGTGCCGACGGGGGCCGCGGTCTTGGTGCCGGCGCTGGTGACGTCTCCAGGAGGACCGGGATTGGGGAACAGAACGTCAGATCCCTCGACAGTGCTGCAGCCGTTGGCGATGTTGGCCTTGAAAATCTGGGGACGGCTGCTGAAGGGGGTGGAAGCGCTGCCGCCTCCGCCGGTGGTGGTGATGACGGCGCAGTTCATGTAGCTGCGAAAGGAGGATTAGCATTGTTATGGCGAGTATCAGGAGGGGGAGAATCGACATACAACTCTCGGTTACCGACGTTGTTGAACCAAGTCCAGGCGAAGAGGGCGTCCTTGGCAGAGGGGGTATCGGCGGGCAAGGTGAAGGTGAGAGACGAAGTGCCCGCGACAGGACAGTTGCCGATGTAGCTATGGATGACGGTGAAGGTCTTACCGCTGTCGAAGGAGAGAGAAGCCTGGCAACTACCGCCGTTGTGGTTGGCACCGCCGGCGATGGTCATGTTGTACTGCTGGCCGGCCTGCCAGGTAGCAACGGGAGAGGCTGCAGCGGTTCCGAGAAGGTTCAAGGTGCCCTTGCAAGGAAAGTCGCTGCCAGAGGCACTCAGAGGGCTGGTGATGCTGTAGTCAATGTCCTGGGCGGCGAAGGGGTTCTGCTTGGACCGCAGAGGCGGCGGGTAGGTGATTGCCATATGAGCCGCGGCTTGGCCGGCAAACAGCATGATCGAGGACACGAAGGTAGACTTCATGATGTCTTCTGGTGTTTGAAGAATTCGGTCTAGGATGAGGGTGATTTTGAGAGGATGAGGATATGTTTCCTAGGTGGCGTCACTTCCAGATGTTTGTTGACAAAAGCTTGGTTGTTTTTTTGACTGGAAGAAGGGTGGTTGGATTTTTTTTTTTGTAGGGTGTAGGCTCAAAGAGTGGATTTGCTCCTCGTCTTGAAATATGCGCTGGTCCGCAGGTTGATTCTTAGATTGGGATGGTTGAAATGAAGTGTAGTGGGTGAATGAAGGTGAGTCGGTCAAGTCAAGGTGAGTGAGACGGGGTGTCTTCACTTGGCTTTATCTGAAGGGCGGTCTTGAGAGTCGAGCCGGCTCGAGAAAGAAAAGTGAAAAAAAAAGTCGGGTGACTTTTACAATGGAGAAGGTGGAAGGAATGTGTTCAAACGTCCAAACAATGAGGCTGGTCGGCAGTTGGATAATACCGGCGAATACGTAACCGTTGAAGATTTCAAAGTGGCAGGAAGGAAGGAACGGCAGTGAGGCTACTGTTACTCCACGTGTAAATGGGGACGAAAGTAGGCCAAGTTGGGCTGAGTCTGTAGCAGTCAAGAGCGTGGATGACGCAACAACACTGGACGAGGTTGAGCAACAGAAGGAAAATTGTAGAGATTGAAGATAAGAAAGGGGGAAAAAAAAGAGGTTTCCCAAGAACTCGTATCGAGCTGCTACGAATGAGGGTCAGGTGCGGGATGAAATAAGAAGTTGAAGAAAAGGCGGGAGGCCGTCACGGGCTCTTTATTATCGAACAAACCACACCACTCAGCCGGCCCATCAGCATCTTGGCCAAGGGAAAGAGTACGAACAAGAGGGGGGAGAGCCGCTTCCCGGACTTGCCAGGGTTCCAAGGGCCTGCTCTCACTCTCTGACTTCTCGTCCAGTTGCAGTCCAGAGTCTGCATTCTGATCCATGAAAGTGAGGTAGCCATGCGGCCTGGCTAGCGGTCGCGGGGTGTGCCTCTCTCGCGCCGCAAGACAACCCCCTGCCCTGGCGCATGCACCCTTCTTTTCTTCATCGTCATCCGGCAGGTCTACATCGAAATACCTCGGATGCCCATGTCGGATGCCTCCAGACACCTGGTATAGCTACCTACGAAAAAAATAGACATCTCAACCTACAACTCGGATAGCTACTGGTAGAAGACTGAAGGGGAACCCTTGAGATATCCCTTCAACGTAGTGTAGGTCCAGCATGGACGGCGTGTGGTTGATATCCTCCCTTTTCTTCTCCCTCTGGATTCTTTCCCAAACGACCCAAGGTCCTGGCGCAACTCTCGGCTCCTCCGTCACCCTTCCTTCCTGTCCAACAACGGCTCCATCCTGAAGAAACTCGAATAAAGAGAAATCCCCGAGTTGCGCCCAAGGAGGCAGCAGCCGGATTCCTGTCTTATGCCCCTTGCACCCTTGCTGCCGCCTTGCGGGTCCCCAAGAACCCCGGTCTCGCGGGAAGCGTTACAACTTCCAAAATCCCTCCCATCTGGCCGAATCGATCAAGGCAAGGGTACCAAGTCACACCGCACCTCGTCGCATGTTTTCGGTGCGATGCGGGTATGTCGGCGCAGGTACCTGCAAGTTGTCCCCTCACCGCGGGGCCAACTCTTGGGCGACAAGAGGGCGCGTTTGTCTTGTCTCTGATGTGCGGATGTAGTGGCCGAGAGAGAGGTGTACCTAGAGATGGTGAGAGTGTGGGACGTGGTCCAAAAAAGATGGGATGAACAGACCCTGGACCGTCCAAAAAGAGACAAAGTGCTGATCTAGACCTGTCATTGGCTTAGGGACGGATGCGCGTAAGGCAGGCCACAGCGGCAGCTGCGCGGTAAAGATGTGAAGCGCAAGGGCCGCAAATCGAACCTTGGCTGAGCCTCTGAGCTGCTCCCAAGTTCCATGTTCTCGTTATCCATACCTTACCTTACCTACCACGCCTATCTAATACTTACGGATACAGCATCCAATGAACCGGCCCGCGTGCCTGACTGTCGCTTCGGCGCCCTGTTCACTGATTGGCACAGTCCGTTTACACACACCCAGGCGGGCACGGCGGGCTACCACCTTGCCTTACCTCTCAGCTCAAGCACAAACGCAATGAGACAAGAAACAGCCCAAGCTGAACCATGAGAAAATATACAAAATAACCCAAAGAACTTGAGCACAAGACAGTCAACACAGCTGGTGGTACCTGCGGTCCTCGACTACACATTAAACTGCCCGCGCAAAAGTGCTCCTGCGCCAACTATCCGAAGCAACCTCACCTTCACCGGTGTCCGGTGACATTGTGTGGATCGCAGACAAAAAAAGTCATGAAAGAAAAGTCATCGATCCCAGGGACCCAAAGAAGGCCCAGGTCCACACGGCTTCATTCCAGCCAGTGTTCGTCGGTGCCCCGTGTGCCTCCTGTGCCTCCCCCGCGTGCCCGCCCTGCCGCCTCAGCGCCTCCTTTCTCCCCATCCACCCAAGCCATCCCCGGGAACCGACTGTGACGTGGAAACTTGGCAGGCTTAGAAAGTAAGAAGTAGAACTTTTTCAAACGTCCAGTCTTCCCAGACCCCCCAAGCTCAATCGGGAAAAGACCAAAAGCAGGGTGGATAAAAAGTAGAGAAGCAGGGGGGGGAGGTTCTTGAAACATGCGACATGCGCCGTCAAATGGCATGCATCCTACAACCGCCACGAATAAGAATGTTTCCTGCCATTCCCATACAGCCGCCAGTCGAAAAATGCATACCCAAGGATGCTAACAATGGATCCTAGGTGCATCAAGAGGCGCCGTAACCTGTAACCCATGCCATCTTCTCCCCCGATGATACCTTGAACTCTTTAATTATCAACTTAACACCTAAATTCGTACATATGAGGTAAGTGATCTTTCGCTCATCGATTAATGGTCACATAGCATGACTAGACCTTCTCACGTCATCCATTCCACTGTTTTGTCCAGGAACAACAGTCTTTCAACTCTGGGAACAACGTGAATCGCTAGCCCTTTGCCCCACGATCGAGGTTTCCAGCCCGACCTCACAAAGTCATGTCCCATTTACTAAAAATCCTCTTCTTAGCGTGTCGTGGTGTCGAGTATGCCCTCCGAGATATACCAGCAACACTAGGGTTTTCTGGCCTTCTTCTCCCTTTTCTCATGGCCACTCGTGCATCTCTGCTTTGTTTGTCCTTGATCCAAATGCATTACACAACACTGCAAAGACTCTCTACTAAAGAGATCCAGAAGCTTTATTATCCAATCACGTGTAATTCACTCTGACCTTTTGAAGTAATGTTTTGTCATTTGAAGCCACCTATTGATAGATAGATGGCTTTTCGCCTACGCTGTTCAACTCCTATGCTTTTTTTCTCGTCACTAGCTCTACCTAGCTACTGCGACACACCCAGCCTTCACATATGCGTTTGGATCATGACTGACGTCCTCACATCCCCCTTGATCCTCTGCCGTGATCCGCTTGTGAGGCATGACAGTCCTGCTCCTCCAGGCATCATCGCAGTAGACCCCTGCGTCATCTCGTCCCTTCGGACTGTCTCCCTCAACAACAAGCTGACCAATACGTGACTTTCCAGTTCAGCAAACGCACTACATAGAGCAAGTCCAATCCTGCCCTCCACCTCGGTGACTGGCTTGCTCTGGAAGCTAGCTCCCTAGGAGATATTTCCTTGGCGGCCGCTCCAGAGGTTTCCATGGACTGCTTTATGGATTGCTGACACATCCAAGTTTGCAGCATCCATCCCAAGCTTCGCGGATCAAGTGATTGTTCATCAACGCTAAAGGGGCCTAGATACTGAGATGTGTTGGAGTATGTCCCCATGACGTTATCGGTATGCCTCAGTGGTTTCGTTGAGCTCTCATTTGGCTTCTTCGGAACCTCCAGGAGCGTGTCCGGGACCATTGGCAGGCGCCGACGGAACCTGTTGGGGACCCTGGTGCTGCCCATGGCTGTTGAACGGCTTGCCTCCATAATTGTTGCTTCCACTGCGGTGTTGCGCCCCGTATTGATGCATCTGAGAGGGACTCGTTCCAAAGTGCTGAGGTCCAGGACTATTGTACCCGCGTACATTGCCAACTAAGCTGGGGTGTTAGCAGTTTATTGATAGCGACCGCTGGGTACCATCTTACCCTGACCGCCGGGCTGCTGCGGAGTGTACGCAGGCTGTTGGTACTGCACGTTGGGGCTCATGCCATACACCGGTTGGCCTTGCTGGGAGCCTTGATGAACCATCATCGGCGCTGACGGACGTCCCGGACTGGGATAACCGTTGGCTCCGGGAATAGGCTGAGGCGGCGCGCCATTCGGAGGCATGAACTGGTGGTTGCCAGCATACATCGGCATTTGGCCCGGTGCTGGCACCATGCCCTGCGGGTTGATGAATTGAGGCATCATAGGTTGACCCATGGGACCACCCTGCTGCTGCGGCATGTATTGATGGTTGTTGGAGAAGTTCCGGTAGCCACCCATCTGAGGTGTACCCGGCCCACCGTAGGGCTGCATCATCGGCTGATTGTAAGGCACTTGACCCGCCGAGGTCATGGCTGGCGTGTTATAAGTGATTGGGACCGGTGCCATACGCGGCGAAGCGAAGGACTGGGCCGAGTTGGAGTGCATCATGCGGTGGTCATCCATATTTTGGTACGGTGTATGAGGCACATGTCCATGCTGGTTTTGTATAGGCATGGGTGGCATATGTGGTGACTGACGCGGGCCCATCCCGTGAGCAGGTTGCTGCAGATGGAAGGGAAGCTGATGCTGGTGGGCGACGCTGGGCACAACATGAGTGTGGTTCGGTGTGGCAACTGATGACACAGCGAATGACTGACGCTCCAAGAACTCCTTGGAAGTCATGAGCATAGTGGAATCGGGCTTCTCGTTGTCCGAAGGTTGTCTCCAGGTGGGCGGGGTGTCGTATGAGGGTCTCAGACCGTCGTTGTCGTCCCAGTTCCGGCCCTGAGGCGGCGTGAAGGTCTTGACGTGTGCCAGTATGTAACACTTCTTCACGTCGACAGCCTTCGTCTTCCGACGAATCAACTGTCCAGCTGATGCGGGTGTCGAAGCAGTCTCCGGGGCGGTGTTGGCAGCAGCAGCAGAGCGAGGACTAGAACCTGCGCTAGGGTGTCCGTTCGGGTTGAAGGACGTTGCGAAGGGGTTCGGTCTGAACTCGTGGCTGTTGGGGTTAAGCTTCCCGCCAAGGTGGCTCGGGACACCGCCGGCGCGCCGGAAAGCCTCAGTGTTGTTTGCAGGGCCGGTTGGCGGCATCCGCATGTCAGGGCCACCGGGGTGCTGATTAGGAGGCTGAGACATCTTCTGCTGCTCTACGTGGCGCAGGCGCTGGGCCAAGGGCTGGCGGTTCTGTTGCGCCATGTGTTGGCCTGATCTATCGTTCCTGTACGCTTGGGCGTGATACTGAGGGCTGGCGTAAGACTGGCGAGCGTTGGGATGGCGGTTCGGCCCATTGGAGGGAGAAATAGTATTTGCTGGCGCCGGACGCGCAGTGTTCCTTGCCTCGACAGTGGCTTGAGTGGCCGGAGCATCAGCAGGCGGCTTCCCTGCACCCTCCTTTGATGAAGCATCCTTGCCCTTGAGAGTGGGTGTCGTCTTGGTACGAGCAACATCTTCCGCGTTCTGGAGTGCCTTTGCCTGAATCTCCTTCTGTTTATCGGGATCCTTGGCGATAATGGAAATCAGGTCAGTAGGAACTGGAGTTGACAGCTTGAAGGTATCGGCGAATTTCTTCAGCTCTGTCAACTTGACTTCCTTGTCGGCCTTTGCCTTGGTGCTTCGAACTTTCTCAGCAACCTGCCGCTGCTGGCTGGCAAAAGTTCTGAACGACTTCAAAACGTCGACTTCGACTGTCGAAGCGGCACTTGGGGCTCCTGGGGCGCCTTCTTTGACCTGAGGGGAGATCGTTCGGCTTGTAGCTGCAGAGGGACGGGCTTGAGTACCCGACTTCTCAGCGGCCTTGGCATCGCCGGGCTTTGCGGCGACGGTCTGCTTCGTCTCTGCAGGCTTGGTCTCGGCCTGCTTAGTCGGTTCCTGCTTCGGGGCAGCCTTCGTGGCAGGGGCGGCAGCAGGCTTGGGGTCAGCGGCTTTGGGCGCCTCAGCAGCTTGGGTAGCACTGCCCTTGTTGACGAGCTGGCTCAAAAGCTTGGCATCTTCGGGCTTCACTGTAGTTTGCTTCTTTGCGGGGGCTCTCAGTTGCGACGAGATAATCGCGGGGTCAATCGGGGCGCCAACGACGGTCGCATTCGAAGCGGGTGCTCGCTTGGCAGGAGGCGTGTACTTGTTTTCGCGGCTCGACAAAGGGGGAAAGTCCTGACGACGGACTCCGCTGTATCTTGAAATGGATGTTAGCTCTGACTGCTTCGAGATGGAGACAGTAAAGAGAGGCTTACTTGTCTTCCTCGTCCCCGCCCTTGTCGTCACCGCCGCCAGTGACATAATCCATGACACGCTCCTCCGCAACGTGCGCCGTAGTGGCCAAGCTTCGCTCGATCTCGCGAGCCTTACGCTCGGCAGCAGCCATGCGATCACGGTACTGCGGGTGGCTCTTGTCAATGGTGGTTGTGTAGATGTTCTCATCATAGTCAGTCTTGAGGCCGAAGAGTCGCTCGTTCTCGGCGAATTGGTCCCAAGCTCCTCCACTGCCGGATGGCTTCTCCAAGCTGCCATCGATGCCATCGCTGGAGTCGGGGACCCATGGCTGGAGGGTTCGCTCGGTGCCAGGCCTGTTGTTGGATATAGCGGTATCGGTTCTGAACCCAGAGCGAGCGCCTGCATCTCAGTTAGCATTATTTTAGGTGGTGGTCGGGGTAAAGAAAAGGCATGCCGTTTTGGCCCTTGCCGTCGGCCTTACCACCCATGGCCGAATCCCTCTTGTTGTAGGACATATTGTTGGGCTTGTTTCCGTTGTTCGAGAGTTCGCTCTGAGGTTTCTTAGGGGCAACCATCTTGCAGCCGTGGGCTGTCGGGGTCGTACAGAAAGGGTTCTTTCGACAGCAGTGCCACCTTGGCTACCAATAACCTCCAGCCCCCTATAAGGAAGAGTCAGCCAACGCTTTTGGATTTATTTTTTGTGCATCAAAGCAGAGTGGTTCAGGTCGGAATCTCGAGACGCAATCGAAAACGAGGAAATGAATCGGATTCAGGTGGTTTGCTGATGATCGGAGGTCACTCCGCTGAGTGCAAGGTAAGGAGTCTGTGAATCAGTGGTACTACATACCTTGCGACGGGAATCGGAGGATATATCGGTTCGTCGGGTTCGAGAATCGAGCAGTCGTCGTTGACCCTTGATCGTCAAGATGTTCAGACAGTGAGGCCGCAGCGGGCCCGACAGTTCTGAGCAGATTCACCTGCAGTAACGACAATGTTGACCACGATTAGCTTCCAGGGGTTCAGCGGCGGGGGGAGAAATAGAGTGAAGGACAGATAGCTTCAAGTCACAGCTTGAGGTGTGGTTGGCGACGACGATCAAAGCAGCGAAGAGGGGACAAGGGGAGGTGCGATGCACTGAGAAATGGCAGCGCAAAGGAAGAAAGAGGGCAGGCGTTGTTACTATGTCCGAAGGGTAGGGCTGAAGGACGATGCGAAGATTGGGAAGGAGGAGGATGGCTGTGTGTCTCACCTGGTCGAGAGGTTCTGCGAAGAGGGCTGAACTGGATGGGCCCAGCAAAAAAGGGAGAGAAACGAAGGTCTTCCCCAGATGTAGTCCTTGTCGAGAAGGAACTGCTCAATCTGCGTCGCAATTGGGCGACTCCGAGCGGAGGGTTGGGGGGGGGAAGAAGCAGGCACAAGAGACCGGCGTCGATCGTGGGCATAAAAAAGGGCGAGGACGTGGAGGGAGTTGGAATTGGGTGTGGAGGTTGAGGTGAGGTGAGGTGAGGCTTTGTTTTCCCTCCACCAGTGTTCAGCAGCAACTGGCACCAGCAGTCCCCTACTGGGCCTGCCCAGGTGCTCTTGTGTGGGATTGGGGGATGCTTAACTCGGGGTACCTTCCTTCGCCCGTGGACCTGCCCTCTGGTGTGGTGTACCCTGCGCCTTGCACTTTGGACGGGGGCTAGCGAGGAAAAAGGCGTGGTGTGGGTGTGGGTGCGGGTACGGATAGTGTTCCCGGGGGATGGCTAGAGATGAGTGGCCCCCTGGATCGGTTTAAGCCCCCTTCGAACCAATCCACTACCATCAGAGCCGTTTATTAAAGGCACGAGACATCTCCTTAGGCTGCCTCACATCGCTCTGCGCTGCAGATGCACTCCTGAGCTAAGGTCTGAGGTGTTTCTTTCAACTTTGGGGTCGCGCTGGAATTATTACTTCCTTCTCTTTCCATTGCTGCAGCCCCCATCTTCTCGTCTGAGCTGAGCAGGTAAGGAAGGTATGGACCTTACCTTATGGTTCCAGTCTGGCAGCCCTGCCTTACCTTAACATGAGGTACTCAAGACAGGTACCTTGCCGCCCAATACCTCTCTAAAGGGACCGTGCTCTGTGTTGTCCCCTCACCTCCATGTCCATGCAGTGTTTCGAGCAACTCTCAGTCAACATTCGGTCTACTTTATCATTGCGTCTTATTACCTCACTCTTTCCTGCCATTGGCTATATGCTTGGCCAAACTGTCATTGTGAGCTTGAATCCCTCGTTGAAGCATCGACCTCCTTCAAGCTGAGATGATGCAGCCACAGAATTGGGCTATCTTTACATCCCTACATATGTACCTTTGGGGTTATTGAAGTTGCCCAGTTGAAGGTGGACCTGAAAGTCTTTTGGTAAATGCACCCACAGCCAATAAGCTTTTGGTCAGGCTCCGAGACCAATGAGCTGTGTCCATGTATTCGTGGCCTTCGCATGCTTGGTGCTAGGGTACCCAAAGACCCCTGATGGACATGTGGTTGTTGCAACGCTCTTGGACGGAGGAACATGCGCCCTTCTAAGTAGTATTCAACTATCCGTACTCCACGCACTCATTGTAGGGTACTTGAAGTTCATACTCCGTACAGAGCCTCCTTTTTGTCTGCATAATATCAGTGTCTGTGATCGATTGCGAAGAAGTTGTTCATCAGATCATAAGAGAAGGCGAAAGGCCGTGTTATAACGCCTTAACCAGAGTACTGATACATCTGTGGATATAGCTTTTCCTCGGTTGTCCTGGCGAGTAGACCTCACGCAACTTGAGAATTGCCCTTATATCCCTCTGAGCGGTCTCTTTATCCTTGGAAAATATTGAGGGGCATCGATGCCTCAATAGTTTGGTCATGAGAGCAGACTGCGATGGCGGATGATCATAATCACAACGCGTACCAGTAACTTGACAAAACAATTTCATACGTGGGAATTAGGCAAGCTAGGCAGACACAAGAAAATTCTACTACATATGTTCACAAAGGATACATTTCCCCATTCTACCGCAAATGCTTGACTGTTGATACACGGTTCATTCGGCCGCTATAAGACAGGGCTAAATCCCCATTTATACCCGGAGGCCAAGCTCCTCAGCGTACGGCAGAGCGAACAGGTCACCCACTGCCGCAACACTGGCCTTACCCTCCAGGATCGTCTTCGTCGCCTGTAACATGACCGTTAGCGCTAATAGCTTGTAAATGTATCAGATATCTCAATTTACTTACCGCCTTGAGCTTCTCAGCCGTAACAGACTCGATGGACTTGGTGGCCTCGGTGGCGTCAACGGCCTTGCCGCTGTGGACGAGGCTGGACCCAGCGAGGAGGATGCTACCGCTGCGCTTCTCTGAAGCCTCAAGGGCATCGAACTTGGCCTTAGCAATAGCCTTGGTCAGGTCCTCCTTGCTGACGGTACCCTCAGCGATGCTCTTCAGAGCCTTGGCGGTCTCCTGGGCGGCCCCACGGACAGCAGAGGCTGAGCCAGCGAGCTGGATAGTCAGGAGGCCAGCGTCAGAGTATGACAGGTTGACGGTCGAAGTGGACAAGCCCGGAACAACGCCAACAGCCTTGTTGATCAGGCTGAAGCCAGTGGACCACTTGATGTTGGACTTGCCGCCCAGCAGAGCCGCAAGGACGGCAAGCTCAGGAGAAGCCTGGCCGTTCGTGGCACCGGGGAAGGCAATGACATAGGCGTTGCCAGAGGGGCTGTAGGTACGCTGCTCACCACCAAAGTACTTGGTGGCGGCGGTGTTCAGGGCCAGCTTGCCGGAGGAGGCGGAGGGAACCGACTTGAAGAACTGCTCGGCCCACTTGCTAACGTTCGCGGCGGAGGCACCGTCGGCGACAAGGGCGATGTTGGGCTTGGCGAAGGCGGCCTGGGCGAACTCGGAAACGGCGTACTCGCTGAGGTAGGGCTGGATGGGGATCGAGGGCGTCAGGTTGGAGGGAGAGCCTAGGCCGGAGTGGAAAGCAACGGAGTGGGCGGAGTCAAGGGCAAGAGCGGCGGCGCTGGTGCCAGACTGCTTCAAGCGGAGAACAGGCTGAACCTCTTCGTGGAACTCGTGGGCTAGATAAACAGTTAACCAACCATCCCACACGTTCACGTGTAGTTGCGAGTCTCACTGGTGTACTTGGTCTGCGAGACGACCTCGGCGAGAAGTTCCGTGAAGTAGGGAAGGTCATCGCGGAAAAAGCTGGCCTCGAGGACGAGGGCTTCGCGGGTGTGGTATGCGGTCAATTGGCTGCCGAGGAGTTCAGACTCGCGAACGATGCGCAGGCCAGAGCGTTTTGTCGTGTTCTACTCGTTGAAAATCGTGTCAGCGCAATGTCTACATCGAACAGATTCCAAGGGTTGGAAACGGATCGCATCGTACCTTGAAGGCAAAAGACTCGAGGCCAGCGGCCAGGCCGGGAAGAGGCTGGTATCTGGTACCGGCCTTTGCCACGATGGCCAACTTGGTGGTAGGGCCCTGGGAGTCTCTGGCAGCAACCTTGACACCACCAACGTCGGCGGTCTCAAAGGTGCCGGAGCCAGCAGCGGCGCTGGCGAACCGACGACCCGAGATTGTGCGAGCACAGCTCGAGTTGCGGAGGGTCTGCTGCGCAGCCCTCGTGAGGGACGGTCTAGAGATCATTGCGATGATGCGGTTGCCGGCAATTGGCAGATCCAGTTTCGTGACGCTCAATTCGTCGGAGCTTCAACAAGAAAGTGCCTCGTTCACATCCCGACCAATTTTCGATCCATCGAACGAGGTTAGCTACGGGTCACTCGTACTATCACGTGACACAAAACTGCCTTATCCCCGAACCTCCAATGAAAGGCCGGCTGATTACCTTGTACAGGGGCCGAACACTCCACTTTGCTTCCTCCATCGCCCGTAGCTAACCTTAGGTAATCAAAGTGATGAGTCGCAGAATCTGTGAATCCCAAGTCTCCGACATTGTTGAGGCTGGTGGGTTGCTGTGTCAAGCCACATTCTACAAGCCACATACCACAGTAAGCACTCGCCATCCCAAGAACCCAAAGCACCGTGGCACCTCAGTTGACGTCTGAAATTCAGGCTCCATTCAAGCGTCGCAGATCCAATCTTACCTAAGTTTTTGGCACTGCACCTCAGAGGTTCTAGCCACGCCTTTCATCCACCTGGAGCTCCAGCCTCCATGACTCTGTCGGTGACTCGGCGCTTTCCATCGACTTTGTCCCCCACCCCGCCTTAGGTGGCCCGCCGCTCAGAAAAAAAGTTCCATACTTTATTTCAGTCCCTCTACCACTTGAAGAGCGCGACCCTCACTGCGATAAAATCATCCGTGGCCAAGTGCTTTGTTCAATACCCAGCACACAACACTGTATTATCTCAATGACTTCTCGGTAGCTTGTGTGGCAGCTCTAGGGATATTGAGAGGATCTCTAGAGTCGATTGATTCCTGAATCCAAGTTTCGCGATGTTGGTGGTAGGTTTCGCATCGTGCTGATCAAGCTGAAATGGCCATCTCTCTGACTCCTCCAACAGACCAAGCATGGCGCAGAGCTCTGCGCTCACCTCGTCAACGACATATGCGGCGAGCTGCCTGCAGTAGGTTATATACACAATCCCCACGTCTAAGACGGCGCATCACAATCGCATCTTCCAGGCGTTATGCACCCCTCAAAAGGCCATGCTGACGAGTGCTCTTGTTTCAGCGAATCCTGGCTGTACTATTCAGCAAGGGCAGGTCTACCATTGCTCAACTTATTCAGACCACAGGTCTTACTCCGCGGCAGCTGCGCCATGGCCTAGCCCTCCTCGTTCAGCAGAGCCTCATTTACCACGAGTCCGACTCCAACAACAAGATCGGCACATATGAAGCGAATCCCGATGGATGTTATAACATTATCCGAGCTGGAAAGATAATCGAGATGGTCGGCACTGAATTTGGTCCCGCGGAGCAGGAGATTGTACAAACTATTATGCAGCTCGGCCACGCCAGGGTATCGGATCTCTTGCAGGCTTTCGAGGGGAGGAACGGGGCAGGTCTCAACGGTGATCATGCGACGAACGGTCATGTCAATGGCAACGGCTCCAAAGCAAAGGTCAACGGGCATGGGCTGTCGCATTCGGCTCAGGAGCTTCATGCTGTTTTGAATCGTCTTATTGTAGCGGAAATTGTTGATCAGGTCGGGCCCAAGACGTTCAGAAACCCGGAAGACGTTTACCGCGAAATCGAAGAGGAGGTTACCAAAACGGCCCCTGGCGAGCGAGCAACAGCGCGGAACAAAGAACTTATGCAGACAGAAGTTTCGAAAAGACTCCGAGAGGCACGCGACGAGAGCAAAAAGTTGAAGCGACAGCTCGGACGAGGCAATATGTTTCCGACCAAGCGGAGGAAGCTCGCAAATGGCAAGGGCAAAGGACGAAGCCAATCTGCAGACTGGGACGATGATGATGATGATGTACCTGAGCTCGATGTGAGTCTTTATCTGCATGAAATCCCCTCCTGCCTGGCTAACCACTGAGTTTAGTCGCACATCGTTCTCAAAGTCAACACCGAGAAGTGTCTCGTTGAGCTGCGTAACCAGAAGCTAGCCCAGTACGCAGCCGATGCTTTTGGAGAAGTCACCGGCCTTGTATACCACACAGCTCTCCGGCTGTTGACGCAACAGATGCCCCGCTGTCAGTTGGATCCGAGAATCGACTCCGATAACGACGCAGACGGTCCAGGCTCGACCTCACGCCAAGTCGCCGTGACCAGTCTGGAAATACTTGAAAACCTCGACGACTCCATTGATGTCTCTCATGGGGTTGGAAAGGCTTCTGCAGACCAGATTGACTCTCGCAGTGCCGAGAAGGTCAGAGATAAGCCAGGCCAGCCCATGTACGATTCCGACGACTCTGACTACGAGCCTCCAATGGCTCCGAGGGCTTCTGTTCGTCCCCAGATGAACGGCAAAGCTGACTCCGATGATTCCCAAGACGAGGGGCCACGGACAGCTTCTGGGTCCCGCGAGGTCAGATTCGAGGATGGGCCCGTTTCAGGCGCTAGCCGTATCGATCAAATGCGGCAGCATTTGCTGCTATTATCTGAAAGCCGACAAGGCTTCTTACGACACTGCGGCAGTTTAGGTCGAGGTCAGTGGACCGTCGATTTCAAGCCATTGATCGAGGGATTCAAACAGACAGAGGTCGATGCCGTCATCGAACAGTCATTCGGTCGACATGGATTACGTTTGACTCGAATTATGCGAGAGAAGGGCAAGTTGGACGAAAAGATGCTCCCATCTCTCGCTCTCATGAAGAAGGGAGAGGTTCAGGGCAAAATGCTTGCCATGCAGATGGCCGGCTTCGTTGATGTTCAGGAGGTTCCCAGAGATGCCAGTCGAACAGCAACGCGGACAATGTTCTTCTGGTTCTTCGACATTGAAAGGACCGAAGCGCAGCTGGTCGACGACTACTACAAAGCAATACTTCGATGCCTCCAAAACCTAGAAGTGCATCGGTACCGAGAACGCAACATTCTGTCATTCGTCGAGAGAAGAGATGTCAAGGGCAAGGAGGAAGAGGTCATGACTGCCGAACACTACAACAAGTACAGCAAGTACCTGGAGCTGCAGAGCAAACTTCTTGCTCATGTCATGAGACTGGACGAACTAGTGGGAGTCTTCAGAGACTATTAGACCGAGGCATAGAACCGTACAAAGCGCCTCAAGTGCCACCACCGTGGCCATATGCAAGGAGCTATTGGGCGAATGGCTCAAAATTGGGGAGGGGAAAAGGATGATAGATACCCAAAAATCAAAAGGAAGCGTCGCTAATTCCAGCAATGGCGTCTCAGCATCGAACACAATTTTACCAAACTTGCTGAAATAGTGTGGCGATTCTCTATCTCGCCGCAGCTGGAACTCAGTCATACAGATCTAACTTGAGATGATTCAGAGAATGTACGGTCTACAGGTCGCATCAAATGAAGCCAAATCTATAGCCCGAGCCGGAATTCAGCCCGATCGGTCGAGAACGGTCGGAGCTAGCGTACCGGTCGGTAGGTAATAGCTGCTTCGGCGCGGCGAACCAATCCCTGCCGTGCTAGGCTCCACTTCCCGGTGCTCGGCGGTCCAGGGGGGCCTGTCCCTGCAGGGTCAGCAAAAGTTAAGCTGCGAGTTCGGTCCAAAGTGGTTGAGTAAAAATTTCCCAGCTGTCGACTCCAAAACTTTGAATCACCCTCCTCTTTTGCAGCTGCTCCTGATATCCGTGCCCCCCCACGACCTGACGACAGTCCGACCCTCTGGAACCCGCCTTTTTTGCTCCTTTTCAATTGGGAATTCGTAGTTTCCCCTTCGCACTCTTTAGCAGATTCCTATCAAGATGTCTCCGACTGCTGGTACTGGACGGGAGAAGGAGTCGAACACCGCGCGACTCTTGGGCTCCGGTATGCTCCCTCTTTCATGCGCCTGCGCATGAAGCTTCGGCGCGCTGACGTTTTGCAGGCTCCGCTGGTATCGCTGAATTGGCCGTCTTCCACCCCGTGAGTGCTGCGAAGAGCTACGATCATTGAAAGGGCCGCGGGAAGAGGCTAATAAGAAGCTCAGGTCGACACCATTGCGAAGCGCTTGATGAGCAACCAGACCAAGGTACGCCAAACCGAGCTTACCCCCTCCCTTCTCTTCCGCAAGCTTCCAACGACATGACGCCCCGAGAAAGCTGACAAGTTTCCGCGATCAAGATTTCCGGCGCCGAGCAGCTCAACAAGGTCATCTTCAAGGACACGGCCACCGCGACAGCGGGCCGCAAGTTCGTTTCGCTCTTCCCCGGTCTGGGATACGCCGCCGGCTACAAGGTCCTGCAGAGAATATACAAGTATGGCGGTCAGCCCATCGCCAGGGACTTGTTGGCCAAGAACTACGGCGAGGACTTTGAGCGCGCTTTCGGCAAGAAGACTGGCAAGGCTATCATGCACTCCACCGCCGGCAGGTGAGTTTTTTTTTCTCCTGTCCCGTTGCGCGAGCTCGGAGACCGAAATCTGTGGGGACCATGATATTCTGACGCGCAACTTGACAGTTTGATCGGTATCGGAGAGATCGTCCTCCTTCCCCTCGACGTCCTCAAGATCAAGAGACAGACAAACCCCGAGGCCTTCCGTGGCCGTGGTGTCTTCAGAATTGTCGCCGACGAGGGCTTCGGCCTGTACAGAGGTTGGGGCTGGACTGCCGCCCGCAACGCTCCTGGTTCTTTCGCTGTAAGCGCATTTCATCCTCATTTCAGGGTCCATGGCGGTGACTAACTTTGCCTCTCTCCCTCAACAGCTCTTCGGTGGTTCCGCCTTCACAAAGGAGTACCTCTTCAAGCTCGACGACTACAACAAGGCCTCGTGGTTCCAGAACTTCATCGCCTCCATCGCCGGTGCCTCCGCCTCCCTCCTTGTCTCCGCTCCCCTCGACGTCATCAAGACCCGTATCCAGAACCGCAACTTTGAGAACCCCGAAAGTGGTTTCAGAATCATTTCCAACATGATGAAGAATGAAGGTGCCACCGCTTTCTTCAAGGGTCTGGTTCCCAAGGTAATACCTGCCAGCAGCCCCCCTTCCTCTGCACATATAGATCATTCGCTGACACTCCATTTCCCCTTTTAGCTCCTTATGACTGGACCCAAGCTGGTCTTCTCATTCTGGCTTGCACAGACCCTCATCCCCGCCTTCGACGGCATGCTTAAGAAATAAATGAAGACGGAAAATGGAGCCTAGACCTTCACAAAAACAAAAAGAAAGCAACGGCGTTGGATGGGTAGAACGTGGAGTCTCGGAACTGAGCCCGATAGATCGTTGGACATGACGAAGACTCGACGAAAGGGTATAGACAAAGATGAGAAAGCGAGGCTTAGCAGCTGCCCAAAAAAGAAGGCTGGCTTGCAGCCCGGTTGATGTACAACAAAGTAGGGTTCATCTTGATGAGAACAATCGCCTCTGTTATTAATAAAGATACATATCAAAGTCAGTGCCTCTGCTAGAAAAAATAATAGGTGCTGAATCTTGATGTGACTACCAAATCTGGAATAGTATGCACGTTACTCGTCAAAGTTGGCCGTGGGTGCCCTATTGCTAGGCATATCCCAGCTAGAGGATATCTATGACACACTCAGTAAGTAGATGTAAACAACAAGAGCAGAGCTGAAATACATCTAGTCACTATAGCTGCGCGGCAACGTTGTCTTCCGAAAGCAACGTCTCAATCTCCCGTCCCACGGCAGTCCCTCGCTCGATTGCCCCATCAACAAACCCTCGCCATCCCTCGGCCCAATCAGCACTCGCGAAATGAATCCTTCCCTCTGGTCTCTGGAGCTCCTTGAGCCACTTGGTCATTGAGTTGGGCCCCCAGCAACTCCAAGTGCCTTTGGCGAGGCTATCGTTAGCCCAGTCGTGGGTCAGGTAAGCTGTTATCTCGGATCCCGGTTTGATGTTGTTTTGAAACGTCGTAATCATCTCATCAGACGCCTTTGGATCGATGTGGTGCGCACCGTAACCAAATCCGATGCAAAAGTTGCCAGGGTCTGCTTCGTCAGTGGTGCCGTTGTGGTCTGAAAATGCAAAGCACCACGGTGAAGTCCCGTGTCCATTCGCCATGGAGAACCATCCCGGCTCAGGCTTCGCAAGTCGGAAATGAACTTTGCTCCCCTTGTTGATGTGGCCTTCCCGGATGGCATCCATTCTGAGCGGTGAGAGTGGTGGCAAAAAGGTCACGTCTGATAGACAGTTCCTTAGTTATATCGTCAGCATCTCAAGTACTCGATCTTAGTAGAGAGTACTCACAAGGGAACAGTTGAGATACAGTACTTGGCCTCGAACTGTGATCCGTTCTTCGTGGACACCACGACAGTCGATCCTTGCTGCTCTACCTTTTCAACCACGGTGTCGAACAGCACATGCCCGCGGTAGTCATCCAGAATTGCCCGTGCTAGCGAGGTCATCCCGCCTCCGCCAAGCTTATACATCCCGGCAAGCTCAAAGGTTCCCGCCATGGAGTGGCCTCCCAGAGCATACCAGCGTAGTACTTCGGTGAAACCGCACTCGCTGCCGGGGACCGCGCCAAAGGAGCTGATCATGGCATCGAATACATCCTTGTCATGCTGGCTGACATCGAGGAGCTGATCGAGACGATCTTTGGCTGACAGATGGTCGTACTTTATCCATGTTTCAGGGAGGCGGAAGGGGTCATGGGGATACGGCATCAGTTCGCGGCTGGATAGACCGTCGATTGAGAAGAAGGCATCCGCGACATTTTGGACAGCTGTGTTGGTGGCAAAGGTATCGACCAGCCCAGGTTTCGAATCTTTGGGTGTGTAGAGCGTGTTCTCTACGGCAGCTGTCCCCGATGACGTCTTCAGGTTGGACTGCAATCCGTATCGATGGATTTCTGTAAAGACGTGGGGTTGGTGCCTGTGATGCTTCAATTAGTTGGCCCTCATCATATTTGGCAAAAACGTTGAGAAGACTTTCCAGTGTACCCAAGTCCCACCCATCTCAAAATCTTCGCCTAGTGCATTCGCCGTCCACGTTCTCCCTCCTATGCGATCTCGGCCTTCCAAGAGGAGAACACGGATCCCAGAGTCACGGCTGAGATTGCGCGCGGCAATGAGCCCGGCGAAGCCGCTTCCAATCACGACTACGTCGTATGTGTTTGTGAGGAAGGTCTCTGAGGTAGATTCAACTACTGCCTTTGTGGATAGACCGATTGTTTTCCCGTAAGGAGTCCAGAGATAGCCTTCTCGAGTCGGAGGCATGGTGTGTGAGAAGTACGGCGGGGTGTTTAGCAAACGACAAACCTGGGACAAGATCCAACAAGCAATCCTTGGAGCAGAGAGTGAAAAGAAGTAGGCCTAATTCCCAAATCCCCCTGGGAAAATAGAGCCTATTTATGCCCATGTTCAACCACTACGTCTCTGCTATCGCCGGTGTCGACTTACATCGCGGATAGTGGGGACACATATTTCCTAATTGGGACAAAAAGTGCGAGGTGTGGTACCACTCCTGAAGCGTGTAGGCGGATGGGCATCTATCTGCCGAGTTCTCCGAATCCGCTGATAACTCTGATTCTTTTCTGATTGACCCTCGTTGAGTGAATCTCTGCTCACTCTGCTCCTTTTGACACCAATGCCTGGTGAAGTCTGTATGTCCCCAAGTCTGAATTATGCCATGCTTGCTTTAGCTTTAACCCAGCATTGTCTCTAGTCCTTTTTCCTCCATAACATAGATCCAATGACAACTTTCGTTGTCCGAGTTGGTATCATCAGCGCGATTCGCCTCGTGTGTGCCGTCCAAGCGCGCCCAAACTTCTTCCAAGATGAGCAACCCGTGCCTCACAGGCTTCAGTCGAATCAGTTGGTAAAGCCAACGGGCGCGCATTCGAACAAAATCCCTCCACCTTGCGACCTCTTCCGCAGTTCCCGCAGTGTCCATGAACTCAAATCCTTCACTTGTAGTATCCTCTCCCGGTTCCAGGCCGAGAACACTCCCGGCGATGATGAGAGGTAACAGCTGCGTTGACACGGTACCGGAGGTGACGGGTATCTCTTCCATGGTCTGGAGAATTGTCAAAGCAAGATTGGAAACCAATTCCGCTTGCTCACTCGCCTTTTCAATTGCGTCAAGCCCAGCGCAGCCCCGAACAAGTTGCGTTTCCGAAAGCTCGGGGAACGCTCTCTTCAACTCAAGCAGAGCCGCCAGTCGGTAACATTGCTCCATCGCGATGAGATGGCCTGGAGGCGTAAAGATATCCCCGCTATCCGTGACTGAGCCGAAATCTGGGGTTTCGAGCATCGAGATCTCTTCTTTCAAATTCACGGCTTGTTGTAAAAGATCCGAGTACGACGTATTCCGGAAATCTTCACCTTGTCCGAACAGGCCCCAGCGACCCAGAGCTCTAAGCCTCCTCACCAGTGTCGCCGTTTTCGCCAGGTATATGAACGTGACTGTCCCCACGCCAGTCCAGGGGCACGGGCGCGTCTGTAGAGAACGTGGCGGATGGTGGTGGCAGAATGCGTCCAGATAGGACAGAGCGTTGGGGTCTTGATCTGTGATGAAGGAGCTCATGGCTTCCCAGTACACCATTGACGAGACCACAAAGTTTTGCGTCCCACTCATCATTCCCTGCATGGTGGCGTCCAGATGGCTGGATGACATCCAAGCTTTGAAGAGCTCCCTTGATCCGTGGAGATGCATTAACCCCGTGGAGGATACGTCGTGCCAGGCCTATTGTAACTCCGTTAACTCATAGACCGTGGGGAAATGAAATGAAGCCAGGGAGTGTGAGAGACATACCGATGTCATTCCCAATATAATGGTTCCCAGAAGCACATCATCTTTGATATCAGCTCCGACTACTTTCTCCACTGTTGGCGCACGGTAGATGGACACTTCTAAGCCATTTGTATGTGGTGGCGTGGGTAGCTGTCCAGCTAAGTATGATATGGCCTTGGTCTGGAGTCGTAACGGAACATCAACAACCCTTGACTCTTCGTCCTGGTAGAGGTGTGCGGCGGACATGCTCAACACGCAGTAGAGCAGCAATGGTGACTGGGTAAATAACCTGGGCACTTCCGAGCGGAACGGGTTGTGCAGCGAATCGAACGAGGAAAGAACATGGCAGACTGTAGAAAAGTAATAGTGCAATAGCGCCGATGCCTCTCCCGAATAGTCCTGAAATGGTGTGATCGTGCCGATGCTCTTCAAAGCGCCCGGGGCCACGACTGTGTTGAGTTCTCCGGTCTCAGAGGGACGAGGCACACCTTGAGGATGCTCTATATCCTTAGAGAGTCTCCGGACACTTGGACTCTGCCTGGCCGGAGTGCGGCTGCGAGGCTTGATCGGGGTGCGCTCAGAGACGTTGGTCTTCTCATACTTGGTGGACCATTTCACAGGTCGCTTGTAACCGGGACACTCGGTCCCAATCTTGATACACCTATGACAGCTCGGCTGTTGCTCGTCGCACTTGACTCGCTTTCGATTACAGCTTGAAATTAGAATTGGGTCTCTAAAGCTTTCAATAGAAAGTGCCAGCTGATAATCGAACTCACCCGTCGCTTGCACACGAGACAACCACCTAACGTAAGCGCGGACGTTTGTTAGTTGGGGAACCATCACAGTCGGTGTAAGAGGGCGCGGGTGATTACCCACTTCTAGACTTTTCTTTCTTATTCCGAACGTCTTGGTCCATCGTACTTTAATCTCAAATCGAACTTTGGTTAATTGTTCCAGTCTGTCCTAGAGTGATGTTGGTTGCCAGCTTGTGTTATCGGGTTCCCCGCTCGCTCGGAACTTGGACGGAATGGTCTAGTACCATAATGCGGAACCGGCTCCGACCAAGATAAGAAAGATAAAAGTATTAGCCATTTCAACACATGACAATTGTAGACACTCAAAGGAGTCATTTATTCCTTTATACGACGATACCATTGCAATTATAAATGAGCCGGGTGATGTTGTCAAGGTAAGGTGGCTCTTGACTTCGTTAATACACGATGCTTGAACGTAAGCATAAAAGCTTGGTAGAGAGACAGTTCTGTAAAGTGTAGGACTTACAGGATGAAGCTTTGCTTTTGTTCCATGCTCTCGGGATTGCGCCCATGTTTGTGGCGAAGTATTCCGATGTGTGTAACAGTGTACGAATGTGGTCTAAGGTAAGCCGTCAGCTGACTAGGTGATTGATACTGGGCAAACAGCCTTACGTCTAAGACCCTGGTTGTCCGATGGACAAGAATCAGGCTGGCAAGCTTCTTCGCTCCAGCATCAATACATCGAGTCTGCTTCTACGAGAGTCCCATGGACGACACTGATGTCTCTCGCCAGGGGGTCGAGGAATATGTCGAGCGACTGCTCGCCTTCACGGGCGGGAAGAAGCTGCCGCCAAAAACTCTGTTCATACTGGTCATGGGGATGACGGGCGCTGGTAAGAGCAGCTTCGTCAAGGCCTGCACAGGCAAGCCGGTGACTGTAGGCCATGGCCTGGATTCCTGTGAGTTAAATACCGCATCATACTGATTCTCCTATGCGGAAATCTTGAAGCTACTCACTGACACTCACTAGGCACAGCAAGCATTGAAATCGTCGATTTTGAGCTTGACGGTTACCACATCTATATGATTGACACGCCCGGCTTCAACGATCCTGACTTGAACCGCTCTGATGAGGTGATCCTGTCCACTATCGGGACCTATCTAGGCTGCTCCTACTCCAGAAACGTCTTCATCCATGGCATCGTTTACCTCCATCGCATTAATGATAACCGCATGACTCGATCCAATACACAAAACATTGAGATGTTCAAGGCTCTCTGCGGCGAGGAAGCCTATTCCAACGTAGCTCTCGCCACCACCTTCTGGCCGCCGTCCCCGGACCCAAACGACTTGAAGATACTCCTCAAGCGCGAGCAGGACCTGACGCGAAAGGCGTCATACTTTGGCCGGGTTATCAATGGAGGTGCTCGCATGTTCCGACACGGCGAGGCGGGGCACACGCAGAAAGACTCAGCTCACGTCGTCGTAAGGCACCTCATCCGCCAGTCGCAACTTTCCCCCGTCGTCCTGCTCATACAGCACGAGCTCGTCGACGAAGAGAAGAAACTGGGGGATACGTCGGCCGGGGCCGTCATGGCCGGCGATCTGCGTAAGCTGGCGCAGAAGCAGGAAGAAGACTTTGCCGCGTACAAGCGGGATCTCGAACGCGATCACCAGCAACAGCTCCAGATCAGGCAGAGCGCCCACGCAGCCGAGATGGCCAACCTCAAGATGGACCTCGAACGCCGACGACACGAGGACGAGCGCGAGATCCAGAGCCGGCAGCACGCTGACCAGATGGCTGCGATCCAGAAGAGCATGGATATCCAGCTCCAGCAGCACAAAACCCAGATTGCCATGCTCCAGGGAAACATGCAGCAAGAAGCCCAGTTGCAGCAGCTGAAGCATCAGCAGCAGCTCCAAGACAACGCCCAACATCTTTTGCTGGCGAGCCTTCAAACCCAGTCTGAGCAGCAGCAGCTCCGTGATAACGCCTACCATGCCACACTAGCTGGACTCCACCAGGAGTATGGGCGACAGCAACTTGCCATGCAGCAGCGGGAGCAGTACCTCGCCTGTTCCCTCCAGGGTCTCCACGCGCGGGAGAGGAGCAGAATAATCAACGGCCTTAGGGCTGCCGAGGCGCGATACGTGGCGGATCTGCGGTCGACCAGATCGGAGTTGAAGAATCTGAAGAACTCCATAGCCGCTGTGCGCGAGGAGGCCGCCGCGCTGGCTCGTCAGCCGGCATCGACAGCCCGGGCGCGTCAGAAAGCGGAGCAGCAGATTGTCCAACGCCAGCAGGAGATCAGCCAAGTGCAACAGGTGGTTGAGAGAAAGGAGGCAGCCATCGAAGACTTCAAGTCGACGCGGAGGCAGCTAACGGAGAAGGTCGCCGAGAATGCGACGGCTGGCCTTGTTACGGGCCTCGCCGGTGGAGGTATGCTCTTCTCTCACCCAGGCCAATGCCCAAGCTGTCTATTGTCGAGTCGAATTTTACCGGCTACCGCTGACATCCGTCCTCTCATCAGTAGCTACTCTCGCCGGAGGCCTCGTTTGCGTTGTCCAGTGAGGACGAGGAACACGGCAGTGGTAAGAACGGGCTCAGGCAACATGGCTTGACGGTTGTTTTGACGAATCCTTGGGAAAAGGATCTTTGCACATTCGTACCTGGGTTTCATTCAGTCCTGGCATGTCTAGCCATTCTTGATATTCACCGTTGAGCTCTAATGTATCTTATCATTACTTCAACTGAGAGAGACCACCGTTGATGTGTTACGAACTGACCACCATTTCGCTTTGGCTTCATTGAATCAAAATAACAACTCTAAGCATAACTAAACCGTAGCTGTATGAAAACTGTCTGTGCCACAAGACACAAAAGAACACAAGGAACCACGCCACAACCCTCAGCCGAGTCTTCCATAAGCCAACATACCAAATCGAGCCCTGCCCGTAGACGGGTCGAGCACATCGACAACACTGTGGACCGAATACTGAAGCTACAAACCATTCGAATGATGACCGACAGTACACCGTCTAGACATGTGCATTCACCGATACTGATAGTTCCCATCCTGGGGAGGCCCTGGGATCATGTGCTGACGTCGCGGGGTTCTTGGGTCACGGCGTGGCGGGTGCACCTGCGGGTGCCCAAAAGGACCATAGGGAGGGCCCCAATAAGGCGGGACTTGATAGTTCGGAGGCTGAGGGTTGGGCCAAGTCGGAAACTGAACGTTGGGACGAATTGGAGGCCGAGCCTGGTTGTGGAAAGACTGTACTTGATGTCGTTGTTGTTGTTGCCAGGCGACGGGCCGTAGGGGCAATGAGGACGGTATGGCCGCTGCCAAGTCCGACTGGGATGGATCTATGTTGCTTGTCATATGATAGGAAGGCAACCACACCCCATTTTGATCCCTTTCCAGTAACAAATGGAAAGCCACAAACGCCCTGTTCCGGTCCAAGGTCATTCCCGATGGCCTGGTCCACGCGGGCGGCATTGACAGGGTCGTTGGCGTCGTTGACGACATCGTCGGCGTCGGCGTCGCTGGCGTCGGCGTCGCCACGCTGCCCCGGGTCTGCCACGACGTCGCCATCTCCCCTACGCGCTGCTGGTGAAGTGTCGCTGCGTCGACGCGAGCCCGAGTCCGCTCCTGATCTAGTTTCGCGAGGCGCTGGGCTTGCTCGCGTGCGTACTCCTCCTTCAACTCCTCCTTCATCTCGCGAAGCTCCTTCAACGACTGCTCGTCTTTGGCGCGGAGGGCCTGACGCATCTCTTCGCGCAACTGCTTCTCCAACTGCTTCTCGTTTTCGCGCTGCTTCGTCTCCCACTTCTTATGCTCCTCAATCCTGGCCGCCTCGAGCTCCTGCCAGGCCTCCGTCTGGTCCAGCAGCTTCTGCCTGTCAATCATCTCGTCCTGCACGTCCAGCTTGACAGGATCGCCCTCACCGTCAGCCAGACGCCTGACGATGGCAAGCGCCGAGGCGACTGTATTATCGTGGCGGAGCGTGATACTGCCCTTGGACACCATGTATCCCCAGTACTGGGGCGTCTCAATGAGCTGCTTCTCCCGCCTCCCGCCGTCCTCCTTCAGCACCTGATCCCACATAGATGTGACGAGGGCTACATTCTGGAGGGCGTTGTTGCCACAGAGCTTCTTGAACATGAGAATGTTCTTCTTGGCGGAGCCCGTCATTCGAACGTCGGTGATGCGATGGAAGTATAATATGCCTCGTAGCAAGACCTTTTTTTTGTACGACTCGTTGAGCCAGTGGGCAATGGCCCGTAGGACTTCGGTGTCGCTGATGTCGGTGTCGTCGAAGCCGGGCGTATCGATGAGGTACACAGTCTGGTTGGGCGATAGTTTAAACGAATGGACTTGGACGACGCTTGTGCCTGAGAATCGAAACCTCGATCAGTTGCTGTCTCATTCCAATAGCAATATGCTGGTCTCGGAGAGGACAACTTACAAGAGTTTAAGTCGTGGCCAATTTTGACCTGCTTCCCGCAACACATGGAGACGAAGGAACTTTTGCCGGAACCCGTGACACCCATGCAAGCTATGAAGATATCCGTCGGACTATATTTCCCAAGAGTGTGTTTAGTACCATGTCCGTACACTTTTCCCGTGATGTGACTACGCACCGTGGCAAATCTGTGTCTCCATGTTCCTCAGGCGTCTCCGCCTCAAGCTCTTCATCCGATGCAACCGTTTGCACCGTATCGCCTTCATCATCCGAACCGGGCTTCGACTTGGCTTCCCACCATCTGGGCGCGTGACCGCGTTTAGACATTGCCAGCTTTTATCGGCGCTTCTGAGTCCAGAGATGGAGATTGGGTTTGCTCGACTTCAGGCAGGGCCTAGGGGACAGACTGTCTGTAAATTCTCCTCACTGAGCTATTTATGAAGCTCGAGGTCTACTGCTTGTCTCTCAGCTGAGCCTTACCGAGGGAATCTGCCTGGTACCTATGTAGTCTTACACATTCGTCGGGCGAAGTGGCGTACTAGTTGGCTTACCACAACATCACCATCGGCCTGTCATCACCCTCCCTTAGCCCAGCCTGATCGAGGGAAAGTGCAAATTTAGCTCACGTCAAGCGGCATTCCCTATTAGTTGGGCACAGAAAACCGTTGATACACTTGGCATGTTTGAAAGGGGACTGGATGTAAGATAGGATCATCATACCGCGAAAGGGTGTCGAATTCGATGATTTCAAGTGATACGGATAACGAATAACTCTTCCCCACTGGTGATTAGACTACTCTACAGATAGTTGCCTTCTCAGTAAGTCATAGCGGGCCATTTGTATCACCTGCCAAGGCGAAGACTAAGATTACCTTCTCTTGCCTTCGCTATCTATCTACGAGCATATCCTTCGTAGCAGTGGACTCTTCCTCCGGTCACTGAGGTCATCAAAGGATATCATGACCTGTTTCCCTACGCCCACAATTTCTCGCTTAATCATTTGTCTGCACGTGTTCCCATCGCATCCGACATAGATTTGCAGAGACTTTGAGACAGAACTGTGGCCGTCTGAGTCTTATTCAAGAAGATCGAGTCAAGGATTGAGGTCGTTGAAGAAGATTGGATCCTGCAAGCGGACGCCAACCCAGAGCTTGGTGCCAACCCAGAAAAGCAAATGACCGACGCGTATGTTTCGGTGCCCCTCGGCAAGCCAAACTTCGAACAGCCGTGGCGCATATCGCCAGATTTCGAAATCGTGCGACAGAATGCATGCGAACTGGCTAATAAAACGCAGAAGCGGGAGCTCGTTGGGATTCTGGAGCGCATGCTGGGGCCTGTAAAAGGACGACCTAAAGACTGACAAGACCGAACCGTTGGAGTACCATTTCAGGAAGAAGGCGATCGGAGACTTCAAGCAACTACAAGATGAAGAGATGGCGAAGAGAAAGACGGCATCCGAATCAGGCGGTGCCCGCCCAGCTAAAGTCATGAAGAATGACGAAAAGTACGGCGAGTTGAGCTTGCCGAGAAGAAGATTGATTGATTCATCATTGAGCGACGTGCTTGAACATGTCAAAGCGAATTTTGAGTTGAACCCAGTAGTGGGCGGGGCTTGGACTGATGGGGTAAGTCATCTGTGGAAAGATTGACGAAGACGCGTTCGTCGATGGAGTGAACGGTATATCGGGCTTCTCTCTACATAGATACTATTCCGGATATGGTGCAGTATTTAAGTGGCTATTATATGTAATTAAGATAGACCGTAGAACTGAGCGCTGAGCGTTGTTATCAAATACATCCCCTCGTTTCACATCACTTTTGACAGGAACAGTTCGCGTTCACTATCAAACTCACATGCGTCGTGTTTATGACCGCCTTATTCTCGTCTATCGTCGGCAGTATGAGACATGAGCTGAACCCCTCGAACGGATCCTTAAACGAGTTGTACAGCAAACTTTCCAGTGGTCTCTCAATTGATGGCCTGATTGGTGTCGTGAGTATGTGAACTTGTATCTTGAGGCCATTGAGATTGACTGTGAACCTGGAAGGAGGAGAGGTTATTACATCACCCTAAAGACATTCATCTCACGATAGTAGTGTCTAACAGAAATTGATAGATGTTGAAGCCTTTAATAGTGTGATTGTCTGATATACTATTTTGTGGAATTTGTTTTCAGCCATCTAGAAGCAGTCGTAAACGTGAAGTTGTGGTCGTGGTTTGGCGCCCCACCACGGACAATCTCACGATGGGTCTCCACTTTGCTGGTTCTTGATCTTCCATGAGGTGGGCAGGCTCCAACCCCGGCCTGCCGGATCCACATGTGATATCTTCCTAAACATGCTTTCAAATTGCGGTGAGAAGATCACTCTGGTCTTTCGGGAATATGCTTCTTGGTCTGTTTTTGTTGATCTGATACTGGGAGCACAGTGGGGTGCTGATAGTAAGTGGGAAGCAACGAGCGTTTGTTGTATCCCAGTTATGGCCTTGCTTACGTTATGTTGCCCACGGAAGAACAGTTGTGCATGTAGCATAACTCAATTGGCGTGGAAATTGCCGCCTACCTACTTTTCGCGGAAATCATCTCTACAGTTGTATTCGTTTTGTGGTATGCATCCATACAGCAAGTTGACTAATAAGCTCTATTCACCCGTCCAAAGTCGTATGTCACTGTTCCCCCACGTCGCCCACAATACAAACTACACTTTCGGCGGGAATCGAACGGTCATTTCTTCAGTGTCTTAGTCAACGATTCAAGTTGCTTCCCCTCCTCCACCATGTGAAGGGTCTCGGGGTCTTGGGGTCTTGGTCGGGCGCGACTCGTGAGCGACCCAGGCGCGGGGGAGTGGACTGGGGGGTTGGGTAATCATGAAAGAAAGGAATTATCCCTGCTCTTCCAATGCAGACTTTGAAGCACGAAGATGGATCAGTGGAAAACGAGGCCCTTCGTGTCGTGAGCCATGGATGCAGCGTAACAGCTTTGGTTCTCGGGACCTATGTGGACCTGCAGTGTTCACTAAGTGGAGGGCAGAACAGTGGCCTAAACCTGTAAGCTGTTCGTTTTTCAGGGTCTCTCTCAAGACAGTGCCAGTATCGTCGGTCGAGCGGTTGTGGAGGAGACCTGCATTGTTGTCTGCTGTCGCGTGCGTGCGTGTCTGCGACTTTTGACTCGTCGATCAGTCCATGCAACAATGTGTCAGGTGGTCACAAAAAGGTTAGAGCATGTCCCACTGCGACTCGGAATCTACTATCTTTTTTGGGGGGAGCATTTTCCCAGATCCGAGGTTGGCGAGGGTTGTCACGGCGTGCACGTTGCGCAGAGGGTTTGTGGTTGCATTGTCTGGGGTAAAGGCGGTGGTGGCAGGATGAACCCTCTTGCATCTCGAATGGGTCCTGAAGAAATGACGTCGATGTTTTGATTGCAGCGAAGGGGCAGGTGCGGTATACGTACTTAGTAGCCGTAGGCTCAGAGGGAAAGCACCGTTGTGGAGCCCCTTTGCCTGTGACGGTTTTCGGCATCGTCGTCAAAAACGGGGCCGTGTACCCTCACGGAACCGTTAGATGGACGTTGCGAAACGCCTGTGCTGGAACACGGCAGCGGGATAGCGCCCGGGAACGAAAAAGGCACGACAGCCCAGATCCATGAGGGTGTGCGAACCGCACCGGCGGACAGTTGGACCGGGGCCGGGACGATCTTCAACGGCAAAAAAGCCTCATGGAAAGGAAATTCCCGATTGATTCCAACTCTGCACTCTGTACTCTGTGGCAGTAACGGGCCTCAATTCGACGAATGCAACAGTGATCACCCAGCACGGCTATCGTCTGGCGGCATACGGGATTGGTTGCAAAAGGCAAGACTCGGGGGCGGTCTCGTATGGTCCGAAAGCCCGACGACACGCCGATGATCCCTTCCTTCGGGTCCAAGGGAAAGGTCCACAAATCGAGTCAGCAAACGGTTTCACGTGCGTGGTCACTCCTTTTGGAAAAAGATATCGGACTGGACTCACGTCGAGGATAACGAAATGTAAGAGAATACGTAAAATGCCTAAATCGATAGGGCCAAAAGCAGCGTGCCGAGCGCGTAGTGTCATAGTATGGGATGGATAACGCGGCCGAGGATGGATTGTGTGAAGTTGTGTCTGCAAGACGTGGGGCCGGATGGTGGAATTAGAAATAGAATCTCCAGTGAGGTAAGGGAAGGTTCGGGTCTGGAGTTGAGTGGTCCCTCAATTTCTCTGAGCCTCCCTCAGTTCCCATAGTTTTTCATACGCATACGACGCGGCAGGTCCAGAGATCCATAGATCCATAGTGGCTTCCTCAGCCTCTGAGCAGCGAGACGTGAGAAGGAGGTAATCTGTGTAATCTGTCCATCTGGCAATCGCATTGGACAGCCCGTCCCGTCCGTAGAGTTCCCAGATTCCCTTCCCTTGGCTCCCGGAACCCCTGCGCCAGAGCCGGATAATCCTCATTTCAGGGGCGGCAGGACTGAGGACAGAAATCTGTCTCTTGCTGCCCGTCCAGCCGGAAGAAAAGGAGGTCTTTTGCCCGTCCTGTCCAAGGTGTCCTACGCGTTCCCCCAAAGGAGGCTCACAAGCTCAACCACCCTTCATTCAAACTCCAACCCATTCTCGACCTGAGCATTCGCAACCCGGTATAGATACTTCATCCAGACCACCTGACACACTCCCTTTGTTCGACACAAGCAAGACACAACCCACGACTCGACTTGATACTCGGCCGCATGACCGATTGTTGACCCTCTCGCTTTATGCTTGCCATTTTCATCTGCTCTTTCTACTCTTCTGTCCCTGGTTCTTGAGGTACCTTAGCATACCTGCCTACCGTATCGTACCGTCCAAGCGGGAAGCCGCCTTAGCAACAAACCAATCCACCTTCTTCATCGACTTCGTCATCGGCACTGGTTCGCGCATTCCCAGCCCCCTTCAATCAATTCATCTATCTACTCGGTACTGCTGCGTGCTGTAGCGACGGGACTCTGTGCCAAGGCAGGCTGCACAGGGTCAGATAGATCTGCGCTACTGGGCATACTGCCTCAAACCCGTTAGGCGCTATCCGTACCCTAGGAGAAAATCGGACAACGGCGTGGACTTTGGAGAACTCTCTCTGCGTCTTTGCATCCCGTTTTCCCCATCGCGGCATCGCCTTTGCTGCATCGTTGCGTAGAAGCATCATTCAGGTGGACTCGTGCGCTACTGCGTACGGCCTGTCGTCTTTTCGCCCCCTTGGCCAGCTGCACCCTGTACCGAAAGGATACGGGAAGCCTGAAGGAACAAGGTTGGCTCCCATCTGGATGGTCATCTGCTTCTCATCGGTACCTACCTATCGCAGGAAGGCGGTTGCCCCAAGCCAGGATTCCTGGACTTCAATCCCGTCCTTCCATTGTATCTTGTCCCCTCGCTCTTTTCAAAAGTATTGAGAGACATTGACATTGAACGAGAAGAAGAGAAGAAAGCAGAGACTGGAATCTGATCTCTGGAATTGAGTCCTATTGTCAGGATAGTACGGAGTACAGAGTACCTTACCGTCCTCAGCTATTTGCACCGGTCGGCGGTGATCCACAATTTGCTGCTCAGCGCACAAGCTACCTACCTACAACCGAAAGAAAGTGGACCCCCACCCCCCAGCAATCGGGTTTCCTTGGTCTTCTCACTTGGAAGTTCACAGGCTTCCTGGAAAGACCGTGTGTCACTGTGCAGCAGGTTGCATCGACGGCATCCACTCTTGGAAAGGGCCCCAACCAAGCCGGACTCGCGCCGCCTGTCTCTTACAGTTTCTCAGTCGCTCCCTCCCGCCATTTTCCCGTCCCTTCCTCTCGCTTCGCGCCTGCCAGCCTGTCTGCCTGGCACTTGCGGCTTGCGGCTTGCCTTGGCCTGGTATCCCCCCCACCCCTTCCCTTCCCTTCCAGCCCAATCCCATCCCCCAGCAGTAACAGCAGCACCAATAGCAGGCCTCGGTTTGCTCCCCAATCCCTTTTTCCCAGGTTCCCCAAAATCCAACATTGGGACCACACTCAAGCACAAGCACCTGCACCAGCCAGCTACCTTAGCTACCCCTTCCCAGTCCCACCAGTCTCTCACTGAGGTGCACCAGGGAGTGGATTGGCCTGTCATCCAACGCTACCTCACCTAACTTTACAGAGTACACATGCCGATTCGGCCTGCTCGCCGCGCTCAGTAACACGCACCAAAGCACCAGTACCAATTCGATCCGTCCGTCACCTTTCGACCCGACTCGACTCGACTCGACTCGACTCGCTGCCCGCCAGTTGTCGTCTTTTAGACATTCTTTTCACTTCCACCCCCCCAACCTTTTCAATTCCTCTTAGAGCGGAAGGGTGCTGTCGCTAATCAGCCCCATAACCGCCCAAGATTCCCTCTTCAAACGGTAGACGTCTCCCGTCCAACATCCCACTGCGGACCCTACAGTCCCGGCCACATCCAGACCAGCAAGAACAAGCGACGTCATTGCTAGCATCTGATCCCGACGACAACCACAACCCCCGTGACCGTGATCACAACCATCACACCTCCTCTTCCTCCCACCGTCAACACCACAACTTTGACAACGACAAACACAATAACCACGGCCACCCGTCATCAGAGGACTCTCTCGGTTCCGAGTCCGATTCCTGGACCGACACTGGGGACATCGCCGACCTTATCGACGACGAAGACCCCCTTCGTACCCAGCTGCCCAGCGACGTTGATGACGAGCTGCTAGCCGGCGTTCACAAGAGGCATCCCTCCCACAAGTCTTCCAAGAAGAAGCGTGTTCGCATACAAGAGTCTCCCAGCCGTCGCGACACCTCACAGAGCCGTCGTGGAGGTGTTAATAAGGAGGCAATCGAGGTTCCCGACATCGCCCAACCTCGTCCGACCCGCGCGCAGCGAGTCATCGGCGCCATCATGCCGGGCGGTTCCTCTGTTCACGGCCTCACTGGCAAGGCCCTGATGTGCGTCTTGCCCTTCCGAAACACCCTTATCGCGACTTCCATTTGACTGACAACCCGGCCAACAGCTATTTCACGAGTATTTTCGTCTCCTTGGGAGTCTTCCTATTCGGCTATGATCAGGGTGTCATGTCAGGCATTATCACGTACGTTCACTGCCCTACCGTCTGCTCACCTTTTTGATCGCCGCAGCTAATTGATGGGCTCCACAGGGGTGTATACTTCCGTAACTACTTTGATCAGCCTTCGTCGGCCGAGATTGGTACCATGGTTGCTATCCTCGAGGTTGGTGCCTTTATCTCATCTCTGGTCGTTGGCAAGGTTGGCGATATCATCGGCCGACGCAAGACTATTCTATATGGCTCCATGATCTTCTTCGTTGGTGGTGCCTTGCAGACATTTACCAACGGCATGCCCATGATGATGTTGGGCAGAATCATTGCTGGTCTGGGCGTTGGTGCTCTGTCCACCATCGTCCCAGTCTACCAGTCTGAGATCTCTCCCCCCCACAACCGTGGAAAGCTTGCCTGCATTGAGTTCTCCGGCAACATCATCGGGTATACTACATCCGTTTGGGTTGACTACTTCTGCGGGTTCATCCAAAGTGACATGTCATGGCGTATTCCTCTCCTGATGCAGTGCGTGATGGGAGCCCTTCTCGGCTTCGGAAGCTTGGTCATTGTGGAGTCTCCAAGGTTGGTCTCCTGCGTGCCGTGAATATTTGTGTATGCGATTCCTGACTTGTGACCAGATGGCTCCTTGACAACGACCACGACGAAGAGGGTATCGTTGTCATTGCCAACCTCTACGGCAAGGGTGATATCCACAACCAAAAGGCACGAGACGAGTACCGCGAAATTAAGATGAACGTACTTCTCCAGCGCCAGGAGGGCGAGAGGACATACGCCGAGATGTTCCGCAAGTACAGCACCCGTGTCTTCATTGCCATGTCGGCCCAGGGTCTCGCTCAGCTCAATGGTATCAACGTCATCAGCTACTACGCTCCGTACGTTTTCGAACAAGCAGGCTGGGTTGGTCACGATGCCGTCCTTATGGCTGGCGTGAACGGCATTACCTACCTTCTCTCAACCATTCCCCCGTGGTATCTGGTTGACAGATGGGGTCGCCGACCAATCCTGCTGAGCGGTGCCATTGTCATGTGTGTTTCGCTGTCAATGATCTCGTACTGGCTCTACCTTGACATCACGTACACACCCACCCTGGTCGTCATCTTTGTCATGATCTACAACGCGGCGTTTGGATACTCATGGGGCCCGATCCCTTGGCTATACCCTCCGGAGATCTTGCCTCTGAACATTCGTTCCAAGGGTGCTAGTTTGTCGACGGCAACCAATTGGGCATTCAACTGGCTTGTTGGAGAAATGACGCCTCTGCTGCAGGAGTGGATCAAGTGGCGGTTGTACCTGGTGCACGCCTTCTTCTGTGCAGTCAGTTTCATCGTTGGTGAGTTACCTTCTCTTCGTACCCGGACTGGACTTTGATTGCTAATAAACTTATGCAGTGTACTTCATTTACCCTGAAACCTGTGGTGTTCGCTTGGAGGAAATGGATTCGCTCTTTGGCGACGCCAGCACTGTTATCGGGACGCCATCTCTGCATGGCCGCGAAAACGACTCCCTCATGCCCGGATCGCCTATTGGATCCGAATACCGTGGGCGGCCCGGCAACTTCACTGCCAACAGCGCCATTCCTGGCCTGTCTCTCGACCCTCCCGACATTCCCGACGGCAAGGGCCAGGATGGTGAGGCCAGCAGCACCATTAGCGGATGGGTCTCGAGAGTTGTCGGTCGCACGCGAGACCAGAGCAGTAGCGGCAGCGGTAGATACGCTCCCCTGGGTAACCAGGATGATTGAGACGGGATCGGCGCACAAGAGAATCAACACGTTTAGACGGTATTTTGCATATAGACGGCGGCAACTTTCTCCTCGGTGTCGCAGGCCTCCCGGACTGGATAGTAAAGAAACGGTTGAGCGCCTGGGTTGATTTACTTTCAACATTTGAGACGGGTCTGGGGAAAAACCGAGGATGACACGCTGGGTTAAGAGAATCGTTGCAGAACAAAGATGCCAGGGTCGCCGAACCCAGCGTCTGCGAGCACTTTTGCGTATTTTGTAGTTGGTCAGGAGCTTTTTTCATTGGACTTTGTCTGTACATAAACATTGTGTCTACTACAAGCGACTTCTGCATCATTGAAATCAATCATGCTAAGAGGACATGCCATAACTGTGGCGCGCTCGCGTGGATGTGTTGAAGGTCTGACTTGCATGGGATGTGATGTGCCTGTAGATTACTCACTTATCAGATACCTCTTCAAAGTGTTGTTCGAGACTGAACAGATTAGGAATACGAGAATTGAAGAGCATGATATAGGGCTAAGGTCTGCCAATACGAACTACATTAAAGTCTCGACCGTATTACCTATCCGCCCCTGATTGACAGGAAATAAACCCCGCATTTAATTCTGCTGCCTATTCGTCTGTATTTACCTGGCAAGCATCTTCACCCTCATTTTCTCTCATCATACTCCGTATGTTGCGTCGAACAATATTGGAAGACTCCTTTTTCATCATAAACTCCTTCGAGACCAACGTACAATAATCGATTTTCTTTTTGCAACAGAAAGAAACAAATTAGACGAGAGAAGGCAAAAGGGCAAGAAAAACGATGACGACGATGACTGAAAAGAAGAGGGAGAATACCCTCAGATTGGAGGAAGCCACACTCGACGATGTTCCCGCCCTGACGGAGACGTGGTTTGCCGCGTTCAAGGACGACGAGGTGATTTGTCGCCTGTGGCCTGATACGCCGGGCGTGAGGGCGTGGTGGGATGAGGCGAATTGGGGGGATATGCGGGCGAAGCCCCTTCAGCGGTTCGTCAAGGTTGTTGATGTGAGCACCGTCAGGACCCAGACCGGAACGGAGGGAACGGATGAGGGAGATGAGGGGGGGAAAGAAGGAGAGAGACCGAGGATCGCGGCGTGGGCCAAGTGGGATACGAGTATGCCGGCCGAGAGGGGCCGGCGGTACCCTCCTTGGGCGGGGGATATGCCTTCCGAAGTGTGTGATTTGTTTTTTGAGAGGGAGGAGGGGGAGAGAGGGCGGGTTATGGGGGAGGAGAGGCATTATTGTGAGTTTTTTTTCTTCTTTCTTTTGGATTAGTTTTTCTGTTTGTGATTTTCGCTTCTCCCGCCCTGCTCTACATCCGTTTATAATTCTCGCAAACCACTCTGAAGCTTTTCCGGGACTTGTACACGGAGACATGAGTTCACGCGAATGTGTGAGAATCGTGTTTTGCTAATTTGGTACCTGGGAATCAGATCTCGACACGCTGGTCACGCACCCCGACTACCAGCGCCGGGGCGCGGCGTCCATGTTGCTTGCGTGGGGGTGTGCGCTCGCGGATGAGGATGGGGTCGCGGCGTATGTTGATGCTAGTAAGGCCGGGGCGCCGCTGTATGAGAGGTTCGGGTTTGTGGATGAGAGTTTGGAGGGGGATGGGGAGGTTGCTTCTATGGTGAGGCGGAGGCGATGATGGTCTTGAAGGGGGGAGGGGTTGTTTGGTTCCCGACTTTGGGTACTGGATGCTAGAAGGCTGGGTGCGAAGGATCTTGCTTCTCTGGGTGTTGGAAGGAGGCATTGGTGAGGTTTATGGTGTTTGACAATTGGTATACTATTTAGGGAGTCGTTTTGTGGACTAAGAAACATGCTCCCTTTACTTTTTTCTTTTGGCCTCATCTCGCAACCCATGATAAAGTCTCTTCAACTCAACCTCCATCATGACCCGTCAATGTCCTACTGTCGTCCTCCAATCCCGCTCCCGACATCATTGATCCCCGTCCCCTTGACTTTATGATCACTCGGATTCGCCGCCGCCTCGTACAGGATATTCGCCGGCGCTCGTCCGAGCTGCATCCACTCGCCTTTGAATCCCAGGTAGGACACCCTCGTCTCGTCCTCTTCACCGTCACCGAAATTGTCCTCGAAGAAGAGCGTCAGGCGCTGGACGCGGCCAAAGAGGCTTCGCTTGACGGGGATCTCTTGGACCTGTCCCGTGCGCGAGAGCTCGAATTCCTGCGTTGGGGACGCTTCTTCCGCCGAGGAGAAGTCGAGGTCGTCGCGGTTGATGAAGACTTTGAGGGTGCGGGGCGCGGAGGGGGAGTCTGAGGTGCGGAGGAGGAGGGCGTGGAGTTTGACTTGGCCGGTGAAGCTTGGTGGTTTGTGTTAGCCGTGTCTGAGAATGGTGATCAGAATGGTGAAGGGTTTATATAGATAATGAGTGGATGAATGAGATGCGTGAAACATATATTTGAAAAGCACAGCAACATCACAACTCTCGTAACCACAAGAATCCAAATGACTTCCAATAAGACAACGTTCAGTCTGAAGTTCTCTCCAGAAAAAGAAGAAAAAAGGAAATAAAGCGGGTGGCTAAACTCACGGAACATTCACCAACAACTGCTCATCAGCATCGCTCACGACCTCGGGCTCGGCGTCGAGCCTCTCGGCCCAGGTCTTCTTGACGACGGCCTGCGCGCTGCCAATCTGCGCCTCGTTGAGGGCCGTCACCTCGTCAAAGTTGATGTGGCCGTACAGCGAGTGCTGCAGCGCGGGCGTGATGTCGTCTGAGTGGTCGTGCTCGTCGTGGCCGCCGCTGCCGTGGCTGTGGCCGCCGTGGTCGTGGTGCTCGTCGTGGCAGTGGGACATTATGTGTGTATTTTGAGCTATGGTGTTCTTTGGTGGTCTTGGTGATTTGGGGGTGAGACTTGACTGGTGGTGACGATAGTGGGGGGTTTTTGGAGGGGTTGTTGGGTGCTGGTGAGGGGTCCTTCTTTTCTGGGTGAGATAATCTTTTGGGGAGTGCCGAATGCTCAGCGGAATGAAGATCTTTCCTCTGTTGCTATGTTTTGGTGAAGTATCACCGTGGAGGCGCGTTTGGGTATCAAAAGATGCGAAAATGATTGAATGAACGAGAAGACGTGTTACGTGTTCTGGTGTTTGCTTAATGATGCCTGCAAATGATGAAGTGCAGTGAGTGAACGGCCCCACTTCAAGCTAGAAGGTTCCGGCGCCGGATTCCGTGATTGGCTCTAGGCCCGCCTTCCTCCGACGTCGAGGTCCGCTGCTGCGCCGTCGAAGAGAAAACGCTACATCACGAGTTCAGCAAAAGTTTGGTGTCTTTTATTGATTGGAAAAGTGTGTGAGGCATTCTTTCAGGATTGAGGTAGGCTTACGTTACGGGAATGAAATATTCTCCCGTTCGTGCTGTTGGCTCACCTTACAAGAGCAAGTTTGAGGTCTGGGATTTCAGGTGCATTTATTATGATTGGCGTATCATCATCTATCTCTGATACAGCTATTGCTTGATGGCAAAAGGATGATATCAATCTCAAACACAGTGACCCAAGGCAGACCTTCTTTCCCATGTCCCAGACCCTCAAGGTTAGTCCACCCTTAAAAACCAGACTTTCTCTTCTTCTTCTTCCCCGGCGACCGCATCCCGTGCCTCCCAGATATAGGTTGCGACATGACGACCGGCATCTGCGACGAGAAAATAGCCTGCGAAGACGGCATGGGTGGAAGCTGGCTCGAGCCGATGATGGGCGGCGCGAGCTTGGGCAGCGGCTGCGTTGCCGGCGGGAGCGCAAACTCCGGAGGACCGGTGTTCGTCTTCGACGTCGTCTTTTTCGTCGCGGGCCCCGTTCCAGGCCCAGATGACTCGAAAACGTCGTCCATCTCGCTGGTCCCCCACCCGTGTTGCGATTGCGATGACGCGCCGAGGAACTGTGATCTGCGCTTCCGCCGGCGCGATTCGGCGCGGTGGCGGCGCTCGTTGAGAACGTCCATGTGTTTCGTGGAAGACGCAAGAACGGAGGAGACGTAGCCTTCTGTGCTGACGCCGCGGGCGGTGGGCCAGTAGGCAAGGACTTTGTGTTGGCGGGCGGCGGGTTGGGGGTCTGTGGTGTTGATATCTTCGGCGAGCATGCTCAAGCGCTGGAGAGCCGTTGTTGCGATTGTGGTGGGTGCGGGTGTTTGTGGTGCGGCGTCTGGGAGGCCTGAGGAGGAGGGGGCGGCGGCGGCGGAGGATTGGGAGAATAGGGGTCCTGACGAGGGGAAGGGGATCGAGGATGAGGGGGGTATGTCGAAGGGTTGTTGGGAGCGGGAGCCTTTGGAGGGGGAGAAGGAGAGGCGGTGGCTGAGGGCTTGGCCGCGTTTGGTTGGTGATAGAGAGATTCTCTGGCTGAAGGGCTGGCTTAGTTTGGTCGGGGAGAGGGAGAGGCGCTGGCTTGACGAGAGTTGGCTTCGCTTTGCGGGTGACGAGGAGAAGCGCTGGCTTGGCCGTTGGCTCGGCTGCCGGATTGGTAAGGGTGGAGGTTCGGGAACCCAAGTAGGGGCCACGTCTTCTCTGGTAGGGAGGTTCGCGTCGAGTATGGCCACACCAAAGAGGGATCTGGCGATGGCTTCGGCCGTTTCTGCTAGCACAACGTTGCGGGATTGCTGTGCTCTAGGCGGAAGGCCCGCTGGACTCCACATCTCCTCGAGCTGGTCGCGAATGTCTGCGAGGGGTGACAAGGTTTCCAGGCCGTGTAGAAATTGCGTTGTGAGAGGTTGCGCAATGACGCGCTCGGTCTGCGCGTTCATCATCTCCTGGAAGCGAGAGTCCCACGCTGCTACTGCCGCATTGGATAGAGGGGGTGCTTCAAAGGTATTCTCGTATTCGTGCCTGGCAGCCATCAGTACATGGAATGAGGACGTGTATGAAGAGATACTCAAACTTACAGAGTATGCAAAGGGATATAACCGCCCTCAGTCTCGAGACAGTTGACGGCTGCTTCCCGTATGGCCCCGAACACAGACAGAGGCCCCTCAATGGTAGCTTGCTCCGACGCCATGATGACCGACTCGATCGAAACATTGATGCGAGATACGAACTGGTCCAGGTTCAGACCCCGAGGCCACCGCTGCTTTAGCTGTGCTTCCTCTCCCGCACGCTCACTTTCCATGAGCTCCTGGTACCGATTGGCGCGACGCTGCACCAGCTCATCCATATCACCCAGCCCATCGGGGACGACAAAAGTGTCCTCGAAATGCTGCAGGAACTGTCTTCGCCTCTTATTGTGCGCCTGTCTACGGCCATCTCTTGACCACTCGCGACTGCTATCGGGGGGCACCACTTCGAAGTCAGGACCGGCCGAGATTGCGAACAGGCTCTGACTCAAGCTGAGGTCCCTGCCTAGAACGAACAGCTGCTGGAACCTGATTTCGTGGTTGAGGTACTCCAAGCCTGGGCCCTTGGCTGTTGCAGGAGAGGGGTTTCTCAGGAAAGCCGGCACTGGACACAGAGTCTGGAGCTTCGTCGCGTCGCCCGTGAGCTTCATGATGTGGTGCTCAAACTGTGGCAGACCTGTGTCTTCAGGCATGTAGAACCAGTAGACATCCACCTCTGGTGATTTGTCAGAGTAGAGAAAAACCGTGCATTTCTCATTTCCCGCCTCAGAGCCGCCGTGATGAACGGTAAGCCTGAGACTGTCGGCATCCAAGCCTCGGAGGTGCGCAAAGGACTGCAGAGTAGAGAGCCCGCCTGCCTTGTTGGCTGTCGACCCTGAAGACGACGTCTCGATCCAAAAGAACCCCGAGCTCGTGAGGATGAAGATCTGACTCCTGTTCAGCGGGTTTGGCTTCACGTCGAGGATGTAGTCTGGCTCATCCGTCTTGAGTATGACCAAGCTCTTTCGAAACGTCCAGTCTTTGATATCGACGACCTCGAATTTTGCGCGGTTCCAGACGACGAGTTTCTTGGACCTCGACGTCAGGGCGGCCAGATCGTTTCCTGCATCAATATCTTGCCCTTCGGGTACATCCCAGAGATCAACACCCGGGCCGGCCGCGCCGATCCACATCACGCCGTGGGGCTCTGCGCGGAAAGCCGGCGAGTCCTCGTCGGGGAGCTGCTCCGTAACACCCAAGTGAATGTGGCCGCAATGGCGGAGCTTCGGACGCAGGCCGTTGGATCCCACCATGTCTCGACCCTTGACATCCCAGACACTGTAGTAGCCGCACTCGTCTATGATGGCCAGCTGAGGCGGCTTCTTCTGCGAGCCGTAGCTGAAGGACACATCAGAATGCGCGAAGCCGCCAGTCTGCTCCGAGGTGATGGTGAGGACGGGTCTCGGGTTGATGCGAGATGGGCGCTCGATAGCCTGATCAATCCCCGGCGGGCGTTCTGAGACAGGAACCTTGTGGTAATCCGGCTGGAGGATGGTAGTGGAAGTCCGTTTCTGCACCAGCAGCCACCTCGTCGGCTCGAACCGGACCAAGCTCAGCGCAGGTTTGATCTGCAGAATCGGAGCTCCGTCACTCGACCACAAGACAGATTCTTCCTTGTCGTGCTGGTCAATGCTCAACATCCGAAGCGTAGGGCTCTCGTTCTCGCCCCATTGCCAGTTTGTCTCATCAATCTTGGATAGACGGAGGAGCTCACCCGACTCGCCGGCAGCCGTGGCCAGTACGGGGACGGGGACAACCCGTGTGTGGTTGGTGACATCCGCTATCTGACTGATTGTCATGAGTGGCTGAGTCGTCGGCGCGGCGTCGGGGCGCATGAGCTGATCCAGTCCCTCGGACAGGAAGCTGGCTGCCTCGGAGCTGCCTATGAAAGCCTCTGGGTGAGCGTTGAACAGCCATCGTCTTTGCACTCGCTGGGAATCGTAAACTGTTGAGGAAGGCGCCAGTTCCGTAGAACGAGAGGCAGGATAAAGGGTCTCAGGAGACTGTATAATCCGAAGAGCTTGGGCTATTGTGAGGTCAGCAAATGGGACAACCCGAACCCGGCCGATGCACTCGCTCACCTTGACCTGGCACTCGGCTCATATGCAGTTGAGGTGGTCCATCTTCAATTCCTTCATGAGGGACAATAGTGATTTTCGGGGGGCCATATAAGCGGCTAGTCTCTTCCCGTGCGTCAGCCATTAGACCCATTCGTTTCCCGTAAGTCTAAGTAGTGTATTCGTGGGAATCTGGGCATATCGTGAGAGAGCGGTGGGGTGTGCTTCATCATGCGAAGGATAAGAAAGAAGCCTGGCGGGCTATGAGTCGATTCGTGGTCATGCGTGGAAAGGATGCCTAGCTAATGGTATAGAAACACATAAAAAGAACGCAGCCGTCAGATAACATGAGCTGACTGTTGCAGCAAATTCGAGGTCATGACGATAAAAGCAAAAGTGAGACAGCGACTGAAGACTGAACGGACTAAGAAAGTGAAAAAGTTCGGTCAGTCGCGGCTTCACTCAAAAAAAGAGGGGTCCCATTTCCGGTAGTTGCCCACTTTAGCCCAGCCAACCCCTGCCATTTAGTTCGTCCGGCGCGTCGGGGCCACCCTTCAGACGCGTTTTCCTAATGGGCAACTTCGGCCCCTGCCGACTCTCTCTCCTGTCACCTGTGAGCAACTCAGCTAAGACACTTAAGCACATCTGCACCAGTACCACTGAAGTTGGTTGGCCCCGCTCCCGCCAAACAAAGCGACATCGAATGCATTGAATGACCTCCATCTCTCTCATACAATCCCGCATTCAGCAATAAGTTCCACCCTCATACGAAAATGCCTGCCGACGACCGAACCGGGAAGCAGGCCGCGGCCCAGCAAGCCGTTGACATCTTGCATGAGATCTCTACCATCCTCGTTAGTCGCGACGCCCACCTACCCTACCCTCTCAAAATCTCACCTCAGCGACCTCATACTCTGTCCTAACATGGATCATGTGAAAAAGAACTGCCATCTGGATCGCCGCACCCTATCGATCTGCATCTCCATGATCGAGAATGGCGTAAACCCAGAGGCTCTTGCCGTAAGAATACTCACCCATCGAAGTCCAAACAGAACGTGACACTAACGAGGCCCCCATCGCAATAGACCGTTGTGAAGGAGCTTAGAAAGGAATCCCAGGAGGTCGACGCCCAAATCGCATCACGGAGGCGTCAATGAGCGTGTCTCGAGGTGGGAGTCTGGTATGAAAGTTACGACAAGGCAAGAAGAATTGGGATTACGGACAATAGGCGTTTCAGGCATTTGCGTTGCTTGTCATTTTCGGTTTTTGTGTCTATTATGGAAACCTAAATAATGCCCAGTTTCCGAGGGCTATGATATAAGAAAAAACCAAGCAGTGCCATCCGGGGCTGACAAACTCTGCCATCCTGAAAACGCCGACTAACCCTTAACCCAACCAGCTAGTGATATGCCCACAATGACCTTGACGACCCATATGTCCAAACCATGCGACCATCGCAAATAACCCCAGTGCGCCAATCTTATATCCGTCTCTTGCAGATGCACCTCATCGTCTAAATCATGATTGCATCGTAGCCGAGGTTACCGATGTCCGATGAGCATGATCTCGTTCTCATAGTCATCATCATCATCATCATCCTCGCCCTCCGAGTCTTCTTCGTCCACATCTGTCGACATTGTATCGTCCGAGTCACCATGACCCCGACCCCATAAGTTGAGAATATCATTCTCTGATTCGTCTTCTTCTTCGATTGCAGCATTTGCCGAGTTTGGTGGTGGCATACCGGGCGTGACTGCTGGCGAAGCTGACCTAGCAAAGCGATCCAACATCAGATGACGCGCCTCAGGGCCAGCATGAGACGAATGCCGTCGCCTGCCGACCTGCGGTATATCCATTCCTGCCGGAGCAGCAGCAGCTTGCGTCGTCACGGGAGTAGGCTGTATAGGAGAAAGAAGAGCCGGCGTGACTGCTGCTGGCGTGACGGGCACGTGACTGGCTGGCGTCTCTTCCCTCCCGCCACTAATCTGAATCTCTACCGTGTTGTAAGAAGTGCAAATCGCGCACTTGAGGCCGAGCCAGTGGTACGGGACGGAACTCTTCCCGCTGCAATCGTTACACAAGATTGTGGCGCGAGTGTCCCTGAATTCGGGGGGCATCGGCTGGGCAAGTATGGCCAGCTCTAATTGGCGGAATTGGCTCTGCATGTTGAGCAGACTCTTGTTGCAAATGGGACATTTGTATGATCTCAGCATGTGCTCGTCGTAGCACTTCTGGTGAATGCTGTGACCACACCCCATAAATACGACTGGCTTGGGAGATGTAAACATGTATTCTCCGCAAATAGGACAGTCACAATCCGTTGAGCGCTCGATGCACTTGTGTGACTGTTGAATAGAAATTGAGATGCATGCGCAACATTTCTAAAGCATATGTTAGCGACCGCCACACAAAATTCTGGTTTCGGACCATTCAAATACCTTGCAATGGAAGAAGTCCTTCCCGATACCTCTTCCTCGTCGGCAGATACCACAGTCGTTACAATGGTAAATTGGATTGGATGGATGGTCATCCCAAAGTTTACACATGTTGCAGTAGTAACGGGCAGCGGTCTCTCCGCAATTCACGCAAACGTCTGATGCTTTCTGAGGAGTGGCGCAAAGCATGCATAACATGTTTTTGGTTTCCTTCCTGACAAGAGTGTGGTCCTCGACTGCGTCATGGCAGAAACGACAAGTGTACCACTTGGCGCAAGTCGAGCACTGCAGCTTGACATTGCGGCGGTAATGTTGACAGCCAAGAATCACAGCACCCTCAGGCTCTTCTCTTGTAGCAAGCTTTGAGGCCGCGTACGTGGGCCGGACATCGTCGGCGGTCAAAACAAACTTTTCTGGCGATGACGGTTCTCCTATCGAATGTTGCCAAAACTTCAACGACTCGAGAGGCGCCATCGGCAATGTCTGTTCCCATGCTTCCCCTGCGGGTATCACGCTGGCCAGTGCATTGGCTTGGCGCGGAGCGTCTCGAGACTTGCGATACCCCTCCATCAAAGCCTCGTGCATAAGCCGGGCCTTGTCGTCTGCTGCGATATCTTGTGACTGGATGTCGAGTAGACGCTTTCGCATCGCACCCATGCCGTCGTCGGCGGGTAGAGATTCCCGTGTTGTAGGTGGCATTGCGGCCATCGTGTATGGTGCGTTCTGGGCTAGAGGAACGGGAGACTGAGGTTGCTCGTCGTCGTCGACAGTTGGCGGCAGCGTCGCAATGTCGAGTGATCGTGCCGGAGTGGGTTCGGGTGGCGCAACAGTCGCATGCCGGATTGCGGGACTATCCAGGTCGCTCGGAGCGACGACGGGGTCGGACGAAGAGTCCCGCTCGGAGACAAAGGTTGTTCTCGAGATCTCTGAAAAGCGGCGAGCTTGTCGGAGGACCGGGTTGATGAGGAAGTCGGATACCAGAGACGACATTGAGCCAGGTAGGTATCAGCGGGGATATGAGTCGGGGGACCGAGCCGGATTTGTAGAAAGTGACGCGCAGCAGAGGAAGTCTGCTACATCCAGGGCAACAAGATCGGGAAGAGGGGATGCGAGGATTGGATGGTCGGGGCACCGCGGGAAGGATATTTGAAGTAGCGGTGGTAGCGGTGTTGGTGGTGGTGGTGGTTGTAGTAGTGTGGTGGTCGGTGGTGCTAGATGTGGTACGGGACCGGACGATTGGATGCAGGAGCGATGACATAAGACGACCGAGACCCCTAATGCAATCCGCTCTGTCTCTTGAGTCGTCGGCGGCGTCGGCGGAGACGGTTCAGACTGGTGGACGCAGTGGGGGTTTACTTTTCTGAAAGAGAAACCTGAGGCTTGGATTTGAGTCCAGATCAGGTGTCGGAGAGTCTCTGGGACCTGAACATCTGCACCGCAATGGGGCGATTGTTAGCAACGATTGTCTGTGCCGACAATGTGTTATGGATCAGACCGGGACCAGCCAAGGAGGGGGAAACAGCACAGAGTGGACGAGAGAGTAGAGACGAAAAAAGACATGTGATGCAGCTGTCTAGCGTTTCCGCATGCGGGCTTCAGCATGTTGCAGAGCGAGAGAGAGGCTTGACTCGGCGGGGCAGATGGGCCGCGCCCAGGCGATGATGAGTTATCTTACCTCGGGCACCTTAGGTTGGCGACAGGCCCAGTGTCTGAGGTGAACGCAACCCCTTTTTTCGTTCTCTGAAGAAACACAACGATGGCGACTCCTGGCGACAAATCAGGTCTACCAGGTCTTTACTTCTTTGGGTGAGAAGTACCTGTATTGTTGGAGGCTTTGCGCACCGTCATACAAGACAGGAAAAGTAAGAAGACTCTCTCATTCAGGTTGAAGAGGCCGATGAGGGTAGCCTTCTGTGCAGCTGTGGTCTCCGGATACTGCTTCAGGCACTCCGTACTGGATAACCACCGCATCTGCGACCTGCACGGCGCAGGCCTCCACCGCCGTGGACTCCCCGAATCGCCGAGATGGAGTCCACACCGCGGCCGATGGTGTCCTTCTCTAGGCCGACGGGATTGACTGGAAGATGCGCACTGGCATTTCCGGTTAGCTCCGAAAGCGGGGGGTCATCGCGCGACCCGGAAGGGTTAGCGCAGTTGAAAACCACGGCTGAGCTACAGCTACCATGAAGACAAGACATTGTGCAGATGCATCTGTCGTGGATGTGGCCTGTGTGTTGTTTTCCGTGGAAAAAGGATGGATTGTGTTGTGTCGTTTGGTCTTTGGCATGCCGCTAGCATTGCAGTTATGGAAGATAATGGACGCCTCATCAGGTGGCTGCAGGTGCGTCCAAGCTGCATAAGTTGCTTGCTTTGAGGCTGATGATGATGATTCTGGTCTGTATCCGTATATAAGGTAAGCTATATGGTAGTAAATGTTATCTTGGAAGGGAGGTAGGTAGATGTGTGATATAACCACAGTCTTGAATGTCACGACGTCAGGATCGAATATAGCGAGACGCAAGGTGAGGGTAAGGTGGGAGCGAGAATTCCAGGTTCCATTGACATTTGACTATGATCGTCGAAGAGTGAGAGCCGCGTGGGGATCCCATCTGTAGGACCTCAGGGGGTAAGGTATCCATCCGCACTCCGTACCTGGTAGGCAGCTGTAGCCTGTGGGGGCAGGGGGTAACGGAGGGGCTATTTGGGGTCCCTCCCGGGCCATTCAGGCCATTCCATCGAGAGGACCTGCGCGGCCTGCTCAAGGTATGCAGCCTATGCCACCCGCTTATAGACCACTTAAGAGCAGCTGAACCAATAGATCGGCTTCAATGAACCCAGGGACGAGATTCGCGTAAAGTGTGGTCGGGGTCTCGCGCAGTCTGGAAGGAGTGGAAAGGGAGGGATACCGTGTCTGTTGGTGCATAGGTGGCATTTATTTCGTGTTGCCGCAAGGGGGTTGCAAAGGGTGGAAGGGTGCTCCTTCCCAGCTGCCCAGCTCCTCCCGATTTAGTTCAGACCTCACCAAAAAAATTCCCACCTGGCCAAAGGGCACTCTGCCACTCTCCCGTTCCGCCTCCATATTAATTGCATGATTCCCTGGTAATTCAAAGTGCCCTTTTTCAGCTTTCCCTTTCTCTCCTTCCCCCCAAGCTGACTGACCTCACCTTCTTTTTTGATGAGCTGGTTTGGTTTGCGGAACACCTGTGCCTCAAGAGATACCCGCTGATTCTCTTTTTGCGCGGCTTCTCTTTTTACCTTCTTCAATTCTCCAACTTTTTTCTCTTTTGCCCCCGGGCGTTTTTTGAGTCTTGACTCGTCCGATCACTAACGAGAAGCTCAGAGCTCCTGTTCTTGGAGCTTGACTCTCACTCTTCCTGCACACACCCCCTTGAAGCAGCCTTCATCAACGCATTCGGTTATCCCGTTTCGAGAGTCAGTCTATACTCTCGCACAACCCATTCCATACGCCGCCTTTCCGTTTGCTGACTGGTCTCACCAACAGCCATGGCTACAGAAAAGCCCATTGTCGCGTCCGGCGCGGACGTGGGCGATGGCGTCAGACGACGAGCCGTGCCCCAGGGCCAGTCAGTTCCCATAACGGCTGCCCCTGAAATCGACGACAAGAAGAAGCTTGTCAAGAAGGTAAGCGCCTCCCCTCTACAGCAGCCCAAGCTTTCCTAGACCTGCTTAGATACTGATACTTCACCCTTTTCCCAGCAGAGCTCCTTCCTCGATGACTGGGAACCCATCATCGCCCCCATCATCTTCACGGCCGTTGCCATCTTCACCCGACTCTGGAGAATTGGCATCAGCGACATTGTTACCTGGGACGAGGCTCACTTTGGAAAGTTCGGAAGTCACTACATCAAGCATGAATACTACTTCGATGTTCACCCGCCCTTGGGCAAGATGCTTGTTGGCCTCTCCGGTGTTCTCGCTGGCTACAACGGATCTTTCGAGTTCAAGTCCGGAGAGAAATACCCCGAGGATGTCGACTACACCTTCATGAGAGCTTTCAACGCTCTCTTCGGTATTCTCTGCATTCCCATGGCCTACTACACTGCCCGCGAGCTGAACCTCAGACGTCCCGCCGTCTGGCTTGTTACCCTCATGGTCCTTTGCGAGAACTCGTACACAACCATCAGCCGCTTCATCCTTCTCGACTCGATGCTGCTTTTCGGTACTGTCGCGACTGTTCTATGCTGGGCCAAATTCCACAACCAGCGCAACGATGCTTTTGAGCCTGAGTGGTTCTTCTGGCTGTTCATGACTGGCCTCAGCATTGGCTGCGTGTGCAGTGTCAAGCTCGTCGGTCTGTTCGTCACCTCTCTCGTCGGCCTCTACACAATTGAGGATCTCTGGACCAAGTTCGGCAACACCAAGATGCCCGTTACCACACTGGGCGCTCACGTTGTCACCCGCGTCGTTGGCCTCATCATCATCCCCTTCCTGGTCTACATGCTCTCTTTCGCCCTCCACTTCGCCATCCTCGACCACACCGGTCCTGGTGATGCGCAAATGAGCTCCTTGTTCCAGGCAAACTTGAAGGGCACCGAGGTCGGCAAGAACAGCCCCTTGGAAGTCGCCTACGGATCACGTGCGACCATCAAGAACATGGGATACGGCGGTGGCCTCCTGCACTCCCACGTCCAGACCTACCCCGAGGGTTCTACTCAGCAGCAGGTTACTTGCTACCACCATAAGGATGCCAACAACGACTGGTTCTTCTACCCCAACCGTGCCGACGCCGACTACGACCCCGAAGCTCCTCCCCGATTTATCGGCGACGGCGAGACGATCCGTCTCATTCATGCCCAGACCGGCCGCAACCTTCACTCCCACGAGATCGCTGCTCCCATGACCAAGGCCGATAAGGAAGTTTCCAGTTACGGCAACTTGACTATTGGCGACGAAAAGGACCACTGGACTGTGGAGGTCGTTCGTGATGTTGCCTCCCGTGACCGCAGCAGAATTCGCACTCTGACGACGGCTTTCCGCTTGAGACATCCCGTTCTTGGCTGCTACCTCCGCGCTGGCAACGTCAACCTGCCTCAGTGGGGTTTCAAGCAGATTGAGGTGACCTGCACCAAGGCCAACAACCCCAGAGACTCGTACACCCACTGGAACGTAGAGGCCCACTGGAACGAGAAGCGTAAGTTGAAGCTTTAAACCCCGTGTGTCTTGCTCAGCCTGCTAACTGGCACAGTGCCCCCCGGCGACCCTGGCTCTTACAAGTCCCCCTTCCTTCACGACTTCATCCACCTCAACGTTGCCATGATGACCTCCAACAACGCCCTTGTGCCCGATCCCGACAAACAAGACGATCTCGCCTCTCAATGGTGGCAGTGGCCCATCCTCAACGTTGGTCTGCGCATGTGTGGCTGGGACGACAACATTGTCAAGTACTTCCTCCTCGGCAACCCTCTGGTCTACTGGGGCTCTACCGCCGGCCTGGGCGTCTTCGCGCTTGTCGTCGTTTGGTACTTGATCCGTTGGCAACGCGGCTACAACGATTTGAACTCCAAGGAGATTGACCAGATCCACTACGCGGGGTTGTACCCCGTGGCCGGCTGGTTCCTCCATTATCTCCCCTTCGTTGTCATGGCCCGTGTCACCTATGTTCATCACTACTACCCTGCGCTGTACTTTGCCATCCTTACTTTCGGCTTCTTGGCCGACTGGTTCCTCCGCAACAAGAACCAGGTATTCCAGTACGGCGTGTACGGCGTCCTGTACGCGACCATTATCGGTCTCTACATCCTCTTCAGCCCCATCTGCTTCGGCATGACGGGCAACAACAAGCAGTACAGCTACTTGAAGTGGTTCGATAGCTGGAGAATTTCTGACTAAATCTGACGATTTACCAGCGATGCCAAGGTTGTATTAGAACGATTCCTCCCACGGGAATTCTGTACTTGAACGGCCGAGATCTATGACTCGGCCTTTCTACCCAACTCTCTCTCTGTAAGGATATGGACGATAAAAACGGT